TGGGGGCTCTCATCTTTAAATCTCACTTTTTTTCCCCTCCTGATTTTCTTGTCTAATTCCATGTCATTGTGACTATTCTAAGCCTAACTCAGTCCCTTAGGTATCAGGTTAGGTTCAGGAGGTTGATCCTCAGGACACCAAATTTATGAGATCAAAACAAAATATTTTTTAAAAATGTATTTTATAAATAATTTCCAATTTTTTTAAATACTTTATTAAATTGAAGTGATGCATTTCCAAAATTATTTATCTCTCTGTATCATAATGAAAATTGAGTACTTGAGGTCTCTCTATAACTAAAATATATAAACATAAAGATATTAAAAAATTAATAATAATTACTTAATTTTCGCTTGCTTGCCGTTCTGATAACAACAGCCTAATGTATGTGTGTGGAGCTATTTTTTCCTAATATTTGAAGAAATCTTCAAGCATCCTCCTTCTGGTTAAGTGCCTTAGATTCTCCCTCTCATAGCGTTGATATTTTAGTAATGAAACATCTCGTCATTTTCCTTTTTCTTGAGTATTTTTAAGTGAAAATATTATTCACTTATAATAATAATTAAGATTGTAATTTTGAAGGAAACCTTTACTGAACATTAATTCATACATTATTCTTTAGGACGAACTATTTTTTTACTAATGTTCAAAACCTATTAATCAGACCGTTTCGAATTTAGCGCTCCTCCATTTCTGAAAATAGATATAAAGATTTTGAAAGATTGGAGCAGCAGTAGTTCTGGAACAAGAAATAGAAGTGGAGAGTTGCTTGAGTACCTTCTCTAGTAAGACTACCTAGCCGTTATATTTCAAATATTTGTTGGCCGATTCTTTTACTTTTGACTTTCAGCCATAATTGTAATTTGTTAGACATATTTATGGAATCTTACAATTTCTACAACCTCTGCTTAATGACAATCTAAGATTTGAATTTTAATAATATTTATCTTAATTCTAAATGATGTCAATAATTGGGTGTCCAGAAGATTTGCTCCTCGAACCTCCTAGATTCATGGATTAATAGAAAAGTGAGTTGGATCGACATTTGGCCTTTAATTTTTTTTGAGATTTAAAATTCATTTATTATTTCTCTATACTATCCATAATCAAAGATTTTGTGATTCTTTTGAAAATCAATGATATTTCAAATATTAATTGAAAGAAGATTGATTTTTATAATATATATAATTCATAAAAATTCATAATTTTGAAAATAATAGAAGAAACCAAGATATTATTTATATTAATTCTTATAATTAAATACTAATAGAATATCTTTTTAATGTCAGTTTACTTAAACTCACCTATTTCGACTAAATTTTAATAGTTCATATCAGAAGATTGTTTTAATATAGTTGAATAAACTATTGAAGTAATATTATAATTGTATTATCATCATAGTTTTCCTATTAAAAAATTAGTTCGATTCTTGATCAAATTCTATTGGATTGTGAACCCTATTCCTTCAAGTTTATAGATTTGTAAAGTCACCAGTAAACCCTTAACTTTATCATAATCAAATTTTTCTACAAAATACCTACGTTCAAACCTACCAAATTAAGTAATTTTTGAGATAAAAGCATCTACAAATTTAATTATCTCAAGAGAAGTTAATAAAAAGGAATAAATTATGAGATCTGAAAATATGATGTGTTCTCAAGAATCCGATTAACTAATTGAAGAAAGAAGAAGAGAATAAATTTAATATTTGGGGATCATAAAACAAAATGATGAAGAATTTCATTTTTTTAATAATCAAAAAAACTTCTCTGAAAATAAAATAGAAAAGATTAAAAGGGAAAGAAGTCCATAACCTTTGAGCTAACTAATAACAATTCATATAAATAACTATAATGGTGTAATGCTAGTGCTTTAAATAAACAATATTCACTTGCTATAGCAGCAAGTCAAAATGACTTTAAAGTATTTTAACATTTCAGGGGGAACTTGGAATTACTATAAATATGTTAGAATAAAAATCAAGTTTATACTTTAAACTTTATGAAGAATTCAAACAATTTTGTGTCCGGATTTATAGATAATTCAATTATAATATGGAAAGAAAATGCACATAATTAATGGAATTGTGAATAAATATTGAATGGACATTAAGGTTAGATACTGTGTTTATTATTGAATAATAATGATTATTTAATTATATCGGCTAGTTTAGATAAAACTATTAAATTCTGGATGAAATAGAATGAGTGGATATGTTAATAAACTATTACTGATCATACTAATAGCGTAAGTTCAATTAGCTTAAATGAATAATGTAATAAGTTGATTTCTTGTTCGATTGATTAATAAATATTAGTAATAGAAAGATCACAGTTAGATTCATATTGGAATGTTAAATAAAAGATCAAAGTTGATAAATGTGGAATTAGATTATGTTTTATCAATGATATGTTATTTAAGTTTTAACCAATTGCTCAAGATTCAATGCATGTATACGAAATGGATAGAATTACTAAGCAATATAGTAGAACTAGCGAAATTGCTGTTAAGTCTGGATCTAACAGATGTGATAGTTTCTTTTCATAATTCTACGCAAAGTCAAAATGCCTTCTATTAAATAAAAATGGCAATATTGTGAATTTAATGTAAAAAAATGGCCGCTTTGTGGTCGAATAGTCAAATTTAATTTAATGATTATCATATTTTTGGATAATTAACTGATGATGGAAAATTGTTGATCACTTGGGATAGAGGCTCTTAGGAAATCCAAATAAGAATTTGTAAGGAATGTTGAGGATTGTAATCTAAAAATAAATTCAATTTTTTTTTATAATATATTATAGAATTAAAAATACAGCATTTCATAAATAAATCGAATACTTTCGAATTGAGAGAAGAGACAGGTAATAGAAACTGTGCATACACAAAGGTTTTGTATTTATATTAATTTACAAATATTTTAGAGTTAGCTTACATATCATAATGATTGATTTTTGAAATCTAAAACAATTCACACTTTATTCAAAAATTAGAAATTGAATGTTTTGAAAAATAATGCTAGAGATTAATATGTTTGATTAAGATTATATGAGTACTCATATATTAATGATAACTGTTCAATGTGACACATATAGACTAGAAGAATATCAAATATCAAACATTGGCAATTTAAATGTCCTTTTGATTGTTCTCAATTTAGCTTTAAAAATATCTCGATTAAACTTATGATTATAGCTTAACGTTACTCCTTTTTATTTGTTAAGAAAAATAATTACTTCCTACTAGAATAACATAAATAAAATTTCTAATATAACTAATTAGGAATCAATTTTGAAAGAGAATTATAAAATAATTATTTATTTTTACTTCTCTGAGATAAAACCTAAATAAATTTTTAAAATCCAAATTTCAAATTAACTTTGGCTTTAACATTAGTATATTTGAAATCACACCAAAAGTTAAGTTGTTAAAAGTGTTAAGTATCTAAAACTGAATTTCGAAAAATTAATTAAAAATTTAAACTATTTGAAGAGGCATTGTATGAAATATATTCTATAATTTTTTGAATAATTTCCATTTATTTTAACATATTATAAATATATTTCTAATATTTTAATCACATCCTGTTTTTATTTCATCTTAAGTAGAATCCATATTTTTTTTTTTCAGATCTAACTTTATAAAAGCAATCAAGGCAATGCTAGAGGCTCGTTTGGTAAGAGCATCAGTCTTATAAACTGAAGATCGAAGGTTCAATTCCTTCCTAGCATATTTTTTTAATCATTTTTTTTACAAACTTATTTTAAAGGTTTTTTTTTGGTATCATAGCCAAAATAAAAGAAAAATAACTAAAATGAATAGCGGGTAAAAAATATAAACATCAACATATATTTATTAGCTAATTAGATATATTTGTTTGAAATTATAAAATTACTTAGAATTTCCAAATATAGACAATCTCATGATAAGTGTTACTTTTAAAGTAACTTACATTGCTCAAAAATCTTATTCTAATACGTTTTATTATAATGTAATTTCTCTCACTCTTATTGGGCTCTTAGGTTATCCAATTCATTTGACTTTAGTTTTCAATGACTTTTCCTTAAAATTGAAATGTGAATCTATGATTAGAAAAGGTGCAATGCTCAAATTGTTATAAATTGTAATTCTCTATGATTCAGTTAATTTAGAATTTGACTTAGTAAATTTTAATTTTTCATTTATATTTTAATTGATTTAGATTATTAAATTTTTTCATTTATGTACTTTATTAATCCATCTCACCTTCGCCCTATAGTGAATATTTTTCTAAGTATTCATTCCTTTTTTCATCTAATTAATTAGAAAATTGTAATTCAATAAAAAATTGACAATGTAAATTTGTTATATGAATTAATTTGAATCTATTATTAGATTATGATTGATTATTGCTTGATCTATCTTTGTCCTCCCATAATAAAATCTATCCTTCCCATAGTTTTGAACTGCCTATTTAGTATTTAAAAATTAATGACATATAATTCTCTTTTTTTTTCTATTTTAATATTCTATAATATCGTAAGTATCTACTTAAGAAGTTTATTTAGATGTAGCTACTTTGGTATCTTATGCGAAGATAAAAATCATGGGTATCTTTGAAGAAATCCATATAATCAGCATAATTTTAACTTTTAACTAAATATAACTTAAGTCATATCTCTAGGAGAAAATTCTAAAATATACTCTTTAAAAACATTTTTAACACATAATGCTATAGCATTCGAATCTAAAATATTTGTAATAAAAATATAGTAAACCAATTTTATACTCTATTAAAGGTTGCAAAGCTTGTATGAAAATCCTAAAGTCATTATCCTTTCAACTTATTATTTTGACTTAATTTAGAAAGGCAATTTTATAAATTATATTTATTGTTTATTTTGGTCAGATTTCATTAAGAATTCTTCCATTTGATTATAATCATTTAAAGTAATTTCATTTTCTAATTTTATTATTCATAAATGTTAAAAAAGTCATTATAAGATTTACAACTTGACTAGGTATAGAACTAAATCTAGCAACAAACTGAAGAACAGTATTAAAATAGTTATGTGAATTAATTGAATTTATATGTTAGCTTAAATTTAAAGATTAAAAGATTGAAGAGGCATTAAGACTGATAAATGATGTTTTGAGTATCTAACCTTTGAATTCAAAAGCATTAACGCTGAGAGGTTCTTCTAATTATAAAAACTTTAGGATAAATATTTTTAAAAATTTATTTGTACGATCAGGCATTAGAGGATTTAAATTAGGCTGCTCAATTAGAACCAGAAAATGAAAACATACTTTACCTAAGAGGTTAAGAAATTACTTAATTATTTTAAGCAACTGGACTTTTTAGAAAGAACATGTTAAATGAATCTTTAAATGAATGTGAAAACGTTTTAAAGATTAATCCTAATTATTCTATGGCCATAATGCGAATAGGTAAAGAATTATTATCATGTAGGAAGTATAAAAGGAGCTATGGGAAATTCCAGTGAAGCACTGTAGTATTATAATAAAGCAATAGAAATTGATGAGAATTGTTGTTATGCATATATTAACAGAGGTTAGTAAACTATTTTATTGAAAGGAGTGCTATACGATCAAATGGGAAAAAAAGATGAGGCGCTCCTTGATTATAACAAAGCCATACAATTAGATCCAAATGATGCAAAGTCTTATTGCAATAGGGGTAATTAATTTATTCTATTTTGAGGAATTCTATACAAAGAGATTGGACATATTGATTAGGCACTTTTAGATTATAGCAAGGCTATTCAACTAGATCCTAATGATGCTAACTCTTATAATACAAGGGGTAATAAACATGCTTAATTGTGTAGGCGTTCTATATAAAGAGATGAGAAGTAAAGAACAGGCACTTTTTGATTTTAATTAGGCTATTAAGTTGGATCCTACTGATTCTAATGCTTATAATAACAGAGGTAATTGTTATATAATATTTAATAGGGAATCTATATCAGGAAAATAATTAAAATGACTAAGCACTTTCTGATTATCTTGAAGCACTAAAATTGTAACCTGATCATCCTCTCATACTTGCCAACTTAGGAGATCTTTATTATTCAGTTTAAAATTACACGCTTTCCGCCGATTATTATAGGAGAGCACTTATTTCTTTGGATTCAATTATCCCCTAAAAGGGCATTAATTGGAGCTTATCTGCTGGGAACATTTAGTTCATTAAAAGAAAAATCACAGTTCTTTTAGAAATTTAAAATGATATCGCCGAATTGAGAAAAGAACTTTAAACACTAACTACTCAATTTGAATAGGAACAATCTACTTTAATTGAAGTTGAAGACAATATAAATACGATTGAGAGAAAACTGACAAAATAATTGAAACCATTAAAAGAATCATCAAAGCATTCTGAAAATCAGTAAGAGCTTGATTACTTGTAATTGACATAAGCGGATTTAAGATAACTAAAGCAGTATTTATCTTAACTACATTAAACAATATTGAAATAACACGATAGAATTACAAATTTAGAGGAAGATAATATTAAGTTGAAATAACAAGATGGATATCAAATATAGCAATCTTTGCTGTAATTGTAAAATGGTGAAAATAAACATTAATTTATATATTACAAAGCATTGTTTTGGAAATTATATTATTACTTGTCGGCAATGATGCAGATATCTACAGAATTATATTAAGCAAACAGAGATGCTATGATAGAAAGCTAATCTGAAAAAGTACTAGATATAGTTCAAAAGGTGTTCAATGTAGGCTCTAAGGTTTTAGGATTTATGCCAATAGGCGGAGAAGCATTTTAACTTATAAATGAAGCGCTAGATTATACAATTGAATAAAAAAAATAAAATAAATTTAAGGACAGACTTAATAAATTAACTAATATCTTAAAATGTTATAATATTATTAGCCCTGTAGAATTAGAAAACGAAGTAAAGGTAGCAGCAATTGAACTTGCGAAGAAACAATAAATTGACCTAAATGCTAGAAAGTATTAACAATTCGATGAATTTGTAAGTAAATTGAGCAAATCAGAAAAACCAGAAGATGAAAAGGACGTGCATTGGAAAAACGGCACAAATGATGCTTTGGTTATTTTAAAATATTTAGAAGATTAGTCAGAAACCATATTAGAGATGCATGATAAAAAGCTAAGAGAAATATTTGAATATGCTGTTGAGAAAAATACAAAAGCATAAAGTCAAGTTTTACAACAATAAAATGCAAAACCAATTTCATAAGTTGTTACAGTATCACGTTGCTGTATCATTTATTGAATTTATCAAATTTGTTTGTTTATCATTTGTAAATAAAGTTTGTTAATGAAAATTCTTCTACCATCATTGATTTTTAAGATTAAGTAATTTGACGGTGGATTTTAAAATCCTTTTATATGAAAAATATATAGTACTTTTCTTATTTAAGTTTTTAATTCAAATAAGGGAGTGTGGTCATTACAATAGTCTTTTATAAACACAAGGATTGTTTCCTTTGTTATTCATTTCAAGCTAATTTCTCCTTTATCATAGGAAAAGCAATACCCATAAGCTAGATTCAGTAATTTGGAGGAGCGAACAGTAATATTTATTTGATATAATAACACTATGTTTATTTAAATTAACCTCCAAAGGGAGTGATTTATGGTAAGTAAGAAATTTAACATTTATGTTACTCTGCTTTAAATATTTTAGCAACTTTGTACTTGAATGGGTGAGGGAATTATTAATGTTATATCATAGTCTATCCCTTATAATATTTTTTTTGTACTTTTTTAATAGATTATATAAAATAAGTGGAAACAATTATATAATTAGTACATGGTATTACTCTTTATATTTAATTATTTTATATATTAAGACATTTATTTTCTTCTCATTAAAAATGTATAACTGGAATTAAGACTTTCAAATTTACTAACATACATTAAGGGAGATAGAATAATTATATTATATATTTTTAAATAATTTCTGATTTTAACTCTGAATCTCCATTCGATTATAATGGAAAATAGAATTATCACCTAAAAAATTGATAGATTATAGGAAATTAAATTCAAAATTTTTACTCACTTGATTAATTGTTCTACAAAACGAATTTTATGCATATAAATATGATATCAAAGTCATTTCTTATTAAACATATAATTTACTTAAAATTCTAGCAGCATCAAATGGTAAAAAATGGAATCAAATCTCCAATACTTTAAAGGAAAAACAAATGAACAGTGCAAGGAGAGATATTGTAGTAATCAATAAAATTTATTTCTTAGGTAAACAGTTTTTTGCAAAGGCTCACTAATTCAAAAAGTTGAAATGATAAGAAAAATAAGTAAGGATATTCACACCAAAAATTTTCGATACAGTTAATTCTTTACATCTATTAATATGTATCCGTTTAAAAAATGAAGATGAATTATTTACTAAAATCATAGTCTTGGGTTCCAAATGGTCTCTGATCGCTTAGAACTAAAAGGAAGAACGGTAAATCTTTTAAATATTTTCCAACAAAACTAGGACAAAAATCAAGTCAATTCTTGCATCCTATTCCTCTAACTAGCTAGGTAAAACCTATAATTATACTCAACTAATACCATAACAACTCAAAGAACCTATATTAATAGCCAAGTTTAAATTTAAAAGTTAAATTTAGAATATTAAGAAAATGAATAAAGTAAGTTATATTAATCCCCTAGGGATAGATCATCATTTTGAGTTGAATCTGATAATGTTTATTCTAATGTTGATATGCTTGCAAAATATAATATTTATTATATTTTTTATTTCTAAAATTTTGAATTATTATAGTATCTATATTTATTATATAATTAAAGCTTATTAGTATATTTGTATATAAAATAGAGTTCATATCAAATTACCCACAATTTTAAAGAGGATCAAAAAAAATCACACGTTGATTGAATTTTTCTATTAATGAATAGTCATACAATTTGTAGTTTTGTTCTTAATACAAGTATTAATCATCACTATTTTAATTTTTGAAATTTGGTGATGAGTGCGAGGTTGTAAATTGTAAATATAAGTAAATAATTATTTTCAATTTGTAAAATTGTTAATTTATATTTAGAAGGAAAAGGATATTGAAAAATATATTTAAAAAATTTTATTATTTGATAAATTGTATAGATAACTTTAGTGATATCATAATTAGTAAAGTATCATCCTGATCAATTCTATTCTAGCATGCTTTTAACTGTAGTAAAATGATATTTTGAGAAATAGTATTGAGATGATAAATTAGGATAATATTCACAATAAAGTTAAAAATAGTTAATCCAGGTGTTGAAATAGATTTAACTCGCATAATCTATCTAAAGTCATATTATTATTTATAAATTATTGTGAGATGTTTAGTTGATAATTTTGCAAAAGGATTAATTTTAAAAATGAAGTCTAGTTGAATACTATTTTGAAAGGGAGAGAAACAAACCATTTCATTTATTTTAAGGGCCGCTTATTAATCAGCAAATGCAACAGTTACATTTACTAATATTTACAATTCTTTTGCATAATCATTATTTTCTTTAAAATGAATAAATTGATACTAGAATTACTTAATTAATTAAATTAATGAGAAAGTGATCTATTTGAATTTTATTATTTTAAGAAAAATTATATTTATGTGATTCGTTCAAACCCAAAATAAGAAATTAAATGGCATTATTTCTAATATTTATCCTTTAGGAGTTGAATTTTAAATTACTACATCTAATTTGTTTTGGCTAGAATGTTCTTTTAGGATAATAATAAATTTGCTTTGATTTAATTTACTCAAAAATTTAACGTCATTAAAGAATATATATCCAAATGTTGAGTGTCTTTGTTCAAGTTTGATTAAGGAACTTATTCCAAAATTACTTGTTGTGTCTTAGTTAATTTTATAATACTCCTTGATAGTTAGTTGTTTAAATTCAGGAATTTATCTTAAGTTGTAGGATAGTATATAAGGCTAAAATAATTATTTGAATAGGGATGAAAACCATAACAAAGTGAATTTGCTTATAACATGAAATATTTATATTATAATATAATCATTTAAAAATTGTATATTAGTATATAAAATAACAAAATGAGTGGTTAAGTATGTGATCCTGATAAGGGGTGTTGGCTTCTGAGTAATTGTGAATGGAATGGTATCATTTACACCTGTGTACATGATCCAATATTGGAATTAACACTCTATACAGGTTTTGTTTATTCTTTAATACCAATATTTTTGGGGCTTGGTATTTTAGGAGGCTTAGGAACAGGAATGGTTAAAAGACCAATTTTAAATCTTATGTTAAATTATCCTGCTAGTATTGCTACTTAAGTTGGTGATTGTTTTTTATTTGTAACAACAACATTGAATTCTTTGTTATTAATTTTTGAAAAGTATCTTTAATTATGATATGAAGACATCCAGATCATCCAGAATTACCACTCATTAACTTTGAAATTAGTATAATCTTTAATTAAACTATTCCTTTGGCCTGGAGTGTTGGGGCGTTCCTTTAATAAAGAATACCTTAATTTGCTATATATCTCTTTTAACTTTGTTTTATGCTCGGAGCAATACCATTTTTATGGAAATTCAGTAATTATAACTAATATTTCAGCTCATAGCTAAAAGTAATTAGAAATAGATAAGAGAGACAAAAAAGTGTTAGTGATCGAGAAAATAAAAACTAAAGAAGATATGAAAAATGAGACAAGTTTAAATGCTAAAGAATTATAACAATATGAAAAATTCTATATTCTCAATCATAAGAAAATACAGATAAAAAATCTGTGTTTCATTTTTGGTTCTTTTATAGTTAATCAAACTATTGTTCTTATGAGATCAAACAAATTTAATAATTCTATTATTGGGATAGATGCTTGCACTCTTGAGAATAACTTGATCCTTATTTTGATTTTGTGTGCCAATTGCATCTATACAATCTTAGTTTATTGGAATAAAAGAAATGAAGAATTTTATAAAGACTTAGTATAATATAGACCAGATTATAGGTACTTTACGCCAAAAAAAACATTTTGGTTTTATTATCTAGGAGGTTGTTTGGCAGGATTTAGCACAGGTTTCATAGGGATGGGAGGTGGACTAATAATGGTTTCTATACTTCTACTTAAAAAGATCATAGCCAGAGAAGCAGCTGCTACTGCTGGCTTTGGAACTTTTATGATAGCCCTCAATAGTTTAATCTAATTGTTTTTATAGAAAACCATAACTACAGGCCAGATGTTTACATTTTTTGGGTTAGGAGTATATTTCTCAAATATTATTAGATAATTGGATTGGTAGTTATCACTAAACCTGCTTATATTTTAATGAATAAGTATAAAGTTGGATATGTTGTGTTGATTGTTGATATCATATCAGTGACCAATAATGTCCTTGCAATTGTAGCCTTAATTATAATAAATTCTACACTTTATGGATTTGACAAGATGTTAAATTATCATGAGCATTGCTGAAACTTGATTAATAGAATTAATTTATCATTTTTTCAAGTTAGTTATTAATATTTGATTTCGCTTATGACTGTGTTTGTCCTTATTAATAATCATTTCTCTAGAGTATTGACTTTCTTTAAAATTATCTTAATGTAGAAATTTTACAAAATTGCAAAACAAGAAGAATCTTCAAGAGGTTTCAATTACCTAAATAGAGCAGAATACAAAAAATTGAAGAATATTTAATCATTTTAATTATGATATAAAATATAAACAATTATTATGAAAAACTAAATACCTGAAAAGGCCTCCATAAATATAAGATGCGATAAATGTAATCGGAAAAACGACCTCATTGCTGATTGTTGTGTTGTGACTTCGCAAGCACAAATTCAAATCTGTTGTCATCGATGTCTCAAAATCTTACAAAAATAACAAAACTTAAGTGTCGAATAAATAAATGACATTTTGTCAGAATGCGAATTAATAAAAGCATTCATTAAACGCAATAATTTAGTTGAGCTGTTATCAAATTCAATTTTTGCAAAAACTTTAGAAATATCTGATCCTCTAAAAGATTTACTTAAAAATTCAAATGAATTCTAAATTAGCAGCAATTTAAGTGGGATAGAATTTAAAAATTATTGTAAATAGAGAACACTTTATAAATTGTTATTAGAAGATCATGCACTTAAAGATTCAATTGAAAAAGCTTTTTAAAATTGTAAAAACATTATCAGATAATACTTTTATGATGAAGAAAGCACTCCCTTTTTCACTATTAAAATTCCATAAAGCAAATATAGCATTTTATATTTTAAGGTGCTTTCAAATTACTTTTTAATTTTAAAATATTATACTCAATTAGAATATTTATCTCAAATTGATTAAGAAGTAGCAGAAAATTCAGTAATGGATTAATATGAACCAAATATTTATGTTTCGATTTATGACTTAAATAGCAAAACAAATATTTATGAAGAGCTGTTTATTCAAAAGTTAAACTTACAATTTTTTGATGAGGAATCAATTAAATCATACTTATACGAGTCAAATCAAATTATCTATATGTATATAAATGATGAGTATTATGAAATTCACTTATCTCCTAAATAACCTCCGAAATAGATTAATAATATAATGTTTGAAGTAATTTGTGACAACCTTATATATTTGGGTTTGGACACTTTGGTTAAATTTGACCCTATCGGATTTGAAATTATTTAATAAAAAGAGATTTTTGAGAGAAATTGGTAGAATAATCAATTTTTGATTTCTTATGACAAAAAAATACATTCATTTATAATGTATTCTTGCCCACGTTCATAAGAAAATGAAATATTCGAAATTATTCAACTCGATTCTTTAAGATGCACTAAAAGAATAATATTCGCTAATTATGATCGATATGATTACAACAGCTTTTCGTATCATAATTCTTTCAACTATTTAATTAGTATTAGTACTGCTGTACTTTTTCGTGAATCTCATGAAAAAAAACGAGCATTTTTGATACTCTTTAATATTTAACGAAACAAAATAATTAGAAAAATTCCAATAGTTTAAAATTATAGGTGGCTGAAGAAAATGGATTTTTTGAGAAATCATAGTATAATATGTTTAAATTATAAATTTGATTATTTGGAGTTATTTTAAATTTCAACTGGGAGAAATATTCTTTAATTTGAATAATTGAAAATCTACCCAATAATGCAAAACGAACAGCTTGCAGTCTGTATAAAACAAGACGATGTAAAACTATTTGAATTAGCCTAATGATATTAAGTTATAAAAAAAATATTAAATTAATTTTAATCATCTATTACTTTTAATAATGGTGTTAAGTATGAAAGATTTTGATTATTTAGGAATATTATTTCATATTCTAGTTTTAATAATGGAATATATACTGGAATATTTCTTTAATAGCAAAATATGGCCATTAAATCTCAGTTATTCTGTCTTTAATATTAAAATTATATATGAATAAGAAAAGTACAAGAAAAAATAAATATATCAATCATTATATTTAAATTGGAGTATTACATGAATGAAATACAAGTCTCTGAAGGGGATTTTTATAATAATTATTTTATTCTTGCAATTGCTTTTTATGTTATAATTTTGCATAATTAATTCTAGCCTTGTTGATAGATTCTGAGACATCAATTACTAGATTAATAATTAATAATAATGAAATCATAGAAATATGAATCCATCCAAATAGCATTTAATAATCGTAACTAAAATCAAAAGTGTAAATTAAGAGAGATCCTGTAATTAGCATAAAAAAGAATTCTCTATATTTTAACTTTGTTAAATCATAAGGTGATTGCAAAGGTGCAAACTTAATCAAGTATATTAAATAAAAGAAAGACTGCATTGATAATAATAATGATTGCACTTGTGGATAGTCAATAAACTTCACTATTATAAAAATATAGATAATGATTCTGTAAATGAGGAATGATTTACAATTAGCTGCCCAAAATTCCATCTTAGAATCCTTTAAAAAATATTTCCACTTTTGTTTATCTTTGATTAGTGTACATGTGATTGACATTAAGCATAAGCTTGTAACAGAAATAAACAATAAACTAATTATGGCATTAATACTATTGAATATTTAAAAGGGAGAATTAAAGTTATAATCTGGAAATTACAAAAATGAACTAAATACAAATTGATGAAGGATTGCTTGATAAACATTAAAAATTCCTAATGAAAAATATTCATTCTTGAACTTTAAAGCTGACTATTACACTTTCCTTTGAAATAAAATGATAATTTTTAGAATCTTTCCATTTTATTTGAATCTTTTAGATAAATTTTAGAATATTGTATTTAATTAATTTGAGGATGCAATGCAACAAGCAAAAAAGATAAAAATGGATGTAATGAGTGAGAAATAACAACTTTTAGCATTCATCAAAAAGAATTAATTCAAAGAGCTTGTTTAGATCTACTTTTTATTTATTTTCTATTAAAAGGGTAAAGTTCCTCCGTTCATTTTAATAAATAATTCATTTATTTTTAATTGATCTAGGATCGGTTAAAGTGAAACTTTAGTGTAAGTATTTAAGAATTCAATTAAATGGGGTGGAAATTGATATTACATATATCTTAGATAAGACAATGATTACAAAAGGTCTAAGAGATTGACAAACATTGCAACATTCCCTGTAACAATGGCTAAACCTGAAATGGCTGTCAGGGAATACATAGTAGCTTCATTTAACTTAACAACAGATTAAAGCTTTTATTAAGTATCTTCTGTTAATATAAAAGGGTTTCCAAGGCTAATTTTCATCTCATATTTTTATAAAGTTAGATCAAACTCATTCAAGATAGTTGATTTACTTATTTTAATTTCAAATATAGGATCCTACATAGGTTACTTGAATTCAACATAAATATGATAAACAGGGTAATTAAGTATTGTTGATAGATTCTAAATTGATTAAATAGTCAAGGCATAATTAGTTAGAGGGGTAATAGTAAACTAAGCTAGATCTTCAAGTGTTAAATCGATTTCTAATTTTACTTATTAGGAGAACGTGAGTTCAACTATTTGTGTTGAATTTACTTTTTCGGAGAGTACTTTTAAAAAGAATTAAGGAGAATTGATGAATGTGCATTAACTTAATTATCCTTCAGTATTTTAACATTGATAAGAATCTTCAATTACACAATTTTGAGAGCATCCATCACCTCCCAATTAGTTTCCATCATCACATATTTCGAATTCAGTATTTAATTCTCCATTACCACATTAATTAATACAAACATTATCAATTAGTAAGTAATTAATTTCACATCTTATTTCGCTTAATTAGAAAAGCGAAGGTACTAGCTCTTCGATATAATTTATAACATCCTTAATAACACATTTATGAGTTTGATTATCCAATTAAAATTAATTGTTGTCACATTCTCTGCATTTATTGAATTATTCACATTCAATGCAACCTTATGAACATTGATATTAGCATTAATAGCAACCATCATATGGTATGTCGTTTCCATCTTCACACTGTTCAAGACCAGGTATGATGAAGCCATCACCACAAATAGGTAGGCAAATGGAATTACTTAATTGAAAATATTCCTCACAAATGATGCAAACATTTTCTATTTAACAATGCTTGCAATAATCAAGACAAGCAATTTCGATTGGATCTACAACAACAATGCTTGGTTCTTCCATTTCAGTACATACCCCAAATGAACAGGTTAGACATTAAGGAACACATGAATGCTTACAAATATGGCATTTGTCATATGGCTCCATATTTGCATCATCACATTCTTCAGGATCAACAATAATCATATCTCCACAAATAGGTTTACATTTAAATTATTCTCTTAAGTATCCTTATTTACAAAGTTCGCATATTCCCTTTGTACATATTAAACACCCACTTCCACAATTTTATTAGCAATTTAAACAACCTGTAGAGACAACTTAATAAATGTCTATGTATTCACATTCTTCATCACCTACTTTTATCCCATCTCCACACTACTCTTCACATTTATTATTTCTTAATTAATATCCATATTCACATTAGAGACATTAATTATATTCACATTGCAAACACTTACTATCACACTTAAACTTGCATTGATTACAAGAATGATTAACTTCTGAAAGTGCATCTTCACATTATTCATAACCTACTATCAGAGAATCACCGCAGATAGGTAAACACTATTTAGTTCGATGTAAATATCTAAATCCTGCTTAGCATTTTAAACATACACCATTTTAACAAGCAATGCAGTGTTCAGAACATCCAAAAAGACATTGATTACAGAGATCAAATGGATTGTTATTTTTGTCATCACATTACTCATACTCTCTATTGATAATTCCATCTCCACAAATATATTGGCAATGATTGAAAGCATTGAGATACCATCCGTTATTTTCATTACATTTGAGGCATTATCCATTTTCACAATAAATACAATGAATATCACATACAATCCTACAAAGATGACATCCATCTAATGCATTATTATTACCATCATCGCATTATTCATCTCCTTAAATCATCTTGTCTCCACATGTTGCTATACACTGATAAGTACCTTATTTATAAGTAAATCCATCTTTGCATTAATAACACTTACCTTGATGACAATTCTAGCATTCATCCTAACATTTGTATTTACATTGATCACACCCATCGAATGGATTGCTATTTCCATCATCACAATCTTCTCCATTTACAATCAATTTATCTCCACATATTGGTACACACTCTAAATTATATCCATCATCAAAAAATCCAACCAGACATTAGCACTTAAATTTACTTATTGATCTATAGAAATCAGGATTACAAGAATAACATTAATCATAATTTGGTCCAAAACAACTTTCACAATATCGGTTGCATTCTTAATTACTAAATAAATTATTACTTAGACATTAATTGGTGGATAAATATTGAGATGGATAACAAATGCACTCACCTTAATCCAGAAAGAATTATAAACTATCTGAGAATTCACATCTTGTACAAACTGATTCACTTTCACATTCAAGACATCCTATTTAATTACATGCTTCACAAGAGTGGATTTAAGATACACTATCAAATTTGAGGTATTAATCTGGTCGGCAATAATGAGTTAAATTATATCCAGAATATGATCCACAATCTGATATTGTTGGTCCTGTGCAAGAAGAACAAAAAGGTACACACTATACATATTGATAATTCATACATAATTGACCACAACAAAATATTCTGAAACGTACATAAATGCCTCATCCAGATTTGTATTTGTTGTATCAGCTGATAATATGATATCTAATTGATTTGAGGTATGAGTAAATTGATATTAATGAAAAACAGTAGTCTCAACTCCATCGCCTCCAACTAAATTTTTTCCCCCATTGTTTGGTTTGTTTATTTAACCAGATTAATAAGAGTCCAATTTATATTGAAACCAACCTACATTTTCATCTCCATATGTAAAATTTATTCTAAAACTCACTTAATAATGAGACTTTAAGTTTGTAAATGTTTTTTAAAATTAACCCTAACTCCAAACTAAAACTCCTCCTAAAACTGATTTTTCAGGGACAAAAGAATAAATGGCTCCAGTAAAAGATGGTTATATATTGTTATTTAAATCTGTGAAATTATCAACTACTTTAGAAACTTCTTCAAAAGTAGTGTTCATGTCATAAAATGCTTTTATTAAATATCTGCTATCTAAAATTAACAATATTTCATACTATCTATAAGATCTTCATAATCTTCACAAACACCGTTGTTAAATTATGAGTGTATAGGACACGCCTTCACACATGTTCCTCTAAATAATTGAAAACTAACTTAACAAATTTAGCATTTAGAAAAAGATTCACACTTTGTACAATTACTTTAACACAATCCATAATCAATAGTTAAATTATTGAAACTCCAAAATTCACTATCAAGTGTTTAAATAGCCTAAAATTTAATAACAGGAGTCGTTGTGTAAGTTTTTAAAACAGTTTCAATTCTCAAAAAATCATAATTCATAGATGAACAACTTAAGCTTTTAAATTTATTTAGCCTTCCATTGAATATAGTGTAATTGCCTATAGTCTTCTCTATTCTCATTTGAGAATATTAATCTACTGTTATCATTAATACAGAAGTTGGCTACCATCCAAAAAAGTGGAAGGATACTCTAATCCTTAGGTAGACTAAACCTTCATTTTTTGGCAATTTCAATTACATAGATGAACTATATGTTAATTGTCCAACTTAATTTTATCCAGAACAAGTAAATATATTATTTGAATTGCTAACATGAAATGGATCTGGTTCATATATCCATGGCTCGTAAGCTAATTAATCTCCATTACTAATATTAGAATTTTCAAAATATTTAATCATGGATTAAATTCCTATAGTTATTATTTTAATTACTTGGGTCAAATTAACAATAATTTGAGCTGTCTGTCATGTAATAGTCTCTAGGGCATTCTTCTACACAACCAATCAACCTGTGGGTATATTTATTAGCTTCATCGCATAAGCAAACACCTCCTTGTGGTGATCCCTAGTAACAGGTAAGACAGTTATCCTTCGTGTCTCCGTTACATGAGGCACATGAAATATGGCAAGAATTAGCATAAATTAAAATGTTTCTTAAACCAATACGCATTTCTTCATGTTCAAATTACAAACAATAAGAAATTGTAAAGATAGGAGTTTAATGGTTTATTTTATCAGAAATAAAGGTCTTAATTTCTATACTTCTATTATTTAAAGTACAATTGTATGAGCAATATTATTTACACACTTTATAGTATTGTTTTAAAGAGCCTTCATTATAAAGCCTTTCAAATATCTGCTGCGTTGATCCTGATGAATCCATTATTCGAATTTAAAAAGCAGAATCATTTCCACTTTTTGATCGAATATATATAATATCTGTGATTATTCTAAGTTAATAGTGAGGGTAATAAAATTCTTTTTAAAGTCTACTTTTAGTATCAGATAATCTCATAAATTCTAAATCATTTGTCAAACATTGCTTCTTTTGTGTTGCTTCATTATTTTAATTCGAACATTTCCAATATGAATCCCAACTGTCTTATTCTACTATTTATTCTTAATAGAAGTCACTCTAGATTAATATCCATTCTGAATTAACCACCTGAATTAAGGTAAAGAAGAAAAAAAGCATTTATTAATTTAATTTTATATGTTTTTAAATGCAGTTATATGATATATTGAAAATTAATGTATGTAGAATTTACAAATTGTAGCGTTTCTGAAATATATATTTTAAAAACTGAATAGTAGTATTATTGTAGATGTAGTGATTTATATTGATTCCTATTTTCAAATCATTATTTAAAAAGAATTGGGTATAACAATCAATTCTTAAGGGATTGAAAATGTAATGTTGAGAACTCACTCAAACACAAGATAATTCAATATCACAAATAATCTAAATAAATATAAACAAAAATAAATATATCTAGAGGTCAAAATCAAAATGGAATCCTAGTTTAAAAAGATCTACAAAGAATCATAATTTTTTGGATATATATATGGTAAACTAAGTTTATTCAGAATCTTTTATTCCTAAAAATATTTAGTATATAGATATTTCAAAACAAGCTAAGGATGTAGGACTTTTTGCAATTATTAAAACAAAGGCAATAATTCATTATTATATTTATATCTGATTTATTGTGATCAATACTAATTACTATAATCATTCTAATAATAGATCTAGTTAGAATGACAAATATTATTCATTGTATATTTATTTTAATTACATATATATTTAATATAAACTAATAAGGATTCATCTATGAGCTAAAATTAGATTCTTATTTATAAGTTTAACTTCCTTATTTTTTTAGCTTGATTGATATTCAAATGATTAGAGGTTGGTCACAGAATAATGTATTCGTTAAATTTGATTTATGCTTCTCTTAAGATTAAATTTGTTGAATCAAATTCAAAAAAATCCCCTATTTTATAATATTTTTTACATTTCCTTCAATTTCAGTATATCGTAGTTTTTGAGATTTAAGTTTATTAAATTTCTTCCAATTTATGGTGAAGATGGGATGTTCCTTTTATCATTTGATAATTTTACTTCAAATTGATTTAGATCTGATTATCAAAACTTTATAATCAAACTATATTTAGGAAATAATACTTGCCTGATAATCCTGCACTAAATATATGAAAAAATGAAAATTTTTAAAAAAAACTTCCAATTTTATTCATTTTATTTTGAAATTACCTAATAATACATTTGTTATTAGATGAGCAGATAAATTAATACTAATAATGTTGTGTGTAATAGAAGGCTGAGCATATTATTTTATTTACTCATTAAATTGAAATATTATATATAACTACTAAATTTATAAATAATATCATATAAACATCTAATCATTTTTTTATTCAAATAATGGGATTAAATCAATTCTTAAATTTGAAAAGATAGTTGAATTTGATATAATAGTTTATTTTGCTTATATTAACCGGCTTGTGGCTATTGCTTTATAACATGTAATTGGATTTAGTTTCATTCTGATACTTGACCAAGAAAAATTGTTAGCTAAAAAGGATTGTGAGAATTATTCAACAGATTTGCGATTTTTTAATTACTTCTATAAATTTAATTAGGTCTTAGATAATTTAAATTGTTATAAGAAGGGATTTTTTGAGGCTTCCGCAAGGGTATAATATTCTTGGAAACATTATACTACAAATCCTGACTTTATATCCAATAAATGTAAAGAACAATCAGAGTTTTTGGCAATTAAAAATTCTGAATCTTACGAGAATGATAGAGAATGCATTAAATCTAGATTATTTTTAATTATTTTTATTTCTCCTTTTATTAAATAATAGAAGAATATGGTATTATTTTTATTAACCATAGCTAATATTTAACTATCAGCAGAGAAAGTAGTTGCCCAAACAACCCCTAAATTGGCCTCTAATATTTGAACTTACTCTCCTGAATCTAGGCTCCATTATCTAATAGTGTTGTCATTTGATGTAGACACCAAAAACTTTCCTTCAGGAGTAAAAATCACTTATTGTATTGCCTCCTTATGACCTCTTAATACATTTTCTTAATTTGTATCTTTTACAATCCAAATACGTATTGTAGTATCGCTACTTCCAGAGGCTAATCTTAAACCATCATTAGAGAATCGAAGAGACCATATTGTAGCTGAATGAGCAATTAGTATCTAAACATCTATTTATGATTTAAGATTCCACAATCTAATTTTCTTGTCTCTTCCTGCAGATGCCATAGTTTGACAATCAGCAGAAAAGGCAATTACTTCTACTTAATCAGAATGTCCTATTAATTTTTATCTTTCTTTTTCAGATTTCAGGTCCCATAATCGTATTGAGTAATCTATACAAGCTAATGCCAGTAATTACTAATCAGGAGATTAAGCTACTGAATATATCCACATAGTATCACCATTTATTTATTACATTTCTTTAATCGATTTGGTATTCCATAATAATATGGAGTTGTCTTCACTAGCTGATACCAATGCTTCTCCATTTGGGGAAAAGACAATAGAATATACACATCCAGTATGTCCATCTATTTTCTACATTTCCGTACCAGTTGTTATGTCCCAAATTCTAATTGAATGGTCGCTACTTCCAGATGCAAGAACTTTTCCATCTGGATAAAATGCTATTGATTATACTGCATCTGTATGACCTTCTAACTTCATTATATCTTGTCCTGAAACTGCATCCCATAATTATATGATATAATCTCCTCCAGCTGATGCCAACATCTGTCCATTTGGAGAAAAGATCACACATTATAATGAATCATTATGTTCATTTAATTCTAATATTTCCTCTCCTAATTTTGGATCCCATATTTTAACCAAAGAATCGCCACTTGCAGAAGCTAATCTAGAGCCATCACAAGAAAAGGCGACTGACTATACAGATTCACTGTGTCCTAATAATTTAGTAATTACTTTTCCTGTTTTAATATGCCATAATATAATCGATTGGTCTTCACTTCCAGATGCTAATATATCTTCTTTCGGTGAAAAAGCAACTGAGCACACCCAATTAAGATGTCCTTCTAATTTTTGGATTTCTTTTCCTGATTCCACATCCCATAATCTAACAGATGTATCACTGCTACCTGAAGCTATCAATTATCCTTTTGGACAAAATGCAATTGATTATACCCATCCAAAATGACCATCTAATCTACATAATTCTTTCCCAGATTTCAAATCCCAAATTCTAATTGATTAATCTTGACCACCACCAGAAGCAAAGACTAATCCATCTGGAGAGAATGCAACAGAAGTGATTAATCCAAGATGACCTTCTAGCATGTTCATTTCCCTTCCAGATTTTGTATCCCAAAGTCTTATTGATTAATCATCACTAGCTGATCCTAAGATTGAACCATCTGGGGAATAAGCAACACTGTAAACCGTTTTTGTATGTCCTTCCAATCTCTATATATTCTTTCCTGACTTTACATCCCAGATTCTAATAGTTGTATCGTTACTCGCAGATGCTAAAAACTATCCATCAATCGAAAAGGCAACAGACCATATCCCATCTTCATGATCCATCAATTTTTTTAATTCCTTTCCACTTTTAATATCCCATAATATTATTAATTTATCAAAACCTCCAGATGCTAATAGTTGACCATCAGGTGGAAATGCAACTGAATGAACAGGCGCTGAATGTCCTTCTAATTTTCTGATTTCTAAACATTACTTTAGATCCCATATTCTTATAGTTAAATCATCGCTGCAAGATGCCAATAAATGACCCACTTATGAAAAGGTTACTGACCATATCCAGCCATCATGTCCATTTAACTTCTTAATTTATTGACCTGAAATAGGATCCCATAAACGGATAGATTTATCATTACTTGCAGAGGCAATCATTTAACCATCTGGTGAAAATTACACCGAGCGTACTTAATCTGTGTGCCCTTCCAATTTCAATATTAAATATCCAAAACTTACATCCCATAGTCTCACTGTATTATCACTGCTCCCAGAGGCTATAACTAAACCATCTGGAGAATAGGCAATTGACCTAACCCAACCGGTGTGTCCTGATAATTTCAAAAACTCTTTTCCTGATTTTGTATCCCATACTCTTACAGTATAATCATTACTAGCGGAAGCCAATGTTTATCCATCTGGAGAGAAGGCTACTGATGAAACTGAATCAGAATGACCTTTTAGTGTTGGTAGTTCATTCGAATTGATATCAATCCATCTACAGTTTTATAATTAAGCCCTGTTGAAATTACATTAACTAATATTTACATTCTTCATTTTAGATTCAATTAATTTAGTGCTATAAAATGAGGCACCATTGAGATTGGCATTTTTTATTTAAATGTGTCCTAAATCTAAATAGTTAAACACCTCTCCTATTTAATTAAGTATAAATAAAGAATTCCCTGCCTCTTGTTCGATTTATTCTAAGCAGGATAATTTTACTATTGCCATTAGAACCTCTTTTAATCTTTAATTTAAACTAATTTCAGACTTTAAAAAGTGAATCATTCCTTAATATTATTCTTCTGAAAAATTGAGAGTGTTAAACTTGCTCTCTTATATTGTCCTCACAGTTAATTCAATCAATTTTTATACATTCTCTTTGCCAATACTGCTAAACTCTTTGTTCAAGTTAATTAATTTATTTTTGTCTTATTAATTTCGCAATTTATCATTGATATATACATTTAGTTCTTCTAGATTCAGAGTAGGCAGTCTATATAGGAAATCAAGAATGTATTTAGATACATAAAATTCTTAAATGGATTTATGAATAAAGGAGATAGTATTACCTTTCTGATTAAGAAGTGCACATTTTCTTAGTAGATATTTTTATTCTGCTATCATTCCTTGTTGGCCAAAGTATTTATCAATCCATTCATATTGTGGAGTTCTTCCGTCATTTGAAAATTCTACATAACTCTTCTTATTATATTAGGCTTGAGTTAGCTACCTTTCTGTTAATTCTAACGCAAGGGACTATGAAAAATTTAATAGATCTGTAAAGAAGATTTCCTAATCAATTGCTTTGCCAATCATTTTTAGTTTTTGCACTTATTAATTGTGATAGTAATCAATGAAAGCTTGATAAAAGGCGTATGGTGTATAATTCTAATTCTTTAAAGCTTATTTGATTAATTGTGCTTCTTATCCAAAATCAAAGGATTAATCATTAATCACTAAGAGTTTTTTCTCAATTTTAATTTAACTCAAAGGAGAATAATTTTAAAAGATTGATTTCATTTCCAATTGTTTCCAGTGATTCAATGCACACAACTATTCAACTTCAATATCGAATACTTAATCTAAGTTTTGGGAGTATTTCTTAATCAAATATTATTATTCTTTTAAGTTAACAAAACTTTTTATGAAATTACTTTTAACTTAATTGATATCTGAGGTTGCAGATGTCAATTTAGGAAAGATTTAAGCGACTATTTCAAGCATAAATGGCATTTACACAATACTTCTAATATTAATTTCATCCATAATCTCTATATATCGATTGGCACTCCAGATATCTGATAGTTCTTTCTATAAACTTTAGAGCAACTCTTCATGATGGTCTTATCTTATTTCTATTTTAGGATTTTATGTGATTGAATTTATAATTGAAGTAATTTGATTCCTATTTAAAAATAAATTCATAAAGTTTTTGCCTTCCAGACTCTTTGATACAATCATTTCATTAATTGGCAACCATATTTTTTCAAATTCTTCAAAGTTAAACAGTCTTCGTTCACTTTATATGCAATATTCATAAAATGTGAGGATTTTTTATTTAACTAATTAAAGTACAAAACTTTTAAAGTATTGATTTTGTTATAAAGATGAAAATGATTACAATTCCACTTCCTTCAATTTTCCATTGCCTTCAAACCATGTTTGATATAGATTTGAATTCAAGATTTCAGTTCTTGATGTATAGATAACTTTTGGTTTTCTCCATATTTCATTTAATCTATTAAGAACATATAAATTCTATTGTGAATAATCAGTTTTTAATTCATCATATCCATCCATAATTATAATAAGAGACATCTTACCTTTTTGTACTTCTTCTTTTAATTGGTTAATTTAAATTTTATCAAAGGATAATTGTTCTGATTGCAGTGTCTCTTCAATAGCACTATGCAAAGGATCCTTTAAACTTGGCAATGAAACAAAGATTGGTATTAGTATTTGTTCCTTGTTATGTTGTGATTGCTATTATTCCCAAAGATATTCTTCTATTTTCCTGGCTATCGTACTTTTGCCAGATCCTGCTTAGCCATGTATCAACAACACATCTGATTAATCTTTGTACTCTTTTCCTTAATGATCATGCCATATAAAGTTATTGACTATTGAAATCTTATTTTAATTATCATCATCGAACATGGGTATCAACTTAGATTCTACACCATTTGATTTCTCTCTGCCATAAAGCGGAACAAATATTTTTGTTAAATCCATTTTCTTCTTATTTAAAAGAACAGTCTACTTTCTTAAATCAAGGAGTTATTAAAAGGACTTGCCTCTAAGGATAGAAATGTCTCTTCCTATTATATTTATAGTATTCTGAAGATTTTCCAATTTATTCATTATCTATCCTAAATCTTTTTTAATATCTACTAAAAAGTACAATGTAATGTTTAACAATTACTGCATCTCATTTATATTCCCAAGAAACTCCTAAAATTATTAATACTCAGATTGCATTGTTGATATTTTTTGATTTCTACTATCTTCGTCAATCTCTTATCTAATCTCTTATTCTAATTCATTAATGTATTTTAATTTCATTTAAAATGCCTTTCTTAACTTCTCATTAATTGTAACTTAGTTTCTTGAAAACAACTATTGCTGTAATGATATTATCTCTTTATTTTTCAAGAGTGCTCTTACTCTTTGATCTTTTTCTATGCCCCATACTTAAATGAGTAGTTCTGTCACATAGGATTAGATTTATTATTCTTCTGATAAGCTCTGTATTTCAAGCAATTAAAATACCAAGCATTCTCTTATTTGATATTCATAATTATTGATAAAGTCTTTGATTTGTTCTAATTGCTTTTATACTAATTTCTTTATGTATTACTCAGATGATTAAATTGTATCGATGCTTTCTTAGAACAAATCTTCATTCAAATATTTTAATGTTGCATTTAAAAATTCCATGTCATAATCCAAATTGTTTAGCATTTCAAATAATGACTTTGTTTTGATTTTTCCCATCAATTCGACTATTTCACTAATATATAAATTATTTAATTCTTATTTAAAGTTATATACTATCTATTACCAACTAGTCTGATCAATTTCTTTTTTGTTGACAAACTTTTGAAGTTCTTAGAATTTATTCATTAATTTTTGAGTATCTTAACATTTAGTGATTAATTTATAAATTAACTCTTTATTTATATTGCCTCTCTCTATAATCTCATCAAGTATTTCAATATCTCCCTTTAATTTAGTTAGTATTTCTTTGTAATATAAATCAAGTTCATTTTATTGTAGGTCCTGTACGTCATTACAATCTATTTTAAGAAGATCTTATTGCAATGTTGACAATAGGACTAAGATATCTTAAATTTCAGAATTAAACGCATTTTGATCAGCCAAATTAATTAATGATTCAATTACATCGATGTTCTTGACTGTTTAGTATAGTGATTTCAATGGATTGGCTTTTTCAGATAAGGAATGAACTCCTATGAAATTATCATTGAATTTTGATAGATGCTATTTTAATTCACTTTATAATCGATAATGCTACATTAGAATGGTCTTGCTCTTTTCAAATTTCTCTCTTTCATCAAACATATTAGATTATTTTTATAAGGCACTTATCATAAATTAGAAATACTCATCTAAACTTAATTTGAACTTTTCTATTAATATGCATTCTCTTTTTGATTCCATTTATGATATAATGACAATCTCAGATTGTTTTTGAATTAATTTATTGATACTTAAATATTCTTGTCTAAACATATCTAATATTTTATTAAATAATTCAACTTGTCTACAAAATGTTGAAAGTTTTACAGAAAATTAAATCATAGTAATTTCCTTTTACTTGAAGTTATCAACCGATAGACTGTATTACAAGTCCTATTTTGTTTCTTCTAAATTCATTAATTAATTCCATTATATATTTTCTATTTACTTTAAAAATGAGAATATGTTTTCATAATTAATTTTGGAGTGTTTATTATTTAAAAGAGGAATAGTATGTGACTCAAACTATAGCTAAATTGCAATGAGTTCCTAATAAATCAAATTTTGATCTTATATTTACCTTTTGCTTTAATTCTTCACTTTTTCTATTTAATCTTCAATAATTTCAGAGTAGATATGATACTATAAGGAAGTATCAGATATATAAGTTGAATTACTTATATTTTTTAAACTTAGGGAATCAAGAAAGATTTTATCTTAAGATATAGACTTAGCTAATTTAGTCCAAATGTTTGAAAAGGAAGATTCAAAATCGGTTAAAGATGTTTGTGTTTGAATTAAGTTTTCAATATGCGGATTAGAGGATGAATGATTATATGAAGTTAATTACAACTTAATAACATGATATGATCCACTTAATTTTGTTTAAACACTTATTAACTACAAGAGGAGTGGTACAGAGTGATATATCAAATCCTCATTTTTTTGAATGATGACTTACAAATCTTGAGTTTGCTCAATCACCTCCTTTTATTATTAAATGGTGCTTACTAATTCTATAAGTCTTTGGTTGTTTTCCTCCAATTAAGAATTGTGAGTTTCTAGATTCATAATTCTTATATTTTAGTTTTAATTTTCTTTATTTTGAAAAAGCAATTAATAAATTTCTGAAATGAAAGGATCTATTGAATTGAATAGTTTTGAATGGGTTGAAAAATGAAAAGTGACATAGTAATCTAATGCATTGAATTTTAAGGTTTTGGTCTTCTCAATCAATAGTAAGGATAGAGATTTAAAATTGTATAAGCCAAATTACTACAATATCGGTTTTACTTTTTTATCTAATGTAAACTCTAAGTTTAGTTTAATGGAATTAGAATCGTAAGGTAAAGGTTTTAAATTGTATTAAGTAATAAATGATTCCCAAGTTTCTAAGCTAGTTTGCGAATTTGATTAGTATTTGATCCAATCTTATTTTTATATAATTGGGCGAAAAAGCAACAAATCAGATAGGAAATATATCCATAAGAAATGGATAGTGGAACTTTTAGATTCTCTAATTTGTTCTTCATATATTTTTTCTAGTTATTTGACTACTCTGTTAATTCCTTGGTCTTTATTTTTTAGATAGGCAATCATTGACCATTTCAAACATTCAAAATTGTAATATTTTTCATATATCTTTTCGCTTTTATACTCTTTGTATTTATCATAGATTTCTTCAGCAGCTTTAAATAAGAACTTAATGAAATCATCACTTGGAGTAAGAGTTGCAGCAGATGTAATCAAACCTTTCACAAATAACTAAAAAAGTTGGAAATTTCCATCTACAGGAATTAGCTAAATAGCAGCTTTGGCAATTGAGATATGGTAGTTGATCCCATTTTACCAAAGTGTATAGGCTTCTACTGATACATGAGATTCTAATTCCTTAATTGTGTTTAAAATATTCTTCTTATCTTCCTTCTTCATATGTCTATCATTGTTTTGTCTATAAAAATTAAATATGGTTTTGGATAAATCTGAGCATATTTTCAAAAGATAAAAACAATATAATCCTGATGTCCTTACATAAATTAAAGCGGATGTCAACAATTATAAGAAACATTCTAAAATGCAATCATAAAATAATTATGAATTCTCCTTTTCTCCTATCCAATGAATTTATTCTCTAGAATCATATAGCCATTAATAGCAAATAGAAAATTCTGCCCTTTGATTTTCTTCGTTTATTGTTTTAGCAATTTGCATTATTATTTTTGATCTTTGTCTCATATTCTCTAAAAAATCTTTAGGTAAGTTCTCTATTAGATGTGCGTCTTAATTTTTCACAGGGAATGGATTCTGATTCTATTACTTTGAACCTACGCACCCACCTCCTCTTAGATTAGATAATTTATCTGATGTTATTATTTTTACTTCATTCTGGAAGTGTCTTTTCATACTTTTACTTGATACTACAAGAGATTTTTAAATCATTTTTTGCTGCATTTCAATTTAAAAATAGAAAATATTATATAAATGATAATAGTTAAAACTAGGAATAAATTTAACAATAATTCTTGAAACTGTTAATCCTTTAATTTAGCAACATTATTGATAATAAAGAATAATAATAATAATATTTTAATGTAAATAAGATTTATATTGATAATGTCGTGTATTTTGATTATTTATAACACTCATTCAAATATGATTTCAAATATTTAGCACTCTACAATATTTGGGGTTAATTATCCAAATAAATAAGTGGAATTTTCTTAATTGCCCATATTCCAAAGTTTCTGCTATTTTTGTGATGGAATTAAAAATGTATGTCCAAGTTTAGAAAATCCATCCGCAAAATCATTATTAATGTATAGATCGTGACCAGCCCCAAAAATAGGTCCACTTTTTGCATGACAACAAATTGAGCTATTTTCAAATCCAAGTTTTTAATAATAAATCTCGTTCCTATCTTATGAAAATAGAAATGTTGAATATGTTGGATCAGATCTGTGAGTAATCAGTTATTCACATACCCATTAACATGGAGAGTACCCTCCAAATATTGTTTAACTGGATGACTTGAATACCATCAACAAATTAGATTTTTTATTACACATTTTCCAAAATGAATTAGCATTCAATCCATCCCTTGTGCCCTAAAAAATCAATTAAGCATTTTTTATTTTATATTTCTACTTGGTTTCTATCTCATAGGTAATTTTTTCATAGAAATAATCAGTTAAAAGATAACCATTAGGAGGTCTTGGTTATAATTATTTAATAAATTCACTGTGTGTAAGTATCAGGGATTTAAGCTGAGCCTCCAATTTTTAAAATTCAGGGAACAAAACAGTGTCCTCATTTTTTAATTTCTATTTACTCAATACAGAACTTTCTTGTATTCTTTATAATAACTAACTTTTGCATTCTTATGAAATCTACTAAAAGTATTAGTGGATATCAGTTTCTGCTTATTCAATAGCTTTAGGGTTGATGGAATCGCCTAATTGCTCTAGTTTAGTCATAATTGACTTAAACTCATTGAATTTAATTATCTATTAATTATTCATTATTCATATATACTTATTCTAAATCCTATCGAATTACAGACTTTGAATCCAAAAATAATTTAATATTTTGTTATAATTCCTCTAACATCATTTTAAATCCATTTTAAATATCTAGAATCAAGGATTCGAATTGTTTGATTTATTTATTTAAACTAATTTCATCATGCTTTGCATATTCTCCAACAAAATTCTTTATTTCCCCAGAAACTTCTAATTTGGAAAATAGAAATTCCGGGGACTTCAATCCCTTATATAATGACAATCTAAATTACTCTACTTATATTTATGAGGTTCTAAAAATTAAATTTGGGGTCCATATCAAATAAGTCCTGCTAGCACTAATCACAAATGAATTAAGTTCTGTCTTTATTAGTGCTTATGAATTGGACATACGAACCATCATGTTTTTGGCATGGTATTTTAAACATTTGTAAATAGATATATCTATTAATTTATATAATGATTTTGATTTAAATGTTTTAAAAGGAATATGAACTTTTATGTTTAAATAATCACCAATTTCCAATCAAAAAAGTATCGTTAGATAGTAATTTACAAAACACAGACAGATTACTTTGTGATCTATGTTAGAACAATAAAGAGTCTAAAGCTTTGTGAAAGATTTTCATATTATCTGATAATTAATAGAGCAGACATAATTATCAATATTATCATATCTGCAGGAATTATAATAAAAGAATACAAATGCTATTGAAAAATTAGTTAAGATTCGAAGACTTGAAATAATAAATTAATGCAGAGTTGGGGGACTTATTATTACTCTAATCAATATGGACATATGTTTTGGATAAAATATATTAAGATAATGCAAATTATAGTCTTTTTAAGGAACTTGATAACTTTATAAGAACAATGATGCTTAATTAGTTTAATAATAAATAAATTTAGATGATTACAATTAACAATTAATAACTTAAGATAGTCAATCAGAAAAATTAAAAGATAGATTAAAAGTTTAAATTAAGAAAATTTAAATAATGCCTACTAATATATAGCATTCAATATCAAATTAGTTGATGAATCAATGATATAGCATGATTATTGTATACAGAAGATGTAAATTGCTTAGTATACAGTAAATTCACTCATGCCTTTATCTCAGGTTCTGATGATTAAGCTATTAGACTTTGGAAGTTATAGAATGGAGTTAATTGAAACTGAACTCTTTTTTGGAGGAACTGATAAGTCAATAAAAGTTTGGAGAGTAAATATAGAGAAAAAATCAAGTATATTATTTGTGATCTTTAGATTAATATGAATAATAAGGGTATTAGGATTAAGTTAGAATTAATAGGAAACTTATTTAGTATCCTGTGGAAAAGATAGAAAGATTTTGATTTGGGAAAAAAATCGATTGATAGAATGGAAATTTGAATATCTTGTTTCAGTTATAACAAAATTGAATTCTAAATATATTAATATTTTATAGCTATCAATAATCAATATGTGAATATGGGTATTGAGTATATTTCTTAAAAATGATTAATTTATTTGGGTACCTAGAGAAGATTTAAGTAAAGATTCTGCTTATATCTTTGTAATGAAGATGGATAATTTTAAGAGATTTAAAGAAGGCATATAGTTTCAGAATAGCCCTGTTTTTGAAATTTGATTATTTCCTATTGTTTATAGCAATGATAAGATTGTCTTTATGGTGAAACATAGTTTGACAATTATTTTATAAGAGAATAATTTAATTATTTAATATAAGATAATTTAAAGATTAATTTGTTCTTGGTAAGATAGTGGTTTTGGATTTTGGAACTAAAAGATATCATATTTATGACATTTGAATTAGATATTATATGTTTAAAAATAAATATTAAATAAATCAATTCTAGGAATATTCAAAACAATATTTCATATAATATAATAAATGTTAACTCTGAAATGATATTGCTTGATAAAGCTTAAATGTTGATGTTAAAAATAACCATATTTACATATTAATTAAAACTTAATCCAGTCTATTGTAAGAATTTAACTAGGATATTTTATCTCAATTTGATAATCAGTAAATAGAGTATGCAATCACTAGAACAAAAATCATCTAATTTTTTATCGGTAATAATGTCTCGACAGATAATCTTGGATAACTCATAATTGTCTTTTATAAATGAGCTTGATATCTTAGTAGAGTTCAAATCTAATTTCAATTCACATTTAGTTTTTTAAGACACTTTTAGAACTAATCAATTATAGAGAATATAATCTTATTCTTTTTTATTTCCTTGAATATTCACCTTTTGTAAATAATGTTTAATTATTAATCCTTGAATTAATAGCTTTCACTAAATTTTAGGCATGATTTATTTGTCAGGATCTCAATAACGATCAATAATATAAATCAAAATTTAAAGATGCTTATAAATAAATTTATAACTCTAATTACAAATAATTAAAAGTAGATAATTAACTATATGATATTAAACAGATTAATGAAAAGTCTCATAATAATAACTGTGTTATTGATAAAAATCTATGATAATTGATATTGACTTCATTTACAATACTTAAAACTACTATTTAATATATTCATTATAAAAGTTTATAATATTCATCATGTTCATTTAACTAAATTTAATTTGCAAGATATTATAAGCATTCTTAAAATAATTATTCTGAAATATTAGTAATTTCTAAAATTTTGCCTTTTGTCAAGGGTTACCTTTCTATTAATGAGAGGATACAAGAGGATTGGTATTGAATTGATTTAGCTTTGATCAATTCTTATTGTTCTTAATTGTTATCTAACTAAGTTAAATATGAGATTGATTTGCGATATTCATAGGCTTTAATGCAATCAATTAAATGTAATGTGATAATATTAAAATTTTTGATTAATTCCATGTAAACACACTAAAAGACAATTTCTTATTTAAATTATTTAGGAATGATGACACATCTTACATATGAGGGTTATTTAGGATTTTCTTGGATTATTTTCTATGTTAATAATTTAGATTACATCAAGCCAATAGGGATATTATTGTGTTAAGGGAGTAATGACTTAGATATTGCCTGTACTATCTTCAATCAATGCTTGGAATTCTTGTGTTTCATTAATAATCAGCAATTCAACAGAGAAACCAACAATTAAGATGGTATTAATAGGGTGGCCTTCATTGATCACGTAATCCAATTAAGTGTGTAATGTAGATTTCATCCCCTTTTTAATCATGCTAATAGTCATAGGCTAGATGGTTTAAGAGATGTTGAATCTGTCCATTTGAGAAGATAATAAATTAGAAATAATTGTGTTTTTGTTTGTAATATTATTCAAACTTTGACTTATTAGGCAACTATAGTATAAGCTTATGTGATAATTTTGACTTCATTTTCTCTCTTGGCAGATCTCAAATTATAGTTAGACTAGACTATTTCCCTTTCATTTCTATATTATTAGAGTAAATCTAATGCAATAGGTAAGTCCTTTTATATTTGATTTCTGCTTTTGGTGGATAATGCCTTTTTGATAATTGAGATAACAGTTACATTTTCTTCGTTTCTTCTCTTCAAGGTCACAATTGTTCTTGAATAATCAGCACTGAGTCTTTCTCTAACTTCAGTGACTTCTTTAAGTGTGACTTCATAAGATTATGTAACTTTAGCAACATATTCATCAGCACCTGCATTTTCTTGTATTCTTTGGTCTCGAATGTTCTCAAGTAATTGGATAATTCTGGTAACGGTTGGTACATCGAATCTGATATAAGAGAGAGAATTACTTAGAAGTTACAGAGACAAGAGCTGTAATGGGATGGTTAGGTCCCAATGAATTAGCAAGTTGATCAACATATTGTTTGGTGTGTTGTTGTGAGAGAACAGTGGTTTTACTCTATTCAGCAAATACAGCCTATTATAGTTTTGCAATCATTTCATTCAAACCATCAATTGATTTTACATTGTTTGTTGTTCTTTGCTAGAAATATTGATGAGATATACTGAAATGGTTTCAATTTCCAATTTGTATTGGTTTCTGATGTCTTCTTCTTTGGAATTCAAAGTTGATAATTATTTTTCTTATGATTATTGAGTGCCAATTAGTTTACTAATGTCTTCATTTAAATCTGCGATTTATTGATTGAGTCTTTGTAATTCTTTAGCCAATTTTTCAGTTTAGATCTCCAAGATTTCAATTTCCACATTCAATTATCCAATTTTCTAGATGAAATAAATAGTATTGTATATACTTTGGCAAATTCTTGATCTTCGACAGTTTAATCTGAGATTAATTGATCTCTGATGCCTTTGATTTCTTTTAAGACTTCTTCGACATAAGAACTCTGTAACATTTTGAGTTCAATCAAACCAGCAAGTTGCTTTGAAAATTCGTTTTTAAGTGCCATTTTGTCCATTTGTGCCATCACAACATCAACTTTAGATGACAACGATGTCTGGAGAGTCAGAGTAATCAGCATTACTAGAAAAATGACTTATTTCATTAAAAACGGTATAATAAAAATATAATAGAGTATATGGTAATTGTAAATGTGATCTATGATAGATATATATATATATAAATCATTTAGATGAAAACAATTTGATTTGCCCATCTGCACCCAAAGATGCAAATAGATTATAACTTCCATGATGAACTAAATTGTGGATATTCTCATCATATTTAGATTGATGTCCTTGAAGTTCCTATATGAATTATTATCTTCTGGTGTCCCAAACTCTAATTATAATTCAATTTATATAATTACTTAATAACGTTCCCGGTTGCAATGTAGATGATAGTGTTGCTAAGATTAGTAATAGCTGAAGTAATTGGTTCATTTCCACAAATGATTTGTGAGATTAATTTTGCTAGTGTATAAATTGAAGAATATTACATTATTGAAGATCAAAAATTCTCAATTTACCATCATCATGTGATGAGATCAAACAGGATTGTTGAAATTGTGTCAACTAATTTATTTGTGCCGACGTATTATTTTCTTATAAATATTTAATATTTTGGACATTTCTCCCATTTTCTGTATCAAAAATGGACAGTATAGCAGAATTCATGTATCCTGATGCAAAGAGATTTGGGTTATGTTACAACCAAGCTATAGCTGTAGGTGAATCAACAAAATGACCATATTGATTTTTCTATCCAAATTGGTAGAGTTATTTAGGTTCACTTTGGGAATCTTAAATTGGCCATAATTTGATTAGAGAATCGGCAGCAGAAGACAACAATAAGTTTTATTGTGAATTAACCTTTAATTACCAAATTGCATCTTGATGAGCTTGCCAAGTCATTCTGCATTATTAGAATTCTTCAGTTTATCCTAATTAATCACATTCATCTGGCAGTGGGAAATACCACATCTTAATTGCTCCTTCAGCTCCTGCACTAAAAATAGCATTCTAGATTCCTTTCAGTCTTTATTCAATTCCTGCAATTGCAAACAAAGGTCCTGTATGATCTCTTAATGTCAAATATGGTTCAATCTAATTCTACTGTTATTAGTAGTTTTGATAGTCCCACAATTTGAGTTGGCAATCCTCTGAAACTGTTGCTAAAATACTCATATTGTTGAAGAAGTAAGCATCTCGTACACCATCTAGGTGATGTCTCAAAGTATTTTATAATTAAACAGGATCTTTTGAAGCTATCTACGGTTATTCTTCATTAATATTTTATGATTTGCTCCTGCTATGGGTTGGAAATCCACTGGTACTATTCATGTTTGTGGGACTCTGTCTACCTGAATTTTAGACAATAGATGTCACATTCTAATTTGGTGTTAACATCACTGAGGGTCTGTTTGAATGTTCTATTTTAGGAGAACTTGGAGGTGAGAATATCGATTGCAATCCTACTTCTTAGATTATTCTTAGGCATAACACATATATGTATACTTTTGCAATAAGGGTCGATAAGGTTTGGCCTTTCTCTTTGGAATGGTTTAGTAATTTTGTATTTAACTCTGATTCTCTATGTTCTCCTTGAGCAATTGATTCAAATAGTCAGGTACTTATCCGTTCTATTGGTATTTCAATCTTTCTTATCGCAATGCTACTTCTAGCATTTTACATCTTTTGCCCAAATCAGTAATTACTCTTTCTTGTGCTTTGACTACTCCTTCTAACTCATTAATTTTCTACTGCATTTGTGATTTCTCCAATGCCCATTCACAATCCTTGTATTAGACTTGTTTATGCTATTCATGTAAGAATTCCAAGACTCCTACCCAATTGTATTGTGTCTTAATATTATGATTGAACTTACATTTTATTGAGCATTCTTTTGTATCAAAGTGCTAATTGAAACGGACTCTGAAGTCATTATTATTATTATTATTCAAATTTAAATTATTGCTTTAAATTACAAAATGCTAGTTAATTATTCTGATAGTGAGGATGATTAAAAATAAAATGACAATCCTGTTGTCAACAATATTCCACCACAAGAATAGATTAAGCCAACTAAACTTATACCAATTGAGCCTTCCATTGTGAAAAAGAGAAAGCCAAATCCTAAGGAATGCAAAATACCAGATGTCTTCTTGAAATAAGATGGAAAGATTGATTAAGAAATAAATTAATAAGTAGGTTAACAATAGAGTCAAGGAAATAAGTTCATTCCCAGATAACTATTATGCAAAAAAAGCAATGTTTCCATTGAATGATAGCATATTTATTAATATTTAATAATAATGAATAAATTAGAAATATTAAATAGTCCTAGATTAACTAGTTAGACAGAACATGTCAAAAGGTCATTCTATAGTAAAAACGAGAAGAATTAGGAGTCTTCATGGTATCATCCAAGAACTTAAAAAAATGATGGTACATGTAGTCCATCTAATCTATAAAATGAGAGTATGTTGGAATAAATTAGAAGATTGAAGGACAAGATTAAATTGCAATAGAAAGAAATCGAAAGATTGTCATGCATTAACGAATATTTAATATAAGCAAATCAAGCCAAACTCAATATTTTATAATCAGAAAGATAGTTTCATTCTAAAAAAGTTACAATTAAATTAGGCCATAATAAGACACTGAGTGAAAGGAAGAATTATCTCAGTAAATTCCTAGAGGATACATCCTAACAGAGTCCCAGTGTCAAAAGAAGAATCTATAGGAATCCGACATTGGCACGTCTGCATTTAGAGTAGGAGAGTGAATAATAGAAGAACGAAAAGCAGACTTAAAAGGCATCCACTTTTTATGATACTTTGCAATAAGAAGATTGCTTTAGAACCAATGCAATACTAAATATCCAATTGTCCGATGAAGATGCTCTCTAATAATATAAATAAGATGGAACTGTATCCTTAATGAGAGAATTATTAGATAACGAAGACTCATTTGGTGATATCATCTAAAATATGTCTGCTTAGAAGTTGTCATTTCTTTATGATAAATTTAAACGAATAATGTCTGATCATCATCAATTGTTCATCCTAGTATTGAGATTAAAGAAAATTGTTATGGGAGCTCTCTAAATGAACTCATCGATCTTATTGGATGATGCTTTGTAAACCATAATAAATAAGTGTGTGGACTGTTTGGAATGTGATAGAGCATCATGTTTTATAGTTGATGAAAGCAAAAAGGAATTGTGGACTAAAGTGGCCAAAGGAACATCGACCACTATTCGTTTATAAGTAGGTCAAGGAATTGCTGGATTTGTGGCACAATCAAAAAGTATCTTGAACATAGAAGATGCTTATAGAGATTAGAGATTCAATTCATAATAGGATATCAAAAATAATTATAAGACCAAAACCTTATTGGTATGTCCAATCATGGAAAATGACAAATGTGTTGGAGTACTACAATGTGTTAACAAATAAAGTGGATATTTCACAAAGGATGATGAAGCATTGTTACAAATAATGTGTGAATTTTCAAGGTCTGTTCTCAAAAATGCCATGAATCACGATGCTCAAATGTTAATTCAAAATAAATTGAGACATCTCATTAAAACTGGTGTATTGCTGCAATCCAAATAGAATGAAATTCACACATTGATTCAATAAGCTGAAGAGAGATTGAGATCACTCATGAATGTAGATTTTGGCAAAATAGTTTACAATGATATGCAAACCAAGAAAGTCACCCACATCAATAAGGAAGGCAAATTGGATGAATGTGATAACACACTTGGGATTATGGGTAATTGCATTCACAGTCAATCCATTATAGCCATCAGTAATTGCTACATCAACCCTCTTTTCAATCCTAATATTGACATCGAAACAAACATGCCAATCATTTGTATGCCTCTGAAAAATAGCAATCAGATCATTGGAGCACTCTAGGTTGTCAATGTTAAAGGCATTGGAGGTAGTGATTCCAAAGTTAATTCTATAGACCTAGAAATGTTAGAATTATTTTGTCTATAAACTACTTAATGCTTAATCTAAATGAAAAGCAATAAAAATTGAATATTTATAAATTATTATCATTTCCAACATACACCCCATGGAGAAGTAATTATTGCATAAATATATCTTAATTATAGTCCACAAGAACAGCAGCTTACATTCTAAGATTATATCGCAACTTAATTAGGGTCAATAGTTCAAAGTGACCTCTTGACTTATTAGAAATGTAATTCTATTATCTCCCAGTAATTAATATTTGCATGAAATTAGTTAATATTCAACTTGGGTTTATTATGAATTGAACTCCACAGTCACCTTCAATAGTAATAGCTTTAATAGAAATCCAACTCCTTAGTATTTATTTTATAAATATAAGACTTCTATTTCAATGTTCGGAGTTATTCGAGAATGCTAATTAGGAGTTCATCGATTTTTTATTTGACCCTGTTGAAGGTTTGAGTGAAGACTAGGTAGAAACCAAGAGGGGCTTATTTCGCTATTTAATTAGTGTTGTAGAATAAGACTCTATTGCAGAAACGACGTGTGGATATTTTTATAAAGTGATGAATTCGATCATTTAAAAAAGAGGGGCCGATGTTTGGAATTTTCTGGAAAATGATTAAAGAATCATATCCTCCTTTTTGAAGCATGTTGATTAACCTCACATCTGTAGAATCATCACAGAATTGATTCTGTATGGCAACCAACCCTCCAAAATTTTAGACTATTCTTATCTAGCCTAATAAATTTCGGATAGACTATTCAAAATCATGGCAAAAAAAGCATATTAAAGCAATATTGTTGATAATATTTGTGAAATATTTATAGAAATACTAACTAGAAAATCACAAAATCCAAATTTGGATATCTCACAACTCATATTAATAAAACCAAGCTAATTATTTTAAATAGCAGTTTAATCAAATTCAGAAGGACCTCATAGTCTCTTAACTCTGTTTTTAGAATATGCTAAAAATAACCAACAAGATCAAGTGGATTCTTTCATTGAAATTTCGCATTTGATACCTTTAGAGTTTGAAAAGACCTATTCTAACAATATACAATATGATAGACACTTTTATAAACTGTTTGGCAGAAAAAATATGAAATTACTATTTCTTACTCTGTAATTGATTTAGTAAATATATCTTTAACAATTAGATTAAATAATAAATCAATAAATTCTAGATTAATAAACAATGGACTTGTCAATGTTCTCATAAACACAATATAAGAATTTCCTTTTCACAATCAGCTTCATTTCACAGCATTTGCGATATTCGAAAAACTCATCGAAAGTGAGCAAATTGATAACATCTAAGATGTAATTTTTGAGTTTTATTTTAGATGATCGATTCCTTATCGAATTTCATTGTCATCTAACTTCTTTAGCCACAAAATTCTGTTGGATACAGAGCATACTTGAGTAAATTAGCTAATTATTTGATTGATAAACAATATAATCCTGTGATTCTAAAAGCGTTGAAAAATAACTAATAATGGGAAGGATTTGTCCAAACAACTTTACAAAATATCAATTAAGTAGAATTGAATTTTCTTTTTAATATCAATCCAAGATGTAAAATTTAGTATAATCTCTTAGAAGCCTCTAATGAATAAGATTCTGGCAATATACAATAGGATGTGAATTAATAGGAGATAAAGACAGAAGATTCATCATAAGAAAATTAATACTAAGATAAATAATTAAAATAATAGGAATGACCAATCACAAATATATCTATTTTAATTATTTATACTTCAAAATTAATCATCTAAATATTGCCTATACTATTCTTTAGTTAAACCATTATCTTTTGAAATCAGATCTTTGAAGGCATTATAATTAGGTGGTTGAATGCCTAATAAGGCTTAAATGTTGTAATATCCCTTTAATAATTTCGAAGAGATAAACATAAACCTTAGATGTGATTCTCCATAAGTTTTAATCTGTTCGTAATCAAAACATTTAGGTATGAATTAGTTTTGTAATACTCTACAAAATTCTTGAATATAAAATATTCTATCCAACTTAGCCTCTATTTTGAATTCTATATCACATTTGTTAGCCTGTTGATACTTTACTATATAATCAGTTATTTATTCTATAGATATTGTTTATTCAAATTGCAAAATAGCCAGATTCAGACATAAATCGCAATAATTTCTGTATATTGGAATCACATTTTAACTTTCACAACTATTTTCTTACATTAAATATCATACCATTTTTCAAAGAACAAAACTCTATATTATTAAAACCAATCCTGGACACTCTTTTAAGGTAGGATCATTACAATCTTTGCAGGATTAAATGTGACAGAGGCTGGCTTGACAGGAAGCACAATAGTGCTTTCTCTATTGTACATAGTTCCAAGTCTTAACCCATAACATTAAATGAGTGATGGGAAATCAATTCTTTCAACAGGAGAATAAGTAATCATTCTTTCGACCATTTAACAAGTACTTGAAGAAATATTATATTGAGGAGGGATCTTAAAAGGAGAAATCCTTAATCTTTAGATAAAGTCATTAATCCCAGCCATTGATAAATCAAAAGGATATGAACCTGTTAAAAGATGATAAAATAGAATTCCAAACTATTAGATTAGTTATTATATATACTGAATAAATATCGACCTTGTGGAGTAACTTTACTTTTTTCTCTTTGTCATCAAATGTTCCTTTGAATGGAGCATTCTAAAAAGTTAATAAAAATTTTAACCGATTGCATAGTGCCCATTTGCATGATGCCCTATTACATAGTGCTGCCTTGTAAGGGTGAGGGATTAGTTGAGAATCTTGGTGGATTTCCTTAAATATACAATATATCAGCTAAACAACAATCAAAAATAAATCTTACTTGTGGAGTATTCATAATTTCCTTATAATTCAGGTGCTTTATATACAGGTGTTCCATTCTTTGTGATATTTAACAAATTCTAATCTGATTAATAAATCTTGCCCACTCCGAAATCAGCAATCTAAAAATATTTGTATTTATTACTTTATATTTTCCTTATGAAGTCAATATGTTGGCTGGTTTTATATCTCTGTGGATGACCTGACTTTGATAAAGTACTCTATATCCATTAAATAATTGTTTCATTATTTCAATGGCTTCTTGTTCTGAATATCTCCGTTGTTATTAATATCTGGCTTTAATTTCCTTTTCTAAGTCTGAATCACATTTTTCCATGATAATAACAAAAAATCCTCTTTCTGGAACGAAGTTGCTGTAATACACATTAACGATATTCTCATTTTGCTTGTTTTTCATATAATTCAAAATATCTAATTCTTTTTAGACATTTTAAGAATTTGCGTTCACGATCTAAATGTTAATTTGATAAATCATACTTTGGCACAATATTATTTCGGATCATTTTTTCTGTTTGCAGAAAAGACTTTACCGCATGCTCCTTAACCCAACAACTAATATGTATCGATGGCGAAGTCGTCTATGTAAACTATCTATTCGTTCATATTGCTATTTCTATTAATTAATTAATTTTAATCAAATTCATTCCAACTTATAAATTACTAGGTTTTTATGATATATTTGGATTTTTGTTAGCTTAACTTTCATTTTATTTGAATTCTTGATTAAATTTAATCAATTTTTTTCTTGCTTAGTGTTTCTCAAGAAATTATGCTAGATTTTCTCTTATTTTTAATGAAATATCCAAGAGGATCAAATTTATCTATTTCATTATTTAAATCCTCTTATCTTCAAGTTTAAGTTAATCTTTAAGCAATCCTTAAAAAACAATCTTTTATTCTATTAATATAATCCTTATATTTTCAAAATTTTATTATACATTTATTTCTATCAATACTTTAATAAGATAGCATATGCAACATGTAATTTGAAATAATATATATTGCTAGTACAAAAAACCGATTAAGAAGGGCAATTTGAAATGATAATACATAATTTATTTATTAAATAGCCATTTTGATATTTCAATCTAAATTTAAGCATTTAATATTTTCTAAAAGTTAGTATAATATACAATATTTCAACTTCTCTAAATACATTTTTTGGCAACGACTATATAATATTTAAGACACTGTTTTAATTTACTTTTTTTGGATTTTATAATCTGAAAGGATAGTTTAAATTACAATTGGCTATATGAACTGTTTTAAATTCTATTATTACTATATAACTAATATTATGACTTTTTAATTACAAAAAGAATTAATTCTAATTATTGTTATCAAATCATTAAAATTGGCTTTAATTGAACTTAATAGGATATCTCATCTATAAATTTATAAAATTATTGAAGAATTAGTATTATTTACAGAATCTGGAGTTTAGAATGTTTCATGTTTTCTCAATTTTCGTAAATGTGTATTTTCAAAACAGACCACTTTTTATCAATATTAGCAAGAGTAAATTTTATTTTTTCAATAACTTTTATATTTAATAGAAGTAAATTTTATCTATTAAACTTGATAAATCTATTAAAAATTAAATTGTAATAAAAAACACAAAATTTATCATAATAACTCAGTAGATGTATCACATGTGCTTTTCAATAGACTAGCTAATGAATAAGTTTTTAATTTGCAACTCGTCACTTAATTTCAAAAATAGTTCCTTCACATCCTTCAAAAAGATGGGTTTGCTAATAACATGCGTCATTCCAGCATTAATACACTTCAATTAGGTTTCATAATCATCATGTGCAGTACACCCAATTATGTTTATATAATCTAATTACTTCTATTCCATCATTTTTATCAAGATCTCTGTTGTCTAGAATAAAATATGAATGTACTTAAAGTCCTCCTAAAATTGGCATATCCAAATCCATGAATATCAATTGAATTCTAGACTTTTTCTTCATAACTATGTCCAAACATTGTTGACCATTGTAAGCTGTAACAAATCTATTTAGTCCTAACTTCTTGAGCATCAAACATAAAATGTCATGATTGAAAGGTTCATCATCGACAATCAATATTTCTTATTCATTTTCCAAATCTATAGATTCACAAAGAACTCCTTTTTTCAATAAATAGAACTGGTTGTCATCTGCCCTTTGGGTAAGCGATATACTTGGTTATCTGTGGGAGTGTCTGTTCTTAAATTGTTACAATTCATTTTTTTTCTGATTCAAAGGCATTTATGGTGATGGCTCAATTATTATTGAACTTGAATAACTGCATATTGAACCATTGTCCTATTCTATGTTTTGCAGACCTTTTGTGGATTTAATAGTTTTTGAATTCTAAATGATTTTTTATGAACTCGAAAACTGATTCTAAATTTTAGTACTAATAAAGAATTCAAAAGCAGCTCCTTGTTAAGAACTGTTTAATTGTAGGCTTGAATGTTAGTCACTCAAAGCAGAGATTAAATGATTTGTAATTTGTAAAGATATTCCGAATTTTACATGGATTTTGAAATGATGATACTTATCCTAATGGTGATTTTGTACTAAATGAAATTTATTTTATAAAAGTGCTTATTAATTTATAAACTTGATTTAGTCTTATGTGAACCCTTCACCATTATCAGAAACTCTAAAGAATGCTTTTGATTCTTATTCATCAATCGAGATATCTATGCTAATTGTATTGTTTGACGGAGAGTATCTATAACTATTATTGAGTAAATTGATCAGTATTCTTTCTAATTTTTGTTAATCTGTATAAATGTAAATCGATTTTTAGTTTTTGATGTCAACATTATTAAGGTTGTATTAGAGTTTTATCTATTTTGTTTTGCATTACTGCTCTAACAATTCATTTACGCTTAACAGTAATTTTACCAAATTTGTTTTCGTAACTTGTAATGCCAATTATGTCGAATCCTAGTAAAGATAATCCAAAAGATCTTATATTTAATATAATTAAAGTTTAGAATTTAGCATGGCAGGAATCAAGTATAATTATTTAAATTAATCAGATACTGATATATCATTTATTGATTAATTTAAATAGCCAAATGTTGCATTTAAAGGTGTTTTTAATTTATTAGTGAAGATAGAAGCTAATTATTATTTAAACTAAGTTAATTTATTTTATTGTTTTATCAAATAGACTTAATCAAGTTTGATCAAAGCAACAATAATATAATTGGAAATGCTTTATGATATTATTAGTTTGTATTTAGTTTTCTATCCAGTTTTATAATCGTATTCATTGGCTATGATCAATTACTCACTAATCTTAGTGTCATTTAAGTATTATTTAATTAAATCCTTGATATTTGTGTATGTTTGATCCTTTTAAGTAGAAGATTACAATGAATCACCTGATAAACTAATATTATCATAAAGTTTATAGGTTTTGAAATTAATCTATTTATTTTAAGGTTGGTTATTTGTAAAATTATCATTACTTTTTGACTGTCTTGTAGTGTAAATTGAAGGAGATGAAAACTGATCCACGTTTTATGGTTTGGACAGTAGATTTGGAGTTAGATCATTTAGTTAACTGTCATAGATTTTAATTACACAGTCTTCGATAAGTATATCAATTATGAGTTATCTTGCCTTGTGTCCAATTTTAGTGGACATAAGAAGGTTATAAAATTCGAATAAAATAATGAGTAGAATTGTTATCTTAGAGTGCAACTAAGTTTAGGTAAATAAAGATTCAGGGTTTATCAAATCCAAAGCCGCAGTAAATAGGTATAATAAAAATATAAAAAACTTTGTCTGATTTGTGTGTTTAAAGTTGCCGACTAATGGGTAGAGATACCATAGTTAGTGCAATCCAAAATATAAGCAGTTTTAAACAAAATGGATTATAATCAAAAAGCAAAGTTGTTTTTTAGTTTTGTTCTGATAGATCAAACAAACTAATGTTATCATAAGACTATACTTATATTTAAGATAAATAGAATGCTTCTGGAGTACAGTTAATTATATTGCTATTCAATAGTGGCAAAAGTGATGTCTTTAATTTCTAGTGATATAAGAATTATAAATAAAATCATGAAAGTAATTTTATAAATATATATTCATCTCATTAAAAATTAGAAGGTGAACATTACACTTCCGAAAAGGAAGATTTCATCAAAAATAGTGCAATTATTGCTCTAATGCATCTGAAATGAGTCTTGTAGTTCTAGAGTTTAATAAGATTTCTTTTATCATAAAAATGTAATCAAACAACATATGTTTTTAATCTAATTTAATAAGATAAATACTTATTATAAATAGTAAATCTATTTTATGAGGTTATATTTGAAAGTTCAATGTCATATTACCAACAATTTTATATATAATATCAATATTATAATTGTAATAATATGATTAATTAAATAACTAATACTTCGATAAAGTGAGTTAATAATTTGTGATTGGAATCTAATATCATAATCGTATTTTATGAATCTTATTGTATTACCATTTACAATTAATTCGTATTTTTGTATAATTACAATTAGGGCACTAGTATGATACTAAATATCCTGAAATTTTTAGATAGAATAAGCCAACTCTTTCAAAACATGTTTTTACAAATAATTTGATTAAATATCATCCTTAAATTTGTATGAGGATAATACTCTACTTTCATGATCAAAGAGACTCATACCTCCATTTATTTAGAAGTATTTAAAGTATATTGAGCATCGGAGAAAATTCAACTGAAGATAATTAACAATTTACTCTTAATTAACTTATTTAGAAAACAATGTATTTAAGAGGGAAGCATTAATGAATATGGGATATTTTTTGATAATCCTAAAATATGTTGCAATCATGCTATTTTGCAATATAATAAACAAATGAAAATGAATTTTGTGCTTATGATTTTGGAAGCGTATATGAAACTTTTGTAAATAATGCTAAGTTACTTACAAGTTTATTTCATAAATTAAAGCCATATGATCAGTTGAGATTTGTATAACGCAAAGGAGTGTGTATTTCGAAAAAATATTAAATAGAATAATAATAAAGGATGACAAAGTATAAGAGAAGGAATAAAGATGAAGCAATCGAATTCCTTTTTAAAAAATAAAATGATACCAAATTCCAATAAACTCAAAATCCTTAATCATAGGTTTATTTCAAATCCACTAATTCTTCAACAATTGAATAATTAAAGAAGTATAAGAATAGATAGTAAACCAATAAGACAATGAGCTAAATTAGAAAAAGCTAGAAAAAATTTTGAGAGAGAAGCTGAAAATGAAAGTTAAAGGTAAAATAGAGAGTATAAGAAATATTATAATAGTATGATCAAGAGTGATGTAAGAATTGATCATGAAAAAATAACAATTGGCACCAAAAACAAAATCTCAATGTAGAAATTATAGGGAGTGTGAATTTGAAATGAATGAATATGTCTATATAACCAAATTTTAATGAAATCATTTATATTATAATTGTAATTAATTCATAACTTTTTATAATTTACCTACAAACTATTCAAGTTCTTCCTTGGTCATTTCAAATCTAATCTTTTTTTTATTAGCAATATTATCTAAAGTTTGTAAATGCAATTCTACAATAATTGTAGGTATCTGCGACTTTGCTATTTTATTGGATGATATTGTTAACTATATAGAATTGATGAATTTACATTCAAATTCCAATTATAATCGATTAACACATATTTGGATAATGCTATATGCGTATATAATGCCTATTTGCACATTCCCTTGAAGTTCTCAGTTATTATCCTTGTGAAGATCTAATGTTTCTCTGGGTCTATTTGAGATTTTAATTTTTCCAATAGTCTTTACACCTGGTTACAATATAAAAAGGATTAATACTTCTTCTCTATTTTAATTATTCATTTCTAGCAAATACTCACTGAATTGCTGCATAAATTGTTGAGCCTCCACGATTAGATTGTAGTGATTAATTTCTGGAAATTAGCTCAAATATGGTAGTTTGATTCCATGAACACAGTCAGCCACAAGATCTTCAATGAATTTCTCAAATTGGTTATTATCTGTGAATACATTGAATACCTATGGCAAATTCATTAAAATAATAATTACTATAAATCAATATATTATTAATTCAAACTTAAATGAAACCATAAGAATATAAATGGAATGAAAAGCTATGGAAACCTATTGTTAGACCTCCAAGACATTGTTACCATCTAAAAGATCTAGGGAACGATCTGTTTAAAATTAAAGATACAATCACAAAAAGAACAGACTTTGAGATATATAATAATAGAAATTAGAAATTACAATGTAGGTGAGAGTCAAACTATATTAAGTTTATTCGAACCTATAAACATGTAGGGAAATCCTCATCCTTGTATGATATACTTACATGGTAATTCAAGCAGTAGGATAGAGGCATTCACAATAATTGAATATTTAATTCCAGCGAACATTTCGGTTTGTGGTATTGATTTATCTGGTATATAAAATAAAGTAGACAAGGTTCTGGATTATCTGAAGGGGAATATATATCTTTGGGATTTCATGAGTGTTACGATGTTGTATGCTTATATGATTACTTAAGAGAAAACAAAGTAATCATTTAATAGAATATCAGTTTGATAGAGCTATATTACATCTATTGGATTATGGGGTCGATCTATGGGTTCAGTGACAGCCATTTTAGCTGCTTATAATAATATTGATTTTAAAGTTTTAGTTTGCGATAGTCCATTCTCGAATTTAACTTTGTTATGCAAGGAACTAGCAAAGGAAAACTATAAAATACCTAATTGTTGTTTTAATTGTTTTTGGTGCTATGTAAAATCTAAAATTCATTAAGAAGTTCAATTTAATATTGATGAATTGAATATAGTTTAAAAAATACAAGGTAATAGCTCACTAATTATAAGTATTACCTTAGGATGTTCATATATTATTTTTGTCTGCTTAATAGGATGATTTGATAAGAGAGAGCCATCCTAAATTGCTAATGAAACAATTTCGTGGACAAGATAAGGAATTGTTTAGTTTTGAGGGAACTCATAATTCCAAGAGACCAGCAAAAATAATGGAAGATTCAGTTGCTTTTGTATTAAAGGCTTTTGGATAAAATGTGTGGACTGCATCTAATATCAAATATGCGATGAAATACTCATAAAATTAACTATCTAAATAAGTTCCTTTATTAAAGGGAGATAAGAGAAGTGTGCAACCTCATATGGAAAAAGATGATTATTGATGATTAATTTAAATATAATTTATAATTAATGTCTGAATTGGAAGCTTAATGTATTCGAATGGTTAAATTTGGATAAAGTAACATAGAAAAAACTGTTCAATTCTTTGACAATAAATTATTAGATTAGATAATTAATGATTATTCAAAGATGGAGCAGAATCTACTACAAACTTCTAATGTATGAAATATGTGTTATGCTTAAGAATTTAAACAGATCATTAATAGAAGCAGAGTCCTCAAATACAAAGTTAAAAGAAATAGTTTCTTTGGTAAGCAAATGAGGATAAACTTGAAGTATAAATATATATAAATAATTAAATACGATGGATAGCATGTACTCAAAATATATCATTCCTAATTAATCAGAAAAAAAGCAGAGTTCATCTCCGCATTCCTAGGTAACATTCAACAACATCCAAGTTTATATTTTCACTAAAATTTCTAGTAATTTTTAGAAGACTACACTCCCTCCCATCGTAAGCTCAGCTTCTCCGAAGACAGGATTCAAGAACTCAAGAATTCTGAGTAACTTTCAAGTCATAATAAATTAAGCCACGATTTCCAAAGCGAGTTTGTCAACTCTCAAGTAAGAATTATTCAATTAATCCTAATAATAGATGAAACAAACCTAAATTAGTATTGATATCAATAAAAAAGAATAATAAGAGTTTTAAGAGATTAAAGATGATTAAATCATTTAAACTAACACCATCATTGATTCACCTACTAAGATGAATACTGATGATTCTCCAAAAAAGAATAAATTCAAAGCCTTCGGAAATTTACTATTAAGTATAAGAAGATTATAATAGAACTTAGTTGAACGTATTTCAAACATAGTATATTAACTAGATAATTATATTAGGATTAATTAAAAGAATCCATCATTAAACCATCCACTAATACAAATGTTTCTAAAATACATCCAGATCCTTCCTCAAGAGATAGTGAAAACATTAATGAAATCCTATCGAACTTGAAATTAGTTGATAGATTCATTTATTATTCCGAATAAGGATCATAAAACGATATTCAAAAAATGATTAAATTATTATAATTTTATCCTAAAAAGTAAACTTTGATATTATTTAGACATTTGTATTGTCCTACAGACCCAAAACATATACTAAACTCGTTCAATAAGTTTGGATAGAACTCCTTATATATTTCTTGCAAAAATGGAAATCTTGCTGTCATTAAATTCCTTCTAGATTAATAAGCCAATCCTTTTATAAAAAGCAAGGTTTATGAAAACTTTTATGAATCTCCTTTGGAAGTTTCAATCAGATGGAACCATTTCGATTGTGTTTAATTGCTACTTGAAAAATCTAACTATTCAAACAAAGAATTAAAAGCAGCCATTCAATAAACTTCTAATCCTTAAATAAAACAACTCATTAAATCAAGTCTCAAATCAGATACTTTTTGCTGTTTTTGATAAGTAAATAAAGAATATTCTCCAATATATTACATTTATATTTCAATCTAAGTTAGTTCTATAAAATTCTATAATAATCTATACTACTAAATCATGATCAATATTTTTAGGTATTTAAGACTTTCTTAACTGGTTTAAAAAGTATAATCAGTAAGATGATTAAGTGCTAAAACTTGACATTAATTTATAATTAAAAATGGCAGGTTTTTCAAATGTTTAGATTTATCTGTATGAGATGTCAATTTCTTAATATTCTTTTAAGCATTACTCAGAACTTGTGTTCATGTTTATCGAAATAGTTTCTTCATCCTTTGTATTATACATTTTATATTTAAATATACCAATCATTGTATGATCCTTGATTTATAGGAAACCTAATAAAATAAGGGTTGACTAATTGTATTAATGAATGAATTACATAAAAATTTCAACTTCTAATATGATATCTATTAAACTTAGATTCCCATTTAAAATATAAAGAGAATGTTATAAAATAAATTTTATATTATTTAATAAGTTGTCATTTCAAACCATTGTGGAACTAGTTATTTAATGGGTAAACCTTAGCTTCAATTTGAAAATGTTTATTGTATATAATAATAAAGTTTATGAAATTTTGGATTAGATATTTATTAATAATTTCTGAAAGATTGAGAAATTATTATTAATTATAAAATTTATTTAAATATATAATGGTTAAGAAAGCAGCTCCTAAGAAATAAGAGACAAAAACAGCCCCAATTAGAAGAACAAGAACAATAACTACTTTAATAAAAGACAATGAAAATATTGTACACGAAAAATTAGGATAGACTAGAAGTAAAAGCAATGGTAAATATCTTTTTTATCACTCAGGTGTATTACAAAAGAAGATTACCAAGTAGACTTAAGAAACAAAATAAAAGAATGGAGTTAATGAAAAAGAAAAGAGTGCGCCTAAAAAGAATTCAAATTAAAAAGAAGAAAAATAACCAATTAAAGATGAAACGAAATAAAAAAAATAACCAGAAGTTAAAGATACTAAAAAACCTATTTAAACTAAGTAGATAGTGGAACCAGTATAGAAAAAAGTAATTAGTAAAAAAAAAAGTGCTCCAAAAAAAAGTCCTGTTAAAAAAAGTACACCAAAAAAAACTCCTGTTTAAGAAACTGTTGCTAAGGAAGTGAAAAAACCCATCCCTGCGGAAAAGAAAAATGAAAAGGAAGGAATTAAAAGTGAAAAAAAAGTAGAAGAAAAATCTGAAAAGAAAAACAATGATAAAAGTGAAAAGAAAGTTACAGATAAATCTGATAAAAAAGAAGTAGAAAAATCAGAAAAGAAAATAAATGATATAAGTGAAAAGAAGCCTGTTGAGAAATCAGATAAGAAAAGTGAGAAAAAAGGAAAAAATGAAAAAAAAGAATAAAGTTAAGAATAACAGGAATAAAAATAAACAGATTCTGCAAAGCTCCCTAGAAGAACAGAAAGCAAAGCTAAAGCTGGCATAGTTGATGTTGTCTTTTGTGTAGATACTACTTAATCTATGTCTCAATATTTATATTAAACAAAGGTAATAAATGATTAATTATGTAGAATACTGTAAAAGAAATTATTAAAAATATCAAAGTTAAAGCTTAAAATGAAGACATTAGTGTTAAATTTGGGTTTGTATGCTACAGAGATCACCCTCCTTAAGACTACACCTATGTAACTAAAATCTAAGGATTATGTGGAGAAGAAGAAATACTTGATTTTATAGAATAACAAGGTGCGCAAGGAGGAGGAGATGTACCTGAAGCTGTTTTGGATGGACTGTATGATGCTGCAAAAAAGATTGAATGGAGAGATTCCAGTCATAAACCTTCATTAAGATATATCTTTCATGTAGCTGATGCTCCTCCTCATGGAAAAGAGTTTACTGATTAACCATCATCTTGGCCTAATGGAGTTCCGTATTATTTAGCTTATATTATAGATCTGGTGTAACACTTGATAAAGTAGCTCATGTGATTAATATCAGGGAGATCCATTATAGATTGATAAATGTTAATAAACTAAATTTTTTAGATAATATGAAAAAGTTGTTTAAGGAAAAGTTTACTAATTATGAAGAAACAGAATTAGCAAATGCAAAGGAAATGGATTTCAGAGTTAGTGATATGATCATTAGAGAATTATTACCGGATGTTGATTATAATGATTGAATCTTCATCGCAATATAAACAATTATAATTAGTTAAAGAAAGATATTTATAATAATTAAAGGTATTAATTCATTGTTATCATCTCAATTATATAGTGGGGGAGAGCTTTAATTAGTTCTATTCCCTAATTGATACTTCACATTCTCTTCTTTTTGGATATAATATATCAGTAATATCTGTTAAAGGGAGATAACTAATTCCTTTTTTATGATTTCGATGTCCTTAATAAGAGCCTTCGTTCTCCTTATCAGGATTTTCTACCTCCTTTTAAAATTTTAACTATTTTGAGTTCATTTGAAATTCAAATTCAATTATTAATAAAATTATTTCAAATATTACCAGATTAAAATCATAAAAATAATTAATATTATCTAAATTATTACAAGTAAATATACTATTCAAAAAGTGAAATTAAGTTAATAGCAATCTAAGTTCATAATAAACTATTATTTTTCATTATTGTAGCTTAATATGAAATTTTAAGCATCCAAAGTTTTGTCAAAGATTCTTAATCAGCTTTCTGATGTTTATTGATAATATAAATATATTATTAATTTAAATGGGTAATTTGTGTCTTAGAAAGAAGGAGAAATCCTAATAGCCCTAAGTATATAATTTTTTAACAAAAGTACAACATTGCTGATGAAAATCACATCACCTATACTCCTGCCACTTTAGATGAGTTGGAAAAAAAAATTAAAATTGAATCATAAGGTATGTACAATTACCATATTTTAGATGACAATAGCTCGGGTATCTATATTATGTATTTCTAGAAGCTTTGATTTTGAATGTGGACAATAAATAAGACTAGTTTTAATAAGGGAATAACCAAGCAACAATTCAAATTCTTAATGATCTAGATAAGGATGCCCAAAAACTTATTAAACAAGGAGAAATAGCTAAAGCAGAATTATCAAAAATTAAATAATAAGTAATAATTATACTAGTTTTAGTAAATTGATGATGCTGTTTTGAATATGGAACAACAAACATTGTAGTAAAATCTTCTAAACAAAGCTTAAGAAAGTGATGTATAAAGAGCATAGTTTGAAGAAGAAAGAAATAGAGAACAGTAGGAAGCTTAAAAAAAAAGAGAAAAGTAATAATAGGAGGAAATTAATAGAAGAGAAAAAGAGGCTGAACTATTAAAGCAGTAAAAAGAGTAAGAAGCAAGAATTGCATAAGAAAAAGAAAATGAAAAAAGAAGATAACTTCAATAAGAGTAGGAAAGAATAAGAATTGAGTAAGAGAATGAAAGACAAAGATAACTGTAAATTGAATAAGAGGCTCAAAAATTAAGATTAAAATAAGAGGAGGAGGAAAGAATTAGATAAGAATAAGAAGCTGAAAGATTGAGAATAAAATAAAAAGAAGAAGAAGAAAGAATAAGATAACAGCAAGAGGCTGAAAAATTAAGATTATAATAATTAGAGAAGGAGAAAATTAAATAAGAGTAAGAAGCTGAAAGACTAAGATTAAAATAAGAAGAGGAAGAAAGAATCAGACAAGAATAAGAAGCTGAAAGTTTGAGATAAAAATAAAAAGAAGAAGAAAGAATTAAACAAGAATAAGAAGCCGAAAAATTGAGATTATAGTAATTAGAAGAAGTTAAAATTAGATAAGAACAAGAAGCTGAAAAATTGAGGCTTTAAAAATTAGAAGAAGAAAAAATTAAATTAGAATAGGAAGCTGAAAAATAAAGGCTTTAATAATTAGAGGAAGAAAGAATTANCTATTTTGAGTTCATTTGAAATTCAAATTCAATTATTAATAAAATTATTTCAAATATTACCAGATTAAAATCATAAAAATAATTAATATTATCTAAATTATTACAAGTAAATATACTATTCAAAAAGTGAAATTAAGTTAATAGCAATCTAAGTTCATAATAAACTATTATTTTTCATTATTGTAGCTTAATATGAAATTTTAAGCATCCAAAGTTTTGTCAAAGATTCTTAATCAGCTTTCTGATGTTTATTGATAATATAAATATATTATTAATTTAAATGGGTAATTTGTGTCTTAGAAAGAAGGAGAAATCCTAATAGCCCTAAGTATATAATTTTTTAACAAAAGTACAACATTGCTGATGAAAATCACATCACCTATACTCCTGCCACTTTAGATGAGTTGGAAAAAAAAATTAAAATTGAATCATAAGGTATGTACAATTACCATATTTTAGATGACAATAGCTCGGGTATCTATATTATGTATTTCTAGAAGCTTTGATTTTGAATGTGGACAATAAATAAGACTAGTTTTAATAAGGGAATAACCAAGCAACAATTCAAATTCTTAATGATCTAGATAAGGATGCCCAAAAACTTATTAAACAAGGAGAAATAGCTAAAGCAGAATTATCAAAAATTAAATAATAAGTAATAATTATACTAGTTTTAGTAAATTGATGATGCTGTTTTGAATATGGAACAACAAACATTGTAGTAAAATCTTCTAAACAAAGCTTAAGAAAGTGATGTATAAAGAGCATAGTTTGAAGAAGAAAGAAATAGAGAACAGTAGGAAGCTTAAAAAAAAAGAGAAAAGTAATAATAGGAGGAAATTAATAGAAGAGAAAAAGAGGCTGAACTATTAAAGCAGTAAAAAGAGTAAGAAGCAAGAATTGCATAAGAAAAAGAAAATGAAAAAAGAAGATAACTTCAATAAGAGTAGGAAAGAATAAGAATTGAGTAAGAGAATGAAAGACAAAGATAACTGTAAATTGAATAAGAGGCTCAAAAATTAAGATTAAAATAAGAGGAGGAGGAAAGAATTAGATAAGAATAAGAAGCTGAAAGATTGAGAATAAAATAAAAAGAAGAAGAAGAAAGAATAAGATAACAGCAAGAGGCTGAAAAATTAAGATTATAATAATTAGAGAAGGAGAAAATTAAATAAGAGTAAGAAGCTGAAAGACTAAGATTAAAATAAGAAGAGGAAGAAAGAATCAGACAAGAATAAGAAGCTGAAAGTTTGAGATAAAAATAAAAAGAAGAAGAAAGAATTAAACAAGAATAAGAAGCCGAAAAATTGAGATTATAGTAATTAGAAGAAGTTAAAATTAGATAAGAACAAGAAGCTGAAAAATTGAGGCTTTAAAAATTAGAAGAAGAAAAAATTAAATTAGAATAGGAAGCTGAAAAATAAAGGCTTTAATAATTAGAGGAAGAAAGAATTAGATAAGAATAAGAGGCTGAAAAATTGAGGCTTTAAAAATTAGAAGAAGAAAAAATTAAATTAGAATAGGAAGCTGAAAAGTAAAGGCTTTAATAATTAGAGGAAGAAAGAATTAAATAAGAATAAGAGGCTGAAAAATAAAGACTTTAAAAATTAGAAGAAGAAAGAATTTAATAGGAATAAGAGGCTGAAAAATAAAGACTTTAATAATTAGAGGAAGAAAAAATTAGATAGGAATAAGAAGCTGAAAAGTTAAGGCTTTAATAATTAGAGGAAGAAAGAATTAAATAAGAATAAGAGGCTGAAAAATAAAGACTTTAATAATTAGAAGAAGAAAGAATTTAATAGGAATAAGAGGCTGAAAAATTGAGGCTCTAATAATTGGAAGAAGAAAGAATTAAATAGGAACAGGAAGCTGAAAAACTGAGGTTATAAAAGTTAGAAGAAGAAAGAATCCAGTAAGAATAGGAAGCTGAAAAGTAAAGACTTTAATAATTGGAAGACGAGCGAATATAATAAGAATAGGAAGCTGAAAAATTGAGGCTTCAATAATTAGAAGAAGAAAGAATAAGATAGGAGTAAGAAGCAGAATAATAAAAGCTTAAATAATTAGAAGAAGAAGAAGCTTAAAAATAAAGGATTCAATAATTAGAAGAAGAAAAAATTAGATAAGTTTAGGAAGCTGATAACTAACAATAATAACAACAAGAAGAGAATTAAAATCAAAATAATCTATATAAATTTGTTTGGTAATTTTTATTTAATTATTAAAGGGCTCAAGGAGGTAGTAAAGTTTTGTTAACTGGAAGCTGGTTAAATTGGACAGATAAAATCGAATTAATATAAATTGATAATAAGTAAATTTAGTATAATTTTTAAAGATTTGAAATTGAAGTATAATTACCTTTGGGTAAGCATGAATTCAAGTTTGTTGTAGACGATGATTGGAAAGTCAGCGATTAATATGAGTATAATGGTTAAAATAATTTCATCATTATTTGAGTAAAGATTGAATTAATTTCATAATAAAATAAATAAGATCATTATTAGTATATAACTTTATATCATTTATGTAAATATAATTCTAAATGTAAAATTTATATCAATAGATATAATAAAGCAATATGATTATAATTGTTTTAGTGTACTAATGATAAAAATATCTTGCTTTTTCTTGCAATAGAATAATTTTAGACGCTTAATATACCAACCCATCGGTATGAAACACCCAAGGTTATTTAAGTGTGAGGATTGTAACTTATCTCATTCTCAATGAATATTAGACAAAGAGTAAAATATAAAAAATGTATTAGTCTAGGATCATTTCATAAAATATTTATTAAAATACATCACATTTTCAAGATTTCATCCATCTTTGGGAATTTACCATCTCTCATGTAAACTTTTAATGTTAAATCTCATTTTATCTTCACATTTCCTTCTACACATAGATCTTTTTAGAATTAACAACCCCTGTAATTAGAAGCATTCTCAAAATCGAATATTTCAATGCATTCTTTAAATTTTATCACTTCAGGATGAAAATATTTTTTTAGGAACTAATATCCTCTGCTCACATAAATTATAATAATTTCCTTCAAAATTTTCTAATTCATCTTTTTCAGACTAACTCAGTTCATAAGGAGGAGATCTTCCCTTAAAATATCTATAAATTTATTCTTCCTAGAAAGATCTGTTATATTTTTGCTGCAATTCCAAAGTATATGCTCCCTAGTATTTTGGACACAAAAACTCGATGCTATTAATCCAATAACATCTTTTGGAAATGGACTTAAGTAATATTGCTTTTCAGGTTTTTCTAGGGTCATTATTGTATTTAATTTTATAATACTTGAATAAAAAATAAGTTTGGCTAATTTTATAGTATCATAAAAGGAGAGTAATAGGAATTCAAGCTAATTTGAAGGAGAAATAGATTAATGGGCTTAGAAAACAATTATTATAAAAAAATAAAAAATTGTTAAGTAAATGAAATCAGTATCAGCCCCTAAAAATAATTATCAGAGAACTTTGAATAACAGCTTTAGCACGCCTGACAAGAAAATAAATAAAGTATGCGTATGAAATATATAAGAGTAGGTTAAATACTCAATCAACTTTGAAGCTGAGCGGTGAAATGATGTCCGTTTAAAGTTATTTATATGAGTAGGCTCATTTAAAGGAAGAGGCTTCAAAGAAAGAGATTGTGAGGTAAATCAGATCTGTGATTGACAATCTTGAGAAGAATAAAAGCTTTAAGTAGTTAAATTAATAACTCTCAAAATTGATAGTAGGATTAAGGACATGCATTCATTAATAGGAAGTATCAAGCTATATCATTTAATTAATCTAAATTATGAGAGAAATCACGAATAATCATTAAAACCAAAAATAAAATCTGTATGATAAGGATAAAGCAATTTTGATGTAAAGAATTCATGAGTTAGAATAACAGGCAAAAGAAAATTAATTTTAATTGGGTATGTATTTGTATAGAAACGGTTAGAATTACAGATGCAAAGGAATGAAGCAGAGGAGAGGATTAAGAATTATGAAGTTCAATTAGAGTAAATAAAACAGATAAAAAATTAAAACCAAAATTAACCTAAAAAATAGTAAACAAATACGAAAGAAAAGATGGAACTAAAAAACCAAATAAAATTGATGCAAACTAAAATATAGACACTTTCTGAGAAGGAGAAGAAATTAATCTAATTAGTAAAAGCAGTAAAATCCAGAGGGATTGATGTTGAGCATATCTATAAAAATATCAATTAGGTTTCAAGCAGAAATAGTAATACTACAAATAAAGAGGATAAGGAAGAGTTTATTGATAGTTCGAATTCTGATTTCGCAGACATTTCTCAATTTGATATTGGTTAGAGTAGTATTAAAAGGAACAAAAAATTCTTATTAGATTGACATTTTTATTTCTATATATATAAAGAGTTTAATCATAAATAAAATTTATTCACAATGTATAATTCAAGATCTTTATGTAAAATTTAACAACTATCCTTACTAGACTAATAAGTGTCTCCAAGCAGTGGAAGAATCTAGAAGATATCAGAAAAACTATCAACCATATAAATAGGAGTAGAGAACGAGAGATTCTAAAAACTTGAATAAGCTGAATAAAGAATCCAATAAGCCGAAGATGCATTTAATGAATTTTAAGAATAAATCTTTACTAAACTCAATGGACTTAGAGATCAAGTATTATTTTATCTCATGTATCAGTTAGGAAAATTACAAAAATAAGTTGAAGAAGATAAATTAGCAAAAGAATAAGCNATTTTATAGTATCATAAAAGGAGAGTAATAGGAATTCAAGCTAATTTGAAGGAGAAATAGATTAATGGGCTTAGAAAACAATTATTATAAAAAAATAAAAAATTGTTAAGTAAATGAAATCAGTATCAGCCCCTAAAAATAATTATCAGAGAACTTTGAATAACAGCTTTAGCACGCCTGACAAGAAAATAAATAAAGTATGCGTATGAAATATATAAGAGTAGGTTAAATACTCAATCAACTTTGAAGCTGAGCGGTGAAATGATGTCCGTTTAAAGTTATTTATATGAGTAGGCTCATTTAAAGGAAGAGGCTTCAAAGAAAGAGATTGTGAGGTAAATCAGATCTGTGATTGACAATCTTGAGAAGAATAAAAGCTTTAAGTAGTTAAATTAATAACTCTCAAAATTGATAGTAGGATTAAGGACATGCATTCATTAATAGGAAGTATCAAGCTATATCATTTAATTAATCTAAATTATGAGAGAAATCACGAATAATCATTAAAACCAAAAATAAAATCTGTATGATAAGGATAAAGCAATTTTGATGTAAAGAATTCATGAGTTAGAATAACAGGCAAAAGAAAATTAATTTTAATTGGGTATGTATTTGTATAGAAACGGTTAGAATTACAGATGCAAAGGAATGAAGCAGAGGAGAGGATTAAGAATTATGAAGTTCAATTAGAGTAAATAAAACAGATAAAAAATTAAAACCAAAATTAACCTAAAAAATAGTAAACAAATACGAAAGAAAAGATGGAACTAAAAAACCAAATAAAATTGATGCAAACTAAAATATAGACACTTTCTGAGAAGGAGAAGAAATTAATCTAATTAGTAAAAGCAGTAAAATCCAGAGGGATTGATGTTGAGCATATCTATAAAAATATCAATTAGGTTTCAAGCAGAAATAGTAATACTACAAATAAAGAGGATAAGGAAGAGTTTATTGATAGTTCGAATTCTGATTTCGCAGACATTTCTCAATTTGATATTGGTTAGAGTAGTATTAAAAGGAACAAAAAATTCTTATTAGATTGACATTTTTATTTCTATATATATAAAGAGTTTAATCATAAATAAAATTTATTCACAATGTATAATTCAAGATCTTTATGTAAAATTTAACAACTATCCTTACTAGACTAATAAGTGTCTCCAAGCAGTGGAAGAATCTAGAAGATATCAGAAAAACTATCAACCATATAAATAGGAGTAGAGAACGAGAGATTCTAAAAACTTGAATAAGCTGAATAAAGAATCCAATAAGCCGAAGATGCATTTAATGAATTTTAAGAATAAATCTTTACTAAACTCAATGGACTTAGAGATCAAGTATTATTTTATCTCATGTATCAGTTAGGAAAATTACAAAAATAAGTTGAAGAAGATAAATTAGCAAAAGAATAAGCTAATGAAACTAAAAATAGGGAAGTGTTAGCTTTGGAGAAGAAATTCGAAAATGCAATCGAAAATGAGACTCAAGCAAGAAAGGAAGGAGAATCTAAAGTGCTGCGTCTGTTAGAGGATAAAACTGCATTATTAAGAACTGAAGTTTAGAAAGAAACAGCCAGCAGAGTTGATGCTATAGAAGGAATCCATCAAGGGTTGTAAAATGATTTACCAAAAATACAAGAAGCAATTAGAAATGAATCAAATGAAAGAGATGAATCTGATTAAAATGTATAGATTTAGCCATCTACTATTAGGTTATGAAATCAATCACAGATGAACTTGTTAAATTAAGTAATTTAATTAATGTGGAGAAGAGAAACAGAGATGAGAGCGAATAGTCGATCTTCGAAATGTTAAAGGATATCGTTAATAGAGTGAAAGTAGAATTGGATTAAGAAAAGAAAACAAGGTAACCAAATATTCTCAAATTATTAATAGAGAATAATCAGAAGAACATCTCTTAAGTCTATTAGAAGATACTTGCAATAAATTAAGTATTGCAGCAAATCTATGATCAATTATAAATATATTAAATATTTAAAATTTATTCCTCGATGTCCAAAGAAGTAGTAATAATATTTTTTATACATGAAAGAGATCTATATCAGCACATGAATCTATAATTAAGTATGCAAAACTATAGACCTAAAGAAAGTAATTCAATTCAATATAGTAGTTATGCGAATATTTCCAAGTTTGGGCCAGAAAATGATTATTACGATAAAGAAACTCTCTATTTTTAAATAAAATCTCTAAAAGAAGAAATGAATATTATTAGAGCTGAAAATATTAAGTTAAAAACTAGAATTTTATAATAAGATGTATTTGAATGTTAATTGTGATAGAAAGAACTCTAGAATTTTGAGAAATATATTGAAGAACTGTAATTTAAACCAAATTCCTTAGCTAAAAATAATGAGTACATTATTTAGTAGATTAAAAAATAAAATAAAGATTTATAGTTATAGTTATAAGAGAAATTATGTTAAATAGAACAAATGAAAAAAAATACTAAAGTTACAAAAGTATAAGAATTAAAGATTGAAAATTCATTATATAAAGAAGAGATCAACAAATTGAAAAAAATTTTACAAGATCAAGAAAAAAGCACACAAGAGTATGATAATAATATATAATTCAAGATTTATAAATCAATAATCTATGATAAAAGATAATTTCATAAGAACACAATAAGGTTTTATCAAATAGCAACTAGAAATTAGTGATTTGAAATAAAAATAATAAAATGACAATTTGAAAATCACTTAATTACAAGTATCTTTTTAAGTATTATTAGAATGAAGTCTCAAAATTAAATCAGATTAAAGTCAATTTAGAAGATAAAATCTAGAGAATATCAACTGAATAAAATAAAAAAACTTCTACAAATTCTTTTAAAAGTAATAAATTCTAAGCCACAACCGAAATATCCTACACCCAATTAAGATCAAAAACTCAAGAAGAACTTTAATATAAATTAATAATACGAGGTATCACATATGAATAATTTACTTAAATGATCCAAGAATTAAAATAGCAAGCAATTGATTAAAAAAAATAAATTGAGATAGAAGATATTGAATATATACTAAGTTAAGAACCCTTTACTTTAGGTTAAGATAGAATATAGGAAGTTGTCAAATCATTGTAGGCATATGGAAATAAATTAGCAGATTCTCTGTTAAATTAAATCGGAAAGTATAAAACATTTCTGGATTACCCTGATTTTAAAATTGAAGAAGCAGAGAAAATGATTAAATAAACTTTAAAATAACCAGAAATAGCAGAATATGTTTAGAAAAAACAAGTTTAACTCTGGAATAAAGAAGAAGTTGTATAGATGGTGAAATATCTTAAGATCACCTGGAACGAATCTGTTTTGTTGTTTTATCTTCTAAACGTATAAAGTTCTATAGAATTTTAGTTATTTGAAAAATCGGGATAGATTCTTGAATTCAAGAGCAATACAATAATTGATCCCTTTCCATAGTTGGTACAGAAAGAGTCTTCGAGAATAATTGAAGAAAGTGACGAAGATTTATTTGATTAATAATCAGATCCTTCTTAGAATATGATAATTTAAGATGATGATCATTATATAGCATGAAATTTACTATTATATACAATTAATCATTTTTTTGAATATGTGTTTTCTAGATGCATTTTCATAGTAGCTAATGGATTGTCTTAAAATGGTTTAATCTAGAAAACTTATTTCATTCTGAGTTGATCTTCCTTTAACAATTTATTTCTTAGATGACTAGAAGTTCCTTTATTTTTTTCTAATTCTAATTACTTTTGTTTTTCTTGGTGTTGTTTATCAATATCTAATAAATTATTTTTCAATGAATCTAAGATGAAAGTCTAAGGTTCTTACTTCTATTTGGTAATGATATATTTATCCAACAACTACCATAGCAATATATTATTACCTTCTTTTTAAGAATTTTTTGTTTTTTCAACAATCTATCTCTCTATCCTTTTGTGGATGTTTTTGGAATCTGAATTTGTTATTCAAGGTTTTTATTGAATTCCTTAAATATTTCAGCTTTCTTTTGGGTATCAGTTTGAGTTGAAGTTTTGATTTGATTGAGTTAGTTTACTTTCTTTTTAAGCTGCTTTTATTTGATTTACTCACTAGTTTATTTGATCACCTTCTTCTTAATACCCATGGGTTTCTCAACATCCATATCACCTTTAGATAAAACTGTCTTCTTTTTATTAAGCTTTTTATCCTTCTTTAAGTTTTTATCCTCTTTCTCTAATTAAATTTTACCCATAATTTTTTAATATAATAGTTAACAAATGTTTTATATAAAATCAAATTTGGAATATAATATTACAAATTAAAATTTAGGGCAACCAATTAAAAATAGAGTAACTAACTACCATAATTAGCCTCACATCAATTGATTTAATTAATTCAAATGATATCATATCAGATTATAAAATTTTACATATAAATAAGCAATTAAACCTTGCTTAAAAAAGCAATGATCTCAAGATAAAGTAAGAATAGTAGCACAATGTAGATGATTAAAATATATGATATAAATTAAGTAACCTTTGTTAAGTTGGTTTAATAACGGAAAAAATAATTATTTTTATTAAATATTGGCTAGACACTTGTTTTATTAGTGAGAATTCGGAAAATTCAGAGAATAAACCTCAAAAATAAAAAATTCAAATTTATAGACTATTTGGTTAAATATTATTATTGCGATTATTATAAGCTAATAAAAATGGCTATAAATCTTCCTGTTAATAATTGTATAATTTAGTATCTTTTTCTCAAGGTATAATATTTTATTCATATTTATTTAATTAAATTATTTGAGATTGAAATATGGGATGTACCCAATAGAAAATTTCAAAGTAGGATTAATTGATAGAGGTTCCTAAATAAAATCTATCAACTGGACCATATATCATGAGCAACAAAATCGTATTGTTACAAATTTAATATTACCACGGAAGGTAATCCCTTAAATCTATAGGTAATAAATAGAACTATATTAAGATTAAAGCACCATATTGAAGAGGAGAAGAACCAAAGAATAAATAACTGAGCAATCCTCCCCAACGAAAATTTACAAGTGACTATTATATAATCAATTAATCATATTCACATTATTTGAATAATTTCAAATAGATGATTTCATTGAGATAAATCACTTAAATTCTTATTTCAACTTTCTCAACCACTTTACTAATAAAATTTAGAGTATACTGATATTATATGCTTAAGATATAATTTTTTTGTATTTAATTATGATTTATTTTTTCATTAATTAGAAAAATGGCTAAGCTTGAACAATAAAAATAAGGTTAATTAACCTTAATTGCCATTATATCGTATCATCATTTGAAAAAGGTGTGATGATAATGATAAACTGTAAATTTATGGAAAAAATTTTTATAAAGCATATTAAAAATAAAATAATTGGAGATTCTAAGGTGTATTTTTAGAGAGATAGATAAAATTATTACAACTGGAGAATTGTGAATATCAGAAACAATTTCGATTAAAGTTGTAAAGTTATGTTATGTAAAAAAACTTAGAACTGAATATATATTTGCTTTAATTTTATGTGTATCTTTAAAAACCCTTTTGAAATGACAGAATTAATTGGAATTTGTTCTTAGAAGAGAGCTCAGGTTGAATTTTTAGTCGGATATCACTTGCTATTCGTTTTAAGATTTTTCGAAACTATTATATTAACAAAATAATAATTGTTAATAAATAGAATTCGAACCTCATAAATTCACTTGTTAGTTCAAATTATGAGCATCTTGACATTGATGAATTCTGATAGAACATCAAATTTACAAATATTCTATTTTTCATTTTAAGTAGTTGTATTAAAAGTTTGTAAAAATCTTCATGAGTGTGAGGATGGATTTCTATTAATAGCAAATAAAATGAAACTGATTAACAATTTATAAATTATATATATTTATAATATTAATTTTTGTTGAGATGAGAAGTTTTAATGATGTTTTGATATTGAATTTAGTTTATTCTCAGTATATACCTTATTCAGACAAAACCATAGGATAATTTTATCTGATAGATGTAGTTTAAATCAAAAATGAAAAATTTATTAATAAATATTTTCTCTAAATTTATATCAATTCTTGGAGATGATGAAAAAGGATGTAGCTGGTTTTAAGATAAATTTAAGTAAGTAATTAGGAAGAGGAGCATTTGCAACAGTTTATGAATGCTCGAAAGAAGGGATAACAATACCATTATGTGTGAAGGTATATTTTATGGTTATTAATAAGGTAATACATTTGATTTCAGACGAAGAATATGATTAGTAGGCACTGAAAAGGGAGATAAAAATTTTGATGAATCTAACAAACTATCATCATCCTCATATAATTAATGTAGTTGAAATATGCGAGGATTGGTAGTAGAGGGTCTGTTATGTGTTTATGGAGAAATGTTCTCAAGGCCACATAGAGAATACGATTAAAGCAAGAGCTTCAACTAAATCATTTTTCAGTGCAGGAGAAATAATTGAAATGACCACATAAATTATTAAAGGATACAGTCTTTTATACAAAAACTCAATAATTCATAGAGATTTGAAACCAGAAAATTTACTTTTTGGAGATGATGGAAAGATCAAAGTAAAATTGTGATAAGCATTAGATTTCCGATTTTGGTATGAGCAAAATATTAGAAAAAGAAACTCGAAATCAATTAATCTTTCAATCATAAGTAGGTACACCTTACTATGCATCTCCTTAAGTGTTAGATGATGGTAAATATTCATCTAAAACTGATGTCTTTAGTGTAATTTATATTCTAATAGTGATAGCTTGGAGTGATAGTGTACTACTTTACATTCTTAAGACTACCATTTGATAAGAGAACTTTTACTGAATTGAAATTACAACAGATAGCTTTATTAAAAGATAAAAATTTGATATTTCCTGAGATGAAGATTTAAGGTGAAAACTAAGAAAAAGATCTCTTACTTCGATTCATGTCTAAAACTATTACGTTTTACGAAGAGACTAGAATAGATTGGCCAACAATATTTAAAATGTTCCTGTCTCCAGAAGAATGCATTGAATCAACAGCATTAGTACCACAATAAAAACTTGAATCTATAATAATACCTCCTCTGTCTGATCTAATAACTGATAGTAAAGGATAAAAGCGATCAGAAAAAGCTTGTTAATCTTATCAAGTTAGAACTTTGATAAGCAATTTAATGGCCAGAGAAGAATTAGCTAGATCTTGTTAGTAATATTTGATATGCTTGTAATTATACTCAACTAAAATTAGAAACAAATACACTTCAATATTTAGTAATTAAGATAAACATATGCTAAAGGCTGCACTGTGTGGTTATCAAATGGCAATTAACTTAAATTAAATGTTCTTAATCTCCAATTAATACGATTAGGTTTGTAAATAAATACAGGAGACTTTTAAAGAGAATAACATTAAAATTGAATGTGAATCTTATATGAATGACAAATATGAAAAAGTAGAGGAGTAGAAACAGTAAGTCCTGAAAAATTCTCAAAATAATTTAATCTAATTCAAAGTAAAGACAACCTAATGTTTTAGGAATCAATCTCATAAGTTCTGCAAGGGGAAGCAGAGATAAAAGACGAGGCTTTGAAAAAATTTAAGATACTCTTAAGCAAAGCAGAATAATAACCAAACTATGAAATTTATGCTCAATGGTTTAATTATTATTACTAAAAATAAATCATCTCAAAGATGCAGAAGTATTTAAATTAAGCTCAAGAACAGGAGACTTTGATGTTTAAACTAAGAATATATATTTTAGGTTTTTGGCTTTGAGCAAGAAATTTGTAGCAGTTGAAAAGGATTACCCACTTAAAGAATTCCTTGCTTAAATTCCATCGTATATTTCCTATATGGATACTGAACAAGATTTTTTAAAGTAATATCTTAGAGCGAACCCACAATAATAATACTTGATAGATTCGAATAGAAATGAAAAATGACAATTAATCTCATTGTTATTTTTACATTGTAGGAGTATTGCATTCTTTAATTTTTAAAGTATTGTCTGGTATTCTAATTTGTCTTGTTGAATTATATTGTCTAACCATGACTCCAACATTGCAATCCTCAGCGGTTGGGTCTTCCACATTATCGAATTAATTGAAAGCAATCTATTTTAATTAGCTATTGGTCAAAGCCAACCTATGTAAATCCCTTGACTTTTTTGATTCCTATTTCAATGGAATATCTATATATATATTAGTTAAATAAATTACCAGAAATCTCTCTTGAATTCTGTTTCGATAATCGTGCACTGTATTGACTAAACTTGGAAGCTCCTGCTACAATTGAAGTTTTTCTCTAATCCTATCTATTTTAAGAAATATTTGAAGAGATAGAATCAGAGGAATTGAAATTTAGAGGAGATCTCTATTCTAAATCTTATGTGCCTATTTTTCTAGCATTTTAGATATCTTAATAACATTGTAAATTGCTTTGGTATTTTTCAATTTACACTTTATATTCCTTGACTAATTACTTAAAATACGGGTGTCTCATGCACTATGAATTATTTATTAGCAATAAGTACCTCTTGGGAACTTAATCTATAAGACACTTTCTTCTAGAGCATAGATTGAATTAGATCTTGCATTTGAATTGGTGCTAATTTGAAATGGGGTTCCTTGAAATCAATTTCGCATTCCTTGTTATTTTTGAGAATGGACTTTTAATCAATTCCAATAAAAGGAGTGTTTCCAGTCTAAAAATTTAATTAGATTAATTACAATTAGTAGATACAAAATGATACCAGCACTAAATACATCGCATTTATCGGTATAAAATTCTTAGCCTTCAGTATACTCTAAGATTTCTGGAGCAACAAATCCAGGAGTACCACATCTTTTAAATAGGTGTTCTTCATCCAAATTAGTAGCCAATCCAAAATCAGCTAGGATTATCTCGTAATTGTTTTCCGTAGATCTTAATAATAGATTTTCTGGTTTCAAATCTCTATGGATGACACGATTTTCATGCATATGACTTAAGGCACTCACTAAATTAAAAGCTAATTTCTGCACCGTTTCTGCTGGCAAAAAACCTAAGAGATTATTATTTATAAAATACCTGTCTCTCTCACTCTTGATAGTAATTCACCACCTTAAATCATATCTAAGACAAAATAGACTGAATTAGCTGTTTCGTGCACTTCATATAGTTTCACTATGTTAGGATGATTAAGTCTTCTCATTATTTTTATTTCATTTAGCATACTCTCAATTCCTTTAGCTTGCTGTTACATATATGCTTTGCTAAATGCTTTTATTGCATATTAAGTGTTAGTTTCCTTTTTGGTTGCCTGATAAACTTTTGCAAAACTGCCTTTGCCAATCATTTTGGATACTTAAAAAGCTTCGTGAAAGTTATCCAAAATGGCAAATCTCTTGAAATGAGACTTCCAAATATCGTAACTAATTTTGTCTGCAGTAAATATTTCTAGGCTCTTTCCTTAATAAGAAAGGTGAAAACCAAGTAATTATTCATCAGAGTTTAATTATACGAAGTTATCAGACGATGCTTCAATAAATTAAACATGCATAGTAAGTAATGGGGCTTTCTTAAGATTTGATAGTGAAACTCTAAAGAGTGAATCCTGACTCATCACCAGAAACTTTTTTTTAATCAACCTCTCCTTTGAACCGACCAGGAATTCGTGCTCCAGCAACTCATTTTATTCCTTATTATGAGATATTTATGTACATCAAGTAAGGCTTTGTCACATTACTTCCAAAATGTAGAAGTCGTTTAACCAAAGTCGAAAATAGATTGTAGCATATATATGTCAATCAATAAATTATATGATTATACTTTTAATTATATTCATTCAGTTTTATTTGCTGTTCATTTAAGAATTTATGTGCTAAACAGACTTCTCATCCAAATTCAAAGTCTTTGCCATGTGCTCAATGAATTATTTTCTGAATTCTGCTACTAATCTTTAGCATCTCTAATATTCCTCCGATTTTACATTGGGTTACTACTTTTTATCTATTGCCAGAAACAAAATGTTCTCCATACATTAATTAGCCTCTTTTTGAAGCTAATTATATTCCATCTTTGTGATTTCATTCTCCATTAAATGAATTAATAATATATAAACCTAATAACCAATTTGTTTAGCTTATCATTGTCGCAGCTCCTATATAAATTTCAAGTATATCCAGCAGAATGCTTTCATCAGAAATCTGCTGTTGGATTAACCCTTTGGAGTTTAAAGTAGTCATTGTTGAGTGAATATGTAGACAAATTGATTCAACAATTGCAAGATCTAATATCCATATTAGAAGGCATTGAAATATAAATTAAATAAGATAACAAGGTTCTTACTACTTATACAATGAACATAGTTTTTAATTAAGAAAATAATGAATAATTCTCTCAATTCGACTCAGATATTTAACTCAAGACTTTGATTTACACTTTGAATTAAAGGCTAAAAACATTGAAAGTAGATGATAAACCAAAGACCTTTTGTGTTAATTTTTTAACTAATGGCGCCGAAACTCAAAATAAAGGAGTTTAAGAAACATTGCTATAAAATTGGATACTCCTCAAAGAATCAAAAAAAAGAGAGACTCAATTAGTGAACTCACTTCATATGCCAAATTTAGATATCTTGGTTGGATTGATTTGATAATTATATAATAATGAATTATAATTATATTTAAGTGCAAACAGCATCTAATAAGATGCACAATCATCTTTTAATAAAGCTATTTTCACTATTCTTAAAGTATTGAAGTAGATTTTACTCATTTAGTTTAAAAGTCATAGGATCTTCATAATCGAATAAATATAGCATCTTCATAATCGAATAATTATAGCATCAATCAAATGTATCTTTAATTGATGTTATGTTTATTCGATTAGGTTAGAGAAAGAAAAAATATCTTAATCTCCACTTTTTTTCAACATTAACATTAATAAAGAATTGTTGAAAAATTTCAATTAATAGTTTTATTATACATTAGGAAAATCAAGGCTTTATATAAAGAGGAGGAAAAGAACAATAATATAAATTTTCAATAACTTATAGTCCATTAGAGAGAAGAGAATGGAGAAATTTTTTATTTTGATTTAAAATAGAGAGAAATCGATAGAGTAACATAGATGCGCATTAAATTAAGAAGATGATCAATAGCAGACTTAATGTAATGATATTAGCTAATCAAACAAAATTCTTTGATTGATTATGAAGAAATGATTCAAAACTCAGAAGGATTTCATTAACATTTCAAAAGGGCATTAAGAGAAATGGATGAATATATCATATTCAGGATAATGAAGGTGTATCTTGTTAATAGTAATATTTAAAAAATAATAAATTTGAATAGGGTGAATAAATTATTCATTCTCAATTTAATTTAGTGTTTTAATATAATTAAATTAAAATGAGATTCTGAATTTTAGTACTATAATTTATTTATCAGATTTCTGCTTTGCAAACAAATATCTTTGTGTTCTATAAGCATAGCTGGTATCATTTGGAATAGGACATCAAATAAGATATTTGATCATCATTTGTAAGTAGAAATAATTTGAATTATAAATAAATATCAACTGTTTTTAATTTTAATATATATCAATGATGAAATTCAAAAAGGATTGAATTTTTGATGATGAGATCTACATTGTGAAGGAGATCTTGATTTAATGACAATAGACATTTATTTAAAGATTTTCTCCTGCTTTTTCATGTCTGATTTCATCATAATTTCTTTATTTGTTTCTATAAATTACAAGTATAAACGATGTTCCTTTTTTGTCCAGTGACCTAGCTTTTAATTATTATTTTACCATTATTATACATTTTCTTTGAATTTTTCTTTCTAGTTTTTTTTATTTGTTTCTTTTAGTTTTAGTTCTATTCCACGGACTATATGGTTGATTTTGATTCAATTCGTTATTCACTACAAATTATGTATTATCATACTCTAAGCCATCCTCCACCTTTATTGTTGACTAAACATCGCTCATGACTTATTGTTATGACCACTGTTGAAGCGTCAGAAATTAAAAATAAGGATGAAAGACATTCATGAACCATTATTATTCAAATCTAATCACATTCAAGTATTACCTAATGAAGAGAAAGTATTTTGGAACATTGATTTCAAAAGATTTTAGATTCTTTAGTAGAAAAAATGATAAATTTTAATAATGTTCAAATAGCAAAAACAAATACAAAAATTAACAAAATACTAAGATACATACATTTTCATTCATTTCATCAATCATTAATTGTTTTTCTATTGATAGAAACGAATGATCATTTCTGGAGCATATAACAATTCCAACTTCAATTTATAATCAATTTCTAAAGAAACCAACTTCCATTTCTGAATGTTGTAATTTATAAATTTTTTAAGTATTAATATCAAATTGATAATTTATCAATATTTATGCTCAAAACCAATAACTTCACTTAATTGAAAGGGAATTATGGTAATATATGTAGTCTAAGATCATTTGAACATCCAATAAAATATATATATTTTCATACTCTAATATATCCATATATCACTTAAGTAATTTAAGAATAATCTCGAAATAATTATGAAATCTTGTTATATAATTAATAGATTATATCTTAAAAAAGGTTTATAATTCCAAATAGTGAGTCAGACAATATTTAATTATTTCTAATATTTTTGGATATCATTTAGTTCTACAATAATAGTTTTATATTTAAGAAATAGTTTTAAGTTATTGTAGTTTTTGGTCACGAAATTTTAAAGTTTTCCTTATATGAATATTATCACTTTGAAGCTTTTCAATAATTAAAGGATTCTAACACCAGTTGGTTTACTTTGAAAATAATTTAGTTGGAATCTTGACACATTAAAACGTGATATTTAAATTATCCTGTATAGATGTTTAAAGAATCTCAATTAATTAGTTCAAGAACAAATATTACAGTAGCTCAGGTGAGTTTGGAATAAGAAATTAAAAATCTTTATGAATATCCTTGAATTTATAATCTATGAGATTTCACATGCAGGATTGAAGGAAAGGAGATTGAAAGATTAAATAATTATCTTTTATTTTGTATTGTCAAGAGTGTAATCTTTTAGTCTTTTTTTCAAGATAGTTTTTTTAATTTTATAAATAAAATACTAACAGTTATAAACAATGGAATACGATTCTGTTTCAAAAATATAAGAAGAACTTGGATATTATAAGAAATATTGCTAATAGTTAGAGAATTAAAATGCTGCTTTAAATCAATAACTGTTTAATAACATTCAAGGGAAGGTTTTGACTGTGCATGATGGCAATCAGAATAATAAGAAATAAAATGAGAATAACTCTAACTCTCATAAAGAATGTGAATAAAGGTTAAAATTGATGGAGAAATAATTAAAGCAAAAGTTAATGGAAGAGTAGTTATGGCTTAAAAGATTTGAGACTTAATTAAATCAAATCGTTGAGTTAAAAGTATGAAATATAATTATTAAAGGCAATTCAAGCACAATATATTCAAGAGAGTGAACTAGAAGATATTAAAAAAACTAAAGAAATTGAAATATTGAAAGAGGAAATAGAACACTATAAAAAGCAAATTGAAATTTATAAATAGGAAACTAATTCATAAATCTACTTAGAAGAAATAAAAGAAATGAGGAGACAACTAGAAGCATCCGAAATTAAATTGGAATCCATGACAAAGGAATTGCAAATTAAGGATCAATAATTATGTAACATATTCACCTTTATTCTAAGTTTAAAAATAAGGAAATATAAAACAATCATTATTGTAATTCAAATAAAAATTTGATATTGAATTAAAAAATGAAAATCTAAGCACTGAACCAGATATATCAAGCAATAGTTTTTCCAATATTATGCTAAGAGATATATGATTTAATACTTATAAACATATATATGTGTATTTAAATCAAAAGCAGTCATAGTGTGAATCGCCTAATGCTTCGTATAACATTTCTGTGAAGTCATTATTAGGTGAGTTGAAATCAATTTAAAGTAGAGATTATTTTTTTATGGTAGAATTTCTAAAACTAGGAGATTGAGAATTTTAATTATCAACCTCTATAGTTTAAGAGAGAGCAGAAGTACAATCTCTATTTCTAAAATCAGTTTAACTGAGATTTAAGTTTGATTGACTGTTGTCTCTCTTGTGATAATCCCTTACTTTTTCTAATAGTTCTAAATTAACAGAAACCTGCAGAATATCTTTATTTTAACAGTTTTACACTTTCTTAAGACGATCTAATATTAATATTAATATGTACTATTAATTTATGGTTTAAAGGAGGGAGTGGCATCATTCCTGAGTTTTTAAATTTTTTGTTATCTTCTATTCTCATTTGTACTCATTCTTTAAAAGAAGTCGTTTTACTTGATAATTTTCTAGGAAGCCTTATTTTAAGTTGGTTTAAACTAACTCTCTTGATTCATTTTAATAGTTTTAGACTCCTTCAATTTATCTATATGATCAGTCTTATCTACTTAGATAATCTTAAATACTTTTGATTGCGTCTATTTAATACCTTGTTTATGGATATCAGGTTGGATTTAGGAGTTTAAATTTTTAGGTCTTAATATTTTGGGATGAAATGTATTTTCTTAATTTTACTCTTCCGTTTGTAATGAGATTAGCCTCTCTTTAGATTGTTGCGGCCTTTGATTTTTCAATTTTAGTTGAGATTGCTGCCTTTGGTAATGGTTAACATGTTCAGATTAACTATGAGTTCGCAGTAGTTAAGGAGATGGTGAATATTATCTTTGTTTTTCGTATTTAGGATGTTGTCCACCTTGGAATTTGATTAGTTACTCTTAGAACCTGGTTTTTGGATGATTATCTGACAAAATAGATTTAAGCTATTTATCCAAGAGTTCAAGGAGTATTTTTCTAGTGTTTTTGTTTCTTAAATCCATAATTACTTTAAAATTTTATTAATAATTTTTATTCTTATTTATTATGGATAATAAACTTCATTTTGGTTGAACTTTAGTGTAACACATTTGAATGTATATTTCTTATTTAAATTATGATGTTGATAGATTGAAATATTAAAAATTTCAATATAATAGTTAAATGCAATATACAAAGATCAAGCAGTTTCTGAAGAGGGTATTTAAGGATTTGGTTCATCGGAGAAAAGAACTCTACAAACTGATCTTATTGACTATTCATTAATTCTGGTTGCATAGTATTATTTCTTAGGAGCATTAGGGCATTTTGGTTATTTAGACTTAGGCGTTAACAAACAATTATTCATTTATTTAATTAATAGAAAGAATTATAGAAATACAAAATTATAAATTAGAGGCGCATGTATTTACCACCTACTCACTCAATATCATAATTTACGCAAACTCTTTATTTTGTCCTAATATCTTAGATCATAAAGATTGTTTATTTATTTAAAGAAAGTGGAGCTATAGTTTTGAATGACACTCCCCATATCCTACATGAATTGGATTAGCATGGTAATATTTTGATATTTGATTCTTTATTCCTGTGCTGTGGTTCTAGCAATGACAAATAATAAAGTTTGATTGACATTCTTTTACTCGTCTAGATTGCTAGTTTCTATTTTTGGAGATTGATTTAGTTTAAGAAAACCATTGAATTGATTTTGTGAATCCAAATATACATACTATTGATTATTAGGGGATTAGTCGTCTGAAGTTAAATTGGCTATTTGATATAAATGTGAACTAATACATTTTTTAATTTTAAATGATTGAATATCATTAGGAATGTTTTTTTCATTCTTAATCTAATAGAGTATACAGGAATTATTGATGTCAACAGAGGGAAGACTTATTTCAAAGTTTTTTGCTATAGACTTCACACTATTACTAAATAATTCAATCGATCGTAGACATTCTTGATTACCAGATTCTAAGAGAGTTGATAAATTTTCACATATCCTTATATTACCTTCTGAGAACAGTTCATCTGTGTAATCCCACGGACCATTACCAACTTTGAAAAAATAGATTTAGCCTTCCTCTATGCTAATAGTATACCATTTATTATTGATTTGATGAATAAGTTTAAAAAAAGAATAATCAGAGAGTAATTGATAGGTGAAGTAATTTTCTATTAAATTAAGTATTTAAAAGTAGTACTTCAGATTTGGATTTGGGAATTTCAGTATTCCCATTAGTGAGAATATAATTTTACTTTCAATTTTAAATTTACTTTGAAATTTGAGTTCTTAGATTCTCTCAAATTTTTAACCAAAGGAGGTCTTAAAGAATTTATCCTCTTATTATTTGATATAAACTTCAGATGCATCCCTTAGTACCGCGTTTTGAATTAATAGATGATGATTTGAAATATTAAAATTCTTCTTTTGGAACATCTCATCCTTTTTGATTTCACTTCTCAAATGAATCATGTAATCAATTGCCACTTTATTTATGTCCAAGCCTTCTACTTACTTTTTCTATAGCCACATCTCAGCTGAAATAAAATTCTTTAAGAAATGTTCACAAACATCAGTTTTTTAAATGTTGAATTTTGTAGATTAGAATGGCACAAGTCTTTTACCTGAACCACCATAATATAAGAAGTAACTTCGTGAACCAGGTTAAGACATGTTTAATTCAGGTCTCTCCTCATTTATAACATCATCGTCATAGCCTGGTTGAATATTGTTTAACTTTGCGTGTGTTTTACTAACTTTATCATTTCTGAATTTACGATGAAACCTGAGTTCATCTGGATTATCGTCATTTAAAATTAACTTCTTTTTCTTGTCATGCTTTGCTGCATGATTATTATTGTTTTCTTATTACTAGCTTATATCATTTTCGAGTTGTGATATTTTATCTTCTTCTTATTTCAATGATTAAGACACAACTGTAAAGACTTCCCAAACTAGCCCTCCAATTAAGGCTAGTAGAAAGATTGAAAAGAATTCAAACGAACCAACAAATAACATGGCCGATACCATATCATCAGTATCATATGTTAATTCAAAGACAATTTAGTTCCATTCAGCTGCAATGAACATTTAGAGCATCATCAAATATGATCCTGCAAAAGTAGAAAAATCAGCATATTTGCAGTTCCCCCATGTGTACTCAAAGCTATTGATATCACATTAAGAATTGGCATATGGATTATCTTCGTTGCTTTGGATTCTACCATATAAATACATACCGACACAAGAATAAATAAAGAATACCATTTGTACTGGCAACATTAATCTTAAAATTAAAGGGACACAAATAAGAATTTTGTATAATAGAGTTCTCACCACATCTAAGAATTGCAAGCCTTCAAATAAGATATTTAGTATTTTGAGAGATCTGAACGCTCTAAACAATCTGAATACTTTCTATATTTTTGCCAGTCTCAACAACCTATTAGCTTTGATTGACTACGAAATATTCCCTGAAACTATATTAAATAAAATATAATCAAATATGATTTGTAGGATTACCAAAGTAATATCAAAGATATTCCTATCGAATAATAAATGTGTTATACCATCCTTCTTAGAAATATGTTTTTATTCCTAACGCCAAAATTTTGATTGAACATTCCAAAGAATAGAAGACCAAGAATATGGTGTCTAACAAATTGAAAATGTCAAGGATGCCTTAATCTTCAATAAAAAAGGCTACTACTATTAACACACAGTTAGTTATTGTTATTATCAACATAGATATTCCGAACATCTAAAATTGGAATAGTATTGAAATAGTACATGTCCTTCTACAAATGTTAACAAACCTTTAGATATTAAATAATTTCTGAGGGATTCCCAACATTGAAGTGGTTTGGTTTCTGGCAAAGAGATCACTGAAGCATCTTAGAGTATATGGAGAAACTTATGAAATTCATCAAATTGAACCTTATCACTATATTGTAAAAATTACATTACTTAAAATCCTAATCAATTTAATTGAATAGCTAATTAATTTGTGATTCCGTAATTGTGTTCTTGTAGAAATGAAGGATGAAAGTTCTAAATTGATCTCTTGTCAAAAAGCCTTAATCTTGAAAGTCTAAAGATATGAAACTAGCCATCATTGCAGTCTTTTGTTTTATGATGTCGCTAATGGCTATTTCCATCCTATGCTTTCTGAATCCTTCATATACAACTGCCAATGGAATTGGTGCAAATAGAAAAATAAAAAGTAAGAGATATGTTATAAAGAATAAACAATAGTAAATTCCTTAAAGCATAGGTGGGATTAGGATATCTGGATAGAAGTCTAGGGTTGCTACCATGAATAACATGGAAAACAGTTTAAAGAAGTCTCCATAATCTTATGTTCTCAGATCTACATTATCCAAGCTTCCAATTAAATTAATTCCAATAAATGAAAATATTGAAATTATAATTAGATACAGAATTATCAGCAAAAATAAATCTTTGCCTGCTTTAAAGATTCCTTTTAAATTTCGTCTTAAATCTTTAGAATACATAGGCATTAACAATGTTCTGCATATTTTGCTGACTCTAAATATAGTTGGTGCATATTAATGTATTATGAAATCAACTAAACAAAAGTAATATGCAATCAATTTAAACTATTTTTTTGGATTGAAAGTAAATCTGTCTTCCTTCTTTGTTAATAGTAATACAATTGTAATACATGAATCTATGCCCATAAAAAGCAGGATTACAAGTTCTAAAACGAATAAATTTGAATGCTCCTCACTATCTTAATCAAAAAATGAAGGTTCAAAAAATGTTTGTAGTTGATATATGATTGACAACAGAAACAACCCATTTAACCAGTGTTAATTGTTCTCTAAATACCACAAAAGTTTCAAGTATGTCTTATTGGCTAAATCAATGTCGTTGCGTATAGCTCGCAAGTGATATGCATCATAAATGTGTCTTTCAGCTTTCTCTATTCTACTTTGAGGTGATAGTTTCTTCACTATTTTTTATATTTCTTAAGCCAACACATCGTTTTTCTCTAATAGCTTTTGCGAAAACTCAGACATTGCTATCGATTATCGATATATCGTGGATTATCTCTTATGGGTCTTTTTCATTTAATTATAAATATTATTCAATTAATCAATACTTGCAACTCATTATTCTACCTTCACATCCAATTTGAATCTTAAAGATCAGTTTTTTTCAATTATACAATATATAATTAAATTAATGAACCCGTATCACCATTACATCCTGACAGGAATAATAGAAGATTAAGATGATTTATCCTCTGTTAAATAGGAAGAATGTTCATAATTTCAATATTATGAGGAACAACCACAATTCATTACATATGAGAATTCTAATCTTTGCTAAATTATCTCATCAATACTAAGTATTAATGAAGAATATGTTGATTGGATTGCTCGCAATAAACCTATTGAATTTGAATCTATGATGGTTAAGGCGAAACGCAAATTCTATAGAGACAAAGCTAAATTCCGTATGCAAATTTTATAGCCTCATCTCTACTCATCTCAACAACCCCAAGAACCAAAAAAAGCGAAAAGAGGCAGAAAACCTATCAAATGCGCTGAGAAACAGTTTGTTGAAGACAATAGCGATCAGTATCACCTATACTTATTGTAGTGATAAAAAAACGATTCAGATGATAAGAAATAGGATTTCTGCCCAAAATTCTAGAGATAGAAAAAAAGCCTACTTAAAAGAACTTGAATAGAGCAGCGCCATAACAAACAGAGGAAACCATTTAATTCTCAAACAGATTGAAGAACTTCAAGCCTCTAATGAGGAAATTGAAATATAAAATAAAAATATTCTCAAAGTAAAATTTACAATCTATTTTAGTGTATCAAAGTCTTCAAATAACAATGTTTGGAGTCTGATGAATAATTTGCTCAAGAAATACTTAAATAATTAGAGTAATTCGAAAGTGACACTGAATCTAGTGCATCCAAAAAAGTTAAATTAAATTGAGTTAATTGATTTTATATCATTATTATATATTCTGTTAAAATAAATACAAATATGTAATTGTTTCAAACTCCCAATTCGCCTAAGTCTACATCTCGCAATTGCAGAAAACCATTTTCAAATCTCAACAACTATTCTGAATTTTAATAATCATCTAATTATTTGAAAACCAAAATTTCAGCATTGGAAAAGAGAGTCAAAAACATCAATAGCAATCATGTAAGTGAAAATAGATCAACAAACACTTCCAAAACTACAGCCAATCTATCCCCCAAAGAATTTAAAAGAAATCTCTATTACGAATCCATCATCAGCAAACGTTAATAAAATTTTAGTAAATTGGATCATTCTCCTTCAGAACAATCCACAACACATAATAAATATAGTTTATTAAGTCACCAAATTCCTGCCATCCCAAATTTAAACATTAAAGTATAAAATTTCACAAAAAAATTAAGAGAATTTTAAATACATAAAACACAAGAATCTGACATTATCATGACTAAAATCAAATAATTCTGTGATTAACACTTCAATGAATGCTTTGATTTTTATAGGTGTACAGATTTAATGTCCTTAAAATATTTCATTTACTTAATTATACAAGAAATAAACTCAAATGGACAAGAAACCGCTCGATCCATAGAAACTTAGAATTAAGAAAATTAAATCCAACATTTAAAATCCTTATTAGAAAACTAAAAACTAGACCAAACTACTATTTAAAGCTAATAATAATTCAAAAAAGTGATAATTGATACATAGAATGTGATTCAATCAATTATTTTATAGTTGTAATAGTAACATAATTAAAATATGTTATCTAATTAAGTTCAGATGTTGAAAAATTAAATTCAAACCTTAAATGATGTGAAATAATAATAATCATTCAGGTTATCGTTTGGAATGAGAACCTCCAGTAATATAGATAGTGAAAACAACCCAACAATTGCAAATCAATCAACTTCAAGAGCAAATTAATCTACATACAGAGAAAGATTTAAAACTTCAATTAATTCAAAATCCAAATCTCCCTTTAATGTTGAAACTCCTAAGAAAAATAAACTCTTAGAAGAATAATAAAGAATTATCTAGCAATTACTCTCTAAGATACCTGATCAGCAATAATTGGATGGGCATAAGAGGACAATTGAAGAACTTGAGGAAGAATTGAATAAAAAGAACTAGTTAATTGTTGAGCTGGAAGATAAAATTAAAAATGAGGAAGCTTATTTGGCATTGAATTAAAGAATTTTGGATATCAACAAAAATTTAGATAACGTTATATCATAGAATTAGAGTCTTATTAAAGAGAATGATGCTCTGAAATATGAATTAGGACAATTGAGGTTTTCAGAGGAGCAATATTATGCATTAGTAAAAGAAAATAAAATCTTGCAGTAATCAATTATGAATAACGACTGTTAATATGAAAAAATATTACAGTAATTCGAACTAGAATGTAAGAATTATCGATAACAGATCCTGAAACTTCAAGAAAATTGCGAAGCTTAGCAAGCCTAATTATAGGGGTAGGAGGAGTAGAAAGGACTTTAATACTAATTGTCATAATTCGATAAAATGAAAGTATGCATTCAAGATATTTATTTAGAAATTCATTAGAGAAGAGGCTTAAGGTATAGGATAGGTGATTGCATAAATTAATCAATAATTATAAAAATAATTGTCAGATATTATGCCTAATTCAATAAAATAGTTATAAAAGGATCTTGCCAAGAAGAAATGTGTGATAGAGGAAAAAATAAGAAGTTTTGAGCAACTTTAGGATCAAGATTGTGAGTTAGGAAAGGTTCAGAACAAATAAGAAGATGATGAACTGAAGTTGATTTTATTGATGCAATCTCTAACAATAGAGAGGATGATTGATTTGTGAATTAAAAAAAGTGTATGCAAATAATTAAATGATTGTTTTTTGATAAATAATAAGATTTAATATTTAAAATATATAATGAAACAGAACTCTGAAATTCATTTGTGCAAATTACATTAGTTTGTCTAAGATAAATGGAATTGGGTGAATACAGGATATATTCATTTTAATTCAAAAGTTCTTAATTTGATTTAATAAATTAGAATGAAATGTTACTATTAGAGAAGGACACGAGTATGGAAGTATTCGCTGTTTCAGTGAAATAAGAATACGATTTCTTTTTTGATGGAGGTAAGAGATTTACCAAATTGTAGAAGAAGGGATTTAATTTCAATTTAATGAATACTACGGACTTAGTTTCCAGAGTAAAGAGGGAGCATAAGTGGTTTGGAATAGAATCCAAAATATTTTAAATGAAGAAGATGATGATGAATCTATAGTTTTGACTCCTGTGAATGAAAGCACTCTGCCCCTCATCTTGGAAACAATGAGTAAATTAATTTAGGGTGGTACATAAACAAAATAAATGCTGTCGAGTTATTTACTAAATAAAAAAGTAAGAAAATTCAAATGACAATAGGATTACTTTGAAATGCTGAATAACTTATTCAATCAATTAGAAAAAGACCACAATCAAGAATTATTAGAAATAATGTGTTCAATTGTTAAGAATGTAAATAATCATTATATTTTAGATTGTGACTGTTTCTGAACATGAACTATTTCAAACTATCCTGAGCGATTAAATATACTTGTTCATCTTTGGTGCATTGGAATGTATTAATTCTTATTGAATTGTTAGATGATAAAGAAATGACAAAGTCTAAGTTCGTTCCTCATCGATAATTTCTGGAGAAGAACGTGCAATTCTTACAAGTAGTCCAAATCAAGAGTAAAGAGCGATTGAAAACCATTCACTTCATATATCGACTGTAGTACTTGCGCGATTGTGGTTTGGCCTACTACATCGACGAGTACCAGTAGATGTTTATTAAGATAGTTTTAACGTAATAAAAATCATGATAGATTATTAAGAGTTGTTATGTGGACCTCCTTAAATACATCGAGAATTCTAAGGAATTTCTGGTTGATCTAATAGACCAATTGCGAAATTTTAACTTCTTAGCCTTGAGATTCCTAAATGAAATATGTTCAGTATTTAAGGAATTCTAAGATGTAATTCTATATCCACTAATTTAAGTTGAATAAGGCATTTATTTACTAAAGGTTAAGTGAGCATGGATTATATGAGATTATCGAAGATTACATAGTTGATTCCCTCTAAAGTTTCCAAAAGTAAAAAGCTAAATTCAAGAAATTGAAGATCAAAATATAAGTATTCACTAATTATTAAAATAGGATGATATTTTCCTAAAAACATCTACATTGATATTAGAATTGGTTATTTCATGTTTGCAACACTATCCTTACAACTTTAGATAGTACATTGTAAGTGAACATCAATAAGTACTCAAGTATCCCCTATTTAATGTGATTGTGGATCATGCATTTGACAATGATTCGTATCTAGAAATATTGAAGTTACTCATTGATAACACCTAGGATGAACAAAATGAAACCTTGGATTGCTTTTTGTCTTTATTTTACCCTAAAATATCACAATCGATATCCCATTAATCAAGGATTGAATAGAAAACATTATTTGTTGAATTATCCTTAGGATTATCCAGAAACTTAAAAACTTCTGTTAAGGATGTATTGATTTAAAACTAAATTGCTTTGAAAATTGGATTTATAATGCAAGAGAAGAACAAGATCTTACAAATGAAGTGCTTGCAGTTTTTTAAAATTCTGATTTTATAAAGAGATGAAGAGATAAATAAGGAAATCATAATGGCATTGCCAAATTTGATAGCTCCTCTTCTTTTATATAAAGGATTAAGAGAAAATTTGATATTTTCATAATTTTTGGAGATAATAAAGATCATTTATGAAGGTGGCAATCAAAATATTATTAAATCTTTAGTAATATATCTTTAGTAATCATTATTAGGAATAGGAACTAAAATTCTGGGAGTAGCATTCTAATTACTTAAAAGTCCATGACATTTTCAAATCCATTAAGTGCAATTGCATGAAACAACAATTCAGCACATTATCCGTTGATTCTAAACCATAACAATAATAAGCAAATTATAATGTTATTGATGATGAGATCGATTTATTCAAATCTGTCTAGGGTCATAGTACACCTCTGCATAAATAGACATCTAAAAGATTAGTTGAATATGATGATGATGTTGAAGTGATTTCTAAGAAGACCAAATTAGATTGAGACAATATTATATATCTATATATACAACAATATATAATTTTTAGAATAATTATATAATACTAGCAATTTCTTCTTCCTTATAGGGTGAACAAGATTGTTGGCGGATTAAATCACTGAATTTATAAAAATTAGTGAATTATAGAAAATAACAATTTAATTCATTTTTGCCAAAATATTAAAAAATAATGAAAATGGATTAAGTAGTTAAAAAGAAGCAAGAATAATTGCTATAATGTCTTAAAAAGATATCGAGTAAACCTCAGACAGATGATGAAGATTAGAAATAGCAGTTACGCAAATTCCAATAGGAAGTGGAATAAAAGTATAGGATGGCTCGTCATAACAACGAGTATCGATTTCCATATGAATATTATGATCAAAGCAGTGACAGTTCATTAGAAGAACTATAAAAAGTAGGCACATATGATCTACGTTAATAATATTAAAAAAAATAAACTAACAGCAAACATTTACAATTATCTAAAGAATCTATCAAAGCTAAATCCTTGATTAAGATAATGTCTGATAAATCTATGAGAGCAAACAGATAGTCCACTCGATACAAAACAGAATAGTATGATGAAAATCAAGTGAGTTACACAGATGCACTAAAAAAGAATAAATCAATAGAAAAGTAAACAAATGAATAAATAATTTCATTCATTCGGAAATCTGTGGCCAAACGATCACAATATTCATAACATAATAATAATACATCAAGATAATATATGAATTTATCTTAAAATAATCAAAGCCATATCATGTCATAAAGTTTTAATGGATAAAAAAGCAGAACATAAAACTATTACCTCAACAAATTCACAAAAATGAAATAAGACATGTTCAAGTAATAAAATTAAACAAGCACATCTTAAATGAACTAAGATTCTAAAATGTATCTTATCTTAAAATAATAGATCATTAAAATATTTCTTCAGCAACAAGAGCCCAGAATAATCTAGTACCATCAACCTAAAGAATAAGCTAGCAGAAATGTGTAAAAGATAACCACTAAAAGTAATCAAATGAAATTTTATAATACTACTTTCTCTTTTATTAATAGATATATTAATTTCATTCTTACTTACTCTTTTAAACTTATAATTTATCTTGTAACTACTTATTCTACTTAATTAATTGCTCATTCTATGATATATCAAAACACTATTACTTTTTTTCCAAGTTTAAGTATTTTTTCTTAAGCTAACTTAAAGATTTCATAATTCCCTGGTTTTGCTTGCAAGAATAGTTCCTTCATATAAGTTTGTTTATGCATTTTTGAGATTATTTCGTTTAAACTATTAACTAAGTCTTAGTACTATTGATCGATAGACAATCCAGTAACATAATTTTAAATTTCTTAAACAAAGGACTAGAATTCATTCTTTTCTTGCTCTAATTGCCGTCTATCAATTAATAAAATAGCATATACATATCCTGTTACAGATTAATGAGATCTTGAGTCAACTTCTTCATATCCTCTTAATTTTTATCAAGCAATTATCGTGAAGACAAGAATTCTTGCTATTTATTGTCTATGTCCTTCTTCAACTGTTCAATTTATTGGTTCAATTGATTGATTTCACATTGTAACCCTGCTTGCACTAGATTTAATTATTAGATTTATTTCTCTAGTTCTACTTTTTTAGCTTTTTCTTATTAATAATATAAAGTCAATTTCTAAAATTTTTATTTAGCTATTTATTGCTCTTCTTCAGACTTATTCTCTAATATTTCTAATTGAGTTTTTAATGTGAAGACCTGTGCATGTAATTTTTCATTTTCCTAGATTTAGAGATCTAATGATTATTCAGTTTAATTAATTTTAATTGTCATTTGATCTAATTGGGAATTATTAAATACTTTGCCTAAAAAACTAGGTTTCTTAAATTTAATAATTTTGATACTTTAGTATCAGATATGCTCTTCAATTTCTTTTCATATTCATCAACTTTGATTCCTAGCATTTCAACTTATTCTTTTTCATTCGATAACTTTTTCTCGGTATATTCTAATTTTTCTTCCAAAGTTTACACTAATTTGTGTTCCTATTCAAGTTTTACTTCCAAGTCCTTATTTTTTTATTATAAATCTGTCAGAGCAGTCTTTAATTTGGTTATGTATTACTGCATAGCATTTACTTAATCCATTATTATTTTATTTATCACATTAAAAACGCAAATTATAATATTTAACGTATGTCTTAATCACATTTAAAATGCACTTGCTAATCCTTTAGACAAACTCAAATTTAGAGAGAAGATCCCGGATTGATTGAGAAATTGAAGGAGAGATAAATGGAACTAGAGGAGAAATTATTGGATTTCGAACATAAGAAGGGTAATTTGGAAAGAGAAAATTTGATGTTTGAAGAGAATATCAAATTAGAATTGCAAGGCTTAAAAGGTAGAGTGTCGTGTAATAACTATTAGAAAACTAAGTGATTCAACAATAATTAACCGAAGAACTCAGAGATAATAAAATATTAACTTATAAGAAACAAAATGAATTGCATTTATTGGTACAGAATGTCCATGAAAATGAAGCAGAAAAGAAGGTTTATAATATGGTTATGTTAGTAATTAATGAATGAAATCGAATTCTTGAAATAGTCATTACTTCACACTAATGAAAATCAGCAACAATTAGCCAAGAAGGAGGAACATATAAAATTATTATTAAACCGTATTTCTGAGCTCGAACAGAGTATAACTTAACTAAAAAGAGAAGTATAATATTAATGATTATATTTAATGTAATTTTATTAAAAATTATATGATGAGAATCCTTACTTTAACAGATTCTTCCAGAATCATTTTTTATATTAGGGATTCAACATCTAGTTAGCTGATTTACCTCATTTCAAAACCTAATTTAATTTGAGAAGTAAGGAGAGTCTAAATTTGACTTGGAGGCACAAATAAGACAATCAGAAATTCGTGTTCATTGCTAATAATTAGAGTACAAATACAATTATAAAATCGTAGTCGAAGGATTAATAAGTATGTGCAATTGTCATATTATAGTAAATCCAATACTAATTTCATTTGATCAATCGATCCAACAGGTATAGTCTCTTATTCGCTTTGAAATACAATGATGAAAAGGATCTATTAACCAAACACACATTTACTCCCTAAATACAAATCAGTTAGAATTTAGAAACTAACTCAAATGTGGATTTCGGATTGAAATATCACTATATGAATAAAAAAGAAAATGTTGACTTTAGATTTAACATAATTTCTTCTCTTTCCAATAGGTCCAAACCTGAATACAGTTTGATCGGCAATTTTATGCAACCACAACCCCACAAATTATAGATTGGATTGTAAAACAACCAAATTTGGTTAGGTCTTATCTGTAAATATAAAACATTGAACATGTATAGTCTTGCACTATATAATGTGAACAACAAGAAATATGATGTGAGTGCTTATTTTCAGATAAATACTATTGAAAATAGGTTGAATAACAAAATGAAATTTTTGATGGGAGTTTCAACAGAAAGAGAGATATTAGGAACTGTTGATTTTATGACAAAAGTGGGTAAATTGGGATATAGCTTAAAATGGCAACACGTACGCGGTGTGAGTATGGGATATAAGGTTGAAATATGAATTAAATTATAAAATATATATAAAAATTAATTAATAATGGATTAATTGCTAGGGAAAATATTTTAATTGATAGCAATAGCAGCCTTTCTTTATGGCACATTAACAACATTTGGACAGCCTTTATTAGATGAACAATACTAGATGTTTTTCTTTCCAAGATGGTTTTTCAATTGGGCTCCTGGTCTAGTAATAGGAAGTGTTTTAGGATTAATATTTGTGTATTTGAATAAGTAGAGTAACATAAAAAAGAAATGAATTTAATAAATATATTTATTGTCATATTCAACCAATTTCTTTTCCTTCAAAGGCCATACCAATCAAATAGCTTGAGCTAGCTGTACATGCTCCTACAAATAGGGTTTCTGCAGCACATCTCCACCAAGAAGCATATGAGAAGAATGATTTACTGACTCCCAATATAATCAAGAATAAAGCAGTCATTGCAATAGATATATAAAACAATGTGTCAGTGGTGCCATCTGTCAGTCCTGCAATAGCTGCAACAATAAATGGAATAACTATGATAATAATTATTCTGAGAATATACTTGGAACTAATCCGAATAAAATAAAGGCAATGAAAGTCACCAATGCATTCATCAATGGGTTTTCTTCTGAACCTCCCAATTCTAATTCTTCCAACATCATGATGTCAATAAATGCATCCTTATGTCTGCTTATAATACTCATAATCTTCTCTGCATCCTCTTGGTCCATTCCTTTTTTCTTATGATTAAATATTCACGATACCTTATACAAATCAATCATCTCTTTTTTCTCTCCTTCCAAATTGTTTTCCACTTCCCACTTTTCCCTCTCTCTCTCCTACTTAAAAAACTACTATTCTGATTTCGTTGACAAATAATCACCCAAAGCCATAGATAATCCATCTCCTATCATATTGGCTACTCCCAAAGCCAACACGGCTTGAACTCCAAAATTTCCCTATTTTTTATAATAAGATTTACTCCAATAACAGCAGTAACAACCGAAAATGTCGTCATCATGCCATCCATTCCACCAAAAACCGAACTTCGTAAATAATTACCACCTGTAGAATGCTTCTCTTAATGGGAATCTAAAGAATGCTCTAAAACCTTAAAGTACCTTATTTTTATAATGGGTCATTTTCATTTGCTCTATTGTCTGTATACAATTATTCTGATGGATTGTAGTTATGTGCTTGCTTAGTCATCTCTACATTTTTGCCCATATAAGCCTATCTAGCCATCTCCAAGTCCCTGTTCATTAAATATAATTATTAATAAAATTTACAGTAAAACAAATCATCTCTAATCATGACTGTATCTAATCATTCCTAGAAACTCCTATTATTGCAACATTTAGTGTGTGTCTGATAATTTAGATTCCGCCAAACTTATCTTTTGACGTTGTGTATTTTTAGGAAATTAGAACAATTGCAACAAACTACATTACGCATTCTTTTAATTTTTCTTTTTGAAATTCCAATAGTTTAATCTGTATGCTGCCTCCTATAACACTTTGATAGTCGGACTAATATAAGCATGGCTTCTATATCTAAACCTTGTCTTTAACAAATCCTCGTACTTCTCCTTCATAGTTTTGCTCTCTCTGATTTAAAAAAACCATATTATCTCCTCTATTGGTCTCATTATCAAGAATGATATTATCAAATATGCTAATAATAGTAAAATAAAGAAGGTCATCAACAACAGTATCAATGTGAAGCGTAGGTACTCATTTATTTTTTACTATTAACTGATTTAGTACTCCATAAGATAGCTGATATACTAATTCGAATCAACTATGCTAATCTAAATAAATGTATTTAATACAATAAAATAAACAATTGTTGTTTTTTCAAATAAAATTTAAGGATACTTTGAGCCCCTTTTAAACTATTTTAAAATTGATATTCTTCTTAATCACTTCCCTTCAACTATTACCATTAAGTCATATCAAATCCAGTGATACTTTGATTATAAAAGTAAACCGGGAAGGCAATTTTGTTGTCGTCATCTTTTATAATCATACCATCTGTACTCACTATCAGTATACTTACACTTTTAAATCTAGATGTCATTTTTTCAGTAGTTGATATTAAGTATTCAGGGAAGATGTCCATGCACCATGCTCCTTAAAACTACAAGTTTCGATCGATCAATGGCAATGACAACGTTATTCCAATTTCTTTTGCTTAATTAACTGATATATAAGTATCATTAGTTTACATAAGTATGGATCTGATACTGAATATTCGTATTCAAAATTTTCAGCAACTTTCTCAGATGTATTCTAAGCCACTTTAAACCATGGCCTAGATTCTGGAACATATTCTTCAAATGATTCCCCATATGAATAGCATGGATACGAATATAGTATCTATGGATTTTTTACTATGTATCCATAGAGCAGTGGCCTATTTTCATCAAATTACGAATGAATGATTTACCCTAAGGGTGCCAAAAAATCTGCAAATGAGACTTCTTAAATTACTTCAGTATTCTATTCCAAAAATTCCTGCTTAAATGCATAACAAAATATTGAATCAGAAAATTTCTAACTTTTTTTATCTGCCAAAACTGAGGGAAATGAGTTTAAACCTCCAAAGTTATTGACGTTTATTTCATTAGTAGTTACAATTCCTAAATAATGCAGGTATAATTTATTTAGAATAATTAATGGATTAGAGTCTATTCTTATGATTAGACAAATTACTTATTTCAAAATACGAATTAAAATGCTTTAAATAATAGTTTGTAAGGCTGGATTTATTTGAATTTACTCTTTCATAGATAATGTCAGATTAAACCAAAAAATCTTGTAGCATATACTAACCTCCGAAATATCCTGTTAGATATGTTAGGACTGAAACTATTATAATAACTATGGTGGAGTAGGTAAGTAATTAAGTTTTCATGGGTTGGTTACTTAAGAGTGTCATCAAAAATATTAATTAATTTGTATATTTATCATTAGGTTTAAAAATTTTTGATGCATACTTCGAAATACCGATGGTTACTTTCCATTATGCTTATAATATCTGATCTTGCTATTCTAATTCTTAAATATCATAAGATGAATTAATTCTGACTAGTGATTTCCTTCATATTATCACAATGTTTTATTTCAACTTTTTTAAGACTTGTTTAACCCTATCAGATTAAATAAAAAATCTTTACTGAAAGTATTTTCTAAAAAGTATTTATTATAATCATATGAAAATGGAATTTTTATAATAGAATCACAATTTCTGTTGATTTTGAAGACAAAAAGTTGAAATGCTTGAAAGTACATTAAGATAAATGTGAATTTGGATGATTATTATTATGTATAAATCATTCAGATAACTTTTGGTTGATGTATTCAATTAATCTATCCACGATGTCAATTTCAGTTTATCTAGTTAGGATAATACATAATTATACCTGCTGACTTTTTGATTGCTATATTCTTGATCTTCCAATTCGTTAATTCTAGTTGCATCTTGAATATTTAATTGAGTAACTTCAACGATGGCATTAGAAATATTAATCAACCCATCTAATTCATTTAATCTTGATTAGATCTCCTTGAGTCTATTATTTGCTGTGGCCAATGAAACTTGGAGAGTTTATTTTTCATTTTTCAAATCATCACCTAATCTTGTGAGATTATCAACTTAAGTCTTGTGATTAGCTTCTAATTAATCTTAACCTTCTTATAATGCAGTGATTAATCTAGCAACTAAGCTCAACACGTTATTTAAAGTTTCTGGATTGACTTTTGTGGTCATTTCAGCTAATCCTTCAATGATTGGTTGGAACAATGTCAATGAACTTTTCTTTGTATGTGCTTCTAAGATTTCTTTGATCTTTTGGAAATTCTCTTTGGTTTAGATGAGATTGCTCTTTGTGTCTTATCTAAAGAGATGGCATGAATTTTATACGTCAATTAAATTAATGATGCACCTTCTCCTCTTAAATTAAGTAGTAATCTTTAAGCTTCTTTGCATGCAAGAATAGCATCACTATAATCTTAAAATTTAGCAGCAAAATCTGTGTTCTCGGCATCCAATCTACTTTAGGCATCACCACTTCCTCTAGAATTACGATCTAAGGCTGCCTAATCTAAATAATACTCAAAATGTAATATACCTTCTTTGACTCTTGTTTGTAATGTACTTAATTCATTAGTCAAACTTGATTGTTCTTATCTTTAATTGTCAAGATCCTATTAAGCTTATTCAAGAGTGGCTTAGAGTTTAGCCAAATCAACTTGACTTCTTCTGGTAAAAGTGGCATTTTCTGAGTCTTACAATTAGGTTAAGGCTATCAATTCATCCTTAATTTATTATAAGAGCTATTTTAATTCATTTAATGATCCTCCTGTTTTCATGTTAACACTTACTAAATTTATCATAGATGATCCAAAGGGATGATCACCATATCCTGAAAGTCTTTCCTTGAGTTCAGAAACTGTAGTTGCCTAGAGACAGGCAATCAATACAACAACCAACAAAGCTGATTTCATTTATTATATTAATCAAAACAAAGAAAAAAGAGAAAAACGAATATTATCTTAAACATAATTATTACTATACAAATCACTTTTTGAATCCTCTTCTTTCCTTCATTCTTTTGATTGCTTCTTCCTTTGTTAATTCTTCATCGTCATCTGATTCATCATCGTCCATATCATCTCCCTCATAATCTTCATCTTCCACATGTACATCCAAATAGTATTCCAAAGAGTATGGTAATATTTCATCATAAATCAATCTACAAATGTCATAACACATATCCATCTTTTATTATTGTTCTTCCTTCTTGTCCTCTTCCAATTTCTCCCAATCCTTTACATCCAAATTCTTAAATAATTAAAATATTGTCTTTTATTCTACTTCCTTAACCTTCTTCTTCTACTTGTTCTTCTTCTTAACAATCTTCACTGAAATGTTCTTCCCTTCCTTCCAATTTATTTTTGTGCTCTCTACCTTGAGTGGCTCTCCCTGTTTATCATCCAATAAAAACTCCACTTTCAATTCTTCCTCTGGGAAATAATCATTTGCTTTGAATTAGAACACCAATCCTAACTTGTGTTATTCCTTGTTTTCAAATCCCTTGATATTTGTAATTGCCTTCAATAATGGTTCATCTTTATCTCCAATCACTTCATTTTTTAATGTCTTTGAATTTAACAACACTTTAGACCAATAATTTTCTATTGGTTCCTTGTTATCCAATATGGGTTACTCTTGAGCATTTAAGTATTCCTTCAAGTCTTCCACTTCCTCTTCCTTTACTACTCTTTAACCTGAGATTATTTAATTTGAGGCTTCAATTAAAGGTTCGACTCTCTTCTTGTAATCAGCCTCCATCTAGTCTAATTCTTAATCCTATTAATGATCCAAGTTCTTTCTGTCATACAAGCACTATGCCAAAGCGATTAATTAGATCTTTGTTTATAGATCATAACCTTTGAGTTTCTCTTTGATTTGATCGTAATTAAATTCCATTTAAAATTTATATTATTATATATAAAAATCAAATATTTAAGTTTTTCTTGTAATATTCTAAAATTAACTCCCAGACTTCCAATCTAGGGAATATTTTGTTGCATATTTACTGAAACTATACTTGATCTTATAATATATACCAACAAACTTTTTGTTTAATTAACAGCATCCTCTAATTCAAGTTGCATTGATTTATCAAAGAACAGAAAGTTTGTACTCTGATTTTTCTATATTCATACTGTTCATAATTTATGATTGTTAAATAACTAGTCAATTTTGTAATTAAAATTCAGTAATTTATCTTTGGTTGATACCAATCTTTATCACTCTTTAAACTTAAATAAGACTCTGGCTTCAAAAGCTAAAAAAGGAAAAAATGAGTAATCCTCAAATACTTGTTTATTTAAAATAAAAATATTTTAGATTATTTATTGATTTGAATCAATAGCATTACATAATTAAATATCAATATTTAACGTAAGTATCCCAAAAGATTCGGCCTTGCTCGTATCTATAAATGGTGTTAATTTAAGTACCCAACTAATTGCGCTGAACATGCTACCATATAATAGATTGCACAACTATTGAATCCTTGCCAAAAGCCTTTGAATCCTGATACTTTATATATTTCTTTAATGCATTTCGAAATGCCACCATCAATACCTGAATACTTTCGGTTTTATTTAGATTCAAGAATTTCATACTAGATTTTTGTCTTCACCATATCCTAAGGATAAGAAAAACATATGCAGACTAACCCTGCAGCTATTCCAGCTAGAAATTAATCAAATATGTTTAAATATCCTTTCTGACTTTGTAAATATTATTTAGTAGATTCAAATGCAATAAAAAAAGTTGAGTACTGAGGAATGTCTCTGAAAATTGTGGAATTCACTCCCTTGAAAACTGCAGCAATTCCCTCCTTTTGAACAAACTCAAGCATGCATCTCAAGACGGAATTACGCTTTCTTTCTGAAATCTGCATCTGGAAAACGATCTTAAACAGTTCTGATGGACTTGTAGCAAAACTCTATATAAAACCAGCATAAGCTCCACCAACACCCCCTGCTTAATGAAGATAAACATACAATGCATCAGTTAATACGAATCTCTATCCACTTAAAAATATCTCATATATTATTCATAGCATGCAAACAATGTTGCTGAAACAGGAAAACTAAATAACAGTGGTGATACCACTCCTTTATAGAAAGCAAAGGGCTAGTGTTTATAAAATAATCATTAGTACTCCTTCGTATTTAAATATTTTATAGGCTGTTTTAAGAATAGAGGTATTTTCAGAGACCATCTACATTCTCACTTTAATAGTACTACTATCAAGTATTAATTATTACTCGAAGGGATGTGCACTCAAAACAAATGTTACGCCTCCTAATGATCCTGCGAATGTATCCTGAAGAAATTCATTCCATTAATCCATTTATAATATAAAAAAACTCTATATAATATTCTTATTTATGGTTTTAATTAAAAGATTATTAAAAGAAGTAACATTGTCAATTAACATTGCTCACCAGAATCTTTAATATCTATTTATATATATACTTTTTGAAAAAAGTTAAATTACTATAATTTCTCAAATTGGAATTATTTGGTGTTATTGTTTATGCAGATATTCTAATAAATTTATCAAATATTCTTAAATCTAATGTTGAGTTAGACTCCTTAAATTTGTTTAAATTGAATTTTAATGATTTAACTATTTTTTTTATTATGTATTTATTGAAATTTTAAAAGCATTTTGAAACAGTTCTTAAGCATATGAGTGCAATTGATTGAATAGCCAAAACAATAATATAGGATTAGATTGTTTATAATAAGTTTTACTTTTTATTATTAAAAATGTATATCAATTATTTATAATTTGATTATGTATTTATAATTAATAACTCAAAATCATTTAAAGTCTGGTTATTAATCTGGTTATGCTTTATAAAATGATGGTAAGTCTTTCAAGTTATTATATACCTCTTGAATCGTTGGGAATAAGTTGATATCTAACTTAAATCTTGCAATAGCTCCCATAACTTATGGAACTAAGAAACAATCTGCCAAAGTGATTTCATCTCCAAAAGAATACTTACCATGATTCTATAATAATAATTTCTCAAGAGCTATAAGAATATTCATATGGATACATACTTTAAAATTCGCTCTTTAACACATTTTGAACGAATTCAACTCTGTCAAATTTTTCTACATACTTCTCTATCCATTCAAACATAATTAGATTCTAATATGGATGCATTCCTGAGTTAATCAGTTCACAAAAGCCTCTAAGTGTATTTGATGAATGATATTACCTAACCTTGGCCTTCAATACAGGATCTTATGGTAACAGCTTCTTTTCAGGGTATACTTCATCTAAATACTCTGCAATTGCCATGCTCTCGATTAAAATTGTACCATCTGGAAGATGTAAAGCAGGAACAGCCTAAAAATATATAAAATAAGCACACCTAATTTGGCAATTCTTGGCTATGATCTTCAGATTTATGTTCACTTTGGAGGAGATTAATGAATTTTGGTTCATAATCTATCTCTTTCAGGTTTAGAACAATTCTGATTCTGTGTGAAGTGGATGATCTAAAGTATGTGAATAATCTTAATTTTTATTACATATTATAAATAATAGTATATAATGATCATTGATATAGATCTGATATTATTTTACTATTGGGTTAAATCATTGCAAAAAGTTCAAAATGATTTAAGCACGCTTTTATAACATCTTATTTAGTAAATTAAATATGTATTTAATCATATTCCATATCATTACTGCACATGCTGAAATTTTATAAATTATTCCTAATTTGCTTAACCTTTAGTATCCAACTATTGAACATGAATGTGAAAATATTGAACTTTAACAAAATACATACTTCTATCATGATATTAAAAAAGAAACTAATTTAATTATCAAATAGGCTAATAGTTTTTAAGGACTAGCCAATGATCAATGGAATTTAACATTTATAGATAGAATTGGTTAATTTTAGCTAGCACCTAATTACTATAGTATTATTGAATCATAATATTTGGATATTAATAAAAAGAATTATATATGTGCTTTACTATAAAATTAAGAAAATTAGCATTACTAAGTTAGTTGTAAATAAGTAAAACCATGGAAATTTATCGATAATAAATATCAATTTAGCGAGGNTTATGCTTTATAAAATGATGGTAAGTCTTTCAAGTTATTATATACCTCTTGAATCGTTGGGAATAAGTTGATATCTAACTTAAATCTTGCAATAGCTCCCATAACTTATGGAACTAAGAAACAATCTGCCAAAGTGATTTCATCTCCAAAAGAATACTTACCATGATTCTATAATAATAATTTCTCAAGAGCTATAAGAATATTCATATGGATACATACTTTAAAATTCGCTCTTTAACACATTTTGAACGAATTCAACTCTGTCAAATTTTTCTACATACTTCTCTATCCATTCAAACATAATTAGATTCTAATATGGATGCATTCCTGAGTTAATCAGTTCACAAAAGCCTCTAAGTGTATTTGATGAATGATATTACCTAACCTTGGCCTTCAATACAGGATCTTATGGTAACAGCTTCTTTTCAGGGTATACTTCATCTAAATACTCTGCAATTGCCATGCTCTCGATTAAAATTGTACCATCTGGAAGATGTAAAGCAGGAACAGCCTAAAAATATATAAAATAAGCACACCTAATTTGGCAATTCTTGGCTATGATCTTCAGATTTATGTTCACTTTGGAGGAGATTAATGAATTTTGGTTCATAATCTATCTCTTTCAGGTTTAGAACAATTCTGATTCTGTGTGAAGTGGATGATCTAAAGTATGTGAATAATCTTAATTTTTATTACATATTATAAATAATAGTATATAATGATCATTGATATAGATCTGATATTATTTTACTATTGGGTTAAATCATTGCAAAAAGTTCAAAATGATTTAAGCACGCTTTTATAACATCTTATTTAGTAAATTAAATATGTATTTAATCATATTCCATATCATTACTGCACATGCTGAAATTTTATAAATTATTCCTAATTTGCTTAACCTTTAGTATCCAACTATTGAACATGAATGTGAAAATATTGAACTTTAACAAAATACATACTTCTATCATGATATTAAAAAAGAAACTAATTTAATTATCAAATAGGCTAATAGTTTTTAAGGACTAGCCAATGATCAATGGAATTTAACATTTATAGATAGAATTGGTTAATTTTAGCTAGCACCTAATTACTATAGTATTATTGAATCATAATATTTGGATATTAATAAAAAGAATTATATATGTGCTTTACTATAAAATTAAGAAAATTAGCATTACTAAGTTAGTTGTAAATAAGTAAAACCATGGAAATTTATCGATAATAAATATCAATTTAGCGAGGTATTTGATTATTCATTCTTAATTCAACATGAGAAGGGCCTTCAATGTAGCAGCTTTACATTTTTAGATGGTATCTTTTATACTCTTTGCTTCATAAATGATCATATGATAATAAATACTTATGATTAGACAGTCCATAAATAATCATACAATTCTACTGTATCTAACAAATAATGTAGTACCAAATTTAATATTCCATAAAATCGAATCATCATAGTATCTTTTTATTTGTGTGATGACTGGGAAATTTTATTTTTTGATTATCAACTAAACCATTTAAAAAGAATCACCAAAAAAGAAGTAAATAGAGAGGGAGAAATAGACTCCTATGGGCAGTTATTAAATCTTAATACGTGCTACAATACTTTTTATTTAATTTTTAATAAAGTATACTTCTAAGTAAATTGTTCAGCATTTTTATTCCCTGAATATTCATTTGAGTCTTAAGATAAATAAAATTCTATTTCAGAACTATAGCTACTGATAATTCTAAGTTGCTCCTAAAATGATATATATGTCCCTGACGAAAGCATTTTTTAATTAATCCCTAACTTAAGAATCTAAGATTTAAAATAAGTGGTGACTTTTGGCTCTTCTATTCTTTTATTCTAATATTCCGACCATCTGCTAGCTATTGCATCAATAGAAATAAATTAGGTAATTAATATTAAGGTCAAATAAATATTTGCATTCTATAGAGGCGATAATGTCTTTTGGATTGTTGATGATACTGGTTAAGTCCATTTATTTGAGCTAAATTTATTTTAAAACTATATGCTATACTAATAATAGGGATAATATTTAGGAATTTTTAGGCTTGATAGTCTTAGACTAACATTAACAAGATGCTTTATTATCTTTGAACATCCTGATTAAAATGATTATTTAAAAGTAAAAATGTAGAATCTAAAGAAATACAATCATATGATTTAAATAAACAAGAATTTTAATGATGTGTAGATTGACAGATTCAAATACAATTTAATTAGAAATATAAATTTTTAAATATATTTTCCAAAAGTATAATCAAGTGAGTTGGAATCTACTGAAGACTATTTTTCAAAATAACTAAAAAAATTAAGAGTTACTGGTTAATTTTTTTTATTTAGCATTAAATAAGAAGTTTATTTGCTGTTTAATAAAAAAGACAATCTTGTAGTAACGTATAATCTCAACTCTTCAAGTTTTACCAATCATAATTTAAAAATTGATTTAAATTTAATAAATTATTATGAAGTAAGTAATAGCAAGTTTGCTTTAGTGCAGGAAACCCATGGGAAGATATTCTTATTTAAATCATCGCCTTATCCATAAAATTTTTTAACATGTGAAATTCATGAATTTAAAGAGTAGATAAGAATTTCATTTTTATATCACAATTTAATGTACTTATAATTAGTCAATTCCTCAGAATTCTTGTAGGAAAATTATAATCTAAATTCATTCAGTAATTAACAAATTTATAGTTTTGATTATCCTGAAACAAGTATTTGGTAAGATCTATCAGAAGTTATAAAAGTTCTGAATTTTTTAAATATTTATATTTTCTAAATGGAATCACATTTATTAATTGAAATAGGAACTACTGATACTTTAGGTATTATATTTTTATTAAATAATAGAAATCCATTAAAAATTGCTGTTATTAGGGGGATAGTTGAAAAAAAGAAATCCACTAAATCTGCTTTTGTTAGTAATGAATAAAGAAATGAGTGCCATCGATCAATATTTAATTGCTAACCAAAAATATTAAAAACTTTATACCTTTAACTTTTCAGATTATATACCAATTTAACCATTATACTATTAGATTTTGTAAAACATTTTTATAATATTAACCAAAAAATAGGATAAGAATTTATTTCATATTTTATTATTTAATCTTGATTAATGGAATAATCTTGAATACTATGATATAATAACTACACCTTATTAATATTTTTATGCATATTCTGGTATCCTTTATTATTACGATCATAATCAAGAATTAGTATAATACAACCTTCAGTATATCACCATATTTTTTAATCTAAAAGAAATCAATTCAATCACATACAAAGAATAATTATAACTAGATGTATATGAAAAATCTGAAAAAGATATTAAAATTTATAGTGAATAATTAAACATATCAGTACTCAATTTTTAATTCAATTTATAACTTATCAATTAAAGTAATCCTTAAATTATCATGGAGAATAATTAAACCTTCCTAAATCCAAATAAATTTGTTTCAGGATCATTTTTTGGTTTCAAATTGAAAAATGAAACCTATTTTACTTTATAAAATCCGTTTATAGTTGTTGGTAAAAAATACTGCCTTTATTTCTTAAATACTTTATGTCTAAATATAGAAAATTCATTTTTTATTTTATAAGAATTAACAAAAGATTACGAGAGCAATTTATCGTTACCAATTAGTTTCTTTCCTAATAATATGAAAGTTTATAAACTTGGTGAGAAATTATTGGTAATAAATTAATCTGAACTTAATCTCGTATAAATAACTTATTTAAGTAAAGGCAGTAAATAAGCTATTTTTATAGAAGGAATGTTCTTATCATCTACATTAAAAAAATAAATATTACTAGTTTAATTTTTTCAAGAAAGCAACTATTATTTTATCGATGATAAAATTACTTTGATATCCTCTTTTAAATCTAGTGAGACTAATGCGGATAATTTTTTATATCATTAATTCGATAATAATAAATTCTGTTAAATTCTCTTTGGAAAGGATTAAATAAAAATAAATTGTTATTAAATAAATTCAGAAGAATTAATTCATAATTTATAAAATTATACAATACCTACTCTAAACATTTACAATTTAATTGAAATGAGTCATTATCTCCCAAGTTTTACTTAATTAATTTAACTTAGTATTTTAAATTTATCTTAAGTCTAAGAAGAAAAATTAGATTTAAAAGTAATTTTTAATTACAGAACAGATTTATTATTTTATGTGTAGATAATTCTCAGCCAATAAGAAATAAATATCAAATTAAATAATATTATTAGGCCTTCGAATTTTAATATTCTTTGCTAATGCTTTCTTCTACAAAATAAATTTTTGTACAATTGTTAAAGCTTTTAATTGTTTGTATATGAGCTCTAAAGTGGATTTTAACAATTAAATCCGAGCTCCTCTCTATATTTACACAATAAAACACTTTCATAGTTAAATAATACTCACATAGCCGTGCACAATAATTTGGATAACATTGTAACAATTTATAGAATCGATCAATGGACATTAGTTAAAAATGATAACATTAATATTGAAGGAGAAGAAAGTGTTACATTTCAAGTGTCAAGTGAGGTAGCTACCTTAGAATTTAAAGTAAATGTTGTGAGTAAAATAAAAAGAGAGAATGAATCTGATTCTAGACTGATCCAAATTGGCATTCTTGTTATTAACAACTTTTCTATTCTAATATTCATAACTATATGTAAAAAACAAAAGAGAAGATGAAATATAACTTATTTAATTATAATAACCTTATAATTATACTTTAAATTATATTATTTAATTTATATAAATAATTCATAACATCTGAATAATGAATGCCAAAGAGATAATCCCAAGAAATGGTTAAGTGTTTTCAGAGAAGCCACAATTTTCAGAAGTTTTATGCAAACCAAAAATAATGCCAATAAAGTCATTCACACTTCTTAAATTAGAATAGTTGGAATAATAAGTAAATGAACAAAATAAATGAATATGATGTTTTTTCAGATAATTAAGAAATCTAAATTATTCGGATTATTTTTAATAGAACTTTTTATTAATATTTTTCGCCATTATATAGTTATAGAATATGTAATTGTGAGTTATTTATTATATTAAATTTGATGTTTCCCCAAGTGAACCTTGAAAATAAAATCCAATAGCTTAGTTAAGAAAATGTGGAATTGAAATAGACATTAGCAGATCTGAAGTATTTTAATAAAGGATTTACTTTAGATTCGAATATGAGAAATAGGTTCTATTGTGTAAGGCAGCCTAAGAATGGAAAAACAAGTATGATAGACTCTTTCAAGAAAATCAGTAATTGAATCAAGAATAAAAACAATTGTAGGATGAGATATCGAATTTGAAGAATTAGATAAAGAATTTCGAGTATGTAAATTACACAATTAATAGAATTAATATGTAACAAATATAGGAGAAAACAACTAATTTGAATTAATATCAATTGATTGAGGCAAATTCAATAAGGGTTTAATAGCATAACCAAGAATTATAGAGAGAATTAGAGACTTATTAATAAAAGGCATAATTTGTATTACAAGTAAATGTTTTATAAATTAAAAGCCGAAAACTGTAATTGATAATAATATACAATTCTACTAGTTAACTTTGGGTTGGAACAAGGACATATAAAATTTACAATTATCATATAGATAAGAGAATGACAGTTTGATATTTGATGGTTATGGGGAAATTGGGAATAAAAAAGTAATTTACCAATAGATCCATAATGTTGGGAAGAAGGCTCTCAAACAAAATTAGAAACCATTGATTTCATTGAAACAATCGCAAATGTAAATGACTTTTGAAGTTTGAAATTTTATAAATCAAATTAAATTATTTAATTCTGGATGAATAGAGTAATAACATTTGGGTTTGCCACATATGAATCATTAGTTTAAAAATTGAATAGTGTAGAGAATCCGAGTAGTCTCTTCCGATTGTACGAAGAAAACAAAGAATCATTTAAACATGAACATGTAGTGTTATCTTTGAGAGTGCTTGGCAGATTTAGCCGTTAGATAAATTCAGACAATAACTTCTCTGAAATTACAAGTAAATTGAATGATATTGTTGATCAATTGTCAGAATATGGTATTTAATCACTTAAATTCAGATGTTGTGGATGTATTATTTTGGTTAAGAAAATTCAGATTAAATAGAATTCCAACTAATATCACCAATCAAACCCAAAACTAGTTATATTAGCGAGTTTAATAGATGACAGACAATTAAATGTTTTCATTTAGAAACATGTGCAACATTTACTTTGATTTATCAATTCTAAACCATTATAATGAGACTCTAGTTAAAGCTATATCAGAACAAATGTTAACATCTAAATAAATGTCTCCATTCCTCATAACCCAATTGTTGAGCACTGTGATCACCAAAATAAATCATTGCAATCTCTCTAAGTACGATTAAGTAATCCTCACAAATTCCTTCAAATTATTAGACGGTCTATTAGACAGCTTCGATATTGAATAAGTATTCAAAATAATTAATATCATTTAGAAATCCTTGTTATTTAAGGTTTGTGCTGAAGTACAATTTTAAAATCTTCCTCCAAAATTCTAATTGCCAATCTAAATCAAAAGGATTAAAGATTAACTATTAGAGAAGGTGGAATCACTCCCAGATGAGTCAGTTATCAATATTTTCAAGGCCTATGACTATCTTCCAAGATAATTCGAAGTAGATCTCCTAAGGGAATTAAGAGATATGATTTTGAGTACTTTGGAATAAAACCCATCGAATTTATCTGATAGATTCTTAATTTAAATTGCAGAAAGAATGATTAAAATGACCATTCAGAGAATGCCTTAAGATGCAATAAAAAAAGTACTGATTGAAGTGTGTAACAGAATTTCAAATAAGACAATTGATGTTTCACTGATGAGTTCATTGATGCTGGCTTTATTGAAACACAGGAAAGTAGATGAGGTACTTCAAACCCTTTAAAAGGTAGAAGACAAAAGCATTAAAGTTTTGAATTACTTATTTATTCATGGGATTAACTTGAAAGAACATGTAGACAAATTTATGCAAAATTATGAATCTAAAAAGATTCCTTTCAATTAAGCTGTCTATTATATTGTGTATGCTAATAGAGATGCAAAGGAACACTTGCTAACTCTCATTACAGTAATTAGAGAGTAAATTGAACATTATCCATTGTAAGCCTTAAAGACACTGAACGACAACGAACTCAATTTTTAAATCAAATATCAACTACAAGAGGAAGCCTATCTGAAATTAGTTGAATAAGTATAATAACAAAAATTTGATTTCCTTAGAGTTTGCAGGGAATTGATTCATTGTTGTTGCAATTCAAGGTGCAGACAGGCTCTCATTGCGTTATATGACGAACAAGAACCTCAGGTGAATCTAAGATAGGTCATGTAAAGATTAGTTTAAGAGGTGGATTCATTTGATTCTGAATCATTTTCTGCCCTAATTTCAATTCTTCAACAGGATCCAAAGAGTATCCCAATTTAAAAATTTGTTGATTATTTGACACTCAACTCACACAAGTTAATGGAACTCATTAAAAGCGATCAAATCCAATCGGTCACTACATTATTGGCTAATGCCTATTACGCATAACCGGAATAAAAACTATATTCAATTGTCAACTTCGCAAATCGATTTGAGATTGTAGGATATCATAGTAAATTTGTTAGTGCTGCAATCAAGAAGATCTCAGAATAATTCAAAAGGAATTATCCTTGTTCTCCATATCCAGACCCTTTGTTTGTTAATTTGCTTATCACTCATAACATATTGAACCCTGAAGAAGCTGCTACTCAATTAAGCAATGAAAAGATTCATCATTACACAAAAATTCAATTATGCGGGATTGCATTGTCAGCTGAAAGGGCTCCCCAGGATGTGAGTGAGTTAGGAGATAAACTCAAAAAGGATTGCTTTAAGGCTTTGGAGAAGGAAGTCAAATATTAAACAATATTGGAATTGATTACCTTAAGTAATTTAACACCTGAAGAATTGATTGATGTCAAAACAAAACTATAAACACTATTGCCCTAATTGTAAACTAAATAATATTTTGATCTAATCATGTTTGCCAAGGACCACTTAATTTTAAAGGAGTTGGCATTTTCATTTAGTGAATTGTCTGGCAAACTGGGGATCAATCGAATCATTAGAGCTGCCAATAAATTTGCAAGATTCTAAATCTAATCTTCAGGGGTTTACAATGTCCTACTGGAAACTTATGGATATTCATTTTATTCAGTTCACAATGAATAAAGAGTTTAGATCTTAGAAATCTTCGCCTTAGCCAAAATGAAATAAACCGATCTATTCAAAAGATCGCTAGAAAAGATCAAGTAGCAATCTTCAGCATATAGAAACTTTTATTTTGAGATTATTAATAGTGTTCTTAGTCTAGGATTTGTTGAGTAAGAATTCGTAGATCTTATTAATTCAATCTTAGAAAACACACAAATTCCAAGTGTAACTGCACTCAAATTGATACAATATTAAGTCCTAGCAGATCAACCTTTTGAGACAATCGAAAAGATTGCAGAAAATATAAGTGAACCTAAATATAGGGATACTTTTAAGAGTGCTATGTTCTATGAAATATTGATCAGGAAATATCCAAACACACGTGTTACTAGTTTGCATGACAACTTCCTGAGTGATGAGAGATTCTTAAAGGCAAGATTCTAAATTGCCAATTCCAATCTGAAGCAATCTTTTTCATATGAATTCTGTGTCAAATATCTAAATTTATTAGGTATTCAATTCGAAACTAATAAGAGTATTGATGGTATCAATGTTGAATTGTACTTACCTTCAATGTAATTATCCTATACTATAAATTAAGTGAATCATCTCTCTTTATAGCTAGTTGGAGTTCATTAAACTTCGATTTAAAAACATTGAATGGATTCGGACTCTTGTAAATCAAATTGTTGTAAACCATCACAAAATAGGTTATTGTCCTTAATTTTAAATAATTCATCTAAATGCAATCCAATGAAGACAGAACAACCTATTTGAAGAATCTAGGTATTTCTCTCCCATTCATTATTAAGGCATACCGATCACAGTTGATTTAACCAAAGTTGATTACAGTTCTCTGGAACTACCTTAAAACACTGAGTAAGAAAGACCTCTATTCCAATTGTCCAAAAATCATCAAAGAAAGTAGTTTGGACTACACAATGTTTATTAAGATTTTTAACAACTTAATAAGGAATGAAAGTATCACAATTTAAAATTATAAAAATCATATTAATTTAGTCTCCTTTTATTTTCATTGCAATATCGCAATCCTAATTATTGATGTTATTGCTATGTCTACTGGCTAATCAGTTGAACATGTCATGAAAATTAGTATAATTAGCTTTAAATTATATATTTTGCATTTATAAATCATGAAAATTTGATATCGTACTTTCTTTATAGCACTTATTATCCAATATGATCATCCAATTAAGTCAACCGTTATTGCAATTTGTATATTTCTTTTTCTAAATCTAAATTATCATTTCTGATGTTTTCCAATTACACAATCTGATCCTCCATTTCATTATTGTATTCAACAACCTGATTTTACAGCATTTATTTGAGTTAAAAGATTTGAGGTTCAATTTCATTTTGAATGTCCTGGCTCTATGAATTAATTAATTGATTCATGTGAGAAAGATCATCCTACAACAATTCACTTTCTTATTTATAGATTCCTGTCAACTCCTTCATTTTTATAATGTATAGAGAATTCGAATGAGCAGAATCAAAACAGGTCAATGTATTGATTGGTCGTAGAGTTTCTCGTTTTGTAAAAACATCATTCTATTTCATATAAAATAAGTTATATAATATAATTCATTTTAATATATTAATTAGTTTATAAAAATGAGTTAAATAAAATCAACATTCATATGAAGCAAATTCACTATCTGCATCTGATATGATTTTTGTGAGAGGTTCTATGAATGTTGAAGCCAGCTTTGATACTTAAGGATGTTAGAACACATTTATAAGTAATTGTCTAAGATTCTCATTCTCATTCTGTACTACTCTAACCTTTTTTCTTAATTCTTCAAAAGCATCTTGCAATGGACCTATTTTTTCAAGAGCCTCTCTCTTTTTCCTTTGAGATTCATTGGCAGAATTTCTATTCCTTCTGATGCATTAACACTTCTTGCAATTGCAATTTTCCTCTCCATTATATACACATTTATTTTTCAGCCTCTCAATCATCTTTAAATAATAATTGGAACTGTTTTTGACTGGATCTGCTTCTTGTTTCCCATTTACTTAGACCATATCGATCATTTGATTCTCCAATTGCAATAGCATAGGCAATATATATAAGATGGAACTATTCAATTGATTCTGTATTTTTTTGGTTTTTATTATAAATTCCGACAAATCAATTGCAGAGCTGTTCTCATCAAAAAATATAGAGGTCGCTTATTTCAAGAAATCTTAGGTTGTTGCTTTGAAGCTACCCATAATCAAAAGATACTAAATTAAATAACAGTTCATACTTCTTAAAAGATTGCGTCATTATGGAACTGGGCTGTTTGTTTTACAGTATTTTCAACTACGTTAAAGATTAGATTTGGTTTCTTAAAGAAATTATTCAGCAGAAGTGTGTAATGATTAAATTAAACAAAAAACTAATCTGTCGTTAACTACTATTACTGTTAGCTCAATAGTTTGTATATGAATGTGCACCAAACATCTTCTGACTTTTTAATCACCAATTGATGTAATTGATAGAAGCTTAGCTATTAACTCACTTATTTGTGTGAAGATATCTAATATTGAAATAGAGAATTATAAAAAATATCGCAAAAGTCATCTCTAAATAATAAGAATTGATAAAGATATTTCATATTGACACATCTTCGATCCTAGATTTAATCTTAACATAAGCATTAAAAAGTACCTTTATCAAATTAAACAAGGGATGATCTCAAGAGGAGAGAGAGAGTTTTGAACAATGAATTACTCATAGTAATGCCCATTGGTTAATTTAAAAATTAGGATTTTAGAATTCCAATATAATTTCCTTCACATTTTATTGAATCCAACCCATGAATGATCAAATTACCCAATACATTGAGGAAATAAGGTAGATGATATTCGATTTAATTCCTAATGATCACTGTTTCTCGTCTAAGCACTAATTGTTAGTAAAATTATGTTATTCTGTTTTGAATGTCGATTAAAGGCCAACTTTATCTAATATATATATTAAAACTTCTTACTTATCACCGGCGTGTAAACCAGGCTGCGAAACAAAAGAGAGCAATAACTGCTATTTGCTAATCTAAACATAGTTTTTAAATCAATTTACTTCTTGATTCTATCTTTGTACCTGTTCCTCCTATTTGATTTTTTCTAATTCTTATTGCTTGAGTATGGCTTGAAAATAGAGTTATTGTATAGAATTCATTGTGTTTAAATAAATTTTGAATCTAGATTCAGAAGATAACTCTCTTTTATTAAGGGAATCATACGTATTATTTCATATACATAGTTATTTACACTCAATTAAAAAATTGTAATTAATTGAAATCCAATATCTCGTCATCTTTTTGATAATCGCCTAATTCCCATTCTAATAAATATTAAAATAATTGATGACTTAAGCTATGACGATTTATTATCCTACAACTAAAGGTTATAATTATAACGAAAATGAGTAGTTAATTTAATAATATATACTCTTCGAATAACTACTTTATTTAGAATTTATTAAACTAAAGGAAATGCTTTCTAAAATTATTCACCTCTGATCATCTGATCATAAGAATAACATAAATAAAACAGAAGAAAGACTAATTAATTTTTCTTTTGGTATTTTTGATTGTATGATATATTAAAAAATGCTACCGCGCTAAAAAATTTAAATTTCTCATAATTTTATATTAATATAGAAATATATTACAAATATATATGACTTGTTATTATTAGAAAACCAAAAAAACGCAATATTATAATGCTTTAAGTTGTAAGCTCAAACTCAATTTCAAAAAATGATGAATTTAATAGAAATCAAAAACCCAAGAATAATTAGGAGCATCAAGAAATAGAAACCTATAATAGTTATTATGATAATATGAAAAGGAGGAGTGAAGGATACATTAAGGATATTGATTACAAAAAGGTCAGAAGGTAGGAGTTAGAAGGTATATTAAAAATATTATTATACTTTTTTCTCCTCTACTGGTAATTATTTATGTAGTACATCAAATGTTTTGAATTAGCATTTTCTCATAAAAATAACATAGACAAAAAATTTTATTCACGAACCATATTGTTTTGTTTCAATGTACTTTTCTAATGATGCCATCCGGCGATAAAATATTCATCCTTAATTGTTTGTATATTTGTTTTTCGTAATGTGTTTCAGTATTTTGACTAACTTTATTTAATCTCTTTTTTGGACGATGCTTTCTATTCTGTTAGAATTACTCCGAACGGGCAATTTCCCTTGAGTAGACCACAGAATTAAGGAAAATTTGATTTTCAGGCATTCCAGTGTGTTTGTCGACTTCTAATTCGCCAAAATTATCAGATTATTCAGTTAATTCATTTGAAAGACAACAATAGGGTTTCTTGGGAATAGGCTCATCCCCAACTGTGCGAATGGCTCCTTCTTATTCTGGAGTATCGAAATCGTTGGATTCTTTTACATTTTTTATTGATTTGCAAGATGATCCCATATTAATATTAGAATTTATTTAATAATGTCGTATTATGTGAGTAATTCCCCTCATAAAGCGATAAAGTAATTCAATGATTGTCTTATTAAACCATAGCAATAGAAAGCTCGAGATCTAAGGGATTAAGATCTTTTAAAATATTTAAAAAAAATAAAGTAAATTTACAAATTTTAGTGAGATGACTAATATTTTATTTTAACAAAATTTAATTGTTTAATAAAAAACTTTTGATTCTCTGTTAAATTTTAGATAATCTTTATAGATTATATTAAAAAATATTACAATATATTCCATAAAAAGCAAACTCATTATTATACTAAAGTCATATCATTATTGCTATTAAGATCGCTTAATTTACTTATGTCTTAAATCAATTAAAAGCCATTATTAAGAACACATTCAATTGTTACAGTTTTATTCTCAAAATCTCCTTAAGAATAATAACTGCCCTCTACCTAAACAAATAACAATGCAGGTAACAATAATATAACACCCAATCTCTGAATAAGAATATCTTATTGCAAGATGATCATTTGTATAAATTATTTAGTTGAGAACAAAAATACTGAATTTATATAAATAGAAATTAAATAAAGAAAAATTTTAAACAGTTTATTCATCAATCCAAAGTTGTTGTAACATATAATAAGAATGATATTTTATAGACAAAGATACATTTGGATCAACAAAATGGAAGTAATTCATCTTGTGACTACAACAAATCCTATTACTAATAATTCTATCACTTTGATTCCATAATAGCACAGATGTTATGAATTCTGTTAAATCCTATCGTTTAAATCACTAACTTGTGATACAAGTGTAAAAAAAAATAAGAAGAAAAATCGATTATAAGAAATAACAAAAGCTCTCTGGTTGCAAATGTGACAATTACCAAAATAAAATTGAATAAAAAAACTTCGAAAAATTATAAAATAATAAATTAATATTATAATGAATTCTTTAATTTTTTTATTAATTGAATTAATTTATCAAAAGATTGAAGTTCTAAATTAAAGGTTATTTTATAAAATGAAGAAATACAAATATTAATCATGAATCTCAATTTAATAAATCTGATAACCATCTAAAACCTTCAGCATAGCCTACTTTATTTGCTACACTGCACATAAATACATCGACAGGTCTTCCATCAATTTCCTTAATGTTTTTTTTGTTAATATTTTGTTTAACGTTTATTCCTAGTGCTTGTCTCAATTCTTCTTCTGGCACAGCTCCTGGCTTGTCAATTTTATTCCCGAAAATTACTATAGGAACCTAATTGGAATATTTAAATGCTATAATACTTATGCTAACTCCGGTGTATTTAAAATTTATTCCAATTCATTTCTGCTTTCCTTCAATCTATTCTAATCTGATGAATCAACAAGGTAGATAATTCCTTAAACTGTAGGGAAATAATTCTTCCAAGTCCTTCTAACAGTAGGATGGCCACCCAAATCAAAAGCTTTGAATCTAACTTTTCCTAGAACCAGTTCTTCTGCATGTGGATGCAATGTTGGATCATGTTAGACCATTCTATCATCCTTCAATCTTCTCAAAAGAGTTGTTTTGCCTGCATTATCGAGGCTATAAACGATATTATTATTTTAAAATACCCTAAAAATAAAATCTTTGCATCCTTTTTCCAGATCCCTAAGTTTCCCAAAAGGCTTTTCATCATTTTGATAATAAACATCTGTATATGTGCTAATTAAATTAATGAAACAAAAAAATAAAGACAATTTGGATTTGAATCATTTTTTTATTGAATATTAATCGAACACATCATTCTGGTAATATTGATTAAAAATGAATTAAATTCACTATTTATTTAATTTTATAAAGAAACTCTTAGATTGGATAAAAATCCACATATATCTAAATTATTACCTAAATAATTAAGAAATACTTAGAAATCAGAATTTTCGAAACATAAAATCAAAAATGTTTAATTAATATGTAATAGTGAAAATTTGTTAAATATATAAAAATCAAAGTAGTTCCATAAGTTGTAAATTGTGAGTAATTTTTATTCATCTGAGGTCATCTTCATCAGTTTCCTCCTCAATAGATATTAAACTATCATGTTTATTTTATTTTTTCTTTTCAGATTGTCTAATCTTCCCAAGCTTTTATAGAATGAACTTGGAAATTTAGTCCAAATTCAACTCTACATCAGGATGTACATTCTAATTGAGTATGTACTCTTTCATATAGGTTTTCTCTAGCTCACTGATGATTTTGAGATCACAAAAATTTTTGAGAGTTTAAAATGCCAATTTGTAATAGGTTTGCATTTTTATAAAATGTATTTAATTTAATATATAAGTTAACCTCAAATAATCTTATTTAAATCATAATGCATCAGATTGTTATATTACCTGAGCAGTAAATTAAAGATTCCCATATTAAATTTAAATTATGGTGTCTGATTTAATTTTGGAGCTTAATAAATCATGTTGACTAACAACTACATTCGGGAGTTAAAATTGCACTTAAGTATGATGATACTATATATTACTTTAATTTTATTTACAATAATTCTTCAATTCATTGATACCAACAAATTGAGAACATCTAACACCGCTTTAATCTTTTTCGATGGAATAATATTTGACTTCCACAAAATATTCACAACTCAAAGCAATTAAGGTATTTAAAATGATAAAATTACTTAGAAATATGTATGCAGGTATCACAACATATGGTAATATAAATCCATGTTTGGAATACATTGGTTCAACTATATTTCCCCAATCTATTACTATAATATTGAGTAATACCATCCAAAGTCATGATTTAGACTAGAGTGTAGAAGGAACCCCAAAAAGATGAAAAATATTCCTATTGTTTTAATCCAGTGTATGCATAATAATTCGAAGTCAAAATGCTGGCAATGAACATTATAATTCCAAAGAGTTCTGCAAATTAAGGCATCAGTAAAGGTACCATGGCTATAGTTCCTACAAAAATCCCTTTGACAGAGGGTGTAGTGGCTATCTTTAGTAAATTCAGTAGACAACCAATTTCAAGGAAAATAAATGAACAAATTAAGGATAATGGACTAGAAAATAATTACTAATTAATTACCCAGCTACAAAATGCAAAAACATCATTGTTTTGTTTTTTCTTTCTAAATCATAAATTGGTCCCTTCTTAAACATCAAAATTATAAAATGTATTGTGTATATACCATCATCTATCAATTCTATTGCTAATTCAATTGTACTGTCACCATGATCAAAGTGTTCAAGTATTGATATAAATATGCCACCAAAACTTATTATGAATACTATGTATTGATAATAGTTGCCAATTATGCATTTATCAAATAAACTCTATTCCTTTACCAATTCAGATAATATTTATTGTTAATTGATTTCATAATTAAATGGATCATCTAAATGATTACCTTTTTTCTCAAATTATAGTGTCTCTATCAATATACCCATCATTATATTTAAATAGAAATATGTCATAAGTAGAATATATATACACAATATAAAATATCCAAATAAATCATCTGTTTCCCTTCCTATCTAACCCCAATCATCCAAACTTAGAGCCTAAACAAATGTAAGCACTGACCTCCCAAATGTGCCATAAAAGATTTCCACCTCATCATCATCAGAATCATCATAATAGGCAGTAGTGGAATAGGCACAAACACATAAAACAAAAAACATAGTGATTGCCAAATTCGTTATTTCAGACAAAACCAACTTAATTTCTCTAATCATTCTTTATGAAAAAGGGAAGGTTAAAATATCAAAACTCATAGCTATTTAAGAAATCCCCAATAAATTGTATTCAACAAATATATTCGCAGTGCTTAAAGCCAAAGCTAAAATGGTTAATACTAACCCAAATATATGCTTTCTGTTATTTATTAGCATCAACAAATAAATCCCAATAAAAAATATATTCTCCCCATAAAATGTGAAAAAAGTACTAAGATAAAACACAATCATCAGTATCGCTTTGCATTTATGCCCAGCATTCATCGGTTTCTATTTAAATACCTCCTTTGGAGAATTTTGTGCTGAATCATGTTAGACATCATATTCTGTCAACTCTGTTTCTAATTACATATACTTTATTTATTAAATCATTAATGCACTTTATATAATCTATATAATTAATTATTTAACAACAATAATATTATTAGTGGAATCTTAACTAGACTATAGAGTAATTATCCAGATATCCTTCCTTAAATTATTAGGAAAACTAATTTTCGTATAAAAGGAATAATTTATAAGTATTTATTTATTCAAATTTCTTATTTATAAACAAACCCTTCAAATCCTTTATGTATTATTACTCATAATAATAGTTGCTAATGATATTTTTTAATTATAGATTGAAATACTTCATTATTTGTTTATATAAATAACTTAACATTAAATACAATAGTTTACTGTTTAAATATATTAGATTATTAATAACATTATTGGAACTGTATTAATTTTCGAATTTAATTTTACAATGCTTTAATAAAAGGTTGTTATATGATTTAATAGTAAAAGTTTGTATTTATCAATTTTATTAGAATCTATAAATTTATATTTAAGAATCAATTGATCATAATATTTTGATAATAAATTTCAATTTATTTTGAATTTTGTTTCTTTTTATTTTTGGATATCATTTCTATTTATAGTATTTTTGATTTTTAAGTTGTTTTTATGTCAATATATAAGATTAACATTTTAATCTAATTCTAATCTATTTATTCGTCATTCTTATTAATATATATATATATGTATAATGTTAAAGTGTAGAGTTTAATATTCCATTTTTATTTATGACTATAGATCTTTTATAAAAACTGATATAACTTAATTAATATATTTTTATATTACAATTTCATTCTATCTTTTAAATCTTTCCTTTATCCAAATATATTACTCTATCATACTTGTCTAAGTGATCCAATCTGTGAGTGATGACAATGAGGGTTTTATTCTCAGTAAACTTAAACAGATATTCGTGAAGTAACTAATCATCAATTACATTATTACTTTGTCAGTTTAAGGGTCTATATTTGAAGTGGCTTCATCCAAACAGACAATAGACTTATTTTATAAGACGATTCTTAAATAGTTGATTAATTATTTTTCCCCATTTGATAAATTGTTACCACCTTATTCAATATGCAAATCAGGTTTTAGTTAATTGAACTGAGTCAATAATTGATCTATTTATTGTTTGTCTATAGTTTATCCAGGATCCAGATTCTCATATAAAGATCCTTCAAAAAGAAATCCAAACTGAGGTACTATGGATAATTAGGATCGTAGTTCTTAGAGTGATAAATATTAAGCCTAATTGAATAATAATAAATACATCTTGTCCCTTAATTAACAAATTGCCTGTTTATTATTGATAGAGTTAAAAAAGAACATTCATTATTGATGTTTTGCCAGATCCAGTTCTCCCTACAATTGCTATTTTTTCATTCTTCTTAATTTTTAAGCTTAGCTATTTTAGTTGATAATTAGTCTAATCATACGAGAGACAGACTTCCTTAAATTCAATTTCAGTATCTATATCTACAATTGGTTTAACAGTTAGATCGCATGAGTCATCGAAATTTATTATCTTTATTATAGTGTTTTTCTTATGTATATCTTCTTAAGGGATATCGTAGTATTATCTAACTCTCTCAACAGATATAATCATTTGTTCAGTCTATAAGTAAAAATTGAATAATTCATTGAAGTTATCAATAATCAAGATTGAATAAGTCAAAGCTAAAGACTTACTAGCATAATTATCAGGACTCAATAAAACAATAAAAGTAGAGAGTAACAATAATAAATTACAATTTAAATTGAGTCTCACAAAGTACCAAAACTTAGCTCTCAAACTGCTTTGCTCACATGCATTCCAAGTATGCAATTTTTCTAAATAATAATCAGAGAAGTAAGTCTATCTTTATTATGCTCTAATGGTTTTTAACCCCTTCTGTGTTTCATTGATCCATCCAAGCAGTTCAGCATGATTAACTTATTTCAATCTTTTTAATTCCCTATTGGTTTTTATATATGTATTTGCAATATAATAATAAGCATAGAAAACTCCAATTAATCCTATACTAATGTAAGGAAACAGGATAACTAGTCCAATAACAAATCCACATCCTCTTGCTAAAGCTTCTAAAAATATATCAAAACTCCATGGAAGTAAACCGTCAATAGTTTCCATATCACTTGATAATCTATTGATTATTCTACCAGCATTAGTTTTATCAAAGAATACCATTTTTGCTTTCATTATGGAATCGTTCAATTATCTGAAAATAGTCCAAGATGATTTTAGTGATACCAATACATAAAAAGTTGCTCTAAATACTGTAACCCCTAAAGCTAATAGTAAGAGTTAGGTGAATCTTGAAGAGAAGTTATCATCAAAGTGTTCATTTTTCAACCAAAAGTCAATATATGACAAAGCACCTTACAATGAAAAATTGAAAATCAGATACAATATTATTAAAGGCCATGCCATTGAAGAAAAGTAATACAACCAAACTTTAGTATCTACCTCTCCTATCTCTCTTTCTTCTAAATCCTAGCCTTAATCGTTATTTTCATTTTTATCTGCTACTTATTCTTCCTCATTATTTATATCCTCAGATTTCTTACTCATTTTTCTAATTATAGATGAGTCATTTATATTTTATTCAATGATTGATCCTTGATCCATTAAAATTATATTGGCATTTTTTGGTATCTTATTTATAAAGTGTTGATTGGAGGTAATGAATAGAACTGTTTTATTGCTTAGATAATTTATAATTAGATTCTAAAATATAGCATCTGCAACGGGTATGTCAAGAGAAGAAAAAACATCATCAAATAAATAAATGTCTGTATTCTAATATATAGCCCTTGCTAATGCTATTCTTTATTTTTGGCCACCACTTAAGTTATTTCCATCAGGACCCACTAAATACTGATCAAAATTCTCAAATTTCTATATGTCTTCATTTAATTAACATAATTCAATCACCTTTGTAAATAATTATTGATTATATTCTTAACCGAAACAGATATTTTATCTAATTGTTTAATTTTGAATCCAACTGTTTTAAGAACAAAATGAAATAGTTCCTCCTATTTATTTTGATTTCTCTTTCATGTCTTATAACTCATTTAATATCACATTAAAGAGAGTGCTCTTACCAGACCCAATAGGACCAACTATAAAATTAAGAGTTTGTTTCTTTATTTATAGGTTCTTAATTTTTAAACTAAAGTCATCACTCAATTTATATATTCCATCTTCTATCTTCAAAATAATCTCATTAGTTCCAAATATTTAATTTCCCTTTATATCAAGTACATCCACTTAGTTAAAATAAGTATTCACTCTTTTTATTGATACCATGGCACTGAATAGGAAATTGATACAAAATGGTAATATTCCTAAAGGATAACTAGAATATTTTAACTATTTCTTACATCATGGTATTGAAAATAGCAATCAATGTAAAAACATTCAAATCTATCAAATTCACCTTGCTATTTTGGATATAAAAGTAAAGTAATATATAATTGATATTATTCCAAAATAAAACCAAAAGACCATCAAATATTTTGACTACAACAAGCATTTCAAATTCCATTTTCCTCTTGAAAATTAATTTGTTACTAAATATTTACTCCCAGGAAAGATATTTAATTTATTTAATACCATGCAATACATCTGTAGTCAAACTAATTCTCTAATCTTTCCTTTAAAATAATCGCTCTTATGCTTGCATCATAATAAAGGTTACAATAAAATTGAAAACTTAAGCACAAAAAATTACAATTAAAATTACATTGCCTGCATGCACATCTTTATAATATAGGAATGATATGCATCCTATAAGCATACAACAAGCTAAAGTTCCCTCTTTTAAAGAAAAATGTAGTTGTTTAATCTATTCAATATCGTTTGTTATCAAAGTCTAAATATGTTATCAAGTCATTTACATTTATATTTGGGATTTTTTAATCTTTTTAATGTTAATGGGTTGCAAGCAATTTTTTGTATAATTCATAATTACATAAGACATCTAACTTTCCTAAGAATTGCGTTACTTGATGAGTTTGAATTGAAGATAAGTAGGTTCTAGAGTAGTTAACTATTATAAATACTTAGTAAATGAAAAAATGAGGAGTAAAATCAAATATAGAACATAATAATAACTCTCCTCTTTTAAGGAATCAGTAAACAAATCCAACATCAAAATATTAGCTAATTGTAAAATGGACGCAGCGATTTGCTGGAAGAAAATAAATACAGAGTTTGTCATCTAACGATAAAATAATTCTTTACTAAAATTTGTTTCATTTTTTTGTAAATATTTGTTGATTCAATACTACAATGTAAATCCATATATTTACTTATTGTAATGCCTTAGGATATAGTTTGAATCAGTTATTTTCACACAGTATTCCTACAATGAATTATTTTAGAGTTATTCTTTTTTATTGTTAATCAATCTAATCATTTTCGAAATTCTTGTGTATAGCCAGTCATCCTTTTGGGTTTATATATCTCGTTACTCTAATAAAGGATCACTGATTTTCATTTTAATTAAATATTTATTTCAATATATGTGATTTTCCATATTGAAACCATAATTAATTTTATATAGTAGTAAAATCGAAAATAAGAATATCAATAATCATGTCGTTTTTTTAAATTATTCTGCTTTTATTAAAAATGAACTTAATTGATTAATTTCATTCATATTTTTATACAGGCGAACTATCAAACCTAAAAATCTTATTTAAAAATTACTGTCATCATTTAAGATTACATAATCATACGGACTTATTGACTTTAGAATTCTTCTGAAATGAGTACTCTTTTACAATAAGATATATAATTCTGACATGATATCCACTTTTATGATGATATCAATATATTCATTTTATTAAACATACGATTTGCGAAGATATATCTATATGATCTCTGCTTTTGTTTTAAATATATGAGTGAAGAAATGAATCATAAATTCATCCAAAGAATTTTCAATTGTGGAAATTTCTTTAATTTCTGGACAAATTTCGATCTTGATTTTTTTTTAATCGTAGGCTTAAGAATACAGTTTTGCATATTTTTTAAAACTCAATAAAAATGATTGATTCGTTATTTTACATGAAGTTTTATTCCTAAACTTTGAAAATATGTACATTAATTTAATTCTGGCTTGATAGATTGAATTTTAATTATGAGTTAATGATTTGTCCAAAATAAGTATTTATTATTTCAAAAAATTTCGAAAATGGCTTAGGAATTTATTCAAACCTTATTCATAGTAAGCCAATTTTTCATTCAAATTCTGAATCTCCTATCTCTTCTTATCAATAATCAAAATAAAAATTAGTTCTGTTATGTAACATTCTGAATAGCGAATAAATAGTTTCTATACTTGATTCGTGTTATTGATTGATTTTACTTCTAAAATTTTATTCACTATTAAATCCTCAGACTTCTTTTGTCGAGCCAACAAAAACTTCTCCAAAGACTGTCCAAATATAACATAGTTACGGAGGATAAAATTAAGAGCATCATGAGTGGTCTAAAATTATTTAAACTCCTGATGATTTTGGAGATTACTGAATTTTTATTAAAATTGCAAGTTATCTTTATCATATGTACACAACACAATAGGACTATCGGCTAATAAGGGTATCAATTGTTCTAAAATTTAATTATTTAATAGTGAATACCTTATTAACTGTCTTTTACTTTGAATAAGAACGACAATCTATACTGTTAATGTACTTTAAATAATGAATAGAGGAACATCAATCCGACAACAATAGAATAAATTATGTTAACATAGGGCATTGATGGTTGATAATATTTGGACAGTACTATCTTTATCGTCATGTTTCCCATAATCTAGATGGAACCGAATTTAAATTCAGAAACCAGAATTACCATAATATTTAATAACATTTAATTCTATCCGAATACAAACGCTTCTTATTTCTCAAACTCATCCTCAACAAATAATTGTTGTAACATGAAAAAATGATTTAGCAATAACAAATAATAATCTACCCATTTTCTTTTGTTATTATATATGAAAATTTGAGCCATTATGACGGCGATTAGTAGAAAGAGAAATATAAAAAATTCAACCATTTGATTCTGAATAATAAAAGTAACACTTTGAAATAGGAGCAATAAAAAACAGATTGCATTCAAAGATTTACATATAGGAAGAGTATATAGATATCGAAAATCCTGATACTTTTGTTCCAATTTTTCACATCTAAAAGTAAGAGTGTATTTATTCATTTATTAAATTATATTTATTTATATAAAATAATAATAAAAACTCATTGGAGTATCTGTGATAAAGCTATATTTACATAGCTAAATTGGCATTATTACAAAATTAGAAAAATTTATTGATAAGACCTTGAATAATTTAGTATCTTAAATTATTATGTTATATTTAATATTAATAAACAATTTCTAATTATCAGCAAGACAAATTTTAAGAAAATGTTAAAAACATATTTTATTTTTTAAACCACTTCTTTTAAACTAATTGTTGATAAATAACAAAAAAAGGTTGATTAAATGAATTAGATTTAACAACATAAGTTTTAAAATTAATTAATCAAAATTATAGATATAAACAGTTTTCATTATTGCTATTTGGTAATCATATATAACTCCTCTATTTTGTTAAGAAATCGATTATGTCGTTATTAAATATCTTTAATTTATTTATTATATTTTTTTAAATTATCGAATGATTGGTCATGTTAAGGACTCAAAATAAGTAATTATTTACATTTTTTATGATTATACCTGGGATTACGCTAATTTAGAATTTGTGTCCAATTTTTCTGGAGTCTTTGAATGTATTTTAGGTAATTTGAGACAATATAGATCCTTTTCAGAGGATTGGTTTTTTGTTAACTAGTTATTTCTTTCTGATAACTAAATTTTATTGCTTAATCGCTTAAATTTTTATTTAAAGAATGATTACTAGCCTTTCATTAGATTTCGATATTAGTGGAAGTTAAATGAATGGTCTATGTTAATGAATTGTGATTTTCTATAAGTGTTTTTCAGAAAGACATATCATTTAATTAATTATTTTTAATATTGTTATGTTGAATCAAATAAAAAATTATATTTAATTGTTTCTATCAATAGCTTTAAATATTTCAGAAATTTCTATAACATCCTAAAATCAGAAGATGATATATATATAATTTTTAAATAATTAAGAAATCAAAATAAAATTTTAATTCGATTGCATTGAATAAATAATTAGAACTTCAATCAAATTAGGTGATGATTACATAACATGTTTCAAAACCTTTCTGATACAAGAATTAATATTCATTATTTAATATAATGAAAAAGCAAGATTTTAAGAAATTTTCAAATTTGATATAATTTATGATTTCTAGTTATCGCATCCTCCATCGGTTGAAAGACAGGTATGAACTGCTTGAGAAAATGGAAGGAAATTAAAAATAATTTATCATATCCTCAAATGATAATTTATAGTCTCTATATATTTTAGTAGATTATTGTTTTTGAAGATATAAATCCTCTACGAAATAACTTAATTTATTAAATTATAATGTATATGTTAACTAAGAAATATGTCTATTTAATTTATAAATTTTAAATTAGATAGAAATTTATTGTTAATTTTCAGACACAAGAGTTTGAAGATCCATTCCATGTAAAACGTCCTAATCTGCACCTTGAGTAATATCTGCTTGTGTTTACTTATGATGGAAATGAATTTGGACCAATCATATAGGCTTTAGTGGTGGTTAGAGTTATAGATGAAGGTTAGCAAGTTTTTGTAGATGTATTACAACCCGCTGACACTACGGAAGTGAAAGTATTCATCTCAACCTTATCAAATGAATATAAATTAGCATTGCTTTAGGGTTATGTACCTGTATAAGACCATTACCATTTTAGAGTGAAAGTAAGCGATGCATCACTACCATCAAGTTTTGAGGGTCTAATTATTATGATATCAGACAATGATCCTATAATTCCAAATTATTCGGCAGGAATCACTAGCAATTCCAAGTATCCATTATCGGAATAAGCTGCCCATTATATTTAAGTAGATTGATATTATGATGTTAATGTGAGTAAGAAACGATTGAAGTGTGAAAATCCAAAATTGATTAAATATTTATTAGATATGTAGAAAGGCTGATATGATCTTAATTTTAGAAAGTAAGCATCTGTCATTCTCCATAACACAGTGTAATAATCTTGTTTTTTATTGGGGGTACTAGAAAATGTCAATGTGACATCATCTCTAATTGCTTGCATAGATTCGTAGATAGCTTTCTCCAAATATGAAGGGTGAATCTCTGGGTCAGCTAGATCATATTGCATCTAGACATAGGCATTCATAATATTCAACAATTCTGCTGACGAGGCTGTCAAAATGTTCACTGTTAATATTTCATATTTATATTATGAGGTGTACTTTGCAGTCATTATGGTAGTCACCAAATAGCCACTTGTTGTTTTTGTAGAATATAATTAAGTAATATCTGTAGGGAATCTTGCATAAGCATACATCATAGTAGTTTAATCGTATTCCATACACTAATTCAGAAAATTTGGATCGATTGAAAGTATTTCTGTGCACTTAGATTAAGCCACCAGATATCCAGATACGGAAGTTCTGCAAGCTCTTACATCAGTAACTTTATGGCATTCTGCCAATTGACAAGCACTACCTGTCCAATAACAATAGCCTGAATTAGTTGCACAAGCGGATGAACTCATCCCTACACAATTAGCAGTTTAACTGAGGGCATAACTAAGTGATGTAAACAATATAAGGAATTTTTTCATAAATTTTGTATTATATATTAAAGTTAAAGCAAGTTTCGACTGAGAATTTATATACTAAGAATACACAAACATATATTACTATGGTTTATAAATGGTACTAATTTATTTCAAATGCATTATTTATATAATATGATTTATTCATTTGCCAGATAATCATTTTAAGCAATCTTTTAAACAGTAAAAGAGGTATTAGACTTCTCCAATACGACTCTGTATGACACATTCATTTCTCATCCGATTACTTCATTAACATATGAAAAGCTTAGTGAAAGAATTACTGGAAAATAGAAGAGAATTTTGGATGTCGGAGTTGGCACTGGTGTTCCTCTACATAAAACAATCAATTAGTTTCCTCCGGACTGTGAGATTACGGCAATCGATATAGATCATACTTACTTAAGCAAGGCAGTCCAATTATTTAAAGACAAACCTTAAGTGAAAATACTTGAATTGGATTTCTACCAAATGAAACCTGAAATCCATGGAAAATTTGATGCCATTGTCTTTTCTTCCTCCTTCCCCATACTTCATCAACAATAAGAGGCTCTTCAAATTGCAAAATCACTACTTAATCCAGAGGGAATCATATATTTTATGCTTACTTTGAGTGATTCTCATTTTGGCGAAAGTTTGAAATACATCACAAGCATCGACTTGCATCTGGAGTCTGAAAAGGCATTTGAGGAATTACTTAAACAATCTTCACTACATATCATTCATAAATAACGATTACAAAAGGTAGCAAACATACCAACTCTGTTATTAAAGGTGTATATTTATGAAACTAAATTATGATATCAAATTAGATAAATAATTAAAGGAATATATATATAAATAATGAACTAAAATTTTATTTATAAAATTCAGAACCTCACAGTGTTTTGTAAACTATTTAATTACTTAAAACAATTACTATTATAATTTAGCAATTTGTCTATTAGATCTACATGTGTTAAAATCATTCTTCTGCAACAATATCTCTCTAAACCCAATCTATCCAAAGCCTCTCCAGTTGTTACACCATCCTAGAGCAATTGAACATAATCATTCCACAAATGACCCACTACCTAATTGTTCCATTAACATCAAATTACCTTTCCACAAGTAAAACATCTAATAGGAATAATCATGAATTAATTTTAATTATTTAAATAAAATATTGTTTTCAATCCATCATATTAAACTATCATCATGCTTCCAAATATAATTAAATGTCTTAAATGCAATTCGCATCCTAAGTCTTCAATGTCTTTCCATCTATCTTGAACTTCCCATTCCATCCCTTCCTACTCCTTATCGACTTAATCCTCTTCCAAGACTGAGAACCACTCGTACTCTCGCACAAATCAATTGAAACCCCGTTGAAATTACACTCGTAATACCCCAATGGACACAACATCCCATCATTTTATACCAATCCCAAAGTCATATCTATCTGACCTAACAAATACTAATAACCATTCTTACTTATCCCTACACCCGGCTTTTCTTACTCGTATTCAAACTACCCCAATTGAATCATCAATGCTCCATAGAAATTTGAGATCTTGCTTACCCCATAAATCAGATTCTCCGGAGTTCCTTCCAAATCCACAAACTCGTCAGTCTTTTGGTTGATATTTATTAACGATTTTGCTTTCACGATATTTTGAGGTCCCGCTACATAACTAACACATTAAAATTAATTTTATACCAAATATATATGTCCTTTAAAACATGCTCAGACTAATTATTCAACGCAACATCGAAACTATTAACTTATTAATTGGTTATTGACAGTTAAAACTTTAGGTCTCCTTTCTATGATTCTTTTTGAAATCCTGCCAAAAATATTTAAATAGTTGGGATTACCCAAAATTCTCTATTTACAAATTTATATCTCATAAATACCTTCCAAAATTTATTGTTGACGTCTTTTAGATGGTTTCGCAATTCAATTTCATTCTATCATCAATCACGGCTAACCATTGATATTCGAGATGATCAATTTTAGATTTATGATTCGTTATCTGCAATTAAAACCCTATATACCACATATTTCATACCTTGTTGAGTGATTTATAATAGTTTAGGTTCAATTCCTATATTTCTAGGAACCTCATTATTAACGTGTATTGCTATAAGAGATATACCTACTTGGGGAATTTATTCAAATTTTTTGTCGAATTGCACAAAAGCCAATCTTTTATCATGAGGGAACAAAACATCAAAAGTTACTTTTCCAATTTATAGAGTGAGAACTTGGTTCACTAAAAGTACTATAATTAACATATTTATTAATGAATTATATATTAAATCCATTAATCATATATAAGTTCTAGATTAATAAGAAAACAATATGTAATTTGTGATTAAGAGAAGAAAACTATTAAAATTATTTGTTATTTTTTATAATAATCTCTGAACTAACAGAATTTTTCGCATTAATTCATCCATTAATTCTGATAAGAATTTTGAGTCTAATAAATACATTTAATAGATTTTAATTAATATATATAATGAAAATATTTATATGAGTGATTTTACATACTATATAAGTGTTTATAAGATAAATATAATTCAATAATTAAATTATTAATTATGATGTTAATAATTTCTTATCTACATTACTTGATAAGTACATGAAACTAAAAGACTTCTGAATAATTTATTCTGCATATTATAATATGAAATTGATATATCGGGCTTTTCCAGAGTTTAAGTTCAAATAAGCCTTATCCTCTTTCCATTTATGCTCCACTGTATTTTTTGGTAAAATAAAGGACAATATAGATATCATAAACATAATGGAATGCTTATAAGATATCTTATTCTCAAGAAAACTTAATAAAGAATAGAAAATAATATGAATTTCCTATACTTCCTTGAATTTTAATGCTTTTAATTATTAAATTGTGAATGTGCATTTTAAACTCTAAGACATCTTAACCGAAATAGTTTGATCATTTAAATTCTTAAATACTCTGTTCCCATATTATTAAAGTCCCGATTAGGAAATAATTTGTTATTTTTTTGTGGCAGAATTATAATAGGACTCAAATAATGAATCTAATATCTTCGGATTGTTCTACGCGATCATTACAGAAATTTTCTAGTAAATGAATTACTTTTTATAAAGAAATAATATTAAACATCAATAGATTATTGAAGAAAAAAGGAATAAACTTTAAGAGTTGAAAACTTCAATTGGTAATCTTTATAAACCGATATCAATTCTTCAATTATAATATTCTTTTAATCTCTTAATAATTTACGCAATCTATTTTATTCTTCTCTTATATACAAAAGAATTCTGTTATTTTCATTTTAGAGATCAAAATAATTTAAATTATATTTTATTATAAAATGAAAACAGAATCGGATAATGAAATTGAGACTTTATAAACGATGTGGAAAAACATAAAGTATTATGATATCTAATCAATAGACAACGTATGGAATCTAAACATGATGACTCAGATATTTTGTAACAGCCTCCATAATAGATTACAATCAATAGCCCATATGCTGCTAAAAATTATTAAGTGCAAATTTAAGCTTTGCAGGATGAATTGTTCCAAAAAAACACTAAATTAATAGCTGCTCAATAATAATTGAATTAAATTAGCGATGAAAATTCATAGTTATAAGATGAATTAGAGTAAGTGAAAGTTGAAAATTCGTTAATGAAATAGAAATTAGAATTAATAGAATCACAAATAGATTCGATTTAAGCAGATAAGGACAGTCTAAAATTAATAAGGTTAGAGAATGAATAGTTGAGAATTGATGTAAAAAAATTACTTGAATTATTAAGAAAAACAAAGGAATATAATAATATAGGTTTTGATGAAAATTAATCATACGTTAAAGGGAGTGTTAAATTTGACACCAGGAAATCTAAAATTGATGAAACGTATACGATTATTTAAATGTATTTATAGGAATTGGGTTCCCACAAAATGTATAGAATTGATGTAAGATTATGATAATAAGGAAGAAGTCTTGTTGCAATTGAGTAACTAATTTCATAATTGTTATGATGAAAAGATAAATAAATTAAAATAGAATTCTCAATAAGAAATTGAGTAATTAAAAAGGCAATTGGATAGCAGAACTACAGTAGATGGAATGCAACAATAGAAGTAAATAGAAAGATTGAAAAAATAAAAAAATGGAAGTGGCAAGGATAAAGTGGGCATTTCTTAATTGCAAGATTGCTTTAATTTGATCAAATAAAAGGAATTATTGATCATAGAACTTTAGTAAAGGATCCAAGAGATGAATTAATAAATGAATGCAGATGAAAATTATAGCAGTATGAAAAAACAAGTATTCATTGAAGGGGCTTAATGGATGTGTATTAAATAATCTAATAATAATTAGTGGCTAAGATATTGGATGAAGTAATAGCTTATGAAATTAGTTTAAATGAGTTGAACTATGATGTAGCAATTAAAATAGAGAGTCTAATGAGTTCTGAAGATATAGTTTAATAATAAATCATAAACAAAGTCTATTATTGGATAACTGATACTTCAAGAGAATTAATTGACACTTTTAAAGATAAGCTACAATCAATTATGAATACTACAAATAGTAGAATTTAATAGTTATGAATATAAATATATATAAAAAAAACTCAATTCGATTTAATTTTCTATTTGTAAAACTCATTCAAAATAGTAGTAATAATAGTAAAGAGGAGTGCATATATGATTTCTTTGATGATGTAAAAAATGAAATCGGCAAGAGTTTGTTCTAAAATAAAGTAGGATATAAAAATAAGTAGGGACAAAGTCAGTGATCCAACTATGGCTCTGTGAAAGGTGATTTTCTCATATTTATCGTTTAGTTTCTTCAATTAAACCACCATCAATCCAGACAGCAAAATGATTGAATTATTGAGTATGAATCTAAAATAATTAGTAATAATAACTTACAAGTATGTTATTGAAAATACGTATCCACAAATTAATAGTAGGTAGACATCGAGACCTGTAGAAATCAATAAGGCATAAAGAAGTTAGTATTTGATGATTAGTGTAAATATATTATTATATATACAAATACTCCAATCATGGCCTTTGCAATTTTATTTGCAATCCCAACAAAATTCAAATTTACAAACTTAACATGTCATGTGTGAACAACCACCATTTTTAGTAATTTTAACTTCACATCTAGGACATTAATAAGTAGTGGTAAATTCAGTAATTTCATTCAAAAGTGTTTTATATGAAATCTGGTCATAAGTTTATATGCGAGTTTAGCAGATTTCACAAATATCAACACAATTAGATTTACAAGGTTTTAAATAATAGAATTCGCAATTTGAGTTTGGGCATTATTAGACATCAATAGATTTTTTACAATAGCTTTTAAATAATTGGTCATGAATATCTTAAATGAAAGAGTTTCTGATGGCTAATTATTCGATAGAATCAAAGTAAAGAGTTTATTAACAACCTCCTGGACAATCGATATTTAAATGTGTACCATCAGATGTCCAAAACTCTTCTATTTTTATCTAGGTTTATAATTTAAATCGAATTACCTTGGTGTAGTGCTTAATACAGTTTATACACACTTTGCAATTGCAATCCATCAAGGACAATTCAGTGTGTTCATAACAAATTTCACAGAAATTTTTAACTTGCATAGTGATTATTATTAAATGTATAATTTACGCTAAAATTATTAGCAAAATTTTGAGAAAGAATTATCAAACAAGGTAATCATTGGAATATAAAAAAAAAACATTTAAATGATTTTGATATTCTATTGTAAAAATATTAACAGTTATACCATGTAATGAATAAAACTCAATTCAATCTTAATTACATAGTTTATTAAAAATAAATTATATATATATATCATATATTGATATGGAGTAGGAGAAGACCAAGAAAACATAGAAGGATTATGATATTGAGGCAGCAGAAGAGTTGAAATAGCTAGCACTTCCTGGAGACTTGGTTGGCAATGTTTCTGCCACTTTGTTAAAATCAGTTTAGAAAGTGTAGAATGAAGATATTAAGCTCCTTGCTCTATCAAAATTTCACTAAACTCTATGCAAATTCACAGTTCAAAATGTTTCAGGGGTAAATATGAAGTAGATTTCATTAGGAATTGCTCCAAAAGTTGCCAAATGATAAATTGCTAATCTTCTTCGATTATGTGAATTATTCATTCGAGTGTTTGAGCAAGGGCGTGAAGATACCTGAAACTAGCAACTCATATAATGCTACTTTCTTGTTGAATGTTTATAATAAATTGGTAGAATTACGAGGATTGCCAATTATTATAGAGTCAATAAGTTAGAAGAAAACATTACCAACCCAAATTATTACAATTAAGTGACATATATATATAATAAACCGGGCAAAAATTTAAATTAAAATATTATGTGGATCAAAGAAATCATTATCGAGGGTTTCAAGTCTTATGCATAAAGGACAGTAATAACGAATCTAGATCCGGAATTCAATGCCATTACTGGATTGAATGGTTCAGGCAAATCCAATATTTTGGATGCAATTCTCTTCTGTTTGGGATTGAGCAAAGAATACGACACAGTATTAATATTCTATAAGTCTATTAGCTCCGTATTAAGAAATTGCAAGAGTTGATTTATAAGAATGGTGCCGCAGGAATTACAAAAGCTGAAGTGACTATTGTGTTTGATAATCGCAGCAAAGAGTAGAGTCCATTGGGATATTAGGATTGTGACAAGATAACAGTAACCAGATAGATTACAGCTGATAAATCCAAGTATTTCATCAATGGCAAATCCGAAACCCAGAAGAACTTCAAAAATATGTTTAGATCAGTTCAATTGAACATAGATAATCCTCATTTCTTGGTGGCCTAAGGCAGAATAACAAAGATTATCAATCTTAAACCACAAGAACTAATAAGTATGTTGGAGGAGACAGCAGGAACTTCGTTGTATAATGAGAAAAAAAGAGAGGCTTAGAAATTAATTTAAAAGAAAGAGGAGAAGCTAAAATAAGTGAATGAAATCATTGAAACTGAAATCTAACCTCAAATGTAGAAATTGACAGATGAGAAGAATATCTTCTAATTATGGAGAGCTTAAGAAGCATAAATCTTGGTTTTGAAGAAGGATCTATTTAGTTATGATTACTATTAGAAGGCTAAGACTTTGAGAATGAAGAAAAACGATTTGCAAATTGTGAACGAATAAATTAGTAATCAAGAAGAGAAGATGAAGTATGAGAATGCTGAAATATCTACTATCTAAGAGAAAATACAGGGTTTGTAAGAATAGAATAGGAATAATAAATACGACCAAATTACAGAAAAATACAAGGAAAAATAAAAGTTAGTGAATACCTTAGAGAAATAAGTGTAAAATACTAGGAGACAAAAAGAAACTATAGAGAGTGAGAAAATCAAATTAGAACATGCATTAAGAACATATCAAACTGATAAGGAGAGAACAGATTAGAAAGTAGAAATAGCTGATCGACAATTAAAATAAGTATCAGATGAATTGAAAGAGAAGAGAGAGCTCTTGGATGAATAAACGGGATAACAAAACTCATCGGAAGATGGTAATATTGCTTAAAATGGTAAATAGATGATTTAAAGGTAAATTAATGACACCATTTCTCATATAGACTCTAACAGAAAAGATCTAGAACAAGTAACTGAACGTTTATAAAGAATAGACAATCATATGTTGAGTTCAAAGACTATTTATGAGTAAATGTAAAAAGAAGCCACTAATCTAGACACTAAAATTGAGTTATTAAAGAAAAGAATAGAATAAAGTGAATCAGAGATTCAAAAGTCATCCAGTTTGGAATAACAATTATTGGATTTGAAATCAAATAGAGGAGATTTAGATTAATAACTATTAGAAATCAAGAAGCAAATATCATAATCATAACCATTTATATTTCAGTTGAATTTATCAAGGATGAAGGATTGGGATTAGAATAGAGTGTATGGTAAATTGTTCAGTTTGTTTGAGGTGAAAGATGAATAATATATGAAAGCATTGGAATTTGGTGCAGGAGCAAAGTTATAGAATATAGTTGTTGATGATTCTACTACATCCACATACTTGTTGAAGAATAATATATTGCAAACTCACTCCTACATAATACCTAATAAAGAAATTCAATCAAGCGAAGCCAAAAAGGAATTTGTTTAGGCTGCAGCTCAAATTGCAAAGGAGAATGATGGATTCGCTAAACCTGCTATCGATTTAATTTCCTTTTCAGATAAAGTGATCAACTCTATGAAATTTGTCTTTGGTAATTTCATCATTGCTTCATCTATGGATATTGCTAGAAAGATTGCCTATCATCCTTCAAATGTCTAAAAATGTAAAGTTGTCACTAGGGATGGCGACATTGTTGATCCATCTGGTACTTTGACTGGTGGTTATACTAATGAAAAGGCATCATTACTACCTAAATTTAAATCATTCAATAAATGGAATCTAGAATATAAGGAAATTCAAGGATAAATTGATAAAATTGAATCTTAAATTGAGAAGGTTAAATAAGACATTGAGTTCAAAGAACAATTAAACAGAGAAATAACATAAGATAAATATCAATTAGAACAGTTGATGATCAAGTAAAGAAAGAGCAATCAATTCAATTTCTAGAATGAATAGAATAAGTATCTTAATGAAATTCAAGATCTATAAGTTGAACAAGAGAGACTCAAAAAACAAATCAAAGAAGGTGAAGATAAGTTAATAGAATTGAAAAAAGAGTTATAATTAATTCAGTAGGGTAAGAACACCAAAGAATTAATTCAAGCATAAATAGATAGGACGAAAAAGGAAATTAATAAATTAAAGCAATAAATAGATCAATAAAAGAAGGAATTGATTTAAAATCAAGTGGAAAGCCAAAATTTTGAATAAGAAATCGCTAAATGTGCTAAGAAAATCAAAGAAGAAACAAATAATTTAGATAAAACATCCGCTGCCTTGGACTCGTTAATAAATGAATTAAATACAAACAAAGATTAATTTTTGAAAATAACAGAGGAAAAGAATTTGTACGAAAGTAAAAATGCTATTCATAACAATTAAATGACTAGATTATTAGAATAGTTATAAGAAAGGTAGAAATTCTTGAATTCTACAATTGAACAATTGAATGGACACTAAAATGAACTAAAGAAATTAGAAAGAGAATAGCATGATCTGAAATAGCAATTGAAATCCTTAGAAGATCAGTATGATTTTATTAGATAAGATAAAAATGAATTATCTTAAGACAGACTATCAGAGAAATTCAGAGTGCTAGAGACAATGGAATATGAAAAAACTAAATAATAGTTCTAGAGATTGGAACATGATCAAGGGAAATTGGGAAAATAAGTTAATTTTAAGGTTGAAGCTATGACTGAATAAGTTGAAAAAGAATTTTAGTCTTTGAAGGACAAAAAATTAATTTTAGAAAATGATAAGTCCATGCTTATTTAGAATATGGGAGAATTGGATGACAAGAAAATTAAGACTATTGAAAAATGTTTCTTGGAAGTCAATAAGGATTTCTCATCTATTTTCAGTTCATTGTTACATAATGCCTAAGCTAAATTAGGTAGATTGGATGGACTATCAATCGAGGATGGAATAGAAATGAATGTGTCGTTTAGTCATCAACAGAAAAATCTATCAGAATTGAGTGGAGGATAAAGATCTTTATTGGCCTTATCATTTATACTTGCTCTATTGAAATACAAACCTGCTCCATTTTATATTTTAGACGAAGTTGACAGTGCTTTGGATTTATCACATACAGAGAATATTGGTTAGATGTTGTCTTAGAATTTCAAGTAATCTCAATTCTTACTGATTTCGTTGAAGGAGGGTATGTATTAGAATGCAAATGTTTTGTACAAAGTCCAATTTGTAGATGGAGTAAGTAAAATTGATAGACATGAACTAAAAAAGAAGAAATAATAATAATTAAAATGATTGATATATATTAAATATATATATAAAAATTATATAAATTAAGATGAAAAATAAAGGGAGTTTTATAATAAATAAGAAATCTTCAATTAAGAGTAGTAAATTGTTTTTGTTTGAGAATCTTTTATTTGAGGATGTCCCTCTGGCTGCGAAATAGGCTTATTTGGAATGTCTAGAAAAACAAATTAATGATTTAGATGTTATGAGGAAATAATTAAATGAAAATATATAGAAATAGGAAATGATCAAAAAGCAATAGTTACAATTCAGAAAAGAAATCGAAAACATTTAGAATGATTAAAAATTGGATCACAACATCATAAATTAATCTATGCTATTGAGTCAATTCATAAGTGAATAATAAAAGATAGATACTGGTTTAATTGAATAAAGCTATTTAAAAGATTTAGAATACTTGCAAAATTAACAACTCAAAACATCAAATCAATTCGTCCCTTTTGAAAATGAATTTTTATGATTAACAAATTATATTTTTAACTCTGTTTTTGTAATAAAGTCTTACTTTTGAGAGCCTATCTACAAACAGCTTGATAAATTTAATCTGTCTTAGATTATCGAGAATAAATGATGAATATATAAAATAATTAAATGAACTTCAAAATAAAGGTTGACTAATTAGCTGAATTAGATAGCTTTTGGGTTGAAATCTATAATAAGACATAGTTATATAATCTAAGGGAATCTTCTAATACCAAATCAAAGACATATAAATATTATTGTGTTATTCATAGAATACTTATAATATTTTTATTAATAATAAAATTAAATCATTGATAATGGAATCTAGGAGCACTGGTACAAAGAGACTTATCTCAGTTGGATCTCTATCAAACTTTGAAAGAGCTGAATTTATCTCTTCTAAAACTGACACTAAATAAAGATTAGGAGAGCTCTTCATTTATGAACCTACTAAACTAGAGAGTAATTATGAATGTTCATTATAAATTAAGTGTTTGGATTGAGATAATAGATTGTTAGTACGCGTATTCCTAAGTTTGATCATCCTAAACCTATGTTTGAATTGGATTATCAACCAGAAAAAACCTTAACACATGTTGCATCTCAAACTGAGTGTTAAAAATGCAATCATAGTTTAAGTAGGATGGTGTAACCAAAATTAAATATGGAACAATTGCATTTATCTGCTCCTTCATTGTAACCCTATGAAAAATAAGAACCTAAAGTTATAGTTCCTAAATAATTGCAAAGCCATATTGTGAGACAAAAAAAGAAGGATCTTCCCCCTATTTTACAGTATTCCTTTGTTTAATCTCCACCTATCTTTACTTAATCTGCCAAGGCTGTTAGAGAGCAGAAATCTTTCGGCAAATTATCATAAGGCAGAATATCCAAGAAATTTGACAGCGAATTGGTTAAAGTCATTCAATAGGAACTCAGCAAGTAATTACATAAGATGGAGGATGAAATCTCAGAAAAAGGATATAGTGTCCCTCTTAAATATGTATAGATAGATTTATACATTTCTTTTAGTAAAATCTCAAAAGAACTAAATAAATGACTCTCAGTAAGAAAATCAAATAAGAAAAGTAATCTCAAATCTTGAATGAAAAGAAAACCGAATCTTAGTTCTTTATGTAAAAGGAAAAAGAAAAAGAAATCCGATCCATCATATTTTTCAAATCACCTGAAAAAAGTCAATCTCAAATTCGCCTCTAAAAAGAAGAAACTAGCAACATAATCTTTGGTTATTCAAATAGATTAGAGGAATAAGCATGATTCAAATTTACTCGAAGTTTATCATATTTACATTATAAATAAGTATATCTAATCAAATTCGATGCTCATATTAAAATTAGAATATATTCCTATATTGAACTCTAAGATTCTGATCTGATCCTACAATGAGATCATCTCTATTGCCAATTGAATTCTATGACAAATTAGTTAATTTATTAATACATGATTGTGAATATGAATATGAATCTTTCACTCAAACAATGATTGAATTATTTACAAAATTCAAATCTTTATCTTGAAAATAAGAAAAGTCAACCAAGATCTTGGAGAATCTTTATATTGAGAGTACTCTAAGAATGAACTACATTAATAAAATATATTATATGATTAGTTATTATTATTGTAATAAATATATTTAAAAATCACTCCAAAATTGCACAATGTCTGATTCAATTAAACAAGAAGTTCAAGAAAATAAATAAATCGATACTTTTGAGGATTCGTAAGTATTTAGCTAACAATTACCTGATATATCTATAGCCATGATCTAATTTTAATAGTAGAATGATCTTTAAATCAACGATTAAGATGATAAATAGATAATAAATTCATATGCCAATTAAGATTTACAAGAGTAGAATAAATAATTATAAGAACACAATACAAAATTACAAGAGCAAAATACAGAATTACATGACAACAATAAAAAAATAAAAGAGTACAATAAAAAATTAGAAGAGCATAATACAGAATTAGAGGAGCACAATACAGAATTATAAGGGCATAATACAAAATTACACGAGCACAATACAAAATTACACGACCATAATACAAAATTACATGAGCATAATAAAAAATTATAAGACCACAATACAAAATTATAAGAACACAATACAAGATTAGAAGAGCTCAATGTAGAATTAAAAGAGCACAATAAAAAATTATAGGAGCACTAAACTAAATTACAGGAACAAAATACAGAATTACTAGAGCAGAATACAAAATTAGAAGAGCTCAATACAAAATTACAAGAGCACAATTAAAAATTGTATCAATAATTAAGTTCAACTGAAAATTAAATGAAATTGATTAATCAACGTTTGGACGAATTAAATTAGGAGAAAAATCAAAATCAAACAATAGTTAATGATCTCAAAAAGTTAGTTGACTAATAAAGAGATTTTATTAATTAAATCAATAATGATTAGGCTTACTTGGATTTGACTGAATCATTAGAAATCACATTGCAGAGATTAAAAGAAATGGAAAAGAAGAATGAAAAGTTAATGGAAGAAAATCTCCATTATAAGACAAAGTATGAAGAAAGCCTAACTTATATAAAAAACAACAAGGAAGAAACTTTGAATCAATAAGATAGGATAGATGAATTGAGTCAAAATTATTAATAATCATCTGAAGACTAATAATCAAAAATTAAAGACTTAGAAAATGAAATTAAATCACTGTAAAATTAAATTTCAAATAAATGATTTATATTTTTAAGTCTAACTCTTTCTTAGTTTTTGAAATTCCATGGTTTTTTTTAAAATAGCCTATAGTAGGAGTTGTAAGAAGAGCTTAACAGAAATAGGTAGTATTTTTGCTTGCCATCTTGCATATAGTCCTGATATTCCATAATTTTTACATATCTGTTAATTTTATTTGCTTATAAAAACAAATTTAAATATAATACTACGAATAATTAAATATTTTCCATATAGGATAAAATACTTGGTTTTGGAACTTAAAATTACTCAGAGTAGACTAAAATCAGTTTAATTAATTAAAGTAGATGTATTTCTGAATCCAAATTTCATCTTTATACTTCTCAAATTCATTGAATCACCTTCAACAAAGTTATTGCCTAAAGAACTCTTCACTAAGGATTATCTGACATAACTGATTGATGTATTCAACAATTTTTTCATTTTGCAACTTAATTATATTTATCTCTTCTAAATAACTTGATACGCTTTGGAATGAGTGGTTATTTAGAAATATTTATTAATTAGGAAAAAATAAAATTATAATCTAGCAACAGAAATAGATAGGACATTATTTTTAGTGGTCCTAATACCCATTCTAAATCTATCTTAAAGTGTTTTATAATCTTCTTTTGAGCTGAATTCAATTAATTTTATATTATACGTATTTAGTAATTAAATAAATATAATGTAAATCAAATTAAATATATTCTATGAGCAAAATGAGATAAATTCTAAGAAAATAATGGATCAATTGAATAAAATCAATAAATTATGATTCAAAATATAGAAGAGAATTGCTGGTAAAAATTTAGTAATAATGTTATTTAATCTCAAGAAAACAATTTATTGCTAGCAACTTTCACGTTCTCTTGTTTACACATCTATCTCAAAACAATTTGAACTTTAGGATAGAGTTGCTTTGCAAATACTATGCCAAGGCACATTATCAAAAAATACATCTAAATAAATCCTAAAGTAACTTTATTTTCATAAGAAATAGCAATCTGAGTAAATTCAAAATATAAAAATAAGCTTAAACTAAATACTGTTAACACTCCTTCGATTATTAATAGTATAATCCTGTCGGATTTGGAGCATAATTTATATTAGTAGGTTATATAGAAAGAACTTACATTGCTGAAAGAAATTAATAACAATTACAAAATTTATTCAGTTTAGAATTCTATTAATACAATATGGAAAAACATTGTTCTGGAAATATCTAAGGCAATAAATTTTACTTATTAAATTACTTAAATTTTGTTATTCTGACTATTGCTACATATACTAAATAATTTTAGTAATAAGCAAAGGCACATCAAAAATATTGAAATTGCAAAAAAAGTAGTTAAAATACTTCTCAAATTATTTATTCTATTATAGTAAAGCTATAAAATCACTTTAAATATCAAATCCCATGAATTAATGTAAATAGGTTGGAGCATTTTATTTAAATTTTAAAGATATCGTATTTTCATTATTTAGGTGATGCTGTTTTTAAAATTAAGTAATAAACTAATTATTGCAAATAAAATCTTTGATTATATGGTTGTTTGATATTCGAGACTTTTCATATATTTACTTAATCTTAAGAATTAAAGAAAAAGATTTTTGGCAAAATACAATAGTGGTAACAATGCTAACACTTAAAAAAGTTGTGGTAAAATATTCGTAAAAAGATCAACTTCTACATGATACTATTGGAATTTTCCACTTAATTCAAGTTATTTTTCTTTTCTTGTTATTAAATTTAAATAATCATCAGCTTCAAAAAGGTTCAAATAAGATGTAAGAGATAGCAACTCTTATGCTTAAAAATAAATTTAAAGGTTTTCCGGATAATCGATATTAATAAATCGTAAGAATGATTAATATTACAAAAGGTTTAGTGTTTCAATAACAAAGGAACTTTAACCAGAGACTAAAGAAACTGCACTTATAATTATTGCTCCAATCATAAATGCTTTGTTAGATGATTAAGCATAAATGGATAACTATTTTTATTCTCCAGAAATTATTTGTGGTAATTATAGAATTATTGACTCACTGGGATTAAAAATGGTTTAATTATTTGAGTTAACAACATCTTTGTTCAATTAAACTAAAAGAATGGGTTTTGTAGAAATCTGTTAAAATATTTCAATCGAGACCTAATACTATGCATTTGAAGGATCGAATGAAATATCTTAAATTGCATTAATTGTAATATTATAATACTGGGTATCTAAATCTGCAATGCTAATATTAAATAGTTGTTTGTCTTTTAATATATTATCCTTAATTTTTACTTCTTAGTCAAAATTAATGTTAACATATTAAAGGGCATATAATTATTTATTGTAAGTCAATTACATGATGGCTTTTTTAGAATAAACACATTCATCATCTCGGCATACCTTATTCTCTTTCCATGAACTTTATTCTACTTTTGTACTATCAGTACTTGTACTGTTAATTTAAGTTTCTATTTTTATTTCAGTATCAAGATTATTGCCTTCAGGTTCTTCGATAATGCTAGAATTAAGTGAAACATTTGATTTATCTAACAAACATTGATAATTATTTAACAAATAATTTGTTTGGCATTAAATACAAACTCTATCTTTGCATATCTGACAATTTTTTGAGCACTCAAATTTGCATTTATAGCATCCATCATCAGGAATACTATTTAAATCTTCACAATCTTCATTACCTGCCACAATTTCATCGCCACATAATGGTAAACAATCATTACTATCATTATCATAATACAGCCCTATTAAATCTTCACATGACTTTGTTTCTTCACACATACCTTTTGTATGTACAACTATAAAAGGAAGTTAACATAACATGCATTTTCCAAATTAACAATCCAAGCACGCTTCTTGACATTAATATTTACATTCAAAACAACCATCGTATCTCAATTCATTGCCATCATCACAAACTTCATCACTTGCCAATATATTATCACCACAGACAGAATTACATGTATTGCTCACTATATCCAAATAGAATCCTGCGAAACAATAAATACAATCACCATAAGCACAAGATTTACAATATTGAGGACATTAGTATTTACAATTTAAACAATCATCTAATTAATATTAAATTCCATCATCGCATTCCTCCTCTTAAACTATTATACCATCTCCACATTTAGGTATACATTTGGTTCCATAATATCCAAATTCACATTCTAAACATTCGGAAAGTACACATGATTTACAATTTTTATTGCATTGGTTCATATTATAATCAACGATGCAAGTTTTAGTAACTGCATCTAGATATCCAATTTAACAAAGTATACATTAGTTACCTTCTAACAACTTGCAATTTGGTTCTTCATAAATTGTAAGTAAGGTTTGAATTGGTTTACATGAATTATTTAATTAATCAAATTCAAAATTGAGTTAACAAGATTGACATATTCCATTCAAACAGTTTTCACAAGATTGACTACATTAATATTTACATTCAAAACAACCATCAAAATTAATATAATTTCCGTCATCACATTCCTCATTCCCAACAACAATAAAATCTCCACAAATTGGATCACAAAAGAATGAACCTAATTTCCATCCTTCTTTGCACTCAAAACAAACATCATCAATACAATGTGTACAATTAACATCACAAGTTTTTTCACAATAATTGTTACAACCATCATCATTTAATAAATTTTAATCATCACACTATTCAATATCTTCTATTATGCCATTTCCACAATATGGAGTACTACTGAAATCATATTCACAGTCAATTATTATACAAATTAAATATTCATTTAAGAAATAGCCACTTCTACATAACTAACATCTACCTTAAACACAATTTATACAAATGTCTTAACACTTTGATGAGCATTTACTCTCAATTAGATTAAATTCTTATGAACATTGTAAACATTCTCCATATACACATTATATACAATTGTCATCGCATTCATATTTACACTAATAGCAACCATCAAAATGCTCCATATTTTAATCATCGCACTCTTCCCATTCAGTGATATACCCATCACCACATTAAGATTAACAAATAAATGAGTTTTAATCCAAGTATAAGCCTACTTAACATTATTAGGATTAAATGCATTGATTTTCATAAAGTTCATATTTTTATGCACATTAAATGCATTAACTATTATAATATTGAATGCAGCTCTCAGAACTTTCAGGAACACAATCACCATACTCATTTAATTTATAATCTTTGACGCAAATTAAGCAATCTCTATTCAAATTTAATTAACAGTATCGATAGAAATCTACGGTAGTTCCTTCATAATAACAAAACCCATCCCTAAGAAAATAATCTCTTTTGCATTCTTAGCATACTCCATTTAAACAATTTATACATTATTAACTACATGAATATTTACAATGATTGCAACCATCAAACTCTATGAAATTATTATCTTCACAGTCTTCATCATGAGTTATTATTCCATCTCCACATACAGATTCACAAGTATTTAAATATTCATTAAAATAATATCCCTGTTTGCATTCATAACAGTGGTCTTAAAAATTTTTTTCACATTATTTTGGTGCATCAAGCATACAACTTAAGCAATTTTTATCAAAAATTTCACATTGTTCATCATGTGCGAGTATACCATCTCCACAAGATGAGATACAAGAAAAATTTTCATCTAAATAGTAGCCTCTTTAACAATTTAGGCATTTATTTTCATTACAAGACACGCAGTAATCAATACAATAACTACAATATAAATCAGGAGATAATCTAAGATAATATTCACAAAAAGTTAATGGTGCTTCTTTTAACTAACACTTCTAAACAGATTTTTCATAGTAGGCAGAATCTTTGCACGAAACACAATTATCCCCAATTTAGATATTACAGTTTTCAATTACAATATAATTAAATTCTAGAGATTCTGTACAAATCTATAGATTAGGATTTAATTCATATCCGTCCTTGCATTGCTAACAAATACCAAATTAACACAAGATGCAATTAAAATTGCAAGTAAATTAACAAGATTAGCAATTTGGATAAATTTGGATTGAAGTTATTCTATAACATTGTTCATTTTGTATCTAAGCACCATCTTCACACATAGGGTAACATTTAGAAAGTTTTAATTAATAGCCTTCTTAACAATCATAACAGATTCCTTTAAGACAATTAAGACATGAATCCTAGCAACTAAATTGACAGAAATGGCATCCATCGCCAATTATCAAATTGCCATCATCACATTATTCATCTTCAGTTATTATTTTATCCCCACAGATTGAATAACATAAATAATCAACTTTATTATAACCAGTTTTGCAAGTTTAACAGCCAAGTCCAGTATTAGCACAAGTGAGGCAAGAATTTTGACATTTGGCTAAGCAATTTTAGCAACCTTTGTATGGTAGTATAGATGTTATCTCACATTATTCACCTTCTGCAACCAACGAATCGCCACAAATTGGTTTACATATTTATTGATTTGAAAGATAATATCCAACAGCACATAATTCACATCTATTACTTACGCAGGTAGTGCAAATAGATGAGAGTTAACACTATAATTAGCATGAATCACTGCAACCATCGTAATTCTTAGTATTGCCATCATCACATTGCTCTGTATAGTAATTAGATGGATCTAATGCGATTATGCCATCTCCGCATATATTTTTACAATAGTAAGAGATAGGAGTAAACCCAGGGAATTCGCAACTTAAGCATTTGTTGGTTGTATAATCACAAGAAGAACAACCAATTCTACAGTAATACTTACAATCTTTGCAACCATCTGTATCAAAAGAGTTTTCATCATCACATTATTCACTTCCAATTATCAAGCCATCTCCACAAATTTCCTTACATTTCCAAGGAGTAACTGTTAGATCAGTTTGCCAACCACCAGTATTACACTCAAAGCATTGTCCTTTTATGCACTTTGTACATTAAGGTGGACATTAATATTTACAATTAAAACATCCATCATATTAAGTGTTATTTCCATCCTCACATTCTTCAATTCCAGAAATAATTCCATCTCCACAAATATCAGGACAAGGAAAGATTGTTGATTAATCACAAGTTAAACAATGAGCTGGACATTAAAATTAGCAATTATAACATAAATCATCAAGAATTGTATTATTATCTTCACATTATTCATATCCATTTATTTATAAATCTCCACAAATAGGTTGACATTCTCCTGATATTAATTAAAATCCAGTATCGCAAGTACTACAAGTAATAGTATGCCAGATCAATTAATTATTATTGCAAAGCTTATAACATTAGCTTAGGGATGAATTTTCTGTAGTTGGACAATCTATAATATGATATTAATATACTTGTACAAGCATCACTTAATTCGTAATAACCGGGTAAACAAAAACATTTTAACCCTTTTAATATTCTATTTAAACTTGGATTGCAGGTTAGGCAACCATCAATAGTATTTTTAAAACATGTTAAGCACGATGAATGACAAGACGAACAAGTATTTGCTGTATATTAATAAGAATTCCCTGCTAGACATCTACAAGTCGATCCTACTTTTTCAATATTAACAATATTATTGCATGTTAAACATTCATCAGAAGTTGGTCCAAAACAAGTTTTACAAAATTAATGGCATAATTAACATTGAGGTGTAGATGGAATATGATAATATCCATCAATGCAATTGCATTACCCATTTGAAAAATTTCTATTATTAGTGACTAAACATTCTATACAGTAAGTAGAAGTTAAACATTAATTACATTCAATAGGACAATCAAAACATTGATTTGATTCTTCGTACTGATTCACTTTGCAAATGCATCCTAATTTAGATTAGGTATAAGTTGATTTGCATGTTTAACAATCTAATTTAGATGTGCATGTTAAACAAGATTATGGACATTCTTTACAACTTATTGATTCTTTATCATAATATTGGTTAATCAAACATTCTGCTTAAGAAAGTTTAACAATATTAGAATCATAAGTGCTATTCCATGAAGTACAACTAGATTAATTCTAACATTATAAGCAATAAGGTTAGCAATTATGAACGGCAATATAATAATTATAGATTCCACAATATGCCATTATTGGTTCATTATTTGGCCCAAAGCATTCCCAAGTGATTGTTAATGTATTTGTATTATGATTGATTTTTTCATATACTTCATCCACTTTTGAGCCATCATAATAAGAACTAGTATAAATAGGAGCTGTTTTAACAACTGGTGTATTACTCTCAATCGTATATATAAATGTCCCATCTGAAGGGAAATTTGGTCCATATAGAATATAAAATGCTATTGTGACACTGTGATGCGGGGATAAGATATCATGAACCCTTTATAATTTAGCCTACGCCCATATAAAAGGTCCTCCAAGGACTCTATATGTTTACCAATATGAAAAATAGATATCCGATCCTTTCAAAAAGTTTGGACCATTTTGAGAAATTACAGTATACTTTGCATATTATTCAGGGTCACCAGTTTCATCGAGATGTTCCTTAATCAAATATGAAGAGTCTAAAATTTATGTATATAATACAAGGCGTTTCGTCATCGTAATCATAACAATAAGAGCCCTATATTCTTTAATATGGATAATAGCAATCATTTGTACAGGTACCATCTCTATAAATATAATATCCAGATTCACAAATTTTACATTTAAATGATACTTCACACAATATGCAATACTTGGGACAATATCCTGAAGAAAGAGAAATTTTATATATTCCCCATCCTGCTGTGGCATCACTAAATTCAATAAATTAATATTTACGTGTAATTTCCAACGACTGAAAATAAAAATGAATATTTAGGAATGTCAACATATGTAGTAATTTCATATACTTAATAAGACGTATATGAAAGATATGATCCTTAGTTTGAAATATTAAATATTTTGACTTTGTGGGTTTGAATTCCAGAGGCATTCCTAAAAATAGACCCGAAATAAGTATTATTAATCTTAAACTAGATTCCACAATTAAGTGGAATATCATTAAAAGTTATGATTATAATATTCAGTCCAACTAACCAAGTAGAATCATAATATTTAGCCAAATCCTCAAAATATCTATAGACACCAGAATTAAATTTAAATACTCCATATGAAGAATAACTAATTATCGCTATAGATGTATCTATATGTTGAGGGTCATATATAATCTACCATCTGGATGTCTCATAACCAACAGAATTTTAGACAAATAATTAAACTAAGAAATATTAATTAAATAATACTTGGATAAGATTAACAAAACCCATTTTAAAATAATGGATTGGAGAAGTCACAAGTATCATAACATCCTAACTTCTTCATATAAAATTAATTTGATGGGCAAGTTGGGCAAATGTTATTTGTTGGTAATCCATAATAACAACTTGTACATTAATTATAATTTGGACCTGAACACAATATACATGATGGATAACATCCTTGTGGTTTAGAGAAATAGATATTTCTGACTGAAACTTGTCCTTAATTTGTATTAAAAGAGCTAATCTAAAATTTATCCAAACTATTGGTTCCTGTGGAACGAAAAGTAAAATTCAAAGTTCTAATCTCATATGGAGAGCTATTACAAAATCCAGTTGTAAATGAATAAGTTGTGGGGGAAGTGTACCTATAAGTATATGAAAATGCTCCAAACGTAAACTAAAAATATTCAGCTGACCACGTACTCTGAAAATATAAATCCATAGATATCCAAAGATCATTTGATAAACTCAAAAAATAGCCACATTAAGCAGACGGAAATGAATTACTTAAGGTAATATAACTTGTGGCAGGTGTTGTACAAGTGATAAATCCTGCAGTAGTGGAGCTTGAAGGCAATTTAAACCCTCCAGAGCACTCTTGTGCCCAAGACCCAGTATAATGAGTAAATATCTAATCATTAGTTAACTTACTAAAATAGAATTCCCATTACGAATTTGAAAAAACAAACTAGGCAAAAATGATAGAAATTGTTAATATAAACATAAAATAAATTTAGAGAAATGAAACAAATCCTTAATTTATAATTGTCAATTTATAATTCAAATTAATAGAAATGTTATTATGACAACTACTATTAGTTTATAATCATGAGCACTTTAGCAGACAGAAAAAATAAACAAATATAAAGTAGAAAAAATGTTAGATTAAACCTTAGCCTTATAATACCCTATGATATTTTTGAATTTTTAAGAAAAGTTCAAAAGGATTGGATATTCGAGATTACTATTTTCTTTCTCTTGAATAATAATTAAAATGATAATATTTTACAAGAAAAGTAAGCACTGTTAATAGTATAGTGAATTTAATCCCATAATTTTTATGTGGGTTATCGTCATGCATAACTCTATTAAATTCATCAATACATCCTATACTATACATGATATTAGTCATAAAAATTGAGAATAACAATTCCTGGTTAGTTGGTCATTCTAAAGCTTCTCTTTCTAGACAATTGCTTGATAGTGAAGCTAAAGTGTTTAAAATAAGTCATCTTTCAGGTACCGTTCATGTTCTTGTTTAATCCCAGATATTAGAGTGAGTGAATTTATAAAAAATTCTTATATAAAATATTATAACAATCTAAGAAAATCATTAATCAAGGAAAACAATGAACAATCGTAATCAAAAATCTTTAGAATTTTTTTAAAATGACTAAGTCTTAGAGATATTTTGTTTGGGAGGCACCTTAGGAAGTTGAACGCAAGTACTTTTTGTTTGGGGTTTAGAAAACAAAATTTATTATTTTTTTAAAGTTGGAGTTTACGAAGAAACTTTACTTGTTGGAGTATGTAATCTTGAGGTAGCGTTATTTTTGGTCGGAGTTTTGAGTCTTATTTAATGTTTAGGTTAGAAAGTTTCCATATTTTCTTTCAAACTATTGGCATGGTCTTATTTAATTATGGTTTCAGGATGATGAAAATGAATTTGTTAAAGTTTTTGATTAATTTCTTTGGCCACCTAATTAATTAATATTAAAGAATACTTATTAAACTATGATCTTTTTATCAGTTAGAAATTGTTGAAATGTTTGTTGCAATTTAATGACCAAGTCTTTTTCTTCATTCCAGAAGAGCAGTCTCATTTCATAAATTAATTGTACAAACTTCATTCTAACCAAATAAACTGGATCATTTTGTAATTGTAACACTTAAATTAAATTGCAATGTTTGAAAAAATTCCTGCTTCTTTTTCGACAAATTTAGATACAAAAGTCAATTAATAATACTCTATACGAATAATTAGTGTGAGTCAGAAATTATAGAAATTGAGGTACAACTTTATCATAATTTTCTATGATTTAATCTATCAAATATGCACAGATTTTTTTCCTTATGTGTTAGGATCCCATCGATAGGTATGAGTAACATAGAGAATTCAATTCAGATTTGAGGTTTAAGTTACTAGCCAGGCATTCCAAAATATTGAGAGTCTCTTCAACTTCATACCAAAGACCTTTTTATTCAAAATGAAAAATAGACTTTTTTAAAAAGTCAAAGGTTCTTTGCAATTGAACAGCTAATTGTCTGTTTTTGATTCTGTTCCCCTTATTGATGATATCAAGTAGATAAGGTATGAATAAAATCTAATTCAACTCTAAATTGCCAAATACTAAACCGAGAAGTTATTGATGGGTTTATTCACTTAATTGAGTGTATACGTCTGAGAGATGTTTAAGAAAACTAAACTCTTTACTGGTATCAATTAGATTAGATACCTGATTAATTAGAAAATCGTCGTATTGTTATCGGATCTTCGAGTCAAATTAATAGATATATTGATAGTACTCCTTAATCAGTTCAATTTGAATAGGTTAAGGTCTTATGTAATCCATGAATGCCTATTAAATGGATTCTGTTTTAATGGTTGAAATGCATTAAGCTACTAAAATGATGATTTTGGGATCATCTTCTATGAATTATATTATATCTTGGAGAGTGTCTTAAAATTTGAGATGACCCTCATAGCCTTATTCTTCCATCTTCAACCAAGAATTGAGAAATAGTCTACACCCACTCAATCTAACTTATTTGTCAAAGTCTGAGATCAACGATATGGTATTCTTCAGCCACTCCTCCTCTTTAATTAATATCATAAGTAGTTTATCATGTTTGAGTATGACTTGGTCGATTATTCTGCACATACGTTCATTCTTTCTCCCGATGCATTATTTTATATGCTTCAATGATTGGACTTATTAGGCATTGGTCATAACAGAGTAGAGCATTTAAATAACTTTCAATCCTTCATACCTGACACTATCTTCATTTAAAATAAGTAGATATGGTTCGAAATCGAATTCCATAAATTTGGATAGAGTTTGCATTAGCTCGCATACTTAATCACAAAATGGGGTATTGTAACAATTAAAACATAACTCCTAGAGTTACTTCAAAAATTATTCTTTAATTTTGCTTAGCACATTTTGCTACTATAAATTCTCATAAGTACTTTGAGTAAAGTGATGATTACACTTAGAGCCTTGATTAATTCCTTGATCACTTATGAGTCCTCACTTTTAACCTTACTCTAAAATTAATGGGAATAGAGATTTACAATCATCAATGCTACAAGTTCTGGAACATAAAAATCAAGCTCAGTAGCTTTGTGAATATTTTGACAAACAAAAAGCTTTTAAAATGTTTATCCATTATTCAGCAAACAGATTGCCTTGTCTATAAAATTATTATATTCAGGAGTGCATAGTTTTTCAATTTCCTCATTACTTTTGACTTAAATACAGAGTGAAATGTACTTGAATTAGTGCATCTCTCATTGATAGAATCCATTAATTTATTAATTAATTATAACGAATACAAGAAGCATGACTCTTTTTTCTGAGTTTCTCATTATTGGATATTAGGCAGAAGAGTATAAGAACACTGAAATCATGGAGTACTTCCATATTAATGGATCATCTCTTCCAGATTACCTTAGGAATGTGAGCATTGTAATATTTGGTTTGAATGGCATAATAGATGTGCTTCACTAGTGGTTTCGATGCCAAATTGGAACAGGAATAGTAAAAGAAATAGGATGACATAAATAGCAAGAATTATTTGCATTAATTTGTGATTACAGATCAGAGTGGCAAATTGCGGTACTGCACCTCTCTTGTAGTATTTGAGAATTTGAAAAGCGACTTCTATATCCCTTTTGCTTACGTGATTGTTTCCGAACAATCTAACTTGATTAGATAGAAATCCTACATGAGAGCAATGTACATTGCCATTTTTGACAGAGTCACAGTATTCATTAGTTTAATTATTTGCAGAGATTTAGAGATCGAGGATGGTAAATGGGATCCTAGAAATTATCTAATCAATAATTATTCGAATTCTATTTGTCAGTCGGAATCACAAACTTAAATGGATTATATTTTATACCCAAGCAAATTATGAGGACAAGGTAAGAACTCATAACAGATCTAATGATTAACAATCCAAGTCATAAAAATAATCTGTACAATAAAGATATCAGTTTCAATGCTTTATTTTCTAAATTATCAATCAAAAGCATAATTAAGGTTGTGCAATCAATAATTCTTGAAAAACAGATCATTTTATTCACTAGTTAAGTTTGGGACTTGGCAACTATTGTTGAGGCATTCCTATAATTTATTTACCCTCTCCAATGGAGATGCATTTACATACCATATCTACCAGCAGAAATCCTAGATACTCTTTATGTCTCAGTACCTTATATAATTGGTGTTCATAGCAATCTTAAGGAGAGAGTATTAACACAATATGATTGTCTTGATAAGATTCTGGTCGATTTAGATTAAGACAGGGTCATCGGATGCAATTTAGTATTTAGAGACATTAAAATATTATTAGATACTACCCTTTCCAGAACAACTTGTGGAAACCCTCATAAATTAGAGTTCTAAATTTTAATATTCTGATGATGTAATGTAAACGTTTGTTAGTAGTCCGAATTGTTATAAGTTTAGTGTTGCTTCCTTAAATTCCAATTGTAGCTTATCAACAACATTGTACCCTACTTTATATACTCTGATATCCTCCAATAGAAGCCTAAAATCGAAGACATTTTTGATAAGGATCTTTATATAGAATAATTTACACCTTTAGATCAAGAATTTTATAGGGAATTTGTGAATAAAACTATGGTATTTATACTTTTATTGAAATTTGTAGATGTTCCCACGTTTTATTGAAGAATCCTATTAGTATCTACACTAGAAGCAATTCTTGAAACAAAACATAAAGGCAAACATTTTCATTGACTTACTCTTATTGATCAATACTTCAGGGTACTTCAATATTTATAAATTACAAAATAAAGACTTTGAAGCAGGATTATTTAACCTGATAAATGAATCCAAAGCCTTAATTCCGGAATCAGAGAAATCCATTCATGCACTCTTCCCCTAATATCAAAAACAAACAAATGACTATCTGATTCCCTAGAAAAAATTCCCTATTCTTCAAATTGACAAGTCTAAAATTATATAAATTGATCCTATTCAAAGTAACATTCATCATAACTCATTTATGCAAAGAAGTACTTAATCATAAAAAACTGATGTCTGCAATGAAAATAAATAAGTCATTAATATACTTACTATTAAAGCACACTAAATTAATCCATTTTCTAAATCACTAATACAAAATGAGGTTGCTGCCTAGATTATTTTGAGATACCCAAAAAAATCTTTGTCAAAACTAAAAAAGACTTTGGCTGCCCAATTATTAAAATTGGCCCCTGAGATCAATTTAGAACAGAAACCCATTCAAACATCCCAAATTGTGAATTTCAAATAGAGCAAACGAATATTTAACACTGAAGAAATAGGTTATGTAAGTATGTATAGGACAAAGACTTAGAATATATTCTGAAATACTTGATATGTTATATATTATTGATATTATTATTAATCACATCTATGGATTGGCTGGGGATTCAACAATGGGAATAGAGTCATGAAGCGAGTCAGTCGAATTTTAAATAGAATTGGGAATCATAGGAGCAGTAGTAGAATCACTTTAAGTAAGACTGCTGGTTTGTGACACTGCTGCTTATTTTAAATCAAAACAACTAATCATAATTATAACAAAGCCTACCAATTTTATAACGTCTTTATTTGAATTTACTTATTAAGATGCTTAGTTTTCAATTGCTCATGTTCATACTTATTGAACAATTTCAATTATTTCATCATCTTCTTAAACCATTTGCACAAATACACTTACTTACAACTGGGCCTTTATTGGAAAGGCTTCGTAAGCATAGCATACAACAAAATCTACAAATCCTCATTCAATCTTTCATTCACTTAAACTTCTTATTGTGGTTTATCTTAATGTAATAATTCCTATAATAATAAATCTCTTTTTACATAAATGACTACTCCCAAAGACCACACATCTACTTTATGATCATAATCTTGATTGGACAACAGTTCTGGAGCAGCATAACCCATGTTGCCCAACTTTTCTGAAATATAAAGCTAATCAAAATTCAGTTATATCGCACTTCCGAAATCACAAATCTTGTACACTCCATTATCAATTAAGATATTGTCAGGCTTTTGTACCTTTATATAAATACTTAAATGTCTCTATGGATGATGTTATTGTTGTGGAGGTAATCTATTCCATCCAGTATCTGATGAAAACAATCGAAGATATTATTCTCTACAAACATCGCTTTCTGGGAGCTCAACGTGCCTTGGTTACAGTACTCCAAAACCAAATAAAGAAAGGTGTCATCTTCAAAGGTCTCATACAATTTAACGACATTCTTGTGATTGAGATTCATATGAATCAGAATCTCCCTCTTCATGCTAAATGCAAATTATGGCTCTTCCAATAGTTCTTTCAAGATCTACACCTAAATGTTGCTAATACAATCTTCATAGCACACAATTGATTTTTCATGATGTCTTTTACTAACACGACCTAACTCATTTATCCCTATCCCAACTGTTATATGTACTAGTATCGTGTTGTGTTCGAGACATAGTTTTACAACATTTAAATATTATTATATAAACTTCACATCTTCAATTTGCATTCAATAAAAATTTAACGCAACTCTTCCTCGCCAATCCCTTAATTTAATATTTTATCCTCGTCCTAATATAGACTTTCATTATATATGTTCAACATTTCCTACTCATTACTAAACTCAATACCATTATCACCTCCTCTTCTATCGGTTTTTTCATCACACTCTGAGCAGCCTTCGCGATGTCAATCACTCCTATTACTTCAGACTCTTGTCTCGACTTCAGGAAGTTCCAAATGTACTTGAAATTGGCCTCCTGAATCGAATTCAACTCTTTCGCATTATTCTTTTTCTTTTTTCCCACTTTCACTTAACTCTAAACAATCTATGGTTAGGTTTAAACTATGGGGTTTTACTACACAGTTCTTTCCTTTTTCTAACTAGATCCTTTTTTGGTGAAAGCAAATGAATGTAACTCATTTTCTAAATATTCATCATTCTAGTTCATTTATTTAAATTCAATTAAATTATAATTTGAGCACATTTTCTTATTACAACTAAAGTAAAACTATAGTAATACCTTAGAAATAAAACTAAAACCAAATAAATTATATTTTTAAACAAAACATTCAAAATCATACAATTGAATCCATTTTTTCATTTTTATTTTACAAAAAATGAGCAGAGTTTTACTCTTATTTTATTAATTTTTAGGGTTACCCAGAAATTTTAGCAAAATTGTACTAAATCTTGGCTTATTTAAATTACATAATATCATACAAATAATATATAAATTTACTTAAAAAGATGAATCCTTCACTTTTTATCCTAGAATTAATGAAAAAACCTATTGTTATAATTAGTTAACTATTAAAAAATGAGTTTAAATCTACCATAATACTACTGATTTAAAAGGAGAATACTTATAAGACTTATTTTGAAATTTAAATGTCTCTAAAACGTATTTAAAGTCTACATTTGCTTCATAAGATTGCTCTGTAGGTCTTAATAGATCTTAGATGATATTTAGAGAATGAAACCATGTCATTTTTATGAGAATTTAAGTTAGTTTTCGACTGCTTTGTTTTATTTTTGTGCAAATTATATGATTAATATATTTTATTATGTTTGGAGAACAGTAGCTATTAAGCCCTGTCAAAAGATAATTATTAATGCAACGAATTATAAACAATATGAATGAGATCTCAAAACCGGTCTCTACTTCACCGGTAAAAAGGAGAATACGCATTTAATCAAATCGTATTGATTATAGGAAGAATTTGAGCATGGTGGAAAATGATTCGAATAGACATATCACTGAGCCTAACAACACAGAAATCAAGAAATTATTCCACATAAAAGCCAATCGTAAGATGTCTCAAGATCAGATGCATCCTAAATCTCCCCCTATGTTGCCATCACTGTTTGAAATCACCTTTTAGAATCCCTTTTTTGGGCAGTTTTCCTAAAGAAAAGCATAATATCAACGACCTACAGAATTTTAAGCCATAGTGTACAAACGAAAATCATGACTAATTTAATTAATTATTATCAACACGATCCACTCTCCTTTTCCCATTTTAAATATTGATTCTCAAATACACTTGGCGAAGGTTTTACTTAGTTCATAGCCTCTGCAAAATCAGTTTCAGTCACTGGTCCTGGTCTTACATCATCGTATGATGTCAAGTTCTATTACTTTTTCTATTTCACTGTTCTAACATCAACTTATATATCCTCAATTTAACTAAGGAGTCTTCGAAGTGGTTTCATTGCTGCTTCTTTACAAACTAATTTGATATCACTGCCACTGTAATTTTTAAGAGCTTCTGCAAGTAATGGGTAATTGAGATTTTCACTCATTTCTTAAGGAATATATCGACGAATCATGGACTCTCTTGATTCTTGATCAGGTAATGGTATGTAGATCTAATTATTACTATAAATAAAAATACTCTCTTTTCTAAACGCCTTAACATTGCAATATCTAAATCCCAAGGCAAATTTGATGCAGCCAATAAAAAGACTCTCTTCTTTGATTTTAATAAACCATCTAATTATATAAGTAATTCAGTTTTCATTCTTCTCCCTCCTTCATGCTCATTACCAGCAGATCCTCTTTAACCCATAATGGAATCCATTTCATCTATGAATATTGTGCTTGGTTCGTAGTGTCTTGCTAAATCAAAAAGAACACGAATCAGTTTTTCACTTTCTCCTCTCCATTTAGAAACAACTGATGAAGCTTAAACATTAAAAAATGTAGTTCGACATTCAGTAGCCACTGCTTTTGCTAACATTGTTTTACCTGTTCCTGGTGGTCCAAACAATAACACACCCTTCCATGGTTCCAAAATTCCTTAGAAAAAGTGTGGATATTTTAAAGGTACTAAAACAGCTTCTTTAAGTAATCTTTTGGCTTAATCTAAACCAGCGATATCAGAAAATTTAACATTTGGATTTTCTGAACAAATATCTCTCTATAAATAGGCTGCTAATTGTTAAAACTCAGGAACATCTGAATAGTCAGGCAACCCTTTTAAAACTCTTGGATCAAACCAGTCCTTGTGATTTGCATCTTCATTATTTTATTATTTTTATTAAACTCCTGTTCCTTAAATTTCAAGTGAATCAGGTTCATTTTTTGCATCCTTACTATTATTATCCTTCTCCTTAGATTATTAAGTATTTTTCTTATTAGAACCTGTTGCATTTTGATTATTCGAACTACTGCTATTGCTATTAGCACTTTTTCCTGAACTTGGAATTCGAGGCAATCCTGGAGTGCTTTAACCATCGACCTTTTTTACAAGTTTTGGAGGTTTCATGAACTTCATCTCATAAAACTATTCAAATTCGCACAATATCATATATAAATCCATATTATCTGCTGCATCATATTAATTCAAAGTCAAATTTGATTCCGTCCCCAATTTAGTTGCTGAGTCAATATAACCAGAATTCACAAGATATCGTTGAATTAAGATGATAACGTTCCTTCTCCGGTCTTTGATTTTCTACTCTTCGCTTAAGCGGGATTCAGAATCAATTTTGATTTTATTTAACATAAAAATTAATAAGTCAAGCATTCTTAATAAATAATGAGAAAGAATCATATATAACTTTAGTTTTGTATTTAATAAGAAAGGATTAAACTCAGATTTAAGGTTAAAATCTTTAGCCCAATTTTAATTATCATCCCCTTGGTTTCTTAATTATTTATAATTTTGATTAGCTTATTGATCAAAGCAACATATCATAATTCTACTTTGCGCTTTAATCTAATTACATGTTAATCGGACTATTTAATTAAATAGACTGATTCTTCATTTTTTTAACCAATCAATTTTACAGATTTTTTCATCATATTTTTAACCTCATCTACTTTTCTACAATTGTATCATTGAATATTGATTGTATTAATTGAAATCTTTTTTAATGATCATCCTATTAAAGGTTTTCATTTTTCTTTACCATAATTAAATTAATTCATTAAAATGCCAATAACTAAAAGAAAGAAGAATTAAGTGTTAACAAAAACTAAAAAGAAAACTCCAGAAAAGAAAGAATTACTTGTTAAGAAACTTAAATAAAGCCTTAAAAAGTATTAAAGAGCAATTGTGTTTCAATACAAAAATCTGTCCACAAATCCATTAAAAGAGATCCAATAAGCATGGAAGGCTGATTCAAAACTCTTTATTGGCAAAAACAAAGTCATGCAAGTTGGCTTAGGCAGAAATGAAGAACAAAGCGCTACAAAAAATTCCTACCTTCTCTCTCCAGTAATTAAAATTTTATATTTGCAGTTTCTTAAAGGAGAAACAGGTTTACTATTAACCAACAAGACTCTTCAAGAAATCTAAGAGTACTGCGATACATATAAAATTCCAGAGTTTGCCAGAGCTGGTCACATTTCTGATCAAACAATCATCTTAAAAGAAGGAATAGATACCTTAAAAGGATTTGCACACTCCATAGAACCATATTTGAGAAAACTAGGACTCAATACTCAACTAATAAATCAGCAAATAGTATTAAATGAAAAGTATATTCTTGCTTAAGAAGGGAAACCCTTAACAGTTGAACAAACTAAATTGTTGGTATTTAGATTTAATAAAAATTAGCGATTAATGGATAAAAAATTAGCCTATCTTGAAATAGCTCCACTTTGCGTGTTAGAAAAGAATGGAACATTCAAAAAATTGTGAATATTATTCAATATAATTCTTCACGAATAATTGGTAATTCTATTTCCAATATTTATTTGTCTGACACAAATTTTGCCTTTCCCATTTTTTCATTTACTGGATATGGCAGGATAAAATCCAAATAATATTAAGTGCTTGACATTATAATCTGTTGCTTCATCACTTCTAGATTTATTTCTGACAATTTAGTATCGGGTAACTTAATCTTTACTAATAATCCTTAACATTTAGTTGAGCTTGGGTCAATTCCACTCCATCCTCCAAAGACATCCTCAGTTCCAACTAATTGCTTGTACAATACATCAACATCTGGTCTTTACCTATTATCCAATTTTGGTCTATTTTACACTTAGATCTAAGAATTCATAAACAAAATACTTCGTCAATATCCCATATATCATTTTTATCTAAAGCCTTTTTTTTTGGCTTCTCTTGTTGCTGTTCCACTTATTGCTCTTGGTCTTTTTGCCCAAGCTTTACTTGTATTTAAGCATATGGTTTAGCGACTTCTTTTTTTTGACCATTAGATCCAATGTCACTTGGTGCAAAAATACTTCCCTTATTTGGGTTGTTATTTATATTTGAAAAAGCTCCTTCCTCCTCATCTGGTTATATTAATTAAGCTAATGCTTAAATATCAGAAATATTCATAAATTAATTATCAATATTAATTGGAGATTTCGAATAGAAGAAATACTTTTGTAGTTATGAATGACTTAAAGTTTATTCCAACAAACTTTCACATGAATTCAATAATATTTAAGTATAGACCATTTCAAAGAAAATCAAATTAATTTGAAGTAATAAATTATCATCTATTTGTGATTTTCATTAAACAATAAATTTCAATTATTATTTAACTTCTTATATTTACCTAAATTAATACCAATCTATCATTCTATTTTTTTGTTTATATTTCATCTATTAGTTCTTTTGGAAAACTTTATTTAAATTATCTTTTTTTCAACTAGGTATTACTCGTTGGGATTATCACTCAATTTCTTCTTAAAGTTACTTCTACTATCAAAGGGGGACTTCTTTAGTAATCTTTATTATTTACTGCAATCTATCAATTAGGAATGTAATAAAGAACTTTTTTATGTATTATTATAGAATACACTTATAAAGTGGAATCTATTTTACTATTCTCTGATATGTAATTTCTATATTTTTAATATATAATAGTCATCAATAATTAATAGAAGAATAACAATATTGCAAAAATGAGGCATTTATTTTGTAATTGTTATTGACTTGTAGTAAGATTAATTTAGAATAAAGTTTAATAAATTTTTTTATTTCATAACACTTAAATGGAAGGATATTATGAAAATCCTGGCATTTTTATAAATAAGTTGCTACAATAAGACGATTAGAGTGATTTTGAAGAAGAATTTGTTTGGCTTTAAAATGCATTGAAATCCCTCAATTAATAAGTATTCTAATTTTTAATGTTTAGTTGCGCGGCACAATTTAAGGAGGACCTGAATTTATTGGAGCACATCCTAAATCATTATCAAAGGCAAAATTAGCATAAATTAAGAAAGATATGTCTGATTGGTTGGTTTGTGAAAAAACAGATGGTGTGAGATATTTGTTAATTGTCTTAAACAATGGACATTGCTATTTTACAGGTAGAAATTTAGGAGGTATAAATGCTTCAAATAACCCATATCAATTACATCTTGTTAAAATTAGAATTCCATCATAATTAATAAATCCATAAGAATTGTAAATACTTGAAATGTTTGATGGAGAGCTAATAATTGAAAGTTATCCAAATAATACCTAAGCACTAAACTATTTAATATTCGATACACTGATACATAATGCAAATAATACATCAAAATTCTAATATTATGATAGATTGAGATGTGCTTAAGAATACTTGGAGTTGAGAAAGACTCTAAAAAAGTTAGGTCCCTTGTAAAACATAGATTTTCAACCATTGAAAAACTTTCCAAAAATTAGATGCATTTTAAAAGATTTTTTTTATCCAGATAGAGTAAGGTATATTTTCAACAATTATATACCCTTGTTACCTCATGGAAATGATGGACTTATTTTTACAAAGAATACTTTTCCTTATGTGTCTGGTACAAATGAAAACATAGTTAAATGGAAACCACCAGATAAAAATACAATTGACTTTTTGATATGCCCTAATCATAAAATCACTGTTACAGATCCTAATTTTGGATTATTGGAATTGTATGTGATGTTCAATTAAAAATAAACAAAGCATTTCTTTCTATTTGATTTTATTTATGCTAAAAAAGAATTAGTAGAGGAAGTTTAAACTTAAATCTTAAATTAAATAGAAAGGCTTGAAAATCTTGGATAGCATGAAGGTGTAAAAGGAGTTGTAGCAGAATGTAAATTAGAGAGGTTGCAGGCGCCTGTTGTAAAAATATAAGCTCTTTATGATTTAAATAAGAATAATATTTACGATGAATCAAGAATTGAAAACTTTTATGAATAGCTGTTGAGAAATACAGAATTAGCATTTAGATTAGATTCTTAATTATTGCAAAATCAAATTAGTTTATTGAAAGACATTAGGGAAAGAATTCATTTAAAGTATAACTTTAAATTCAATTGGGTAATTGAAAAATTTAGAACAGATAAGACAAGTGCCAATGCATTGTTTGTAGCTTAAAACTTACTCGAAATTATAAGCGAGGTATCGATTTTCTATTATAAAGGACTTAAAACAATTAGAGTTAATAGAAATCTTAGAAAAAAATGGCACTGTATAATGAGTTATAATATTGCAATAAATGTTATCATTATATTTTTTTTCTTAATATCTTCCTTTTCAAAATCTACACTTCTATAAAAATCAATATCACAATGATGGTAAATCCAATAAGGTCAGATTACACAATGTGATAATACAAGCTCTCTAAACTAAAAATGTTCTCTAATTTAACCTAAGAGAAGATAATCAACTATTATTTCATAAACTACAATTTTGCTTAAATATTATTGAGGGTTTCTTGTACAAGAGCTAAATCCGATTTTTAAGCTATCTCATGCATATCATTAGCTTCAATTCCAATTAAATATTCAAAATAAATCTCACTATATAAGCCAAGTTTATCCTCAAAACAAAATTAGTAATTCCCTCCATGCATGGTTGTATAATCATAGATAAGTTAATTTTTTCCTTCGCTTTCATAAATCCTTTTGATTTCATCATTTTCTGATTATAGAGTCATGTAAAAATGATATTGGTCTGTTTAAGATCTGATTTTTGCTATTAATAAAGTGTTTGGTGCCAAGACATCAACGAAACATAATTTTTCTTCTGATTCCAAAAAGAAACTAAATTCAACTCCGTGAACATAAACGAATGAATAAAGGATATAAAAAAATAAATATTTCATTGTTTTAATGATTTAAACTATTTTTAGTAGTTTTCCCACTCTTTTCTTATTGTTTCTCTTAATTATTTTCTTTTTTGATTGATTTCATTCATATTTCTTTTAAGAATCAATAATTCTGTCAAAATTTCTTTGTCAAAATGTTAAGACTCTCCTTTTTAAGCTTTAATATCTTCATCGCAACAAAAATTCTTAGTATCTTCATCAGGGTTCTCATCTTCTTCCAACTACTCTAATTATTAATTAACTTTCTTTTTTATTTTTCGTTATTATCTTTTTTTTCTTTATTTTTCCTTCTTAGCTTCAATTTATTTTTCCTCTTATTCTATGTAAGCTATGAACATTTATTATTATTTCTCATATTCTATTTATTGAATTCTATTTTCAATTCTTTAAATAATTAATTATTTTAGCTATAATATTTTGGATTAATCTTACAATTCTTATGAAATTTATTTTTAAATAATACTTCTAAATAAATTTATCCCTACCATTTAAAACTTGTTCTAAAATCAAAGAACTAATTGCTCTTAATATTTTCAATCTAATATTATCTTAAATTTAAATATCTAACACTGTTGTACCAAATTTTAAAATTTTATCGAAAAGAATATACTATGCATACTGAAATAAGAAAATACATCATAATTAATTATTATTTAATTATCTCTTTATCGAATAAATTCATTGAAATTGATATTGTCTTCAGGATCTACTATATCATTTATGTGCGTAATAATATCTTTTTCATTATTAATGCTCTCATTTACTTGCATTTATTTAAGAAAGTAATTTACTTGAGCCTTAAAAACATCAGCACGTATTATTAATTGCAATTCTCCTGATTTGAATAAATATTTTGGAAAATCCATAAAACTTAATCTATTTTGTCCTAATAGATTAAGAGAATATTTCTATTTATTAGCACTCAGCATATCATTTCGTTTTTATACAAATAAGTTGGAAGAGTGAACATCGCATTACATTCTATATTACTTTAAATCACTTTATAAAAACAAGAATTTTTCTTTTCTACTCATAAAAGATTGATATAACTCCTTATACTAACTAATTAGGTCATTGGCGCAATTTTAACAAACTAAAAGTTCTCTACAAGCAGATAAAAATTCATATTCTGAAAAATTTGAATTCTTTTCAAATTCCTTCTCATTTATCAAATTGTAATCAAAGTGGCACTATTGAATAGATACTGGTTTTTCTTGAATATTAGTAGTTCCTTTGGCAAATTGAACTTATTTCTTTTTATTCGCTTTCATAAATATAATTAATAATAAATGAGAGATTATAATCAATCATAACCTTATTTATAATTTTATAAAATACAAAAAAAAATTAATTCTCAAACTTTGTGGAACCGATATCAAATATTAGCTAAAGTTATCACAAAGAATTGTTCTTAATCTTCCCTTATATTTTTCAATTCCTCCATAAATTAAATTTTAAAATTTCTCAAAACATTATAATATTATCTATCTTCCCCTAACCTAGCTTCAATTTATATAATTCCTAATAACAAATCCACTATCATAGATATTTTCTTAAATTATTTATTTATCTACCTTAAATTGAATAGAAATTGATTTCTTAGCCTATTATTTTCAGATGAATACTTTATCCTAATGATGATTTATATATAAATGAATATATTTCATAACTGTATTTATTCCAAAGAAGAAATTAGAATGTAAGTTCAGTAAAGGTTTGGATCTAGATGGCATATTAATATAAGAAACTTAAAGTTTAAATAAGATTCAATTTATAAACTGCTGATTGGTTTCTCAGATTATATCAAATAAGGTTTTGATGCGTATAAATAATTAAAAAAACTAATTAAATATAAACAGAGTAGATTTCATTCTTTTGATAAGTTTTTTAGTTCAGAGTGCACTTTTTAAGTGATTATTTTGTAATTTCCTTATTAAAGTAGGATTCTATTGAAAAGTTATAACCTATAATTGATTTTGAACAAATACTATTCCCATTTTTTTTACATATTTCTCTTCAACCAATTCTTGTAAATTATTGTTTTTCTTCGATCAATCTCGACTAAAAATTGTAATTAGACTCATGCTGTATAATCTTATAATATTGATAAAATGATATTTATTCATTTAATTTATTATTCATCAATTAATTAATTATTGATTAACTTATTTAAAGTAGTTTAATTATTGAATTTATTTTTTCCATTTTCATACTAAGTATGATAATAAAATCTCAGAAGAAAATCAATTATTAAGTTGAAAAAACTTGTTGAAATTAAAAAATCAAAACATCTTCATGATGTAAATTAAAATTAGAAACTATTATTAGAGAAGAAAGTTAAAAGAAGTTCTGCTATAAAGTATTAAATATCACATTATGATTATAATCATATTTTCACTCTTGTGCAAATGATGGAAGCCTTATAAAGTAAATATTCATTATATAAAGAGCAATTCATGGAATAATGAAATTCTGCTTAAGTATGAGTTAAATCTAATTTCACCCTAATATTTCAATTAGGATTATATCATAATGGCAAGAATCCAACCCTTCTTAATAATATAACTTGTCTGATTTTAATATTTTCATTCAAATAATAAAATACATAATCAATATTATTGGGTATATGATTTGAATTATTAATTCTTAGATTTTATAAATGCCCATGCATCCGAAATTCTAAAAAATACTCTTCTCATATATCTTGGATTGTTCGGTTTTTATTACATCATACTAAAATAAAAATATCGTCTGTGAATATATAATAATACATATCTAAATTGCGATTTGTACATAAATGTGAAATAATAAGACTAAGAATACAAATAAATATATGAATCATGAGTGTCTAAAGATTTGAGGATTTACCCAAGAGAGATTGGGTTTCTAATTTATTAATTTTTAAACTAGCCTTCCTATAGCTATGGCAGGTTCTCTCTGATTAAATTAACAGTGAACGATATTGAGATTAAAAGTAACTTTTTTCTTGCTAGCTATTTTATTGCTAAGACCTTCAGTTTTTATTTGAGGAGTTTGTGTAAAAGAATTGTTAGTTTAAGATAATGTTTTCATTTAAAAGTCGTCTGTACATTATGTATCATCTACGTCCAGATTCTTATATGAATCCAAAGGCTGCATAAAAATAGGCTTAGGTCCAATTAGCTGACTTTAATTAAATTACAGCATATTTTTATTTCTCATAAAATATGTACTAATTAACTATCATATAAGTGAATATTTGAGGTATAATTGAGTGATTCAATTAACAAAAATTGATATTGAAGAAAATAAAAATGTTATAATCATCAACTACTTTAATAAAATATTTTTAAATAAAGTTTATGTTTAATAAATCATTAAAGTAACATTTGACCTCCACAAAAAAGATTTAATATTCCCTATATGCTTGGAAATAATGGCTTAGATTTAGAACGCTTAAATTAATTAACTATAATATAATCATTAAAATTCAAAAATTTAACAATTAAATAAGTCTATTTAAAATTTTCTAATACTCTTCCCATTCTCCACTAATATGGTGAGCCTTTAATAAGTAAAGACTATCACAGTTTTGAATCTGTCTAATTGAAATTTCGAATTTGAGAGATAAGTTGGCTGAACATAACATCTCATACGGATCATTTGACTGATGAGCGAATAAATGATAAATGTACCTGCAGTATTTTTATTTACATTTAAATCATCATCTTCAATACCTCAGCAGCAAAAACTGAAGGATCTCTATGAGTTGTGCATTAGAAATTGAAGGCTCCTTTGTGAATTTTCGGTTATGGAATTTTAACTGGATTGGGTTGAGTATACTCTGATATGGCACTAGTGGCACGTTCTCTATTACAGACCTAAGATTATGCTTAATAATAAACTTTTGGTTTTCCTTTGTCTAATGAAAAGGAATCCTCCGTCTTCCTATTGGTTTATAAAGGCGTATTTCCATTGGTGCCAACACTAGAAATTGAATTGTTAACAACCTAATAAATAGGTTTTAGCATGGGAGGAATGACTGGTCTAATTTGTGGTCGCTTTATTATATCTCTTTTTAGAGAGATGGCAAATTATTTAGGTGAATCTGGTTTAGTTAACTATTTAATAGGCTGAGGTGAAGGCGATTACTATTTATTATTGATTGAAGTCATGATTCTATGTTATGGAGAGTGGCTATTACTTGTATTTTACTTTTATCTAGAAGTATTGTTATTGCTGGTATTCAAGGAATCTAGATTTGAGGAGTTGAGAATGTATGTTTAGGTGATTGAATCATCGATATCTTTTTTAAAATAATTATAGGATCTATTCTTCTTATTTTTTTGCATTTAGAGATAGTAGAGTGTTGTAACATTATTGTGTCTATTTTTTTTAACAAGTTTTCGACAAAGCTAGGGATCAATCTAATACAGATTTTTCAATTATTCAACTATGATTTCATCAACTTAAATATTGTCACTGCCTATATTCCCATAATGTTCCTCTATTTTAATTGCTTTGGCCCATTTATGTCCCTTTATTTATGGTATTGTAAATCTCTTCTTTGGATCTGTGTTCAGGATGTTCTTTAAGAGATCTTTGGCCTCAATTGATAACCATTTAGGAAACACAAGATCTCCAGCAACAATCTTCTTATATAGTTGATTAGTATTCTAGTCTTCAAATGGCAAATATCCGCAAAGCATCGCATATAAAACTATACCACAACTCCAAATATCGATTAAATATCCAGAATATTTCAAACCCTAAATCATTTCTGGAGCAGCATAACATGGACTTCCACAAGCTGTCTTTAATAATTCATTTGGTTTATAAGTGTTGGATAAACCAAAGTCAACAATTTTAATATTTTGATTATTATCAAAGAGTAAATTCTCTGGTTTTAAATCTCTATGAACAATGCCAATTTTGTGCATATACTCAACTCCTGACAAAATTTGAAGCAAGAATCTGCATGCTATCTTTTCTGAAACTCTTTGATTTTTGACTATATATTCAAATAATTCCCCTCCACTTGCATATTCCATTATTAGATAAATTTCCTTATCCGTGTCAATTATCTCATAAATTTATATTATGTGAGGATGTCTCAACTTCTTTAAGATTTCTATTTCCTTAGCTATTCTATAAACATCACTTTCATCTTCAAACTTGGCTTTTTCTAAAATTTTAATTGCTACCTAATAGTAATTAAAATGAAAGTACCTTCTCTCCACTTTATAAATGGGTTCCCATTTTAACCTTTCCAAAAGTACCTTCCCCTAATGTATTTCCAATGGCGTAATTACCAAGAGTAGATTCTTGCATTTACTGTTATAATTAATATTTAATCGAATGGGTGTTTAATAAAGCAATATAAATGAAAGCATCCCTTTTTTGTCCAATATGAAAATGATAATTGATAAAGGAAACTATTAGATTTACGAGAATGATAAAAACTAAAAATTTGATTACAGAGAATTTAAATCAAGCTCAAGTTCATTCTAGAATGAGATAGAGGTTGCTAGAGAAATTTAAAACCAAAATTTCCCTGGATTAGCCAAAATTGAAGAGGTGCATTTGTAAACGTGTGAATAATGGTTTACAAAATATTTTACTCTTTGCATTCTATCTGAACATCCAAAATATTCTCTGAAAGAATATTTGCAACAAAAGAAGAAAACCTTATCAAATTAAGAAATTACCGAACTCCTGGTTTCAATCACTCAAGCTTAACACATTTTAGGGGTGAAAAAATAATATTTAAGTTGGGAAAGCATATTTACAAATGATGGAAATGTTTGGAAACTTAGACCATTTTTTGATTCGCAATCCTCTTATTAGAATCTGTTGAGTATTAAAGAACAGAAAGCTATAAATTTTGTTTTGGATTGTTACCCTGCTCCTGAAGAATTCGAAGGTAAAGTCTGTGATACCGATAGAGTTCAAATTTTTGGTCTTGGTATGATTATTTTAGAATTGATAACAAGTATTAAGGATATTATTTTGTAGAACAAAAGAGCAATGATATTTATTAAGAATATAAGATTAATGAAACCCTCCTTTAGTAAAGAATTAATTCCATTTTGAAGTTGAAACATTAATTTTGTGGAAATTTCATAGATATCGTTACAGAAATGCTAGATACAGATTTAGTTAGGAGACCCAATTTTGATTAATTACTTAAAAAGTTGAAATCACCTGCTTCTTAAATAGCGAGTCTTTAACTCTAAGTTGAGTTTGTAAAATTACCTCAGAAATTAAATTTACTAGATTCAGTTAGTTTGTTTGAAGAGAATAATCTAAACAAATAAGATGAAGAGAAACTAAGTGAAGCATTAAAATAAGCTTAAATTGAAATTTAGAATTAAATTAAGAGTTTGAAACAAGAATTATAAAATATTAAAGATGCTTAATCTATTATCGAGTAGAATGGATAATAATACTATGGTCAGGTAGTGGATAAACTATATGAAGGAAAAGGTAGAAATAATCTTAAAGTAGGTCGTCTATTGTCTAAGTTTGGGAATTTGATTTATGAAGGGGAATTTATGAATGGGTACTTTCATAATTGGGGAGTTGAATACTATCAGAATTCAGCTTAGTTGTAGGAAAATTATAACTTTGAAGATGGGAAAAATATTATGAAATTTGCTACAAAATATGAAGGTCGCTTTTAATTTGGAAAGTAATTGCATATTTAATTCTAAGGAAATCTGGAGAAGGCATATTGACATTAACCAATGGAGAAATCTATTGCGGAGAATTTAGGAATGATTAAATAAACGGTTTTGGCAAATTTTTTGGAAANGGAAACTATTAGATTTACGAGAATGATAAAAACTAAAAATTTGATTACAGAGAATTTAAATCAAGCTCAAGTTCATTCTAGAATGAGATAGAGGTTGCTAGAGAAATTTAAAACCAAAATTTCCCTGGATTAGCCAAAATTGAAGAGGTGCATTTGTAAACGTGTGAATAATGGTTTACAAAATATTTTACTCTTTGCATTCTATCTGAACATCCAAAATATTCTCTGAAAGAATATTTGCAACAAAAGAAGAAAACCTTATCAAATTAAGAAATTACCGAACTCCTGGTTTCAATCACTCAAGCTTAACACATTTTAGGGGTGAAAAAATAATATTTAAGTTGGGAAAGCATATTTACAAATGATGGAAATGTTTGGAAACTTAGACCATTTTTTGATTCGCAATCCTCTTATTAGAATCTGTTGAGTATTAAAGAACAGAAAGCTATAAATTTTGTTTTGGATTGTTACCCTGCTCCTGAAGAATTCGAAGGTAAAGTCTGTGATACCGATAGAGTTCAAATTTTTGGTCTTGGTATGATTATTTTAGAATTGATAACAAGTATTAAGGATATTATTTTGTAGAACAAAAGAGCAATGATATTTATTAAGAATATAAGATTAATGAAACCCTCCTTTAGTAAAGAATTAATTCCATTTTGAAGTTGAAACATTAATTTTGTGGAAATTTCATAGATATCGTTACAGAAATGCTAGATACAGATTTAGTTAGGAGACCCAATTTTGATTAATTACTTAAAAAGTTGAAATCACCTGCTTCTTAAATAGCGAGTCTTTAACTCTAAGTTGAGTTTGTAAAATTACCTCAGAAATTAAATTTACTAGATTCAGTTAGTTTGTTTGAAGAGAATAATCTAAACAAATAAGATGAAGAGAAACTAAGTGAAGCATTAAAATAAGCTTAAATTGAAATTTAGAATTAAATTAAGAGTTTGAAACAAGAATTATAAAATATTAAAGATGCTTAATCTATTATCGAGTAGAATGGATAATAATACTATGGTCAGGTAGTGGATAAACTATATGAAGGAAAAGGTAGAAATAATCTTAAAGTAGGTCGTCTATTGTCTAAGTTTGGGAATTTGATTTATGAAGGGGAATTTATGAATGGGTACTTTCATAATTGGGGAGTTGAATACTATCAGAATTCAGCTTAGTTGTAGGAAAATTATAACTTTGAAGATGGGAAAAATATTATGAAATTTGCTACAAAATATGAAGGTCGCTTTTAATTTGGAAAGTAATTGCATATTTAATTCTAAGGAAATCTGGAGAAGGCATATTGACATTAACCAATGGAGAAATCTATTGCGGAGAATTTAGGAATGATTAAATAAACGGTTTTGGCAAATTTTTTGGAAAATCAAATGATAAAAAAATAGGGGTTTGGAAAAATGGGTCAATAAACACTAATTCAGGAATCTAAAAAGAGTTAGTCTCTTTTGGATCTTATATGTTCTCAAATCAAATCGATCTACCATAGAATCAATAATAACCTTAAAATTAGAATAAGTCTGATTTTGCAAAAAGCTAAGCAGAAGTTGAATGTAAAACACAGGAAATTGAATTTAATGGAATAAGTAGTCTTTAATCTTGCAGAAGTTATTTGGAACTCTCTTTTAATAATCACTTAAAATATTTCAGTCAGAAGCAATCATAGAATAAAAAAGAACATAAACTCTTTTATGATTAAGCCAATAAAATTTTAAAGTATGAAGGTCAACTTTTTACTGGATAGATGCATGGAAGAGGCACACTATATTTCAATAATGGAGTTATTCAATATGAAGGAGATTTTGTTAATGGAAAATTTGAAGGATACGGAATCTTAACAAATGGGAACCCATTGATTGAGATGAACATTAATTACAATGATTTGAGGGATGTCAATATCAAGGGATGGTGGAAATCATATTAAGGCACTTTTTCAAAAGGAGAGTAAGTGCTATTGATTAAAATAGGAAGCAAGGTCAAGGATATTGGCATTTGACTGATAATTGTGTTTTACTTGGGATGTTTGACAAAGATGAGGTACACGGAGAAGCATACTTAAAAAGACCTAAGCAAGAAGATGTTTATGCACAATGGGAAAACGGAATCCTTCATAAAGTATTATAAGGCAAATTATGAAATCATATATATTATTATATTATAATTTATTATAAAAAAATTAATAAATAAAACTAAATATGTTTTATCATTCATTTTTGTTTTCCACATTTAGACACACTTTTTTGGCGTCAAATTCAGACTGAAGCAGAAATGAAGCCTTACGCTTATCCTGTAAGAGTTCTTCCTTTGTAATCGAAGTGTGAATTATAGATTCCATTTAATATGAATGTGTGCTTACGTTTTCATCCATCTCCTGATCTGGATGTTGGTCTTACTAATCTCTTGGCTCATTATCTTATTATGGGTCTTAAGCATTGTTATTCTCATCATCAGACAATGATTCATCAGAAATTTCACTCAGCTCTTCTTCCTCTCTGAATATATAACTGTAAGCCTTTTTAAGCCATCCATCAAATTTTCTATTTAATTTTTATGTTGCGTTTCCCATAGTATTTAAAATTTTGTTAACTGAATTATAATATTTATATTATAAGAAAGTTAAATTATATATTTTTATAAACTTAATATTTACTAGTAGCATTCAACCATCTGACAATTTTCATAGACTTTTGTGTCTGACAATAAAATAATTTTAAATTCTTGTTTCACAATTAAATTTTCATATCTATGCATTTTAATATGCAAAATAAGCAGTGATTAGGATAATCTCTACCATTTTAGAAAATATTGAAGAATTCAGAAAACATTGGTAGCCTTCATAATCACAAAAACTGTATCTTATACATAGTCTTTCTTCATAGTTTAAATTATTGTGTATTTTATTGAGAATAAAGCATCTTAATTTAATCATCTAAGACATAAATTGCATCAACTAGTATATTTGCTAATCACTTAGATTATTACTCTTACCCATTTAATTGCTAGTGATATTATTTTAATTAATAATAAAGGTCAAGAAATTAGACATCCATAATCTTTGATTCTTCATAACATCTATAAAATCTTAATCTAAATTTGAGTTATTTATTCCAAAAATATCATCTACCTGAAACTTCTTTACATAACCAGTTCCTTGAGGGTTTAACATTTTTCATACGAATAGTTAATTCATTAATTTCCTCTTAATTGAAATACAGCTAACTTGTGACAAATTAAACTAGTATTCATCGTTATGTGAGGTTTTACTAATCATTTTATTTCATTCTAATTAAATTATATCTAAATGATAATGGTAAGACAATATAGAATTCTTTTCACAAGTAGTTTTCCAACAATGAATAACATCAGGGTAAGAATATAAAAGCAAAAAGTCTTTAATAAAATAATTTATTTTAATTTATAATTTAAGTATAGACAATGCCTCTAATGTTTCTTATGTTGTAGGGTATTATTTAAAAAAGGCAAAAACAATATATTTTTCTTTTTATGTTAAGAAAGACCATCATTTTATTTAGTGAAAAATGAAAAGTCTCTAAACCTGAGAATGAGTTCGCGAATATGGCAGCTCTAAATATATTTAGCAAAATAGTGAAAATTTATTAATAAATGTACGGTATTATATTTGTAAACAAATCAATTGATGTTGAGCTTAGTTCTTCTCCAATGTCTACGTTTTGAATTATACCTAGTAAAGTGTTATTTTCATATGATACCTGATTGTGTTATCAGTTCTATATCTAAACCAATTTGGAAGAGGTCTATTTTGCTTATTAGCTTTGATCAATCTCTTCTTCATTCTCAATGATTTATGAGCTCCCTAAATAAACATAAGTGAAAGTCAATACCATTTTAAATCTTTTTTTAATTTATTTAATAATTTATTCCAAACATATAATTCTTTATCATTTTGATATCACTAAGTACTCCATTATAGTGGCTATGTGCAGCACAAAAGCGATCTTCAGACTTTGTGAAATAAGATAATAAAATCGCAAATAGCAAATTATTAATTGAAATCAAAAATCATCAAACATATGTTAAAGTTCACGTGGTAATTGTTTGGGAGCATCAGTAGAGTCAGGGTATTTTTCAAACCAAAAAACGTCATCCTCTGATCTTAAGTAAGGGACCCAAGGAGGAGGAATTTACTTATTTTCTACACGAGCCCAATCCACTCCTCTATACCATTTATGTTTCTTAATAGACTCTCCATTCTAATTGCATATTAATAGATACATCATTAAATCCTAATCGATTTTGGATGTCTGGATTTAAGAGCTTTCTTATCAGATCTTTTACTTTGTTATCAAAGAATTTTGGAAATTCTATGAGTCCAGATAAAATCTTCTTATAGATTCCAATAGGCTCATTATCGTAGAATGGAGGATATCTAAGGATATAAACCTATTTTACCCTGATAACATTTCGAATAGTAATATACCGTAAGCCCATTAATCAACTGATTTTCCATAACCAATCTTTGAACCTTTAATAATTTCCGGAGCCAAATATTCAGGTGTACCACATAAAGTGTATGTTTTACCGTTTCCTATCTTTTTAGCAAAGCCAAAATCAGTAATCTTAACATGTCCATCCTTGGCTATTAACAAGTTTTCTGGTTTGAGGTCTCTATATACTATTTACATTTTGTGCATATATATCATTGCCGTCAAGATTTCGGTTGCATAAAACAAGCAAACATCATTGGCAAATCGACCTTCCTTCCTTAATCTGCTAAATAGTTCCCCTCCTTGAATATACTCAAATAGCATATAGATATAGAACTAATCTTGAAACGACGTTTTCATTTTTACTATGAAAGGATGCTCTATGAATGTTAATATGTCTTTTTCTGATTTTATATGTTCAACTTAATTGAGTCTAACTACTTCTGTTTTTTTTAAAATTTTGAGTGCATAAACCTAATTCTCAGGATCACCTTTAATCTTAGCCTATCGAACTCTACCAAAAGTCCCAGTCCCTATTGCATAATAATAATACTTACCCAATGTAGAAAGAATTTCAAAATCTTATATTTTGAGTTCTTTAAAGTTAATTTTAATATTTTTGAGCATTTTAAGTTTCATACTTAATTAGTTGTGATTCTGAATCTACTATTTTTTTTTGACCAAACCCTGCTTAGTTAATATGGAGTCTAACTCGGGATCAATTTCTGATTCGCAATTACTTGATTCTAAGTTTCTGTCATGAATATCAACACCCATAAGTTCCTGCTTTTTTAAATAATCAAGTCTATATTTGAGATCAGCAAAGAATTCACTATCAGACATCTACATATTTAAGGATTAATATTAAATATAATAAATACTATATAAATTAGACAAATGAAATTTAATAATTAGGAACCTAATTATATATCAATTAATATTAAATTAGTATATAAAATTGTTACTCTACACTACCAATTCATTAAAAAGATCAGAACATAACAACTACTTTTTGTGATTACTGATTTATTAAATGTACAGAAAAAATAACAAAATCATCTGAATCTTCTGAGGGAAATTCTATTTCTTCTTGCATAATTGGCTCTTCTTGAAGGTCTTGTTTAATTATTACGATGACCCTTAACTCTGAGTCCTCTACTCTTTCTACCAGCCGATGTTAATCCTTAAATTATTAATCATATACACAACCTCTCAATTCTCTATGCTTATGAACAGGCTTGGTAATCCAATTGATTCTTGAATCACCTCTGATAGCTGGATGGAATGGATCAACAGTGATGACTTCATAGTATTTATATGTGCCATCTTAAGCAACCCAATAGGAATTCAAGACTCTCAAGGCTCCAATTTTTCTTCCCACTCTTTCTTCTGCCACAGATCTAAGATTTCTTGTTGGCTTTAATTAATTAACTCCTTGACTCTTGGGCTTTCCTTTGACGAGTCCCTTCCTGATGAGCAATTTTCTGCCACCTCTTCGTACTCTCACTCTGTAAATCACATAGCCTAAATAATTGCTCACAATGAATTACCTTGTTTAGCTTTGTAACCCAATCTCCTGGCCTTGTCTGGTCTACTTGGTCTAGTGGCTCTATGGATTACAGGCAATTATCTGTATTCCCATGTTCGAATTCTCATGATAAAGCTCAACACATCTGATTGTTTCTTTTTCCAAAGTTCTTGTAAATATTTGTATGCTCCCATTTGAAAGTGTTAAAAGATTTAATTAATGAATAATTATCAAATCCCTATAAAGATGCCACAATATATAAATTTAATCATTTCTTTTAATTTTTATAATATTTCTTAATTTTTTGTGAATAACGATTAAATTCTTTCATTAAAAGTTTATTCTTCCTAAGGGTTATTCATTTCTTAGCAATTCTCTTTCCCCTTAGATATCCTTGATGATTTTCCACTTCCTGCTTAATATATATAATAATAGAAATCCTCTGTCTTGATATGGTACTTTTAACTATGTGGGGAAATCTCAATACATATTTTAACATTCAAAAACATTTACTAATACAAAGTAAAACCTCTTACGGTTCAATTTCATTGAAGACTTTACCATATCTTAAGAATAAAATAATATTGATTCTTTTGACATTCATGTTATCAAATTCATGAATATTTTAGTATATTGAGTTATTGTAAATTTTCTTCATTTTTATTGGCTCTTCATCTTAAATATGAATTAATAATCAAAATCTAAATAATTCTTATATAAATTCTCACTTAAATTAAAAATTTTGTGATTTATTTTGAAACTGAATATAAATAGAAAAAGTAAAAAAACACCCATGGCAGGGATTGAACCTGCAGCCTACAGCTTAGAAGGCTGTCGCGCTACCAATTGCGCCACATGGGCATCTGTACTATAAATACATACACTGATTATTTGAATACTTAGAAAGTAATAGATAAATTATTAATTTATTCATCCTAAAAATATTTGTACTATTGTTTAGAAAGTATCATACATTTTAACTATTTCACTCATAAACTGATTGTAATATGTGGCTTCAGTTTTGCTCTATTAAAATTATAATCAACTATAAATACTTCATCGCCACATAAGAAGCATTTTTTCTAATATCCTTTATTACATGTACCACAATAGGTATGTGCACAAGGAATAATGGTTACTGCATCATTTACAAATTTCCCGCAATATTTACAAAGCAACTCATGGTGAAGATGAATCTAAAGTTAAATCTCTTTTACTGTTTATTATTACAAAAACTTTGCTTTCAATTCAAATTATTTAAATTTGTCTTGAATCTAGAAATTTTGTTCTTAGGTTTTCCATAGTTATTATTCTGTCCTCTGCAATTGATCTTTTAATTCAGATTCCAATGAATTCATTTACTTCCTAATATTCAAAACATCGTTATCCTATTTTTCATCTTGTAAACTTTCATAAGCCAATTTTAGAGATAAGAATTTCCTCTCTAGTTACTCGATTGTCTTTTATTGCTCTTGATTTTTTTCTTATAATTCCGTACATTCTTTTTCCTCAATTTACATAATTAATTGTTTTACCTTATCCAGATACTTTTATTCCCAATTGCAAGGCATTTCGAATTGCTACATAGGATTAACCAATGAATTGAATAATTTCTTCTATACTAATTTCTTGAAAACAGGCATTTATTTCAAACTAGGCTAAGTTTTTTGTCTTTTGGTTTAAACACTTTATCCTTGTTATTTCACCCCCAAATCCTCTGAAGTCTTATACGATCTAATGTCAAACTTGAATGTTGTTTTAGATAATATTTTTGGTGTGCCTTATTCAAGTGAAGGAAATCTTTAAGAATACATTATATAAATTTTAATAAGAATTTTAGTATGCTTTTGTGTTAGAGTAATCATGTAAACAAAATAAAAATCATTTCTAGCATCAATCATTTTCAAAATCAGAATATTCCCATTTAGTCAAAGGAATTGAAGACTTTTTTTTTATGTTCAACTACTAGATATTGTATTTATCAACAGTTTGCCTTTCTTAAACATTGTTGATTTTGAATTTTTTTACTTTATACCGTTTTTCTTAGGGAGATATTGAGATGATTTTTAATCTATCAACGATTTTACACTTTTCAACATTTAATCCTAAAGTACAACCAGCAGGTTTGACTAAACATATTTTCTTATATTTTTGAAATGAAGAATTGACTCTTGATTAAGGTGGTCGTTAAGTGAAGATATCATCATTCTTAAATTCTTGTTGTAGAAGGGAAATTTAAGTTTAATTAATATGAAATTGATTAGATTCTGGCATTTTACAAGTGATACTTCTATTTCTAATCTAGGATATCCTTTCTAAAATCTTTTATTTAAAGTCTACTCTTTTATAAATCTCCTATTAATTTGATTCATTATGAATTAGAGTTTTGTATTTCTAACAGAATTATTTACTAAACTATGCTTTCTTTTGTTGGGTTGACTTTGTAGTATTAAAGAAATTATAAAGTTACTAATTTTTTGGAGAACGAGTTAACAAATAACTTGGATTATAATGTTCTCTTTGGGTTATGTGAAATATAGAGAATTACAGTATTTTTCTATTCTATTTTATTTATTATAAAGCAGGTTAATTTGTTATGTTGCATTACTTAGGAGGACTGTTGCTATCTGATAAACTAACCGTAAACGGCGCTAGCGATTTGACAGGATCATCTGCTCTATTAATCGACAAATATAGTCTACCTAAATAAATCTATAGTTTTGTTCATGTATATTAATAAATAATAAAATTACTAAAAAATTTTCTAAATAATATTTTAATTTTTTTTTCATAAACATTCTAATAGACATTCAAATGTTGGAGCAGGCAATATTTTAAAATTCTTCTCATTATGACCTTGACTACATTTCTATCCAATAAAAATATGAAGCACATTGTCTTTTAATTCTTTTTACATTTCTTTAAATTGATTATAATTTGAATTGCTGTAATAAACTATGTAATCAAATTAGCTAAAATCAATATTTTACTTTTCCTATGCATTATTTGATTATGTTTGATAACCTTCAATGATGGTAACTTAATGTTTATCTAATTTAATGATTAATAATACTTTAGAGTTCTATTCCAATTTCCGACAGATTACCAATTATGTATAACAAATTCAACTGTTAATTTTATGATAACAAATACATTGTCAGTTCATTCTAATTGTTAAAAACCTAGATGGAATCACATCCCAATTCTTTCTCTATTTTCTCTTTCGTTTTATTGCCTACAACTAAGTAATTTTTTGATTTGCATTTAGTTTGACATTGGATGTAAGATTAAACTCCATTAACACTATGAAATAGAATATCTTTCATTTAGTAGAAATTTTGGATTACAATCATAATTAATGCCTTGATCTATTTCAAATTATTTATATGCAAATTGCAATAGATTCAAATGACTAGTCTGAATTCCTTTCTGATTTAGTTACTCTAATTGTTGTTTTGTGTAAACTTCTGACTTGATTACTAATAATTTTTTATTATACATTTTTATTCGATATTTATAAAGAATCAACAAAAAATATTAGGTTTTCAGGAATATGTATAATATGAATAGATTATTTGATCATTAAACATTCTTTTTAAAATCATCGATGAATTTTTCAACAGTTGATTTTGCATTTTGAATACATTAATCTTATGAAGTTGTCTTGATACATTAATCAAATGTGATTCCCATAAATAACATCTTAAAATCAAAGGCTTTCATTTATTTATCAACATTTTTGCTCCTTTTATACATACCTTTTGTAAATTATCAATTCAATATACATTATGCATATTTCTCTATATTTTTGCCATTTTAACTCATGCATTGCTCATGATATTATTATGGAATATTTTAGACTAATTCTTCAAATCCTCTTTGAACTACATCTAATGTTTTTTATAATTATTGATGAACAGGACTTGCTGCACTCATACCAGAAATAAATTTTAATTAAAATAATAACACTCATTTCTTCAATGTTAATTCTATGCTCTTCAAAAATTCTTGCTATATCTACATTATATTATTGATAGCTAATTATTGACATTAAGTTCTTTCGTTGGTGTTAAGACACTCAGCTATTTCATTTTTTAGGTAATCTATTTTAAACTCCATTTTCTGTTCTTCCTTTATTTATCTCTTTTGAAATTTCATCATGCCTTACATTATTAATAATTTTACACTTCACAAATTGAATGCTATTTGTATTATTCTCTTCAAAACACTATTTTTCATAATTTTAATAGTTCTCAGCAACTTAACCAAAGAAATTTGTAGTGGTAAATTCAGTAACTTCGTTTCTAATTTCTTGTAATAGTTTATTTGTCTCATCTTCATTCCTATTCATTTTTTATCAATAATTCCAAATTTTAAATAATTAAAATAATGTTACTGTTCATGGATATACAATCGAAAATGAAGGTTTATTTTTTTAAGAATTATATTTAATTAATTTTATGATGAAATTAATAGAGCTGGAAGGATGGCAACAGTATTAGACATCTCCATATATAAATTAATTAAAATAACTCTCATAATCCCCTGAAATTACACCAACAAAACGATAGCTCTAAGATAGGTTGCCTTCTATCCATTAGAAAAAGTAAGAATACCATAAAATCCAGAATTACAAATCAAGTTATTTTGCTAATAAAAAATAAGTGGGATATCAAGTCATCAGTGAAGAAAGAAAATCTCAAAAGCTTACTAAACAATACACTGAAGTGCATTAGTAATAATACTAATTTCATGAATTATCCTCCTTTGTAGAATCTCCCAAGAAATCAAAAAAAATGTAAGAACTTTAGGATAGTTTATTCTAAAAAAGATCATATAAGTTGAAAGTCAAAAATAAAATGTTGAACTTAACTTAGAAATCACCTCTCCATAATATATCCTAATTATTGAGAAAATTAAATAGTGAAGACATAAATAAGAATGAATTAGTATAAATTTTTGATAAATGAAAGTTTCGATCGTTGCTTAAACAAACTTAGAGACAATTCCTCAATATCCTTTTTCCTAGATTATTAAACTCATCTTATTTATATCGTATGAAATTCCTTTTAATCCTTATATTTAATATCAATTAGATATTACCCAAAATACTTAAATCTTTTAGATTCAAAATATCAGTAATAAATTAAGTAAATGCCCATCACTTAATTTGTAATATATGAATATCTCTCTTTCCAATATTGCTTTACATATCATCTTAATATGTAAATAGTTGATATGTATTTATGTCTATTAAAATGAGTATTTTGTCTTATATCTTAAAAATGTCTTAACTATAAAGTAATTGAATATGCGAAAGCATAGAATTTAATTATTGCAATTTTGTACTTTTGAATTATAATTATTTTGTATCTAAACTACATTCATTCTTTCTATAAATATATTTGAGAAAGATTTATTAAATTTATGTAATAATAGAACTCCAACAACAATCTCTTGTTAATTTAGCACCTGCTTTATATAAGAATTGAATAAATTTGTTATAAAATTGATAAAAAAATAATATAAAATATTCTGAACTTTATATAATGTACTTGAATATGATGTTATTGAATCAAAATAAAACAAATTGCTTTCTGACATTACCAATGATTTCATTTGGGATAACTTTCAAAACATTGAATCTCACTGTTTTAGATAATGGTCTATCATTGTTAATCAAAATACCTGCATTATCCACATACAACAATATCACCTTCCTTAACTGGGCCAAATGCAGGTGAAATATGGACTGGGACATTTCTATGTCTCTTTTCATATCTATTATATTTGGCAACATAGTGCAAATAATCTCTTCTAATAATAATTGTTCTGGTCATTTTGGTTGAGATGACTATGCCTCTGTAATTACACTATTTTTATATATATACTTTAAGATTGCTCCTCTGACGCTAACATTTCCAGTAAATGGGCATTTCTTATCAATATAATGGCCTTCAATAGCTTCCTTTGGTACTTTGAATCCAAGTCCAACTTCTTTCCAGTATCTCACTCCTTTAGAGGTTTTCTTGGCCAAAAGTTTTTTAGAATTTTAAAAGATTCCTTCTTGCTTTTAAAAGGCTCTTTATGTTTGGACGTCTGCCATAATGTATATTTTAAAAATAAAAGATATAAATTTTTATGCTTTCAAAAAGTAAATGTTCAAACTTTGATTATTTTAAACTACAATTCTCCTGGTATTATTTTAAAATCCTATCTATCTAAAACTATATATTATAACAAACATTGTAAATTCAAAAATTAGAAGCATTTTATGCACATATTTTTGCTTATTATGCATAAAACCATTCTATCACAATTTAAAATTAATGCCTTATATATGATTCAATTCATACGAATCTTAAGTTATCCAAGATTGATAATTAAGTCATATATAGATATAGAAGATATAACTAAAAATAAATAATTATATAAATTGATATTACTACTATTATTGAAATATGTGATAAGATAAATAATTATATGATACCAGGCACCCCTGAATCTTATATATCTACTCCTGCTTAGTTTAATTCAAAATGTTTACAATCTAAATAACCATGTCTCAATCAATCTCTGTTCATTTCTAATGAATTTGATACAAAATTTTGGCTTCTAAGGCTTTAAGCAAGAACAGTTGAAAGGTAAATAAACTGTTAAGATTCCACTCCTAAATATGCTGAACCTTCTGGCTATGAAAAAGCAGCAATCTATTTGATTTAAAAATTGAATTTATTCTATTATCTATAATTAGAATCAGCCTTTGTGTATACTAATGCTAGATATTATATAAAAATTTTGTTATTTTGATCTAATGTTAAAAATATAAAATTCAAAACAATCAGGAATCTAATTTTTAGAAATTCTAAATTTTTTAAGTAAGGAATAGATGTTTATTTGCTAAACATCCTGTAGTGCTTCTGCATCTATCTTTAAAATTTTATTTAACTAATGAATTATCCAACTGAGCTTGCACTCTTAATTATATACTATGTGATTATCCACGAGGTGAAACTTATAACCATTTTTTATTAACACTTAAATTAGATTCTTTTTGATTTAAATATTATTAAAGTCCTGTAGGAGAATATTGACTTGATATGCTTCGATACTTTTTTGGAATGATATGAGGAATTCTTTTATTATCATCAACATAAAATCTATTTTAAAATGAAGAATCTATATTTTATTGTTAATTTTAAGGTTCAGGTTTCTTCTTTTGCCTTTCATTTTATTTTTTTACTAATAATTAAAAGGAGCACTAAGTTAAATTATATGTAACCGATTTACTCAATTTTGATTAGATCATACTTGGAATCTAACTAAATTTTGATGATTATCTTTATTCTTGATTAACAGGTTAAAGGTTTGAAGTATTTATGTGAGCAATCGAATTTTACCATAAGGTTACCATATCTTTTTCAATATATTTGTTCTAAGTCATATCAATTAAACTAATAAGATGGTTACTCTCGCTTATTCTTAACAACTTACTTATTCTTAATTTAAGCTATTACATAATAGTATAAAGATTGTAATATCAAAATTGATTTGAGGATTAGACACTCTTAATGGGTTTTGTAAATATCTAGTTGTCATAAAAAATATTAATATTTGTAATTAAATTTTTTGTATTATAGACTCTCCTCTCTTACTCATAGCATATAGATATAAATATTCTAAATAAAATCAGACTCTCTTAATCTAGGAACTATTTAAATAAGAAATATGATGAAGAAAGTCTAGACAGCGAATAATTTTAGGAAATTCATTCGAAAATAGGAATTAAAGAAGATGGAAATAACCTATTATTAATGGATCTTTTTAGGTGGTACTGTTTAATTTTTACCTAAATTTTATGTTTTGAGAAAAGACATTATTGATCTCTAATTTGACCGATTAAAATCCCAAAATACTCTTTGATATTTGAATATTAACTTCAAATATGCAGAATTGAAAACTTAAGGATTAACTAAATATTTGCAAGACTTTAAATGGATGAATTTTCAATAAAAAATCAGTATGTAATACGTTTATATGTGAAATTTAATTCACTATTTTTAGATATATTTTAATAATATAAATTATGCATCAATATTTGAAGTTTAATTTTCTTAATCTCAATGCCCTCACTTTGGTGGCGTAAGTTATTTTAATTTAAACTATTTGACATGAGAATTGAGAATTGAGATTTTATTGAAGTTTTTATCATCCATATTTTATAAATATATAAACATAAAATCAATCAAAGTGGGGATTTGGAAATATTTTGAAAATATTATTACTGTATTATTCCCAATCGTTCTAGTCATCACAAAAATCAGATAGAATATTTTATTAGTATGGGTAAGGAGACGTAATTGATTCATCTTCATTTTTATTTTATTTTGTATTTTCATAGACTTCTTAATTTTACTTTTTGAGATTTTCTTCAATTTGCTGTTGCTTTTTATGAATCATAGCTTTTCTAATTTTGGATTTATTTTTTTTCATAAAAGATCTTAAATATCCCATCTTTTTTTCTGAAATCTCTTCAATATTGACAATTAATTCAGCTTTATTGAAAATTTGAATGTAATCTTCTAGAGTCTTTTTAGGGACCTTTACTAGATCAGCAGCCTCTTTCAAAGTAACCTTTTTTTAAATTCCATTTTCTTAAATTCCATTTCTGAAGAAATATCTCCATTATTTAACTCTATCGTATGCATCACCTATGCTTCTTTCTTTAACTCTTTTTGAAGTAAGGTCTTAGTAAAAGTTGCTATTCATAAGAAGTAATTAATATTCATTTTAAATTGATGTTTGGTTATGTAGAGCAGTTCCATAGAAATTTTATACTATGACTTTTGTTCTGCAAAAATGGCAGAAGCAATCTAACAAAAATTTTGAAGAGTTTTAATATAGCTGATTATTGAGATGAAGAGCACCTTATTTTAAGACTTATGAATTGGACAAGGTGGCTTTCTTTGAGCAAAAGTAATCATGAAATTCTTAAAAGAATATTTTCCATTCTTAATTTATATTCTAATCATTTCCGAGATTATGTAATTCAAAAAATATTTTTAATTTTACGATTAAAAAGAACATAATTTCTAGAAATTAATATAACTTATAAATATTTTATTGGAAATATATTGGGAATAAATTAACATTTAAATGAGTGTCTTAGATTAATGTTTTACAATGAATAATACTAATGATAATTCATGAGGCGTGCTTCTTTGTTTCTGATCTAACAAACTCTTCAAATTTATTCTTGTCACTTTTATACATCTCCATTGCTTAATTGTTGAGTGATTAGTCAGTATTAACTTGTCCAAGGATATTTAAGATTTTTTCCAAGACCTACTTAACAGTTTTTGTTGGTTGCCATTAGTCCTAATCCTCAATGAATCAAAATACCTTTGTTTCAATCATGTCTTCGCAAAATTCACCCTTTTCATTAATATTTGGATGGAAGATTTTAGTTTAGAATTAAAAGAAGGGGGCCTTGAATGGGTAATTCTCTGGGAAGGTGATGGCGAGTTTAAACTTTCCTCCTTAATAAGCTGTACCTTCTGGTCCTGCAACAATAGCCATCCATCTATGATTTATATATTGAATCTATACTATAATCTATTATTAGGATCAGGTGTAATATTCACTCCTGCAAGTGGATTACCTGTAGTCAAGTCTTGAAGCTCTTTATTAAGTCTGTTTTGCATTTGAAATTGATAAAATAAATAATGTTTAAATCTTTTGCATATTTATTTGATGCTTTAATAGAAAAAATATATATATTTTGATAATTAGACAATAAAATATTCTTTAATGATTCATTTAAAATATTATATACAAATATTTACATATTTGATAATTTCAGAGCCTAACTAAACAATTTAAAAATAAACTAAATATCCATTCTAGATTGATTTTAGATATATCATTATTATAAATTAACTTTAGATAACTTTATTAATTATTCATTTCTAAAACTCGCTTTGGCCAATCATAGAATCATCATTTTATCCTTGTTAATTACCATAAAAGTAATATTTGTTATTTTAAAATGATTGCTAAGTTTGAGGAACAACTTTTTCAAAATTAGTTATATCAGCTAAATTAGTTTTCTTGAGCACTGATATATTAGCTGACGAAGTTGAAGTGTTATTTGAATGTGTTGGACTTAATTTTTAAAGGCCAATGGCTAAAATTATTAATACAAAAATTACTTGAAACATTATTGATTGGATTCCTATATTTGTTACCTGTCATAATATTATTGCTAGTCATATTATGAGCAGCTACACTTCTTCTTGTTGCTCTTTATTCATTTTTCAACTTTTCATTATCTCTCAGTAATAACTCTTCTTTCTTTCTTAATCTATCTAACTAATCTGTCAATTCATTCTTAAGATTATTCAAATGATCTCTATCCAAATTCCACTTAGCTCTTTCTTTTTCAAATTCAAAGATTAAAGTGGATCTCTTGCTCTCTACTTCCTTGTATTTAGTTTCCAATTCAGTAATTTTTGCCTTTAGGCTTTCTCTTTCCTATTCCAACATTCTCTAATAATCCAAGATCTTTTAATCTCTATCTTATTTAATGTTTTCTATTTCTTATTATAACCTTTTCTCATTGTCCAGCATCTCTGCAAACTTCTTTTCTGACAACAATTAATTTCCGATCTTTCCATGTTGATCAATCAATATTTTATCCTTATGAGTCTTAACTTCCTTCTATAACCTTCTAATTTTGTCCTCATAATCCTAAACTATTCTTTAGTGAGTTTGGTTTGCTTCTTCTATTTAAGCTTGATACTTTCTTTCCACACTTAGCAATAATTCATTTAAATTATTTTCTTGCTCATCCTTTTCATTTGATCTAGCCCTTTGCAAATGCATTAATGTCATTTCAAATTTCTTAAGAGCATCTACTAAATCTTATTTTGCTTATTCCTTTTATTATTCCAAGAATTAGAATTTTCCTTCCCATAAGGCTTTATCTCTTTCATAACTAGTATAAATTTCACTCTTATCTTATTCTAATTACAGATTTAATTATTTATATTTTTCTAATTCTTATTGTAATTATTTCTTCTCCTAAGCAATTTGCTCTCTCAATTATGCTTATTACTAAGTTATCGTTGCTGTTTCATCCTTTAATTTCGATTCTAATTCATTTTTTCTTGCTTCAAGATGTCCCAACTTCTCAGTCAAAATTGCTTTTTCTCTTTCCAATGTAGAAGCTTGTTTATTATACTAATATTCAGCTTCTTTTAACTATTTCTTATTCTTTTCATATTTAGTTTCAATAGCAGTTTTCTCTTCTTATGCTCTCTCTAATTTTTATTCCAATTCAACCAAATATTCATTCTTTTACTATTTAAGCTTTTCATCGAATCTTGATTACTATGTATCTAATTATCTTTGTAAATCTTCAATCTTCTTTTGTAAAAATTCATTTTATTATTAAATTAATGCTGTTTCTCTACCATATTCAATCTTCTTTTCCAAAAATTCATCATTCATTTTTTATAATCTTTATTTAGTTTCTTCTAATCTTTCTAATTATTCCTTCTTCTCTTCCTACCATTCTTTTCTTGATTATTCAAATTATTATTCTTTTCTTGCTTTTTCATTTTCTAGTAAATCTTTCTTTTATTATAAAGCCATATGTTCCTTCTATAAATTGTTCAATTGACTAGATAGAACATCAATCTTTTATATTAGGCTCTTTCTTTCAGTTGTAAATGAATTCATTTATTACTCTAAAGTAGCATTATTATTATTTTGAAGAGAAATTAATTATTCCTTAGTTTCTTTGATGTGCTTCTCAAAAATTTCAATAGTTTATTACTTCAAAGCAATCTCATGATCATATTATTATATTGTGTTTGTGTATTATTAAACTTGATCCCTTAAATCATCCTTTAAATTTTCAATTTCTTCTTCGTAATTTTGCTCAGTCTCTCTAAGTTTATGATAGAATTCCTCTTAAGCTGCTTAGAATTTTTTGTCACTCTTTTCTTTTTCTTCACAAATTCTTCTTTCTAGTCTTTCCCTTTCAATCTCATAGAAGTTCTTTAATTAAGTTAGAGATTCCTCAGCTTTGGCCTATGCTAAATTAACTTCCTTTGCAATTTTAGCATCAGCTTCATCAATAGCTTATTCCAATTGTTTAATTTTCTTCTAATATCTGAGTTCCTATTCTTTCAAAATTTATAACTTTTATCCATCCAACATTTTATTCTACTCTAACAATTTGTTTCTTTATTCTTCGGTGGTTGCTAATTGCTCTTTTAAATTTTCTAATTCCTTTATCAAGTCTCCAGTTTCAAATTTAACCTTTAATTCTAATTCATTATTCCTTTCATTCAATTGATCAATCTATTGCTACAATCTTTTCTTAGTATTTTCATATTCATTTTCTATATTCTTTAATTCTCTTTTATGTTGTTCTCTTAAGTCATTCATTTTAGCTGCATCAATTTTATATGTAGACTCATTGCTTGAATTTTCAAATGCCTTCATAATAGCCTCATGAGACTTCTTATTTTCTTCTATTTATTTTTTATACTCATCTAATTGAACTTCCATGAATTCCATCTTTTATTGCATTAAAGCCTTATCTTTCTCGCTCTAACTTCGTGTCTATTTTAATTAATCATCTTTAGATTTGATCAAGTCTTCTAAATTTTATACTTTCTCAATCATCTCATTAACTTAATTATTGGCATCATTCTTTAACATTAATTAAACCTACTCTTCATTTCTTCTATACTCTCTTAATTCCCTTGTCAAAGCTTATATTTATTCATTTAACTCTAAGTTTTATTTTGTCAGACTTCTCTCCTTGTGTTCAAATTTCTTAAAATCATTTTCAAAATTAGTTTCTTTTTCAACTAATTCATTCTCCATCTCATTCAATTTCTCTTGCATGTCATTTAGTTTCTATTGTAATTGTCGAACCGATTAGTCTGCTTTACTTTACTAATCTTTTGATTGCAAAGAATATTCTTTTCTTAAATTTTTAATTTCATTTTAATAATCTATTTCTTTAGCATTCATTTCATTTACTAATTTTTCAAAGAATGTAATCTTTTATTCTAATAAGGCTCTTTCTTTTTCAAATTCAGAATTGCCAAAAAGTGTTGTTCTTTCTAAATCCTTATTAAATTCTTCAGCCTTCAACACTTAACCTTTTAATTCTTAAATTTGTCTCATCAATTCATTTTTTTCATTTTCAGACTCAAGTTTTAAATCTCTTTCAACCTAATCCTTTTAAATTTTAAGTTCTTCCAAATTATCTCTAGCCACTTATTCTCTCAATTCAATTTCAGTCTTCTCACTCTCAATCTAAGCTAATTTCATTAAAAGATTATTCTTATCTTTTAAGCCATCTTGTCTAGCCTCTTTTAATTCTTATTCTAGCTTCTTTTAAGTTTCCTAAGCCACATTCTTCATCATCTCAGTTTCTTAAGAATATTATCTGATAAACAGATTAGATCCTTCAATTAAGGCTCTCTAAAGAAATTCTAGTATAATTTGATTTCTGGTTCCCACTCTTGGACCATTTTCAATAAAGAAATTATAGAACATTTTGATGTCCTTCTCATACTCGCCAAAGGATCGATACTCTCCTAGTTTCAGTTTTCTATCAATTGGTTAGAATTCTTGTTAAATAAATTATGAGCACATTCTTGAACCTTCTCTATCATTTTCTTATTTAACTGCAGCAAATCTATTTTTAATGCGTTTTGATAATTCATTCTTGAATTCTTCATATTCTCCTACACACTTTTTCTTAAATAAAGCGAATGCCTGTTCCTTAAGACTTCTGTTGAAGGCTTTTAAGTCTTCATTGGAAATTGGAAATCTATTATGAAGATTTTCTTTCAGGATTTATTCGTAGGTGTCAAATGCCTCAGCTACTGCCTTTTGGCATTCATTTTTACAAATATAGGTCCAGGCTGATTCAATAGCTGGAACTGCTCCATTGTTAATGGCAGTAACATATGATTTAACAAGATCGCAATACATCTGGCCAGAAAGAGTTTTGCCATTCATTGTTTTGGGTCTAATTCTATTCAATATCTTCTTTCTTAGATTAATGACTTATTCAAAGAATTCAGGTCTCAACTTATCAAATTCTAAGTTCTCTAAGTTTTGGAGACTGCTTTCTTTTGTTAAAGGTCTTACTAAGGTGATGCAATCTCTGTCTTTGAAAAAAGCAGAGAGCAATTTTCTAATTTTATTTTTTTAGTCAATCCCATCTGATGCTCCTTTTTGAATAGTTAATGCATTTTCTAAATAATCTTTGGAGGTTATTTGTTCATTGTTTCGATCAACTAATTAAAGAGTGAAATCTCGAACAACCCAATAGAATTATGGAAAGTATTGCGATAAATCTTCAAGATCTGTAGTCGATTAACCACTAAAAGTTTATTAATGTTGTATTACCTTTTGAGTTGGATGTTTTTGGTAAGATTAACAACCAAACTCAAGTTTTGGAGGGCATTTTCATCGATGCTGCCAACAGAATTATAAATAAAGCAGGAAGTTAAAAGTATAGTTAATGAAAATATTCTGATATCGTGAGTTGAATCCTCATCAGGAGCACCGAGTCCTTCACTATCAACAACCAATATTGAGCAACTTTCACCATCACTCGTCTATCCAAGGAGTGGTTTACCCCACATCCAGAGTCCTTTTGTACATGGCAACACAGTTGGACCTACTCCAAAACCATCAGATCTATTGAGCAGCATCCTATTCAACAAGTACGATTTCCCTGTTCTATACATTCCAGCTACACCCACAATTCCTATAGGAGCTGGAATGTTTTTTATAATCTCTATTGCATCAGGGTTTACTTGGTAAGCTTTTTGTAGTATAGTAAAATTTACTTTATGTTTCCTAAGAGTAAAAAATTAAAGGCATGGCCTCTTCTCTAAAGGATTTCTTCATGTTTGATAAATTTGAATTTGAAATTAATGAAATTATATACTCAATTGTTAACTGCTATATAAATATTCATATGAGAGATTTTAATCATTTTGAATAGTTTTTTTAAGTTTTACAAGCATATTCATCTTCCTTCCGTAATATTAAGAACCTATAAAGAAAGCTGAGATATTTATGGAAGTTCTGATGGATTTCAGATTGATGGTCAAAATTAATCATAATAATCTATGTAGAAAAAATATAGAAAAATTTATAATAATATGGTCTTGCACTGAAACCTTTAATTATTTCATGTAATGTTTTGACAATTATTCAACATTATTAATGAGGGTCTATTCTCTACTAAGTAATTCTATTTTGGAAATATATCAGAATATCATAATATTATGATATTGATTTTAGTTTTATAGGTTATAGTATGGACTATGACGTTCTGAGAAATTATAATTGTAAATAATTTTATTGAATCATCGTTGAAAAATGTTTCATCTCATGATTTAATATAAATACAAGAATTCGTCATTAAGAAATTAATAAATAAATATGCATACTCCATAAGACTAATTACGAAAAGCTTTAAAGAGATACAATAATGGGGACAAGTAAAACAATAACCGAAATTGCCGATCACAGTAGCTACAAATGCCGCAAGTACCAAAAGGAATGTTGAGTATGAACAGTACTCAAAAATCAGAAAGAAATGCAAAATTGAGTGACACAGGTAAATCAATACAAATATAGTAGATACAACTGATGTGACCCATTATAATTTGAATTTTTCATAGCCCATTCAGTCTTGTTATTAAGTGGAACACTTAGATCTCAATTTCTTTAAAATTCAACCTTGCAAAATTCCTGGAAATCACAGTCACAAGCATTGCCCATTTTATCACAATGCTAAGGATCGAAAAAGGTATTAATTAAAATATAAAATTAGAATTAATGTCTAGTACTCAGCTGAATTATGTACATACATTGAAAGTAATCAACAATGTCCATATGCAGACAATTGTAATAAAGCTCACAATAGAGTGGAGTAACTATATAGAGCAGATAATTACAAGACAAAATTCTGTTCTTACTACCCTCACAATATTTCTTAATGTGATTATGGAAAATTTTGCTCTTTCGCACATTCTGAAACAGATATTGTTATAGAATTAATCCATAACCTTGAATATGACGATGATTTCTTTATGTTCTACTACAAAACAGTTTGGTGTCCCTTCAACCTTACATAACACGATAAAGCACTCTGTGTTTATGCTCATAATTGGCAAGACTTTAGAAGGAAACCTTAAATTTATTAATATCATCCAATTCCATGTCCAAGTTGGAACACTGCTGAATACATTTTAGAATACTACAATGGATGCTAAGATGGGTTTAATTGTGGGAAATGTCATGGATGGAAAGAATTAGAATATCATCCCATGTTGTTTAGAACAAAATAATGTATAAATCAAAACTGTTCAAAAACTGATTGTTCATTTTATCATAATAACTAAGAAAAAAGGTATTAATATCGAATAAACTTAATAGATAGATCGATCAATTATCATAATTTAGAGTGTTTAAGATAGTTCCCAGAAATCGAATAGTTTAAAATACATTCAAAGTGAGGGATCACAGTTTGTTGACTTCACAAAGAAATGGGAGTAGCACACCTAGTTACTAAAAGTTATGTGGCAGTGATTAACACTGGTTGGGACACAACTTACAAAATAGTTTTTAGTATGATCAGGATTCTGATGAGGGCAAATAAAATGTCAAAGGATAACATTATTAAACTACCTTAATATCAATTTAAGAAAGAACAGGTAAAACTTAATCAGATTGATTTTTAGATTCAGATGAATTAAAGGATTTGAAGGATCTAATGAGAAAGAAATCGAATTCAGTGGTAGATGAGAAATAAAATAATGATGACAATGAACATGTTAGAACAGTTTTGAAAATGATCGACATGGATCAATGAATAAATATTTTTATTTAATTCAAGAACTCCCTCTTATAAATAAATAATTAAAAATATTTGAATTGAATGTAAGGTAATCAAGGTTCTTAGAAAAAAGATATCGAAATTGGTTCCTGTCCATTTTCTGATGCTATGAAACTACCAAAGGGTCATGAGAAATATACAGACAAATCGAAATGTCCATTCTAACAAATGTAGTAGCAACCTGAAATCAAAATAACAGATGGCAGTACTGAGAAGAAGAAAGAAAAGAAAGAAAAGCAACCTAAAGGTGGATGTCCTTTTATGTCAAGTGAAAAAAAAAGAAATCCCCCTCTTGCTCATCTTGAAGAATAATACGACACTTATTACATTAGTCCACTCAATTATCTTCTAGACACAAGAGGATTATGGATGCTTGCTTTCGATTCCAAAGAAGTTAAAAAAGGTAAGAATTTATAACAATTGTCCACTTAGGTCCAATCAAAGAGAGAAGAAAAATATTCGACTCTTATCCCATATACTTGAAAAGTACTTTATTCCATGACGATGAAAATACAAAAAAGCTGAGGTAATGCGAAGTGGCTTAAAGATTCTTTGTGTATGACAAGTTCAGAGAGAAGGGTAACTAATAATTTTATTTCTAAAGGCAACAAATTACTATAAAAATAAGAGTATGAAGAGGCTATTCGATACTATGAAAGAGCACTCGGTTGTTTTAGATATTTGGAAGTAGTTGAACCACCTGAAGTCGACAGCGAAGAAGAAGAGACTTCATAAGATATAACGAATTTAACTGAGAAAGAAAAAAAGGAACTCGAAGACATGAAAAAGTCTGCTAAACTATATAGGAAAGAACAGAAAGAATTCAAAAAACAATATAAATCCTTAATGACCATTTATACGGATGAAAATGTTAAATACAGAGGTGTTGAACATATTGAAGTAATTACTCATATATCTACAAATTAAGGACGAAGCTGATAAAGAGATGTGCAATTCTATTATGTATGGTCTATACTTGAATATGTCAGTCTGTTATATGGAAATGTCTCACTTTGATTTAGCTAGGAAGATCTTAGATGATGCTGGTTAAATCCAAAAAGAGAATTCATAATATCTATTTAGGTATTCTCAGGCAATTCTTTACGATAAATGGTCTACCTATACAGATTTAATTAAAGCTAAAGAATTAATTGAAAAAGCCATTACTTTATCTAATGTTGAAAATATCTTCAAATAAGGTCCAGGAATACTTAAATTAATGGGTTTGGAAAACGCCAAAGAAATTTACGTTGAACATGCCCATAAAGTTATGGAAGCAATAAAAAGGAAGAGATAATGGGTCATTGATTTAATTGAGCCTTTGTTTTAGAGAACCAAAGAAATTGATGAAATTGAATAAGAAATGATTGAAGATGGAAAAGTACCATATGAAGAAGGAGTAACTGATGTTGTAGATCCAGAAGACATGGTTTAACAATAATGTGAAACACAAAAATAATTCCTATACAGAATGTGCATGCCATAATTAACCTAAGAGCATTAGGAATATGAAATTGTTAAAGAAATGGTCAACAAATATTACAGAATCATTGAATTCTATGCAGTATCAATCTCAATTCATTATTTTAGGAATAAAAGAAATATGATTAAGTCAAGATTGCTAAAGCGGAACTCTAAAGATTATTAGAAACTGTCTAAACAATGTCATTCTTTATGAATTTAGATTTCATTGATTATGACAATGATGAACAACTCAAAGAATTAGCATTAAAATATCAAATCAATTTTACAGATAAGAAATACATTAGAAGACTCATTCGTCTATGCAGAGAACAAGTTACTGAGCTCTTCGGTTAGGGCAAATTCAACTTTGAAGTATTGATTCATATTTATGAGGTTTTTGAATATGCAATGAATGACTACTTTAAAAAGAAAAGAGAACAGTAAGAAAAAGAAAGAGAAGAATATTTAAAGCAACATCCTGAACCAGTCAAACCAAAATAATAATCCTCATTCTTAAAGAAAACACTATTCTCATCCGAATTCTGGATGCAAGTACTAATAATTTCTAATTTAGATGTTTGTCTTATTATTAGTTATGGCTGGAATGTATTACTTTAATAGTAATACAGGTTTCATTGGCAAGCTTTTTTCCCTCAAAAAATGACAGAATACTAAAAATTGAAGAAAAGATCCCATTATATTTTTATTTTCATAAAAATATAAACAAATTCATTAATATATCTTTTCATAATTTTGAAAAATCTACTAACATTTTGTTTGTGTTTAATCTAACAGTAAAATCCTTCTAATTTGGGTTCTACAAATCAATATATGCTTTCTCAGCATCCACTCTCAAAGCCTTGGCTAAATCTTTGCATTCTATTTTATCAATAAATGGCAAATATTTAAGGAGTGTCTCTCCAAATCTTTCATCATTTACTCTATTTAATATGGCTCCTGCTCTATGAATAGTCAAATAGGGAAATTATTATTTAGTCAAAGCCTCTTCAACAAGTCCTTTTACTCTTGTGTAGAGAAACATAGATCCTTTATCAGCTCCTATTGAAGTTAATAGGGAATAATGAGGAATTGCTAATTAATTTAAACTAAAGTGAATACCATTTGCTCTGGCTATATTACCTCCATAGATTGGATAAGTGAGATCGACCTTTGTAAATTGAGCATCGCCCTCTTTTACTCGAGATCCAAGGACGCAAAAGAATGTGTTATAATTGGCAAACTTCTTCCATTCTTCAGTCTTCTCAAGAGTATCCAAGTTGTCAACTTAAGTTATTCTTAATTTGTGTTTATCTGTAATATATTATATCAAAATTACTTGGTAATGTATCCCATTATTCTAATTTCCTACGAACAATTACAACAACCTCAGCCCATTTAGGAGAGTTGGTCAATTCTATTACTAATTCCTTTGTTATTTAATGAATGAATATACTCTTCCAACAGCTCCAGAAGCACCTAAAATGACTGCTCTCAAACCAGTTTAATCCATGATTGTGTGATATAATAAAAAATGAATTTCTTAATTCTTATAAAGATTAAATAATCTATAAATATTAATTATAATATAAACAAAAAGTTATAATCATTTATAAATACAAGATTCTATCAGCTCTACTTTTTCTTATGCTTTATTTTTATGATGGTTGTTATTGTTATTGTTGTTGTTTTGAGAATGAAAATGGACATACTCAGATTTGGCAGCATGTGTAGACAAACTTTTACTGTATGGTTTCATTTCTTAATAGAGGATAGAGCTTCCATATTAAACCAAGGGAACAGGTTCCTCATTTTCGGATTCTGTCTAAGATTAATTGCTTTCAGCTTTCTAAAACTTATATACAGAAGATTGGAAATCCTGAAAATAACTCAATTTCATTTGCTAATAAAATCGGGTAAAGTTTTCTTCTGACTGATTGTTGAGCAATCCATAAAGAGCAAACAAATCAACTAATTTCATAATTCCAACCTGATTTTTTAGATCTTTAATTAGTTTTTTATATTTATAAATCTTCTTCATATTTTTGGAGATGCATTCATAAAGATAACTTAGTTATTGATTCTAAGTAATTTGTGATACTTCTCCATAATAAATAATTCTACCCATAAATTACCCTTCATTATAGACATTTTAAATTTCAATACTACAATATAATCTTGATTGAGCACTATAGTTTAATAACATTAAATACCTTTGTTTTATGCCTTAACGCAACTATGATACCATTTCGTGATAATCAATCTTTGGTGATAAAATTATGATCATATCATGAGCCAATGTAAGGTATTCCTAAATAACAAAGGAAATGGGCGTGTCTTAAATATGCAATAAATCTTATTATTATAGTTATATTTACTTAAAATAACGGTGTCCAATTTATCTGTAATGTCCGATTTAAATATATAATTCACTTTATCCTGAGCTTTTAAGATGTCCAACGCATAATTTAATATGTTTCTATATGTTTTTGATTCTTGGATGTAATAAACTTCTTAACTTGAGAGGGCATGTTTAATTAAGAAACTTCCTGTTGGATCATGTGCAATCAGTAATTTATCATTCTTAACTCTTTGGTAAGTTTATTCTGTTATAAAATGTGGAACTAACTGCTTTACAAATTAAACTTCCTAAATTGGATTAATCTAAGTTTGATATCAGAGAAATACATCATAGAATCTCTTAGTTTCATTTAATACTTTCATGATAAAAGGTGAAAAGGAATCCTTACATGATGACGTAGTAGCTTAATTAATGCTAATTATTTTAGCTAATAAGCCATCCCCGAGATGCATAAGTCTCATTTGTTCATTACTTGTCTTAGTTTCCTAAATTGAATTATTACATACTTCATATTTGATGGCTGATAGTTCAGTGTCATTTGGTAATTAGATTTATGATTTTTGATTGTTTCCCTAATAATAACCATTTATAAAATCGATGTATTCCTTGTATTCCCTTGATTAATCGGCTCTTTAAACAAATTCTACCATTTAACATTACAATACATTAATTTATACTATTTTCTGCATTTGCTGTGTAATCTAGATTCAAAAATGGTTTCATAGATTTTCTTTTCATATTTGCTTGGAGACTGGTTGCTATCTATTAATTTAGAGTATCTTGGCTCTTTTCATTTTGATCCGTTCCTCTTGGACCGCATAAGCAAAACATGCAATTAGAATAATTAAATATTTTATAATCCAATGAGGAATTTTATTTATAGAATAATTATTATTTTATGTTCATCAGAAATAATTAATAAATGCATCATATTTAAAAGGAAATGAATAATTAACTATCGATTATTAATATATTTAAATGGAAAGTTTTACATCGCAACAAACTCATATATTTATTTTTTAAAATTAATTGAATTACAATCATATAATAATGGTTAAGTTTGTTTAAATACTAAGTCTGAAGAACATGTTATCGAAGCTCATTACTTGTAAAGAGACACTGCTTCGATAAACTTCATTCTTAGCTTCCTCTCTAAATTAAAATCAGTGTCTCAATCAAATTCACTCACAAGAATTGCAAGTCAAAAAAAATAATGAAATTCTTAAACTATTAGAGTCAAAGTGCAACAGTCTAAAGACAGAATCACAAGAAGAGTACTTCCAAGTCATGGAATAAACCATTTAACTTCTAGATTAGCAACTCCAACTAATCAATAAAAGTATGAAACATGTTTATTTTTTTAGTAATGAAAAAGCAAAATATTAGAAACTAAATCAAATATTCTTCCTTAAGATCAAATATTCTAGAAAAAGCGGCCAATCATTTCTATGAAATTTGGTAATTTGATTCTGAAAATATGGATTACCTCAAAAAATATTTAGATGTATATATATGTTATCTATTAAAGATTGTAAAATGTTTCAAAGGAACTTTGTGTGATCAATATCTCGAAGGACTTTGCAAATATGCACAATATACATAAGAGTACGAAGAACTTGTCAACATCTATAGTCAGATTGAAAAAAATAAATTTTCAGAGACATAAAAAAGATGTGCCATGACTCTTTTCATGTTAACTCAAGATGAACTCTACTATGAACACTTCCTTCTAAATGAGTCCAATTTGTTGGATTAATCATTTGAAATCAGAGTAATTGTTTTAATCACTATATTAGTTTCATCTATTTGCTACTCAATATTTCCAGTAATAGAATTGCTACCATACAACAAAATTTCACAAATAATAATGTGAAGATATGTCATCCGAATATTAGAGATCCATTGCAAAAAGCAACTTGGAACTTTAATTGTCATTCATGAAAAACTAAAGCAATCACTGATTGTGATTTGTAACCAGTTTTATATATATATATATATTTATTATTGAATTAGAATATCCTTTCAATCTTATTTTCTCTTAAATAATTGAAATATAAATTAAAAAATTTATAATAGAAAACTTTTATAATAATGGTTTTCAGTTCATCCTATTTAAGATTTTGCTAGATATTTGTACTTACTCTAAGAGATAACATTCCTTTCATAGAAATCCTATGGTAGTTTAAGTTTACGAAGAAAGTATTCTGGCCTAGTTTTTACTAAGTGAGAGTTTAACAGAGTTTCCAAGAACTCCTAAACAATAACTTTCCTTCCATCATTTGACTCCTTGTTTAATCTATTCTTTATCCAATTTTAGAACAAAATACTAGATCCCAATTCCTCTTGTGATTCTTTCTAAAACTCGTTTTAAAGCTTCTTCTGCAATTTCAATAGAACTTTGTGTCTTGTTTAGGTTGCATAACTTTAGGATTTATTGATTATCTAATCATTAAAATTCATCTATTACTATTAAATTGTACTAAGCATAGGTTTTCAAAAGTTCTTATCCCCTAGTTATGGATACTATTTAAACTTTTATTAGAGAATAAGCTTATGTTTTCGCTTTTTTGAAACTCCTTATGGATGCATTATTTCTCAGGTTAGCCAATATTGCATCTAATTCCTATAATAGTTTTAATTTTTATTCTTATTCTTAACAAGCGAACACCATTTTTTATTCGCCAGAAAATAAAGTAAAAATTAAAGAAGGCAATTACTCACTTTCATAATGAGATTATATATCCAAAAATGAATAAGTAATCAAACTTTCCTTTATATATTTTTAATTTTCTTCATTTATTTTTGTTAATACAATAAGATCTGTACATAAATATAAATTTATTGGTTCTTCTTTCCCTTCATTAATCATGCTTAAAGACTCAGTCAATATAAATTATCGAGTGGATTCCACAATTTGCACATTAATCAGATTAAAAAACTTGTATTAAAGTTCAAATAGGGCTTAATTTTTGAGGATGCTAAAATATTCATATCAAGAATTAAATTACTTTCCCATAAGCAAATCAATTTACTGAGTCACAGAAGCAAAAGAATTCAATGTTTTCTATAAATCTTAATAATCAGGATGATCCTTCCAAGTGTATTTTACTACACTTGTTATTAATAAAGAATATCGAGGTAATCTTTAGACAGGTTTTATCAAAAAAGAATTCAGATCACCACCCTTAAATACACAAGCTTCTTCTAAATTTTTTAAGAAATTATCGAAATCTTAATACTAATTTCTTAAAATTGATATTTAATCGATGTTGAACTCTTGCAAATATTGAAAATACATCTTGAAAAAAGGAATATACTTTAAAAATATTTGACCTACACATACATTATTATGATAAAACTCTAGCTTTTCTGATAATATATAAATTGAATACTTTATAATTCTCTTAAAAAGGTTTTGTTTAAATCATATATTTAACTTATATTGCTAAAGGCTTTTTATATTTCATTCTCTGGTAATAGCTTCAATTCTTTCACATTTTTTAAAACTTTTTCAAGAACAATTTTCATATCAGCCAAATATGTGGTTTCAGTTTAAATGAGTTCTTCATAAACTTTTCTTCTTTTAACAGCCCAGACTTTCAATAATTTAAATTTTTTTTTTTTTAATAGCATTCTACAATATGCCTGGATTAGACAAATTTTCTTTCTTATGTAAATCATTTAATAAATACATCGTTTCAGGCTAGAGGTAATCATAAACTGTAAAATCAATTCTAATTATATTAAGAGACACTTACTAATCAGCTATCATTTTTTATTCAGCCACTAAACAATTTTAAATTCTGATATTTTACTAATCTTCAATCTTTTAATTGATCATAAAATTATTTGAGGAAAAAATATTAAAAAATAAAAATAAATATTCATATTATTGTTCCATATAATTATGTTGTGGACTATTTGATTAATGAATATTTTAAAAGCAAAAAATAACTTTGAATAATTTTTTGATTTACATCTATGAAATATAATCTTTGAGCTAATATTTACCATATTCTTAATTACTATTTTTAAAGTTCAATTTGTGTGAAGAGTAATCATTAAAAAATTATAATATCACTTAAGATAAGTGAAAAATAACCTAAATAATTAGTATTTAAAATTAGTTAAATATTCATTCTCAATTATCAACGATCTCTTAATTTTCTAATCGGAGTTAAATATAATTAAAATGTTATGCTATTTTATTATCCAAATTCTAGATCTTGATCGAAGTGATTTAAATAATTGCTTAAATAATAAGTCACTAAAATAATTGTTAATTAAAGGCTGATACTAAAATTAAATATATTAAATTGAATTCTCAACAACTTTCAATTTAAAATTATATATTGTACCTTGTTATAAGAGTTAAAGTATAAAAGATATACGTTTACGTGATGTAACGAATTAGATAATACACTAAGTAAATAAATTTTTAAAAATTCAATAAATTATTCTAGATGGATTTATTACGAAAAAATTACAGTTATTAAATATGCTCTTCTATTAATCTTTCATTTGTAAGTCCAATCAGTTAGTTTAGAATAGAACCACTTTATGAATAATAATATATATATTTCATGTAGCGCCTATAATTTAGTTCTTATTATATCATGCTAATAATGGATTTTCTATTAGGGATAGTTTTTATAACAGCCAAAATTGAATTCGCTTACTAACACTGAGATTAGACTTCCATAATTAACTTTCTAATTACTAGATATATTGCATTGCACATTCCCCCTAAATCCAAAAGCAACTATTGAGATATCAGAAACGAAGATGTTAATTTTTGGAGTAGTTTATTATTTGATTAATATATAATTATGAATAGATATGATACTAAAGGAAAGATAAGTTAAAAAAGAGAGTCTATTCAGTTAATAATTAAANGGTTTCAGTTTAAATGAGTTCTTCATAAACTTTTCTTCTTTTAACAGCCCAGACTTTCAATAATTTAAATTTTTTTTTTTTTAATAGCATTCTACAATATGCCTGGATTAGACAAATTTTCTTTCTTATGTAAATCATTTAATAAATACATCGTTTCAGGCTAGAGGTAATCATAAACTGTAAAATCAATTCTAATTATATTAAGAGACACTTACTAATCAGCTATCATTTTTTATTCAGCCACTAAACAATTTTAAATTCTGATATTTTACTAATCTTCAATCTTTTAATTGATCATAAAATTATTTGAGGAAAAAATATTAAAAAATAAAAATAAATATTCATATTATTGTTCCATATAATTATGTTGTGGACTATTTGATTAATGAATATTTTAAAAGCAAAAAATAACTTTGAATAATTTTTTGATTTACATCTATGAAATATAATCTTTGAGCTAATATTTACCATATTCTTAATTACTATTTTTAAAGTTCAATTTGTGTGAAGAGTAATCATTAAAAAATTATAATATCACTTAAGATAAGTGAAAAATAACCTAAATAATTAGTATTTAAAATTAGTTAAATATTCATTCTCAATTATCAACGATCTCTTAATTTTCTAATCGGAGTTAAATATAATTAAAATGTTATGCTATTTTATTATCCAAATTCTAGATCTTGATCGAAGTGATTTAAATAATTGCTTAAATAATAAGTCACTAAAATAATTGTTAATTAAAGGCTGATACTAAAATTAAATATATTAAATTGAATTCTCAACAACTTTCAATTTAAAATTATATATTGTACCTTGTTATAAGAGTTAAAGTATAAAAGATATACGTTTACGTGATGTAACGAATTAGATAATACACTAAGTAAATAAATTTTTAAAAATTCAATAAATTATTCTAGATGGATTTATTACGAAAAAATTACAGTTATTAAATATGCTCTTCTATTAATCTTTCATTTGTAAGTCCAATCAGTTAGTTTAGAATAGAACCACTTTATGAATAATAATATATATATTTCATGTAGCGCCTATAATTTAGTTCTTATTATATCATGCTAATAATGGATTTTCTATTAGGGATAGTTTTTATAACAGCCAAAATTGAATTCGCTTACTAACACTGAGATTAGACTTCCATAATTAACTTTCTAATTACTAGATATATTGCATTGCACATTCCCCCTAAATCCAAAAGCAACTATTGAGATATCAGAAACGAAGATGTTAATTTTTGGAGTAGTTTATTATTTGATTAATATATAATTATGAATAGATATGATACTAAAGGAAAGATAAGTTAAAAAAGAGAGTCTATTCAGTTAATAATTAAATAATCAGAAAATAGCTAATTTTATGTTAGCTCTGTTAATTATAATAGTAGTCTAAAATTCGTTTGGAGAGAAGACTGTTACATGTTCTAAGTAAACTAAGATATCCTCCTTTTTTTATATTTTCTAAACTGGACTGTAAATTTATGGACTCAGATCATCAAGGTCATCAGTGAATAGATCGGATAATATTGAAGCTTTGCATGAGCCACTTTGATCTTTTATTGTAATTTCAGTTGTATCTCCGAATTCTTCGATGTCATGAATTTCACATATTATTGCATCGATTTTTTGATTTCTGTATTCTTAAATTTTGGACAGAAAAAATGAGTTCAAAGGATAAGGTAATTTTGATCTTTCTTGGTTAAAATTGCTGATTTGATTAGAATAGTTCAAGTGTTGTAGCATAAGATTCCATAGGGATGTTTTGGCTTGATCTTTAGTTTGTTTTAACTTGGGAGTGGAAATGAATTGAATTTAGGTTTTGACTTCTATTGGTTTGAAAGTGGTCTATAATTTTTTGCTGGATGATTTTTCTTTAGGGGGCTCTGGTTTCAAATTCTGTGTAATGAAGGAATCAAAGTTTCCATCATCATCATCGTTTGAAAAAAGAAAATTCATAATTTAATTGATTGATTTATTGTACTATAATGTAAATAGATTTCATTTTTTAGCTTATTAAGCAGCCAAGTCTTCGTCCATTTATTTGAGTTAAGCACCACCTCTAAGAAGTCCTGATCTTCTGGCAGCCACTAGACCTACCTTTTGACCTGGAGGTGCATATCTAGACAAAGTGGATGGATGTCCAATATGTTGTTAATTACCACCACCCTAAATAAGAGTAAATCATAAGAATTACATGAGGATGATCAACTGGATTCATAGCCACACCTCTAACTCTGGGCCATACTTTTCTAAGTCTTCTATATTTATGGAATTGTCTTCCTGCTTTAAGAATAGGTTTTTCAGTTCTTCCGCCACCAGATATCAAACCAACAGTGGCTCTGCAAAGTGAACTCAATGTTTTTCTTGTACCAGAAGGCAATCTAACTCTGGTTTATGCTCCATCATCAGAATGACCAATAATAGTAGCGTAACATCCTGTAGCTCTTCCTAAAGCACCTTTGTCTCCAGGATGCTCTTCCAAATTACAAACTACTGTACCCTCTGGAATTTATCCAATAGGCAAGACATTACCAGTGGCTAATTAAGCTACGGTAATTGTTAGAAGCATTTAATATACCCTTTGCACCGCAATAAATATATTATCCTGTGTATGCTCCTTCTGGTGCAATGAAGAGCTTAGTTTGTTTTTTGTACTTGTAAGGATCATTGAATTCAACTTTTGCAAGTGGAGCACCTCTTCCTGGATCATGAATAATTTCGCTGATCACACCTCTTACATAACCATGTCTCTCAGCATAATCAAGGTGTCTATATTAGGGACTTCCAACTCTTTAGTTTTAATGTGCTTTAAAGACACTGTTGGACTTACCCTTTCTTTATGCTAACAATGATAAACAAATAAAACTCACTTCTTATTCTCTTGCCCATATTTAAAAAGATTTTTTTAAATTTTAATATATACTTTCAATCACTTTCCAACTCTTAGTGTCTTCCATAGTCTCTCGTATTTATTAAAATGCAGATTACTCATACTTTCTTAAAATCTTTCTTTACTCAAACTCTGATATTCAAGTAAATCCACACTATTTCCAAACTTTTAGTTTATTTCCTTAATACTTTCTACTCTTGAAGAAATTTCTCTTTTTTCCATCGATTTGACCAATTCGCTCATAAAATTGGGTTCTCTTTTACTTCCTTTTTCGTAGGTTGGGATACTCTATGTCTGAAAATTGAATTGCTCGTGTTTCTTTATCATCCTTTCAAGTTTTGCCTATTTAAATGCTAAATATTTATCTTCTCCTTATTGCATCTCCTAACCCTAAGGCTTCGAGACTTACCAAATACAAAATTATTACGCATTTTAAATTATTGGTTCTATTTCGTTAAGAAGAACCCCTCAGTATATTTGCTTTTCAGATATTGCATTTATCTGAAATCTAAACACTTAAATGAACGATGAGACTCACTCTAGAAACTACCACCAAACTTTGTCTTCCTCTAATCCAACTTCTCCATCTCTTTTTTAATGTACTTCTATCTGTTACTGAATCTATTTGTAAGAAACATGTTAATCTATTCCTATTTATCCTATCTAGGCTCCAAAAAACTAGATGTATGGATTTCTTGCTCCTTTTGTCTACTCAAAACATTCTCGCTATATTCTAACAAATTTTCATAATCATTTTACTCTACCCTTCTTTCTTATTGTTCCAATTTGTCTATTATCCTTAAATCCCAGTATTTGTTTGAGTTACTATTGCACCTCAATTCCCCTTTTTGTCACCGTGATTCTTTCGAATTCCATTATTAATAAATTTTATGTTCGCAATGTTTAAAAAGAAAGAGCAGACCCAATAGTCAACTGCTCCTCCCCCACCACCCATCTAATAATAATAGTAAGCTCTGTAGCAGCCTCCCATTGCTCCCCCTCAGCAACCTGCCCCAAAAGGATCAATGTTCAAAGGAAGCCTTAAAGTAAAGGCACCACCTCCTTAAACATCAGAAATACTATAATAGTAGACGTAGCCACAAACACAACAGTCATAATTAACTTAATCTTAATCCAATTCAGATATCTTATCCCCAGAGAGTGATGCTTACAAGCAATAATTTAATTAGGTGGAAATACCTACTCCATAAGAAGAATCCAATGTTGAGCAAAAAGTAGAAGTGAAATTAAATGTAGAAGAGGTCAAAAAAAAGCCAACTGGCTTTGGGTTTTTAAAAAAAAAATAGCCTGAACAAGCACTTCCTACAGATGAATCATTACAAGAATAGGTGGAAAGCCAGATTAATTATGGAATTTAAGTTAAGTAAAATTAGGTGCAAGAAGTCAATCGATAATAGGAGTACACGTAGGAGTAATCCTATTAATAAAATTACTCTCCAAAGTAGCCAAAAGAATTGACAAATTATGAGGATTAAAAAAAACAGATATATAAGTAAAATGAACATAATGAAAGAGAGATTGAATAATAATAATAATATCAATAATTATAGTAATACTAATAATAATAATAATAGTAATAATAATAATAATAATAATAATAGTAATAATAACAATAATATTAATAATAGTAATAATAATAATAATAATAATAATAATAATAATAACAATAATAATTCTTATACTAATCCTAAGTTAATTCAGCTTCACCATTAAAGAATTCTATCATTAACAAAAGTTAGACAATTTAAAATTCTACTAATCCTCAGCTTGATAATTCTTATGTAAAACAACATTAAATGATTATGGAAGAATTGGAGTACTTCCAAACAGAAGCCAATAAAAAGAAGGCTCAAATTTACATATCTCAATAAGAGATTGAGAAGCACATTGTTTAATATTAACTAAAATTATAAGAGTGTAATAGTCGACTTACTCAATTATCCATTGAGTAATAAGTTTGTGCACAATAGGAATAATTTGAGAAGGCAGAGGAAATAGAACAATCATTAAAACAAATTCAAGATAAAATCACTTAAATAGATAATTAAATCAAATAAGAAGAATTGTAGTACTCTAAATTATAGGATGAAAAGGAAAATATAAGAGGGGAAGAATATCCTTTCTATTAAGAAACAGAATAAAAACTCGAAGAAATAGAAAGATTACATATCAAGTATAGTGATCAATACAGGTTTGAAGGATAGGCCTCAATAAAGAAATTGCAATAACACATTGAAGAAGAAAATGAGAGAGTGAAAATCTAATAAATTCACACTGAGATTGATAGTAAACATTTAGATGAAGAGGAATAACATTTGAATCAAATTATGGATAATCAAACTAAGGAATATAGAATTGAGTAAGATCAATTAATTAATAAAAAGTCATCTTTAGAATCTGAGATTGCAGAATTGCAATTATTATTAAATCAAAAGAAAAACGAGTTATAAAAAGTGAATGTTGATCTACATTAAACAAAAGAGAAGATTCAATAGGTGCAATAAAAATTCAATTTATAATTAAGTAAAGTTTAAAACAAGAGAACAAAACTTAATGACGAGCTCAATAGTTTAGCCACTGAAAGAGCTCAGATTGAAGCTCTTGAAGGCGATAGTCTTAGGAAATAACATGAATATAAGAATAAACTGGAATACTTATCATAATAATTAGAATCAATTAGAGAGAAAAGAACTGAACTGATAAAGAAAGCCAATTTAGTACCTGAATAATGCCAATAAGAATTGGATGTAACATTCAAGTATTAGGAGGCTAAAAAGGCCAGCTTAGAAGCATTGAAAGAGTTAGCATAGGTTTAAAGGTAAATTGATGAATTAAATTACAAGAGAAATATGGGACAATCTTAATTGCATGAGATTCTCAATAAAAAAAGTGAGCTTTAAAAGAAATTGCCTAAAATGATTGATGATAAGGCATTATTGGTGCAGAATAAAAACTTTAAAGGTGCTGCATAAATTAATGAATAAATAAAAGAAGTTTAGAGGTAGATCTCTTTATATGAAGAGAAAATATCAGAGAATCAAACTATTGAAACTCAAATTTTAAAAGAAATAGATGAGATAGAGGATTCCTTATTGTCTAGATAACACTAATATTAATAACTATAATAGAATGCAGAAATTTGCAGATATTTTGTTTTAGAATTGAAGTTGCAAGAGATTTCATAGATCGATTATTATGGATTATCATACTTAGTGCAAGATGTATTATTATAAATTTAATAAATTTTAGATTAAAAATGAGTTGGAATAATTGTTTAATAAATATTAAGATTTAATTTATGCAAATAGAAAGGTTTCAGTTGATAATGTAGATTAGATATAAGATCAAGAAAAAGAAAAAGAGATTATCAACAATAATGTTAACGAAATTGAGGATTCATAAGAGCATTAATATGAATAACATTAAGAAGTAGATAATCAAGTGGAAAATGAATAAATTGAATAGGTTATTGAATCACATGAATAAGAATAAATTTAATAATAATAAGAAAATGTGGTCGAAATGAGTGAAGAAGAAATTTAAAATTATATCAGTAATCAAAAGCAGATATATTTGGATATTTAATAAAAGATATAGCAATTAGAAGAATAGGTCTCAGATCATTGTTAAGTAATTATTGTTATTAATTGAAGAATGAGCAATACGAGGAAGCTGACTAGATTCAACAAGAAGTAGATACTCTCACACAATAAGCTAATGGAATACAGATAGAACTTAAATAGAAATATAATGTAGATATATTATAGCCAGAAGATCAAGAGAATTGATCTGTTTTTAATTTTTATTATTGATTAATATAAAAAACAAATATTGAAATAATCTATGAGTCTTTATAAATGGCAATTTATATTAATAGATGTTCAAATAAGCTCAAATACATCTGTCTTGTTACTATTATTATTTTTATTGTTATTAGCAGGAGGATCATCGAAATTTAAAAGATCAATATCTTATTATTACTCCTTTTAGATATTTTACTGATTTTCATCTTATTGTTCTTTGACTTAGGCTTCTGGCTTCTCTTCTCCTTTATAAATCTTAACTTCCTGTTAATTGCTACAGATGTGAATAAATACATACTTGACTTTAATTTTTATGTTCTTATACAATTGATGTGGTAGTTTGTGGAATAGATTGCTGATGCTCCCCATATTTTCCAAAGCTAAAACTAAATCTTAGGTTTCCCATAAGCGTAGATCCTTTGAAAAATTGGAGAAGGTTCCACTATTAAAGCAAACTAAGTTCTTAACAATTTCAGGGTCTGTTGACAATAATCTCCAATAAATATAGGTTCTATCCCTTACATCAGGGTTAAATGAGTCTTTGGCAGAAACAATCAACTATTAGATAAGAACAGAACATTATGATGGATATTTGAGATATAATTAGACTGCTGATGTAAGTAATTAGAGTTAAACTAGTCTATCTTCCATTTAGAAATTATCAATGTATTCTTTCATTTTTTCTACTGATTTAGGAATGAATTCACCAAATTCCCCTACAATCCATGCACATGCACTCTATCATTATCAATAAACTTAATTACCTTAGATTCTGGCTCATTCGCATAATCGATAATAGAATATATGATTTTTAAACTATCTTCATGTTTATACATCTATTTGCTCTTTTTGTAAATAAGCTGCATTTAAATGAGCAATTCTTAGGCTGGCTCCGTTGGTGATTAAATATTTTTAGCAAATTCTGCTAAAATAGAGACTGCTCTATCAATTAAGAATATCATTTTACTTATCTAAGGCTTTGTCATAAGTGATAGCAATTTTTCCAATTGACTTAATAGTCTTTCTGACAAAATGAGGATCGGCTTCATTTAAATAAATGAGAAGTTCATTAAGAACTTGAGCAAAGTTTTTGGAATCACAAATTCTAACCATGATATCTAGTTTCTCGTATTTGATATAGTAGGGTTCATTAAATGAACAGAAAAACACCTTAACATCGTTTTCAAATAAGATAGGGAACTTCTGCAAAATCAAAGAGATGTTTCTTAGGATTGTGTATTATACTTCTGGTTGATTCCAAGATAAGAGGGAAATTAAAGAGGGTGCCACTTTCTTACATAAATTCTTAACTAGTTCTCCATTATCTAAGAAATCCAAATATTTGAGTATAACCTTAACAGCACAAAATGTAACAGTTGGGTTTATGTGACTCAGTCTTGGTAGTGTTCTTTCTATTATTACTTCAGCTTATTTTGAATCCTATGGATTATAAGTGGCTAAATAATCCAAAATAAATATCTATCCCCATTCAATGCATTCATCAACTGCCAATAACAACTTTTAAATGATCTTCTGGTTCAAATTGATAATTTATTTGCCACTCACAACCTCAATTTCTCTCATTGATTATATCAAATTAGCCAAAACTAATGCATTTGATTCCTTCTCCAATAACTTCTACAGAATATCCAATAGCGGAGGACATATCTCAGGGGAAACTTCATATACCTAAAAGGAATCAAATTAGTATCTACTTTCGGGACACACAACACTGCAGTTTTACGGACATAAGGATCATCATCTTATATGCAATCTTTAAGAGGCTCTATTAAATATTCATTAAGTTTCGGTACTCGTAAGCACCCGAAAGTCCTTATGGCTAGTGCTCTTACCAAAGGATTCTCTGATTTTCTGACATCTTTTCTAAAATTTTGTATCACCATTATGGCATCATCTGGCTTTTATCTGGAATAATTGACAATATATAAATAAATCTAAGGAATAATTATTTATGATTACTAGTTTTTTCATCTCTATGTCATTAAATTCTAAACACTTTATGACAGATTGAAATAGATCTGATACGTCTTTGCCCACTGTCATATAAGCAATCACCTTCTTAACAGCCTACACTATTGTTGTTAATCATTACTTCTTTCTTCTTTTCAAAATTCAGATCATTTAAATCAGCATAAAGCTCTTGCAATTCTCCACGCTATGGATTATTTCCGAAATAAGCCATTTAAATATTAAAAATTTATATATAAAAACTAAGTTATATTCATACTTCCAATTCTTTAATGCCCTCCAAACCCCCTTTTTTAATACTGAAATATCTATCATCTCCCTTTGGAACATCAGCTTCCGTAGGGTTTATTCTAATCATAATAGATTATTTCATATTATCTAGTATTCTATCACCTAAATTTCTGATGCTTGGAATTGAAGTTCCTGCTCCAATCTCTATTACACAAACCTTATTGGCTTTGTATTTTTCTACAAAATCAAAGAATCGTTTCTCCTACTGATCGTATATAGTTGAAATCCAATCCCAATCACCAAACATCAATATATTGGGTCTTAATAGACGCTTGCAATCACATTTAGGCAAAGGATCAGCTGCTGAAAACTTCTCTAAATCAATAGATAAATCTTTAAACTAATGAGAATCATATAGTTTATCGCATGGAGTACATTAGAATTTATGAATCGATCCATGCATTTCATAAATATGATTAAGATCAAATCCAGCCTTTTGGAACTACCCATCCACATTACTTGTTACTACAAAGTAATCCCTATTTTAGAATATTTTTTTGAGTATCTAAAATCCTTCATGAGGAGCAGTATTTCGATACATAAGCAATCGATGTCCATAAAATCCCCAAAATAAATTAGGATTATAATCCATAAATGATGGATTAGCGCAATCTGTAAATCCAAATTTGTTTTCAAAAGGTCTATAAACTGTCCAAAATCCCTTGTTCCCTCTAAAATCAGGTAGACCTGAATCAACTCCCATGCCTGCTCCAGCTGTAATAATAAATGCTTAGCACTCTTTGATGTATTTTTACATTGATAGAAAATTATAAATATTAATTTTATATTTGAGCTCTTATAATATATCAAAATTATTATTTATAAAGAATCTTGAAATCTAAAAAGTTATGTATTCCCATTAATATTCTAAACTTCATCAAAGTAAACAAAGGATTCATATTTATAAAAATAAAAAATGCAAAATAATGCAAAACATGTCTACTTCAAAGTTAAACCATATTAGAATAAATCCTAAATATTACATATCCAATTTTATTTGAGGCTATATAATTTTGACTTTAGAAAATTAAAAATATACTAAAAGCAATTAAATTATTGGATAAAGCTGAACTAAATCGATGGCTAGTTCTAGCTAAAATAAAGCAATTCAAGGGGTGATATTTGCGATAAATGTTAAAGTAATTTAAATAGCATGATTAATTAACTTACTTAGTATGTGTAGAGGCAGGAAGATTTCAAAATTTAGGGTAATATTGTTATTCTACTATTATAATATATTCTCATCTGAATTCATGGATTTTTTTAAGGTAATACAGAGTAAAATTTTATATCTATCATCTAAATCATTATGTAAGATGCACTGATTTGGAATCATTATCCTAAGAAAAATATCAATTTTCTATTTTATTTGCGGTAGTTCAATATCATAAACTGAATAGAATTTAATTTATAATTTGTATTTTTCCTTGTTTTAAGTATGATTGAAATAAATAATTGAAGTATGATCATTATTAAGTGATATGAATTCAAAACAATATATTTACATAAATATATGATTTAATAAATAATTATAATAATTTTAATCTTTTGAAATTTAATTATGATTTAAAAATGATAAATTATAAAAGTGTCTAGATAGATATCACAAATGATATTAATTTTAACCTGTTAGTAATAAGTGGAAATGAAAAACTTCAGATATAAATGATTAATTTAAGGTTGGTTCAAATATAATTGCTATAATTAAGATATTGAAATAAAAATAATTAAATGATTCTTTCTAGAGGGTTGAAACAGCAACTCAGATAGGTTACTATTTTCACATTTGCCAATACAACAAGAGTACCTAATCCATTTGCTCATCATCACGATGATCATGGACACGAACATGAGGATCATGGACATGGTCATGACAATCATGGAACAACACATTTGGGGAGCAGACCAAAAGTTGAATATAATACCATTACTACCTTTTTAGACCACAAAAATTTGTATACTTATTTTGAGTGTAATTTTTTTTAATGAATTTATAGAGGGCCCTGGATATATGTATTATCCAGGTGTGAATTATAACGAGGCTCACGGTAAGCCATACGACTGGAGAGATGATCCGAAATATAATCCAGATTACCTAACTCCAACAAAGAATATAGGTTGTCCAGATCCAAAAACATATGTATGGCCATTCGAAGGAAAATTGGAACCTTTCAATCCTTCTGAAGCATTGCCTCAAAATCATCTATATGATCCAAGTCTACTATTAAAGCCAGAAAACAAATAGGTTGGTCAGCCAATACAACATCTGACTGCAGCTCAATAAGATTAAGATGCAGATGTGAACCATGAATTTGATTATGAATCTGAAGATTGCGATTTTTAGACAGAAAGCTTCAGAACATAGCATTTTAGAAAGAGAGGACCAATGTGGCCATGGGCTCTAATAGCAACAATGCCATTTGTATATTTCTGTAAAATTAACCCTCTAATAATATATAGGGGTTGAATTCTTATATCAAAGATATCCAGATGAAGATCATTGGAGAATAACTCACCCACCTCCTCTTAACTACCCTGATAGTGAAGTATGAAATACAAATAGAAATTAGGACACTGATGATACCGATACATATCAAGATTACCATTCACCAAGTGGAAGATTTTTGAGAGATATAGGAATAATAGGAGATTTATGGTTTGACATAAAGGATGGTAAGAAAGTGATGAATAAATGGGCAGGATGCAATCAGCCTTTACCTGATATTTGAAATTACAAATCATTATAGCTATCTGCATTATTAATATTAAATTCATTCGAATGAAGTGGATTCTTTCTTCTTTGTTAATTACATGCCTTTTTTAGGAGCTTATTTGACATTAGATTTTAGAGTCACTTAGGATTAGGATTGTGTACTTAAATTTTCATTGATTACTTCAGGTTTGGGCACTGGATTTACTTTTTCTAACTTAATTACTATATAAATACCCTCATTTTATGGTAACTTGAATGCATTATCAATGGCTTTGGATTGCTTTTAATTCCTTTTCTAAGCTAATTCTTCTTATCTTTTTCTTTCCATTTCCATCTAATGTTTTTTGGCTTATTCTTTAGCTTCATTTTCCTAATGTTTTATAATTATCTTTTGTTACTCTTGCTTTAGTTAACATCAGATGAATCTTCTCTTCTGAACTTTCCATTTCAAGTGCTGTCTAAACTTAACTTGTAGTTGTGCTTTCTCTCAATCCTGCTGATATTATATCATCAATGGCTAAAAGTATCTCAAAACTATTCTTTTTTATTGACTCTTCGCTAACTATTCATAAGTATAAACAATACTTTATTAGCAGATATCGGATAGGACATTCTTCAATATCCTTAATACTTCTAAATCCTCAATTATATTGCTATTTTTTGAAGTAATCAAAACTATATAAATGTTATCAATTGGAGTATATATATATCTTTGATTCTCATGATCTATAAATGTATGCTATTAAGTTGGTGAAATCAATTTAGGAAAATTACGAACTTGCTAAATATAATTACAAGTCTTCTTACTTCCCTTAATTCATTTGTTGTGATTCCTTGAAATTATCTCCCTATAAAAAGGATTCCATTCTTGTCACATATAGCTGCTGAGATAATAACCATCCTACGTGTATTAATATAATATAAATTATTATTTTATTATTCTTAGGGATTCCTCATATTGAATTGTGAATTGAATTTATTATAGAAGTCCATTTGATTACTATGGAAATAGATTAGATTTGATTATTACTGGGATTCCAAAATTGATACTCATTTTTATTAACATATAAATAGAGCTTCTTCTTTTTGGTGTAATGTTAGAAAAAATAAACAAGTACCTTTGAATAAGGATGTTATTTTAGATTCTATTTAAATTATTAAATTATTTATAATCAAATATTTATAATCTCAATCACCAAAACATTAAATTTGATAGATCATATGGTTTTAAGGGCTTAGGTCTCTTTTTTTATTAAATATGCATTGATATATAAATGAACTCCTATTGTATCAGTGGATTGAGAGGTTCCTCTGTTTAAAATGAAACAAATGTTCGATTATATTAATGTATAAAAACGGTATTTAAATCAATATTTTTATTATTGAACAAAAGAATGAAAAGTATATCAGGAGTATTAGTCATTCTGCTTCTAAGTCAGAGTGTTTTCTGTAGCCCTAAGAAAATCAATACAGATTTTTTGAATTTGCTTAGTTCTAAAACTAATGTGATGAGTTCTTAGGATGCCATTCAATCAGTGCTTACTTTATTAGAAGATCTATAAGGAGCAAATGTTGAAGCTCAAGACAAAGCTGATCTTACATTTTAACGATTCGAACAAGCCATTTTGAAAGACATCAATGAGTTCTCAGGAATTGTGAATGTCAATTCCAAGAGTGCTGCTGCAGCTCAATAAGACTTGGAAGCTGTCGAGTAATTGTTTATCTTTCAACTTAAAGCCTTAAAATCCAATAAACAACAGACTACTTGAATTGGAATAACAAGAGATACAAGGCAAATGAAGTTAAGCTTGAAAATTTAGCTGAATAAAGATGCGAAGCCAATGCCTTATTCATTGACACATTGAGAGAATATAAGAATGCACTTTCCGTCCTTGATTGGGTAAGAAGCGATGCACAAAGCAAACAAAGCACATTAATAGAAAAGAGCCACATTGGAGATTATGCAGAGAAATTGAGCAAGTATGCTAATCTATTTGAAGAATAAGCAGTCTAAGACTTTGTCAAATTAGGTGAAGAAGAAGCCTCTTTCGCATAGACAAGTACAAAATACAAGATAATGTATTTAGGATAACATGGAAACGGTCAATAAATAGCCTCATTAGTAGAAAAGGATGTCGTAGGAATTATTCAATAATTAATTGAGAAGCTAAGAGATACCATCAAGGCACTCGAAGAATAAGAAATTCAATCAGCCAACGATTTCGCTGATTTCAAGACTAATTTATTGGCTGAATAAGAATCTCTCAAGCAAGAGTATGATGCCAAAGCCAAATTCTTGAATTCCTTACAAAATGACAAGGAATTAGCCTCTGACATCTTGACCAAAAAAAAAGAACTTTAAGATTAAAGCATGAGAATCTTGAGCTTGACTTAAGGTACTTCGCAATCTAAATTATCTTCTAGAGGAATACAATTACAAGAAGAAATTATACAACTCAGAAAAAGCCAAAAGACATGAAGAAAACTAGTTATTAGAAGAATCACTTCTAATTTACAGAGAAAAGATTGCTACCGTAAATGAATACTTGAAAAAGAGAGTCAATGAATATGTTGGAGAATCCCTTGTTGAAGAACATGCTGTCAGCAATCAAGCTCCAGTTCAAAATAGAAAGGGAAAATAATGATAAAAACACACACATTAAAATTATAATCATTCTAAAGGTTTCTTCGTTGATTGTTTTAAAATTCTCCTAACCCTTCTTCTAATTAGAATTATATTTCTAATCTGAAATCTAGATTTATAGAAAATTTGCTACATCTCCAGACTCAAATGAATGTATAGATTCTTATTCTCCATAAGAATCTATTTGATAATTGATCTATTAATAAACTAAATAAGGGTATTAGTATTTTTATTTCGAAAGGGGATATAGCTCATCTTAATAGTGGTAGATAATTTATGTTTATATTCTCAACTGGTCATCAATTTATTATATAATTATTATATCCAAATTTCTTAAAAGTCTTGATATTTAATATGCTTGCTTAGATATCTATTTTATTTAATAAGACCTTTTGAAAAGCTTTTAGTTTTTGAAGTTGCTTTCCTTGTTATTTAAATTTGATCCATTTTATTAAATAATCTCATTACTGATTCCTTAAAATTAAGTTTAACACTATATAAGAGTAGTTAATAAAGTATTATGCTTTGAACTCTTTGTTGCTTTGTTTATTTTTTAAGGAAATCCAACTTTAATCTTTAATGATCGTATATTAATAATCTATTCTCTTAAAATTTGTCAAAGTTTATTTTAACCATCTATTTGATTCAATCAATTCTTAAAAACCATTATATATGTGACCGATACTATCTCTTTTGAGGAATTCAAAGATGATAATGAATAAAAGTTTTTGCACTCAATTAAGTTTATTATGAATCTTCTAATCCATCAAGTTTTATTTAGACTTAATTTAATAGGGCACTTAGCAATTTTAATTCTTTTGTTTACTTGATATTATTGTACATCAATGAGAAAATGATTTTGCTTTGAATAGCTCTCTAAGATGTCAATCAGATTCATTAATCTACTTTTTCTTATTTTCTATTTCTAAATTTAAAATTTTGGATGTTCTCCAAAATTCCATTCATCCTTAACCAACTAATGTTAGAGCACTTGACAAATATAAATATATATATTATTGTACTATGTTTATTAATGATATCAATAGAAGAAACCAAGGATTTTGCCTCCAATATGTCTTTATCTAGCTTCTTCATGGGTTAAAATTCCAACATTAGTGGTGAGAACAACACATCCAAATTATCTGGCTGGGAGAATGTTATTGGCCCATCTTTCGAATTCTCCTAAAGTAACATCATATCTGGGTGAGATCACACCACATTTATTGATGCGTCCTAACATTTTGTGTCATTTATTACCCAATAATTCAACAACAATCTTGCCACTTCTATGATCATCAACAATTTCAAATTCACCAATGTACCCATGTCTTTGCATAACTTATAAGAACTTCACAACCAATTTTGATGTAGGTCTAATCAACACTTGCTTTCTTCCTTATCTTAAATATGTTAGGACAACAACTACAACCTTTCAGCATTCACAATAGAACGGAGGCAATCATTCAAGACATTCATTTTCACCATTCGTCAATAAATATTTTTTAATTTTTTTAAATCTTATTTTAATATGTTTATATGTACAATACACCATATTCATTTCTAAATACTTCTATTGTATAAAACATAGAGACCGAGGTTGTCTCTCTTTTTTTCCTATTTTCACATAAACCATTTATTCAGCTTGTCATATGAATTTTTCCATTAAAGTATCTCCTCAGAAATGGAAACCATTATATATTATATATATAAACATGAGTATCAACTGTTTGTAATTAATTTTAATAATTTTTTACATTCAACACAAAATTTAAGATGTAAATTAACATGGAGTTTCTTTGTTTTGAACAAAATGAAAAAATTAGTAAAGTCTTAAGACATTATTTAGTTGACGAATTAGCAGCCAAGCATAATCATCAAGAAATTATAGATTTTTGTGATCGTCAGATTTTTCTTATCGAATTTGCATAGAGTAGTTCATCAGAAAATTCAAGTAATCTGCTTTGAGTTATTCATTAGCTCAAATTTTAGATGATTCCCAAGAGTTGAATAAACCTTTGGATTAATCCAGTGGAAGTTTTCTCCTTTCAAGAGTTGATTCCTATGGAAAAAAATATTAGATAGAATATGCTTATGACTTTTATTATAAAAAAAAAAGTAAAATCTCAATTTAAATAGTTAAAAGCTTACAAATTTTATAAAGATATGAAGAGATTATTGAATGCTGCGAACGATTATTAATTTTATGCTAAGAAACCAATTAAGAAGGATATTGCCAACATGAAAAAGGTTAAAATTTATTTAATGATTAGCCAAAGCGTTATCAAATTAAACAAAAAAGAATGAGTTTATTTAAAAGATGGGTTTAGACAAATAAGAAAACAAGCATAATTTTAATTACTACAAATAAATTGGTATAGACAATTTGAAAAATTATTAGTGAAGGATCTAAAGAGTTAGGGTTTAATAGAAGAAGCAATAGCCTGTTGGGAATATGGAATGTAAAACAATTAATTTTCAGAAAAATTCTCTCATAAAAAATGTTGTATAGTTTAATAAATTTAGAAAAGCTTTTAAATAAAATTGAAAAAAAAAATGAAGCCAAAGAATGCTAAAAGCAATTAGAGGATCTTTGCTTAAGCTGAGTTAATATAATAATATAACATTGCAAGCATCAAGAATTATTTATTATCCATAATGTTATTTAAATTAAAAATAGATTATTAATTCTGGACATCCAAGAAATATACTATAAAGGCAAAAAAACCACTGTTAGTTCTTCAAAAAAGTGATCATGTTTTATTAAGTTGACTATTTTCCATTCCTCTATATTACTGAATTATCTGATATATTAGACATGGCCTTCTTATGTGTTTTTAATAATATTAAAAATCAAAATTTCTATTAAAATGTATTAAGATTTCTCATAACGAGCTTAAATGATCGAAGATCTCTCTTAAATACCTTGCTCCAATAATCACTATAACACGCGCATTGAATATATTTCTAAAAATATTCAAAAGGGAACTAAAGAATTGTTGTGTTCAAAATGCATAGAAAATTTTAACAATCCTCCTTCAAATTTAATTTTCATACAAGAAATTATAGAAAGAATTGAGGATGAAAAGCAGTAATGCTATATTCAAACAGAGAATGCTACACATCATTTCATTTAGGATATCGAAAGATTAATCTTACGCTTAAAAGACTTTTAAACATAAATCCATTAATAAATTGAAAACCTAATTTGGGTTTGTAAGACTTGGATAGAGAATTTGAATCTATATAAGAGTTAGAAGCTAAAATATAGGCTTTTGGATGAAATTGAAAATTTAGATAATTTACAACTTTTCTAAGAAGAGTTAAGGTAATAAAGTTTGACATTTGATGTTTATGAAATAAATAAAATAAACGAGAATAATATTGAAAAAATATATTTGGGCATTGAAAAAATGAATTCAAAGGTAAAAGAATGTTCTGCGTTCTAAGTAATGGCTAATGACATTATAAAAAATGTTAATAATTTTGAGTACTTTTAGTCTAAAAAAATGAAGACTAATTCGCAAAAATTGGTTTCCGATAAAATCGAGGATTAACTCTGCAATGCCTTGGCTTTTAATAGTGATGAGTCATTATTAGCTACAGCAGCAGATAAGAATATAAAAATCTGGAAATTTCAAGAAGGAAAATTGATGGAAAATGTGGGAAATTTGCAGGAACATTCAGATTAAGTTGTTTGTTTGGTTTTTCACCCTAAAGAAGTAGCTTTACTGATATCTGGAAGCAAAGATGGATTGCTAAAACTCTGGAGATAAACTAGTTTAAACAAATGGGGGTCTGTAGAATCTTTTAGGATTAATCTAAGTTATCCTATAAGTATGGTTCTGAATCCAAATTAAAATTAATTAATAGTAGGCTGTTTTGATGGGTCAATTAAGATAAATCCCTGTAATTTGGATCAAAAGAAGCCTAATGAATAATAAAGGTTGGATAAGCATACTAAGCCAGTTTATAGTATCAGCTTGAATTCTAAGTGCAATCAATTTGTTTCGTCTAGTAGTGATAAATAAATAATTATTTGGGAGAAAAATGATGCTTAAGCTTGGGATTGTAAGTATGTGGTTGATAAATCAATAAATGATATTTGTTATAGGGTTAGCTATTTTGGAGACGACACAATAGTGTTTCAACAAAAGAGGAATGGCTAGATAAATTTCCTTAAACTTCATAACAATAAATTTTAAGAAAGAAAATAATTGATGTTAACAGTAAATCATTAAGATCCAGAGGTTGAATGCTTCTTCCCTATAATATATAATAGTAAGAACTAAATTTTAGTGATAAAGCACTTTCAACATGTCTACATTATCAAGCAAAACAAACAATAATATTAAATAATCAGTCAACCAATAGATTGTTAAAATCCATATAATTATGGTACCTTGACAAAGGATGGGAAATTCCTAGTAATTTGGGAGTATGTCACTAAAAAATTTAAGGTATATGAATTATAATATTGAACAACATAACATGTAAAATTATCAATTATTTATTCATAAAGTATTATATAATGTATTCCTAAATAATCATCTATCTAAAAGTGGTTAATAACTTCAATTGTATAAATGACAATGAAATTTTTTAAGTTGAATATTAATAAACTTAATTAATTTGAATTTACTTATGTCTGATTAATTCGACTAGTCGCAAGAAGGCATTGTTCAAAATGAAGTGCCTGAAAATAGGGATCAAGAGCTTTTTGATTAGGTGCCGTCGAAGTAAAATAACGAGAAAAAAATAAATTTTTAAATAGAAGAAGAAGAGGAATAAGACTAAAATCAGCCGGTTGGGGCTATATAAGAAGTTGCCAAGCCTGAAGAGAATAAAAAGAACGTATCTTAGATTAGCAACCCATTATAGCCTATTATGATAAATAAAGCAGAAACTAAGAGAATAGTACATCAGGCTGCATTGGAAAGAAAGACAGAAGCATTTGAATAAACTAAGAGTTTTGAACTTCATAGATCTTAATAAATTTTCCAACATAGATAATTGGTAGATTCAGTTTGGGCAAGGTTATAAAAGGTAGTGACTTCATCTGATGAGTCTATGAAATTTTTAGTCTCATTTATGAAATAAAGGATTGAATAGGAAGAATCACAATTAAAATACTCTTAAACAGCTTAGTTAAGTAAATTGTTTAAGGATTTTGGTAATATTTGAATGTAAACCTTAGATGGAAAAATTATGTAATGTAATTATCCTGAGTTTTCTAAAGCAGTAAGAACAATTGATTCCTCCATGGAAAGATAGACAGATCAGATTAAGATTTTTATAGTGTGGATGTAAAATCAGACACGAGAGAGATTAGAATAAGAAATGAACAATTTTACAAATTAAAATAAAGGTATCAAGAAAAATTTATTTTAAAATAGACTTAATAAATTCATATAATCGTTTCAAAAAGACATTAGCAGATTTGGATAAAGAAGTTATGAAGTATTTTAACAAATATGATAAAATGTATTAGAATATGACAACTAAAGGTAAAAAACCATAAAAAGACTTTTTGAGAGCCGAATTAAAGTATAAATAGGTATTCGCGCTTAATTAATATTTTAGGCTGCATCAAGAGTAGTAATTTATTAAAGAGAATTTGGAGCTTGGTTGTTAAATAGCTGGAATGAAATAAAATTATTAGAAGCTTAAAGATTGGATTTAGTCACTCATACTTTAATAGAGTTCTAAAATCAAATCATGAATGTGTATGGCAAAATTCCTCAACATGATTCAATTATTGTAGCATTGAATGGAGTAAAGGTCTAGTAGGAAGTTTAGACTTTGTATTCACCTGATTTTGTACTGACAAAATAGGAACTAGAATTTATTCAGACAGAGCAACAATAGGAATTAGTTAAATATTTTCAAAGCTTCCAAGTAACATTAATCAATATGTCTAGGTTGTTGATAAATTTGCTGAGTTATCTCATCCTTTAATTCTAAAGCAATTTTCAGCATAAAGAGATGTTGGTACTATAGGCAAGACTTGGGTCGAAACTGGCATTATTATTACAGTTGATCATTACTTTTTGACTTTCGACGGTAAGCCAACTAGATTTTCAAGGCCGGAGAACAAATATCCACTTGATGGAATGAAAATGACTGCTAGGAATGCTTTAGAATTAGAGATTTAATTTGTTATTCCTGGTTTAGTGATGGATTCAAAGAAGAAATTACTAATCCAATTTAAGAAATCAGATGAATTGGAGGAAATGATGTATTTTCTAGAAACTGTTGGGCAAAATAAATTTGCTTTAAATTGAAATATGTCAACCATGATATAATATGAATAGTTATAAAATAATAAAATGAAATCAAAAAACTAGGTTTAATCAGATGAAGATATAGATACTCTGGGTTCCTATACATCGATGACTTACGATGACAAAACTATGGAAGTGATGCAGTTCAGAAAAGAGAATTTCTTTCAATTTGGATCATCCATATTGGCAGTAATTTATATGGCCAATACAATGTTGATTCCTAATATGAACTAACTTTTTATTGATATATCATTTGATAATCCTTTAAAAATGGTTATTTCAGTGATCATGTATTGGTTGCTCTCATTTTTAATTTTGATACCCTGTTATTTGGTTATTAAAATATGCAAGCAAGAAGGTAATCCAATTTATGCCCATATTATCAAACAAGATTCAAATAAAATCTACAATTCATTCATATATTGTAATTTAATAATAAATACCCTTGGATTATTTAATATAATTGTGAGATTGGGGGACAGCTTACCTAAGGTTAATCGAAGGTTTTACATTGAGTTTCATCATTTAATGGCTTCAGAACAAGCCGAACTATTCTTCCCCACTATCGTTTGCTATTCAACAGTAGTGTTGGCATTATTTTATGGATTTTATAAATTTTCGTACTTTGAACATTACTATGACATTCAATATAGACTCATAATCTCATTTGTAGGTAAAATATTATTGAATACGTTAATATTTTTATTGATATACTTTGAAGTACCTGATGCAAGCCAGGAATACATATCGATGGATGAAAAGTAAATATTTTGATATATGTAAAACTAGCTTATTAGATGCAGATTTTTCGAGTGGTGCTTCAGAATGGATAACTTATTGCTTTAACTAAATTTGTTGCATTTCATATCCTTTCTTTGAAGTGTTCTATTTGAAGAGAGAAACCAAAAAGGGATACTCAAAGGTTTAGTAATGCTATTGGATTTAGTTGTTGTTGAGATCAGTGATATTTTTTTACTAGATCACAACATGGGGAATTATCATCAGATAAGATAAGATGAAGTATTACTATTAGCCATTATTGCAATCCTTAAACTCATTGCTGATATTCCTAATCTCCATGTCCATAACTTCGATATATTCGCACAATTACACATTGAATAAAGAACTCTTAGAGGAGAATATACAGACTGCAACAGATGAAGATAATAAAAAATAAATTAAGGAAATCTATATGATAGCTGCTGGGCTTTTTATATTTTAAATATTAAGCTGTGTTGTATGCAGATACTTTATTAAAGGCATAGAAGTTCCACAAATCAAATCATTTATTTTTTCATTAACTTATAGTGTGCAAACCATTTGCTTTGGTTTTTCTTGTATAAGCATACCAGTGTATTTATGGATCAAAAACTTTAACCCTAAATCCAATATATTTAGTGGAATGGCTTATTTGGCAATCTTAGTTTACATGATTATTTTTCTTGGGATAAGCAGCGAGCCATTTTTTTCATTAAAATAATGATTAATATATATATTACATAAAGTGAATCAACTTATGCTGATTAATAATATTAATATTTATTATATCTCTAAAAGTATAATAAGTTATAAATCTAAATAATCTAGATTACTTCGACGGATTGTATACTAAAAGTCATTTTATCAGTGAATTCACTGAAGATTATGAAAACTCATCAAAATTTGGTGTTAGCTGGATAAAGTTGGTCACTATGTTTAGCATCCTTATAACCATTTCAAATTATAAGCAAATTTAGAGGAACATCAAAATAAATCCAAGGAGTTGCTTCGATATTAAGTACTGTGAAGCTGAAATCTATATTAATTATCAAATTTTCAAGAAATTATGCTAGTTCAGGCTTAATTGAAGAAATCCAAACTTCAAAATCCTAAAAAAGTAGCTAACGAAGGAGAAGATTTATGTAGTCAATTATATAATCTGTCTTTTTAAAAGCCACCTAATAACACTAATAAGGCTGAATTTGAAATAAAGTACTAAAAGGAAATAGAGCTTCAAAATTAACTAAATTAGAAAGAGAAGTGTATTATTCCAATAAAAAGTTTTGGGAATGCAAAAATAAGAAGCAAAGAACTTAGAAAAAAGAAGAGAAAAGTTCTTAAATTAATTTACAATGGCTGAACGTATAAAAAGGAAAGTATTTTTTGGTTTGGGTACCAAAACGAAGAAACCAAGAAACCAAAGCAATGAGTAAAAAAATTTAAATAAAATTAAATCTTAAATTAATTCATGGGACGCATGTAAGCTAAGGGAAAGGGAAAGGGTATTTCCGGATCTGCCCTCCCATATAAGAGAAAAGCACCAAAATGGTTGACATTATCCTCAAAATCCATCCTTGATCAAATTGTTAATTTAGCAAAGAAAGGTTTCAAATAAATTCTTAACATTTCCTTTAGGTCTTAATGCTTCATAAATTGGTGTTTATTTAAGAGATCAATAAGGCATTCCTTAAACCAGATTTTTAACAGGCCAAAAGATTTTGAGAATCCTCAAAAAAAGAGGTATTTCTTATTCAATAATCTTAGGATGTGCTCCTAAAATTCCTGAGGACTTATATGCCTTGATTAAGAAAGCTGTTTAAATCAGAAAGCATTTAGAAAAAAACAGAGGTGATGTGACTAGCAAATTCAGATTAATTTTGGTTGAGAGCAGAATTCATAGACTAAGTAGATATTACAGAAGAACCTAAAAGTTACCATCCAACTGGAAATAGTAATTATAATATTTAATAATTAAGTGTCTCAAAGACTGCATCTGCCTTAATTGGTTAATGAGTTAAATATCAATACATAATGCATTTATCTTAATATATATAAATAACAATATTTTTAATTTATCCTTGATTAAAAAAGGATTAATCTTATCTAAATAATGGTTGTTAGCATTTTATTTCAAAAATTTTTACTATTTGCCAAATACAAGAAAAAATTAGTAATAATTTAAATTATATTATTTCTAAATATACTATTAGATAATAGTAATCTTAGATACTGATTAAACAACACTAAAGAAATACTTTTGATATAATTAAATTTTATTATTATCAATAGATTTGACAATAATTATCATTTGTTATGTATTTATTCCCACCAAGTTACTTTTTAGAAGGTGTTCTTTCCACTGTAGATTTTTTACATAAATTTGTTATAAATATCCCCGTCGCTAGATCCAAAAATGGAACCTAAGATTTCATCAGGCGGAGCTAAGGCATCAATAATTCCTATGGCTTCATCCTTGAGTTGGTTGCTCAACTTCATTAATAATCTTTTGACTGTGGCTTCGGAGATGTTAAATTCTAGGATGTTAAAATAAATGAATACCATTATATTTATAGAGTTCAATTTCATTATCCAATAAGGTCAAACACCAAATTTGAAATGCGGTATCTAAAACTGAATCATTCTTTAGATTTAGTTCTTGCCATTGTTAAAAGCAATAAAGATCAGCATAGGAATTAGATATTTATTATCCTTTGAATGCAAATGAAAGATTCCAAGATTTCAACATGTCATTATTATTTAAATTGTTGGTCAAGTCTTGCATAAAGTCACTTAATTATTTGTCCAATTTATATTCCAACAGATATTTAATATTGTTTGGACATAAATAATCCTCATCTTTTTAAAATTTGATTAATTTAATCTAGAAAGTCTCAAGGAATTTGAGAGAGGCATATTAAATGGGTTTTTAATCATTAATAAACCTATTTTTTTAATCCATACAGAATTTCAAAGTTTATTATATCAACACATTAGAGTCTCCTTCCCATGTATTATTAATATCTTAATCATGTAACATGACTCCTAATCTATTAAATGAATGATAGCCATGTCCACCTAGAATTTATCTACATTCCAAAATAACTTTGTTTGCAAAAGTAGCAAATTTTCCCTTCAATACACTTGAGAGAGCATGAATTTCAGCCATTTTATTTGGATTAAAAACATTATTCTAAGTGGTATCCCACAAATTATTAATAGCTTTAGCAGCAATTGTGTATACTAAGGTAGATGCCAAGGGAACAATTAATCTGAGTTGGGTAAGAGGATATTCAAGAATACTTTACTCCTTCTCTCCAGGTAATCCAAACTGCTTCCTTATAGCAGCATATCTTATTCCAATGGTGAGGGCATTTAAGGATGTAATTGCACCATAGTAACTTAAAATGATTCTACCTCCTGATAATGAAGCTAATTGAACAGCAAATCTTTTGTCTGGATCCTCGATTGAAGATTTGAATTCTCCTGAGGGTGTCACAGTGGCAAATTTATCTAACATATTTGCAAGTGGAACTCTAACGTTTCTGAAGATTAAGAATCCGTTGTCTATTCCATTCAATCCATTTTTAGGTCCACAATCTCCAACAGTAATTCCACTTTTCACATTGTGATTGGTTTTATCTCTAATTTCAACTAGAAATGCATGAACTCCATATTATTTTCCATCAATGTAGAGTTAAGCAAATACCACAGTCATATTAGCCAGGTTAGCTGTTGCTCCAATCCAAAATTTGGTGGCTAAATCTGTAGGAGTGTTGATAATAAAAGTTTATGTTTCCTTGTCATAAATAGCAGTTGTCTAGATTTATCTTACATTAGAGCCATGTCCTAATTCGGTGAGACTAAAACTACCGATATCTATTAGGGTTTAAGCATTTTCAAAGTATTACTTATGCTTATCGGTTCCTAGATTGAGAATTGTTTTGGTGTAGAGTGAAAAATGAACTCCAAATTTCACACAAACTGCTGGGTCGTAGCTGTACATAGCAACGGATGTAGTGGTTACTATATTTGGATCAGATAGAAACATATCATAGGTCACTCCAAGTTTTTAATGGAAATGTCTCATGGCTTGGAATGAATGATATCTCTATTCTTCTCTTGTGTATTCTTCAAGGTGATGATGTTTGAAAACATGTTAATTGCTCTTTACGATATCAAATAGATTCTATCGATATTTCCAATTGCGACCATAAAATAATTCAATATATTTTTATTTGTCTATTGTACTCAGTTATCTGTAATATTGTAGAGATTCAACAGGATTTGATACCTGTTCATTCATTTCTTTGTATGCTTCAAATTGCTAATGCAATAATTTGACTCTTTGTTCAGAGCTCATTAAATTATTATTAATCAATCACTTTTACAATTGATAGCTTAAATACCTGTAAATCGTAAATAAATTTATATCAAAATATTCTAAAATTCCTATTCCCTTGAGCATTTAGCATTCATCCATTAACCTAACGAAATTGATAAGGTGTTAAATCTCTTAAGAATATCTAATTACATCATATTTCTAGGCTGTATTTGCAAGGGAGTTCTCAATTTCAAAAAACAATTAGTTTTTCCTTATAAAATTACAGAACTGTTTGGCAAATGATCAAAAAATATAAAAAACGGACATAAATAGCCATTCTTCTGACTATTATGATATTGATGAAGTTCAGAAAAGTCTAGAGACGGAAATTTTTAAAAGATTTCATAAACTAATCTCATACCTAAATTTGATTACATTTACATTTTGATTCCAATCAAAATTTTGGAATAAAATAAGCAACAAATTTATTCTAAAATTCATGAAATGATTAACATAAATTTTGTACTTATTTGTTTCTAACCTCTCAAACTATGAATAACATGAATAAGTATAAGTCATATATGAAATCATAGGATGTATATGAGAATTACAATTATGAAATATAACATTATAATTTAATAATTTTTATTCTCTGAATGCAAAGAAGCTAAAACGATGATGATAAACCTCTGATTCCATTACCTTAAGCAACAGAATAAAAGAGACAAGAGAAATTGGCATACGAAAAGCAAATGGCCAGAATTACCTTGTTGAAATAGACCCAATAGAAAAACTTGCATCTAGTATCATATAAATTGATGTAGACAGGCTAAATTATACGAGATGGCTGCAGACAAGATTGAAAATGGATAATCAGTGAAGAAACAGTTACGAAATCTGGCTGAGGAAGCGCGCTTATTGAAGGAAGAGGATATGAAGAAAAGAAAACATCAAATCAAATAGATAAAGAGACATGAAGAAGAGTTTATTTTGAAACGAGTTGCTAAATAGAAGATTGGGTATGCGTGGTGAGTGTAATTAGCGATTCCATGAAGTAATCCTAAGTAAAGGAGTATAAGAGTGCCATCAAATTGACTATATCAAGAACAAGAGATTGTATTCTTCAAGAGAATCAAAAGATTCGAGAGACTCTCTATTAAGAGGAAAAGAGAAGGAAGGAAAGAAAGGAGGAAGCCAAAAAATTAGATGAAATGAAATCGCAACAATTCTATAAGGAAAGAGTTTCGTATGAAAAAATGATCGAAGAGATGTTAAAGAAATCAAGAGAAAAGCTCTTTTAAGATGAGTAAATGCTGCAAAGTCGTTTATAGGTAACAATTATTGTATAATGCTATTAGGAAACTTAAAATTTACTAAGCAAATCTTAAAAGAAATTCATGGAACTTCAATCCCAAAGCGTACACAGCAAACGTTGAATAGATACATGAATATTATATTATCTTATTATGAATCATTTATAACTATTATCAATACAGCTTTACTCTATTTTTATACAGTAAAATAATGTCATTGAAATAACAAAACAATAATATTCTCCTATAGCAATTTAATATCAAGAAAATATATATAAATGGTCTATGTCCTTAAATATAATAAAATATCAAGTAATTTATTGATTTTGTTTTCTAGAATGTCAAAAAAGATTCTTGATAAATTTAAAAAATATTATTTATATATTTTTATTTATATAATTTGATAAATTTTAAATCTACAGTTAATTAATTGACACCTAGGTTTATTTTTCGAATTACTCATTCAAAATTTATTCATATTCTTATCAAATTAGTAGTCTCATATATATTAAGATTTCTTATTATTACATCCATCATCATCTGATATAATGGATATGAAGTATAATTTTGGAAATACTTAAAATGCTGTTAATTTAATTGGACAATAAATAAATAATTGCAAAACAGAAGTGCTTTCTAAATAGGATACATGAAATTATCAAAGTTATTCTTTTAGATTTTTCAAAGGGATTTGTGTTCAAAATATAATGAATTCTATTTTATTATGAATTTTAAGTCTAAACAATTAATCAAAAATATTTATATAAAATGGATTCGCCAAAGGAATAGTAAAACCATGAGCATGTGACTTAATAGGCTTAAACTCATCTTATCTAATTGGATGTAGAAGAAACAGTAACTGCTCCGGTCAAGAGGCCAGCGCCTAAAACTTTTGGGGATTTAACAATCATATTTATTTTCGAAACTATTGGGACAGGATTATTTGCTTATGGAATAGTGGCATCAAATGGATCGGACGTTTTGATTTCAGCTTATTTGTATGCAGCTATATTTTTGACTTGCAAATTCACTGGAGGACATGTTAATCCAGCCGTGTCTTTCAGTTTTTATTGTGATGATACTATAAGTTCATGGACATTAAGAATCTATTGGATTGCTCAATTGTTGGGGGCTGTGGGAGGAGCTTGGGTGGCATATCTAATTTTAGGTGTAGTGACATCTCCGAGCATAAAGAGTACAAATATAGAATGGATGTTGGCAGATTTATGTGGAGAAGTATGATTAATTGTTAATAATCTTAAAAGGCTTTGGGGACGTTTATGTTTGTGCTTTTTATTCACATACAAGTTCATGAATAGACGAGGTAGACGAATAATGACATTGCAGGAATACTTTGGATTGCCTTGGCCCTGTTTTTCTCTAGACAACTGTCATCCCATACTGGAGGTATAGTGTGAATTAAATTGTAAGGATGTTTGAACCCAGCAATGGGAGTTGGGTTAGAATTATTTGAAGCGTTTTGGTTGAATGACACAACGAAGCTAGCCAACTTTTGGGTATTTTTGTTTGCTCCTTTGTTTGGGGCATACATGGCATCGACCTTTTATAACTCGATTTATCTATCCTTAAAAAAGTGAGAATGAATATTGATGCAAATAAAATAATAATAATTTATAATGAAAGGTAAAGTGGAGATATCATCTTCTCAAGAACTCAAACATCTCATTGAGGAATCACAAATCTAATTAACTTAAGTTGGTATAAGTTTTAAAGTAAAAGTTAAGGAGTGGCAATAAATGGCCATTTTATAAAGTATGAGAATGTAATGATGATTGGAACAAGTGGAGGATCAGCATTGTTGTGTTTGAAGGCTGAAGGACAGGAGGATGAAGATGATGGACAGATTGGATCCACAGTCATTTAATAATTGAATGCTCAACAAGCAGGAATAAATATTCAAGGCAGTTTGACAGTTCAAATTTGGTGTGAGTCAAGGGATGATTTTGTCAAAGAGTTCAAGAGACTGTAACAAGAATGCATAAAAGAAAAGCCATTAGAATAGATATTGAGTAGTGATGAGGAAGAAGAAGACGAAGAAGAAATGGAGTAATAAATGGAGATAGAATGATATATATAGATATATTCTTATTCTTATTTTGGAGTACATTAAATAATCTAAATTGAAGTTTATCTGGGATTACATAATCATTTATTAAACTACTAAATCGGAATGATATAAATTATATGATAAAATAAATTAAGTTTTATTATTGTTAAGAATATATATTAAAATCCGTTTTATGAATATGCTTAATATAATAATTAAAAATGATGAAATTCATTGCTTTAGCATTGATTGCTTCAACAGTATTGGCAGTCCAAAAGGATACAAAAACAATCTTGGCAGAAATTGATGCCGATAACTTCGGAAACTCTATTTTGTCAACAGTTCAAATGTACCTGTAAGCAAAAGGAAATGCAGAGGAAGTCTTGGTGTTATTGAACCAATTACTTGCTGGATTAGTTGATGATCAAAATAAACATGACAATGTTATTAGAGTTGACAGAGCTGCATGCACAAGAATAGTAACAGATCTTGAAAATTCAATTGCTTATCACACAGCCTAAGTAAGTGCAAACGCTTAAATGAGAGAAGATAATGAGAAGGCATTGGCTGAAGCTGAAAATGATGTCAGATAAACTATTCAAGTAAGCATCTATAATAATATCAAAAGGACATTGAAAGTAATGAGAGAACATTTGCTTAAGAGGAAGCAAATAGAAACAAGGCTCACGAAACATGGGTCAGAAAGAACGGTGAACATGATGATGCCATTGCTGCAGTCGATGAAGCCACCAAATTAGTGCAACATCTTTCATTAGGTGCCACATTCGCTGAACTTAAACCAAAATTTGAAGCTGTTCAAAAGAGATTGATTGAAAACGAAAGTCATGGAGCATTATTCCAACCAATCGTCACAGCCCTTACAGAACTCGCTTCCAAAGTTGATTAAAAGGCCATCCAAAGAATCCTCCAATTGCTTTCTTAACTCAGATAACAATTAGTAGAAGCCAGATCAGTTTTGGAAGTAACTCACATTTTAGATTATTCTCTTAGGATACTGAAAATAGATAAGCTTAAAGATGGGTCGAATTCTCTACACATTTGAGCAATGAACACAATAGATTGGTCGAAAGAAAGAACTAATTGGAATAAGCCATTCAAACATTCAAAACCAACATTGATACAGCCACTCATTTCTTTGAAGTCCATACTGTATTACTATCTTATTATCTTTAAGTTGGAATTAGAATCAGCCTAAGAGACTCTTGATGCTGAAAACGAATGGTGTGCTTTATAAGAGTAAACTTATGCAACTCAATCCTCTGAGAGATAAAGACAATAAGAAATCGTTGATAGAATATTAGAACACTTGACTGATAAATTAACCGCTACCTCATAATACCTTGGAGGAAGATTCTGATCAGATATCATATAAATAAATATAATATTAATATGGGATAGCAATAAACTAAATAACCAATTCATGTTCTCATTAAGGATATCGAATATTTTAACAAAGTTATCAAGTAAGAACCGATTCCCATTTTATTTTAAGGTCAATGCCTTTACAGAAAGAATTAAATAAATAGATTGGAGCTGAATTGATTTAGAATAGATTAACATTTTAAGAGCAATTACTCTAATTCACAGCCAAAACAGACCTTGCTATCATACTCAAAATAGATGAAAGATAGAAATTAATAGATCAAGAAACATTCTATAAATTAAAATAACTAATTCAAGATCTAGCATATTTGTACATGAAAAATAATGAGGATGAAGTTTGCCAAATTTGCTTTGAAAAAAAAATTGAGAAACTATTACCCTGTGGACATAGTTATTGCTAAAATTGCATTGATGGATGGTTTAGTGTTAAACTTAGAGATTCTTGTCCTATGTGTAGAACCAGATTTACTAAATAAAAAATGCTTGAGAATTCATACTGCTTTCCAGATGAAAAAGATTTCATAGATTCATTTAAAGAAGAGGTCTTGAAACATTTAAATTGATTAATAATTATTGTAAATTAGATTATAATAATATTGTAATCTAATATTATTCAATATCTCAATGTATAATCATCTATACCGATACTATTATCATGAATTATTAACCATTTAATAGATTTATTGCATTACCAAACATATCTGATACATCAATTATAAATTAAACTTGAAATGAGTTCTTACATTGGATAACCTCACACTCAGATTAATCCTTAATGAATCTGATTCTATTAAATGAATGAAAATTCTAGAATCATAGTCTATATCAAATCCTTGAATTAATTTAGAAGTCACTAATTTATTTTTTTTTTGACATAACTCGAATCATTTCATATCTGAATCTCCCTGATCGTTTTCCCATATTCGATCTATCACATTGCTTTCATATTAATTTCAAACCTGTAAATTATTTAAAATAAAAGTTATTAAATTATTATATCTTATTGATTAATTAGAAATTAAATCAATAGTTACACGTAAAAGTGTTGAAATTAGTAATACTTAATTTTAATTAGAAATTGGATTATCAGTAGTACCGCAAGTATAGCTAAGTCAATTAGCAATAAACTTAATACTTGTTTGTCAAGCTAATATATCAATAGAAATCATATAATAATATAAAAAATTCATTGAAATCTATTTAAAGCAAAAACACTACTAAATTATGCAAAATATAGCAACAAAATTTGATGATATATTAGTTCTAATTGAACAGAATATATCAATTAAAATATTTTGAAATGATAAATTGATTGTTTAAAACTATCAAGATTCTATATAATTCAAGAAAGATTCTTAAATACTCAGTACATAAGTACACCTATTTGTTTAACAGACACAGAATGATTTGTTAATTCTTCCTTCCATAATAATGAATTCATTTTAACATTTATCTACCTTTGTAAGCAAGTTAGTATTAATAAAAAATATTTAAATGTGTGATACTATAATATTATCATGAATTATAAAAGACATTTTAAAAGTGCATTTAGATTTTATTAAATTTAATGATACTATTGCTATCAAACTGAATTAAATAAATTAATTAGTTTTCATATTTTTTTAATTTAAAAAGCAATCTCTAAAATGATTGAAAATTAATAGTAAGCATAATGAATTCTATAATTATAGTAATTATTCGAAAAACATTATTCTCAAATTAAAAATACTTGATATTTGGAATGATTCTTAATAAAAACATTAAAGTTTAAAGAATAAAGTTTCATATCCTGACAATATGCTCAGATTAGATAATTTAAAAAAATATTCTTAAAATAATTTAAAATGGCAGTTAATTAAGAGTATTTATGAAGTCAAGAAGATATCTCTTTGAAAATGTCTTAATAATTATTCTTTACGAAATTCATCTAGAACTCAATTGTAATATTATCAATAAAGTTATTTATCAATGTAAAATATTAGATATTTAAGTATTCTATGTGAAAAACAGTGTAATATTATTTATGTAATAGATTTAAGTTAATAAAATAAATTAAGAAAGCAAGAATAAGGATGATCGTTTATTAATTCTATTAGATAGACTTTGAAGAGATTGAAATGGATAGATATATTAGCTTCATTCTTTAATTTAGGAATTGAGTAGAGCAGAATTGATGTATCGGTTACTCAAGTGTGATTTTTTGAATGGGTAATTTCGTAAATAAATAGTCAAAATAGATTAGCTAAGCATAAGTGGAGTATAAAAAAATGAGTTTTGATTGGAGTTCTGCTTTTTATGATATAATTTAATTATTTATATTAACATATTAAATACTCATAAAAATGGAAAGAAGAGATGAGGATTGCAAATAAGTTGGACAATTTAATCAAAATGATGACAAATGCATTTATATCTCGTTTATGATATCATTTAATGTATTGTTTGGAAGTCTATTTTATTATTACTCGCTTAATACTAGCAATGATGAATGCACATTGTTAAAGCAAACTGCTTTATATTTCACATTATATTGTTCTTGCAGCATCATATTATCCATAATAACCCTTATTGGAAATAAGACATTTAATGCCATCACAACTATGGAAGGTCTGATTAGAATGTTATTTCTGATTACGTTTTTGGTAAATTTAATACACTATATAGATTGCCTATATTTAAAGTTTGTAATGCTACCATCTCCAATCACTTACGCTTATATTTCTGACCTTGCATGCATTATTATTTATTATTGCTTGTATGAAATCTCAAATCAATAAAACTAAATAACTATGATTTTTAATTTGTTTTTAGTTGATGACTTTAATTTCATGTGTATTAATTAATATTATAATTATCATTAATATGATTAATTATAGTTTAAATTTCTAATTTAATATAATTCCTCCTCCCTTTTTCAAATTTTATTACAGTCTCAATTCTGCATGATTACCTCCGAATTGCGTGTAGGAACTCATCTATAGTTAATACACCTGAAGACAGTTAAATCTCATTTATTGAAACTAAAGGAAAATTCTAAATAATCTGTGATACTCTCTGCTCATTTCAGTATTAAAAATAGAATAAATTATATTAATAATACTATGATCAATATCATCATTCCATTTCAAATCAAATAGGTTAAGGTTTCTTCGACTCTCTCAGTATTTTTTTAGCTAACTCTTTCTTAAAATTCAGTAAATTTGAGGCACTGTAATTAATGTCCCTCCATTCTCTCATTTAAAACTTTATTTCAGAATTTCGATTTATAACTGTTGATGCACTGTTATCCATATTAATTTAATATAAATAATAAAACTCCTATTTAAACACTGAAAATTTTAACCTTATTTATAAAATTAATTAAATAATTGCAAGAGAATAAACCATTTTCCTAACTTACTCTCGAGTATTCTTGCTAAACATTGGATTTATGATGACAATAAACTACTAGCAACTACTAGTGAAGTTTCTAAAATATGGATTCTAAGAATTACATTACAAAAAATAGAATATATTTACTTTTCAGTAAAATTATGTATTCTACTTATTTCGATATGAAAAGAATGTTAAACCTTTGAGTAAAATTAATTATTTGTTAATTTCTCTTTAGAAACCAATTTTTGTAAGTTATAGTTTGTCTTTACTCTTGGATTTAGTATAATTTGTAAAGTTATTAATTAAAAATTATATTTTATTTATTATTAATATGTACCCTAAAAAGATCAATAGAACTGTGCATGTGGCCAGGTAAATTTAAAGAGACGATTCAGTCAAATCTCTCATAATTGATAAATTGGTTTAAGATTATGGAAAAAAAAATTAATTAAATGTTAATGTAACTTACTCTTCTCAAAAAAATAGTTAATAATGGCTTATGTGGATGATTTTTTTGTATTTTATAAAGCAACTGAAGGTGCTGTGAGAGCATTAAAAGAAGAAATCAAGGATGCAATCCTAAGACCAGAAAATGAGAAGCAATTAATGATCCAAAGATTACATCAGCGTATGTCTAGTAAGTTTGTCTACTTAGTGTGATAGGAAAGTTAAAAGAAGAATAATTAAAAACATTGACAAATCCTAGGTGTTTGGCGTAAGTACCTGAAAAAAGTGAAGAGTAAAACAATTATTATAAAATGCAAAATAAAACAGAAAATAATTCTAAAATGCAAATGATGAACACTTTGCCTAATGATTAATTCGAGGAAAGGAGAAAATCAATTTATTAGGTTGATGGGGGTTCAGTAGATGAATGGGCAGCCATTATAAAATATGATGCCTTATAATTTTAAAAAGAATTAGAAGAACAGAAGAGAATTATGCAGCATAATTAATAAAAGATAAAAGAAGAATTAGATAGATAAGTAGCTGAAAAAGAGTAAAGAAAATAAAAACAAAAACAGGAAGATCAATATTTTTATGCTACAAGTTAACAACAATTAATGGAATTTGAAAGATAATAGGAATTAATAAAGGAAAATAAAAAGTAATAATTTTTGCAAGAGAAATTTATTAGAGATTAATAAGTTTAAGTTGATAAAAAAAAGAAGTATGATTTATACATTATATAGAAAAGAGTAGAATTTAAATACTAAGTATTTAGAAGAGGAAATGCTTGCTAAAATTAAGGAACAAATGAAAGTAGAAGATTAATAATAGAAACGAAAGAGACTAGAATAAAAGGAGAAATTCTAATAGATAATGAAGTAGAATGAAAATTTGAGGAAAAAAGTAAAGTGTATCTGATAAAAAGGCATAAGAAGAAATCATATAAACCAAAGAGCATGAAAAATTATTGTAGGAATAGTAATTAATTAAAGAACAATTTGAAAATGAAAGAAAAGAGAAATAAAAAAAAGACTAAGAGAACAAATTTTAACATTTGATGAATAATTACAGTGAGTTTGTTATGAAAAATAAAAAGGATCATCCCTTATAAAATGATTTCTGGACTAAAAAGAATAGCGAACATAGTACTTTTTTCGAATTTTAAAACAAGGCAAATAAAAAAGAGTAATAGCTTTAAATTTCATATGATCTCTAGTAATAAATCCTAGAGAAAAAAAGACAATATACACAAGAAGTGAATGAAAAAAAACTACTCTTTGAATAATAACTTTAGGAGTAAAAAGATTTGAAACAATAAGATGAAGAAAGAAGAAATGTAATTTATATAATAAATGAAAATAGAATATTCGAAAAATGTATATTTTAAATCAAGAAGAACTGAAAAAACAAATGGCTAAAGGTTATTTGAGTTAATCTCCTAAAAAAAAATCAAGTCCTAACGAAAGAATGGTTGGATAAGAACTACTCCATAATAAGAAATTACTGAAAAAAATAGCAAACGATAATTCTATAGGAATAACTATAAAAAAATAAGAGATATCAATTCCTGATTGAAGATATTTATTTATTTTTTTTCATATTTAAACAACCCCTCACAAAATATTAAATTGTCAATCTTGGAGTTCCAATAACGTTTAATATCACACTATCTAAAGATAAGCAAATTTAATGTTTTATTCTATTAAGATATAAAATTTTCAATACATTATTTAAAATGTTTGATATAATTACATTAAATAGAATTAGTAATTTTACAATGATTGTTTTGTTAGTTGTTCAATATAAAGTATCTGAATTTAGTTACAATTCTATTATTTTCCATTAGTTCTGAATTAATTTTAAGGCTTATTATAACTTTTTCTGAAATGCATTAAAATGATTTAATCTATTTATTATTGCCATATAAAAATAAAACACCTAGAACTAAGAATTACATAAAAATAAAAACATGGATATGGATATTAAAATATCAGGATAAATAAATCATTTGAGGCTTTATTGAAAATTTCAATAGCGGAATTATAAAAATAAAGAACGACAAGCCATAATTTGAACTAAATTTGAGAATAAACTAGTACATATGCAAAAATATGATAATTAATAACATATCATAGATTAAAGTTCTTGCATAGTAAATTTAATACTATTGATTTAAGGAATGAGAAATATTATTTATTAGGATATTAATTGAAAATAGGAGTAAAAGAATGCCTTAATTGTGAAATGTGTATTTGCAATAAAAACTTGTTAGATGATTAATTAAAAATTAATAAGGGTATTTATTAATGCATAAAATATTTGCAAAATCAATCAGATGCTTATTCTAATTTTCCTAAAAACTCCATTGTTGTTTAAAGTGTTTCATTTTTCCTTTCAAAACATCTTGATAGACAGATTTTTTCTCTATCAGAAAGGTCCTTTTTTTTGTAATCTTTAATACAAAATTTGCTGCAAACTTGATATATATTCATCAAGGACAATTTCATAGAGGTTGTAATTGACTACTTTATTCTTTCATTCTTTTATTAAATTGTAATGTTTTAGTGAATATGTGTATCGTGATCAGACATTAATTATTAAATGAATTATAATAATAAATATCTCATACATTCACCAAAAAAACAATCTTAAGCGAAGATCATTATCAAATATAGCACTGCAATCAATTTGGATCATATACCTAAATTCAAATACAAATCCCCTAGGAATCTTGCCAGATAAATAACAAACATTAGTCCAACAATTTAATTGAATAGTTCTAAAAATAAAAAAACTGTAGAATCCAAAAGCAGATCCCCATCCTTGGAATCAAACTGGTTCAACATAAAAAAAATAAAAAAGAAAATTGATCCTTTTGAGAATTTAAATTATGGACATCCAAAAATATTTCATAAATTGTCACCTGATTTAATGATTCCAACCTAATTATCTACACCAATTACAGGCCATATTGAAAAACGAATAGTCATTAAAAAGAAGACTGAGCCTGCTCGTATAGCTAGATCCAACACTTAATATTCGATTAGTAGATAAGAGATTAAGATTAATACATCATCATCAAGAATACTGTAAAAGAAGGAGAGTAAAAAGGAAACATCAGGAGAATTGAAAGGGTGGCAAGGATGGCATGTGGAACATTATGATGATTTTATATGAATTTATTAAACTAAACTACCTAATGTTTATTATTATCATCAAGAAAATTAATTTATTTAGAGACTTAAATTAACAGCTTTGTTTTTTGAACGAAATCATGTGAATTATTAATTAAATTTGTGTATTTTTGAGCCAATAAAAATATCAATAAATTTAATTAATAAAAATAAAAAAATTAATTTGTGATGACACTCTTAGGACACCTTCAGAGACAATATGTCAATGAGATGTTTGTTACCTGTCTGATCTAAATATACTATTTTATCCTATAAAAGAGTTTAAGCAAAGAATTAATAACAATAACATAATCTTAGCTAGACTAATGCTCTTTAAAATATAAAAATATTTGAGATAATCTCAATTAATTAGAAATTCCTTTGGATTATATTTAATAATCAACTTAATAGCCAGTTGTAATAACTTCTGCATTTGGGTTGTTATTTGCAATCCCTCGATTTTACTAATTAATATGGGATTTATTATTTATGCTCAAGTATACTAATAGTTTCTTTTATTACAATATAAATTATCATGATTAAAAGAGATGTCTGAAATTAGTATTTCTTACTTTGAATACATCTTTCATATTTAATTCAATATTTTTGAAATGTGTTCAATCCCTATGTTCTTAAATTTAAAATTTAAACATCTTTGCTTTAATTTATGAGTTTATTATTTGTAATAATTCTAAAAATATTATATTTCTGACCTTTTGTCTACACTCCTATAGAGCGTCTTCATTTATTATTAAGGAGAGAAGAAATAAGGATTATTATATATATTTATTAATGAATGTAGAGGTAATAAAAAGCTGTATGAATTTAAATTAATAATAACTGCTTTTAAAAAGTCAAAATAAAAAAAATTAACAAAATCGAGATAATATTTAAATACATGCATTAAAATCAGGGGGGAAGAGTTTTTGGAAAGCATCTCGATAATTATGTTGATAAGGCATTAAAGGATGCAAAAGACAAGAGAAATGGGATAGTTGATGAAATGGGAGGGAAAGAAAATGCAATAAATGATGCTGTTTTGACAAGGGATGGTTTATTGAAATTTGATTGTCCTTAACAGGTTTTGCAATATCAACAAGAAATATACGAGTTCCTTCATTAGCGAGAATAAGAGAGTTCTGGATTTTAGTTTTCGATTGATTAAAGGAAAATCAATGAAAAAATGCGAAACACTACAGTACATATAATCGTTAGAAACAGATTAGGTTTGTGATAAAGTAGGCCAAAATGTATAATTTGAAATCAGAAACATTATTCCAAACAGTGGATTTGATAGATTAATCAATTCATCATATAAATCCAGAGGCAGAGAGATTGGAGCTCATTGCAATAACATGTTTATTCATAGCCACTAAATACGAAGAAATATACCCACCTCCATTGGGAGCATTGCTTCGAGGCACAGAATTAAGAGTTAGAGAAGTTATTGAAATGGAAAAGGAAATATTATATAAATTAAACTTTAATGTTATTAGTGATAATACATTAATTTGGTTGTAATTGATAGGAGAATTGTTAGGGTGTAATAAAAGATATTTGGATTTAATAAAACAAAGATCGATGTAAGATATATAATTATGATAAAGGTATTTGGCAGAACTTAGTTTAAGTAATGATCGATTTCTAAGCATGAAGAAGTCAACAATAGCATTGACTATTTTTTTGGCAGTGGAAATGTAGTTTGGATATTAGAAGACATAATTCTAATGGGATCGTTTGTCTCAGCATTCTAAACCTTGCAAAGATTCTAAGCCATTAAGATTATTTGCTTATTGCTTAAAAAATTGATATGATTATTTACTGTATGTTTCTATTTAAGAATAAGTTGTGTGAGTTATTGATGCAGGAATTCAAAATGTATTTTAATATTTAATAATGATATATCATGGCTATTATGATTGCTATTATTAGCTTGGTTGTGATCTTGGTTACTGAGATGGAACCTATTATGGTTGATGGGATGGTTGATGGGATGGTTAATGGGATGGTTAATGGGATTGCTGATGGGATTAGGGTGGTTGTTAAGATGGTTGTTGAGGTCTAGCTACAGGAGCAGGAGGGTATTATTGAAGAGGCTAGGCGTATTGTGGAACCATTCTTGATGCAATCAAAGGCTATTGAACATATTGGACTGGTTGTTGAACATATTAAACTGGTTGTGGGACATATTGAACAGATTGTTAGACATATTGTTATGGTTGTTGAACTACAGATACAGCTTATTGCACATATTGTGTGGGTTATTAGTGAACAACTTATCTCTCTACTGGATAGTACTCAACTCTTTCTTAGTATCTATCGACAGGTACATACTCTATTATTTATATATATATTAAAATTACCGGTAAATTTCTCTTGGAAAACTTAGGGGATGTATTCTGTTTGATATTCAACAGCATAGTAATCAGTCACTTTGGTTTCTCTTGGAACATATGAGACGACTTCTTATTCTTCATATTCAATGACAGCTTTTTAGTATGGTACATATTCGATTCTGGATTCCCCTTTGATTGATTAGTGCTAAATTAAATTCAAAATTTACTTGAGCAACAGGAGCAACTGGAGCAACGGCGTATTGCTAAACTGGAACAGAGGCAATAGGAGCAACAGGCACTTGGGCCACTGGTGCATATTAAACTGGAGCCACATAAGATTGTCTAACTGGAGAAGCTGGATAGTATGATGGTGGCAAGTAAGCATTTGGATAAGCTGGGGGTAACACTGCATTTGGGTATGTTGGAGCAGCTGTTCTTGCTAAGGGTTAAGCAGCTTGAGGTTATTGTTGTGGCTATTAGGATTGGGGGTGATTAGACATTGTTAATTGTTCAATAAATTCAAAAATTAATATTAAAGGTTAATCTGACTAATTATTTAAAAAACATAAAATAACAAGTTCTTGATTTTGAAATTGATAACAAAGCAATCAGAATTTGTATTCAATAATAGCATCCTTCAAAAAATTAATAAAGTTTGACTTATAATATTAAATTTATATAAATTAAATCTGATAAGAATTGGCAATTACTTTTCAATTCATAAATTTAAAAAGCGATTTAGACCATGAAAACCCTTTGTGAGTGAAATTGTATCAATAATGGATTGATTATAATGAAATTAACAGAATGAACAAACAGAGCTTTGGTCGACTAATTGCTATTTTCTTTTGTTCTTATTATTCATTTCTATTTGTTTTGTCTAATTTATTAATTAAATGGAATTATAAACAACATTGCGATCTTATTTAAGTTCCTTTGAAACTTATTCTCATGTTAGAGATATAAAATTAAGAGTGTTATATGGTGACAAGTATGTATTAGTTTCACATTAGAATGCATATTAAAATAGTTCAATAAAGTTTAGCTGCTTTTCTTGTTGATGAGGAAGAATCGCCTATTTTGAGACTCTTGGCACTCAAAGTAAGTACCTCACCATAAATTAATTTATAGTTCAATAAGGAATTAGCCGAGACGTTCAATGAGGAGTATATCCATCTCATGCAGAAAATCGTTCTCCCAAAAATGGAATAGATTGCAATATTCAAAAAGGAGTCACAAGATAGTGACCGTGGCAAATTGTTCTTCTTGGGCAAGCAAAAACCTCATTAAGGTATGTAGAGTACTAAAGTAGTTAAGGCAACCAAGAGTTGCAGGCTTTAGGAGATCAATTCTTCAGAGTCACGTTGGAATGTATTAGAATATGGGGAAGGTGGTTTCCCTTAGACAAACAACATCACAGACTCAGTTTGTATCGTGTGGCATATGAGAGATTATACAAAATTGGAGTTCACTTTCCTGAAATCCAATATTTCGATCTTCATTAAGTTCACTCTAATCTGCCTTCAACATTTCCTCCTCTTTCAATGGTGTAACAATTAAAGAGAGTCATGAGCATTCATGTTCGTTCTACTACTAAAGAAATCTGTAGATATCTAGAATCTCATTTACCTGAAGAATATTATTAAACACAATATTCGTCGTTTGCTGAATTATTTTAAACCATAGTCAAAAAACATATACTTAACAAAAATAAATAGGCAAGAATTGCAAACATATTTTTGGAAAAAGAGTAGAAGCTTAGTGAAAGTAAAAAACAAGAAGACAAAGAGGAATGGACTTAATTACAAAGACTATAGATTGAAAATCAGCAACTTCAATAACTAAACCATATGTATTCATCAAAAATGTAAGAATTATAAAAATAAATTATTCTAACCCAAAATCAAAATACGCTTTTGTAACAATAGATTTAAGATAAACAGTTGTTAATAGAAAAATTAGAAACTGATTGGAAGAAAATTGAAAAAAAGTTTTTGCTTTTGTTTGAAGAATACAAGAAAACCCATGATTCCAAAAATCCCTTCGTTCTCGCCTAATTTGAAAAACAAGTAAATATCTGAAAATATATTTAAAGTTGGCAGAATTTAAAATTGAATTTGGTCTCTCTTATAAGGAAGTTGATTGTTTTAAGTTAAGAGCAGAAAATGAATACCTTATTAAATAATTGGATGAACAGGAAGACTTATTCAATAAAGTTAGACATGAAAAAGAGGTTTTACTCACTGAAAATAGATTATTAGTGACTAAATTAAATAATCTATCCCAAAAATCAATTAAAGGAGATAAGGTTGAACCAGAACTACCGTAAGATGTAGAAGAACTTAAATTTTACAAACAAAAGTCCAACTTAGTATAATATGAATAAATAATGATCTCATAAAAGTAATAAATAACCTAATTAAAAAATCAACTGCTTCAAATGAATGATAAGAAAAATAGTGTCACAAGTCAAACATGGGGAATTAGTACCAAGTCTAATTCTAGGAGAAATATTAATATACTATAAGCTGATAATATTTAATCATCAAAACAATGTGAGATTTAAAATCGTCCTTATAGATAGTCCAAGATTATTATGCCTCCTATTATTGATTATGATCCTACTATATTTGCTATTAATCCTAGTATTTTTAATACTAGATTTAGATAAGCCTGCTTCACATAGAAATCTATAATCCATTAAGACGATAAAATATAAATCAATACAGCTACTTAATTAAAGATACAAGTGTTGTTTGTAACACTTACCATTTAAAATAAATCTTCAATCAAATTAAATAATTTAAGTCTAAAACTATAAAGCACAGATTAATTATATGTTAAAGTTTTAAATAACATTAATCGAATCATGAATCCTGAGGAAAGTTAAATAGTTTAAATTTAAATTGAAATAAAAGAAATACCATTTTCAATTTTGGAAGCCTAACTCATTTACATGGATAAAATTATTGAATTTGGCATACCTTGCACAATCAATAAATTTTTAAATTACAGTTCTTGTAAACAATTACCAACAACTTATTTCTATTAATGCAAACCTTTTCTAACTGGATTCTAGAGTTCCATTCCTAATCTTTTGTAAGAATTTGAGATAGTTAGTCAATCTGAAAACGAAGTATCTATGTTAGCATAGGTAGAATATTAAAACGAAGAATATGAAATTATGATATCTTGCAGAAAATCTATGATGTCAATTAAAATTAATGGTGGTTATAATGATAAACTTATTAAGACAATCATATCCACTTACTAAGGTTTATTTTTGAAAAGGTGATTTATTTATAAATTTATATTTATAGATATTTTTGATCTATTTTCATAAATCTTTTTTAAGCTCATACAAAAATGGTTTATTCTAAATCTTGAATTTCTCATCCATAATTGAACAGTTAATAAACTTAATTGCATCAACTCCATACCCTCCATCCTCTTCAAATTATCCATAAGACTCATGAATTCCACCAAAAACATGAAGTTTTGGTTTGATCTTCTTAACCTTCTCTATTAAATATTTATCTCCCACTCTCTACCCATTACTGAGTTTGTCTCCATAAAAATATGGAGGTCCATGAGTAATAACAACATCAGATCCTTCTTCTATTTGATCCCAAAATTATTGACTACTTCCTTCAATTTAAAAAGCCCAATCACAAAATTCTTAAGTGTATGGACTACCCCAAAACTTAAATCCTTCTATTGTAACTGATGAGTTTATTAGCAAGTGACAACATTCTTTAAGATCCTAAAGCAACTACTCTGGATTATAGTTGCTGTATCTATGAAATTTCTTCTTCAATACTGGGTATTTTGATATGTCCAAAGTAATATCGTGATTGCCAGGTACTACAATCTTATGTTTATGTGGTTATGCTTTTAACCATGATATAAAATCTTTGATTTCTTGTTCATGTCCCCAATTAGTAAAGTCTCCACAATGAATAAGCACATCACCATGTTAAACATCCACGAATTTAGAGTGAGTATCACTTAAACATACTAATGTTAATTATTTCATTTTATAAAATATATTAAAATTTACTTTTCATAATCAAAGTCATATATTCAATAATTTTTATTCATTTTTCGCCTCTAAGAAACTTTAAACATATATTTAAATGGAAACTATCCTACTCTTAAGGATACTATCTTTTGACTTCCTTTAAAACTTAATCCAAAGGATATTATTCTGATGGTAGTCTTGATGCAAGAGACAGCATACCCAATCCTGCACTAGAATATTCAGGATGTCCCTGAAATAACAAAATCCTTTCATCCTTAGAAATCATGACCTCATTCTATTAAATATATATAGTAGAGTTACTTTGCAAGTATCACTAGAAGAAACTAATACTAGAAAATCAGGATGCTTTGTAATCTCATCACCATGAGCTTAATTTATCATTGTTCTCTCCTTCAATTGTATACCTTAGAATAATTTGAACTATTTCATCACATTGATCTTATGGTCTAATGGAGAGTTTCCGAAGACAAAAGAATTTTTCATCCTTTCTACAACCCCTCCTAATGCCACAGTAAGTATTTAGAAGCCAAAACAAATGCCAAGTATCTTAACTTTTGGATTGGTTTCGTAAGCTTTTTTTAATATCAATTTAACATCTTCTATCCATTGATAATGATCATAGACAGATATTCTATTACCAGGCATAATAATTGCATCAGCCCTTTTAATTATATCATCACTAGGATAATGTCCTTAAGCCACGTTATATTGATTCCAATTATCATATCGTCTTCGAAATATCCCATTATAAATAGAGACTGTATCTAAGACAAAGCCTGATCCATCATAAAATGAAGACTATTTGGTTTTGAAATTAAAATGAAGAATAATTCTACCATCCACTCGTAGATATTCATTATTTATTAAAGCCTTTTGTAAATCCTTATACTTTTCTTTTCCATCATCGAATTATAAGTTTTATTCTAGTTCTTGTACATTAACTTATCTATAATTTTATCAATCAATATATGTACTTAATTGCCAAACCCTATTGTGAATTGATGTAATCAATATCATTTTGTTATTGTAAAACTATAATGTAATAAAAGTTTTCTTCGTTGTCATCATTCCACAATGGACAATGATTGAAAAATTAAGTCCAAAGTGGGGCCTAAACATTTCTTTTGTGTCTAAGTAATTCCTAGGATTTGAATTGAATTTATACTTTCTCCTATTAAGAACTTTGACTCCATATCTATTTTTCTTTGTAATTGTAATTATCGAAATCGACCATGTCTATATATTCTTTCTTACAGAATGAAAATTTCTATAATTCAATATTTTTCAATGAATCCAAGATTATTTTGGGTCCAGCTATTGAGGCACTAAGGAAATCCTCTTTTGTAATTTCTGTCTTAGGAAGAGAGAATGGATGTTATGGGGTGTTTTGAAATAGTAACACCTATTGCTAATTGTTGAGTTGAGTCAGAAAAACTAAGGAAAGAGTTTTCATTCTTAATTCCAAAAATTAATAATAAAGTGTGTCAATTAAGTTGTAAGAAATTAAAAATGTTTGTTATTAACAGATAATATAAAATTGGTAACAAGTATTGAAAATGCCATAAATTAATTTAATTGAAATGCATAAGAAGATCGAAATAACATTGTGCTCGATTTCATATTTCTATAATGTCCAATAATAAAATAATTATCTTTTATTTGATTTTTCTCTTCCAGACAAGTAAGCTGAACTCATATTTTTAGTAACAAATAATACAAGGCAATAAAAGTTGATTAAAATAAACTGAAAGATGCAACTAAATTGGACCAGGCCCTTGATATTACGTAAATACATTTATCATATAATAGGCTTGAACAAAATAAACTGTTAGAGAAGAAAAGAAGAGCCTATAATTTTATTCTTCCATTTAAACAACCCAATTGCATCACTTCTCATTTGACTTAATTAGTGACGTAGTCGGATGGCTTATCATTAAATTTAGAGTCTGACAATTTTTTTGATATTCTACTAGAATACAAGAACTTAGATAAGCTGATTATTAATGATAGCATAGTGGAAAATTTGAAAATTTTTCATTATCTTTTATGTAAGGAATTAGTTAGGGAAATATATATTATATGTGAATCCTAAGAAAATCTAGTTTCTCGTATTCCTTTTTGTTATAAGAACTTTGAATTCAGTTTACCCAACGAGATAATTGAGAATTAACTTTACTTAGGTAATAGTAATCACGCCAACAATCTCAAGGCTTTGAATCTTTTAGGAATCACTCACGTTGTTAATTGTGCCAAAGAAATACCGAATTATTTCAATGATGTGTAATAAGAGAATAAGGATTCCATTAAATACTTCTAGGTTCCAGTTTTGGACTTAGAAGAAGAACCAATTTCTGATCATTTTGACGAGGCTTACATTTTTATGAATGAGGCCCTGAATTAGAAGGAAAATAAGGTAATATATCATTTTCTATAATTTTTAGGTGCTGGTTCATTGTGCTTAAGGAAAGAGCAGATCAGCAACAATTGTATTAATGTTCTTAATGAGAAATAAACAATGGACTTTTGATTAAGCTTATGAATATGCAAAGAAAAGAAGAGAAATTATTTCCATAAATGATGGCTTTTAATTTCAACTATTACAGATTTGAATTATCAAAAGGAATTATCTCAATATTGTTAACAGTTTGTATGAGATTATAATATTAATCAACCAATTAATTTACTGATTAAATTTTAGTATAGTAAAGCGACGGCATTAAATTTCTTTAATTCGTCCATCTGTTTGTTCCTTTTACTATTTTCTTAGTTTTTATGCGTTAACTAAATAGTTTAATAGCCAAAATACCAATATTTTATTTTTCTATTCTAGTTTTTAATTACTACAACCAACAAAATGTTGTATTCTTTCTTCTAAGTTTAATTCAAACTTCTATTATAATCTGATCTCAATCTATTAATCTAATGGTAGTTTGTATTTACTCATATTTTCAGCTTGACTTGATTTTTTACTTTTAATAATTCCAAGGTCATCAATAACAAAGGGATTAGTTTTATACTTACTATCATGATAAATGTCTTTAGGATGAATTTTCTTATTATTTAAATAATCAAAGCATTTGCTTTCAGTCCTAACTATAATTTATAATAAAATATTACATGAATGCTTAGGAGTATAAACCTAAAAATCGAATTCTTATTATGATAATATATCTTTAAGTAACCTCATTCCATTTATTTTGAGACATGATAATTCAGAGTTTTCCATAGAGATTGACATTTTTCTTGACCCTTCAGAACTCAAATGGACTCTAGGTGATTAAGAGAGGTCAATTAAATTTATTAAGATTTCCTGACATTGCTTAATGTCAATGGGTATCTGAAAGTTCATTTTACTCAACAAAGCATTATTAACAGTTTCAGCATAATTTCTAGAAAAATGTTTATTTAAATATATTTTCAGAGTATCACAGCTTAATTTTCTTAATGGAGAATCTTCAATTTCAAAATCGTAAGTAATGCTCCTCTCATGATAAAAGGAGGCCTATGTTAATTGGATATTGTAAATACTTTTTCTATATTTCCCATATAAAAGTAACAAATTCCCATTTTTTAATAAACCAAATTCTCAATCTCCAAATTATTGTTTAGCCAAGCATATTGTAAGCATTTCTTTAAGAATTTAACAGCAATTTCATAGGATTCATACGTAACAGCACAATTCGATAGGCCAATAAAAGCCTTCATTTTTTGAATATCATATTGCTATTTTGAGTGATTGCATAATAACCTAGTTTAATTGTACAAATGAATTGACAATTCAATTAAACCGCAGTTCTCTAAAGCCTGAGAACAGAACAACAAAACATCGACCACGACCAAACTAATTTAAGTTCCAATAGCCATTTCTATGAGATCTTATACCAAATCTATAGTTTATTGGTTCTACTTGAATTTAATGAGATCAATAAATTATTTCTCCTTACTCAATAAAAATCGAAGGAACTTTTGGAGCAAAGGATTCTTAATGCCTTTAATTTTGAGCATGAACACTTATTGTCTAATAGCAGGATCGTATTTCATTTTTCTTTTAACTTCTGTAGTTTATAAATTATCGGAAGTGACAATCAACTTCTGTGAACTCTTGGAAACGCTATAAATAAACGAATTTCATACATATTTATATTGCTTGGTACTTTGATAGGCTAATTATTGTAAAAATAATTTTACATCTTGACATCGGTTTCACTTTTGGGATCGATTCTGATTCTGAGATTGGTTACTTTACTCAAATTAGTTTCTGAAACTTAAGTCTTAATCACTTCATCTTCTCTGGTGGAAAAGTTGGTTTTGTATTATGTATGCATGGTGGTGCCAGTTTATATTCGTTCCATGGGAACAATGGAGATTCTGGAATGAGGAGTTTCGCTTTAAAATTTGAATTACACGGCACTCTTCAATCTCGTGATTGATTGAGGAGATTGACGAGATTTAAGAGCCGAATTAATTTACCTTTTCATCCTATTGTAATATAATAATCATTTCAATAAATCAAACAATTCAAGTACTTGATTGGCAGCTTTGGGTTTGTATCTGTCTTATTCAATTAAAGTCCTTAATGTTCTTATCTCGGCTTGAAGTGGTTTGTCGATTGTGATCAATTCTTTTCCAATTTTGGAATTCAAGAACTAGTCCAAAATCATAAATTGAGTTCTACAATACTACCCTGTGATTTCTTCATTCTGTTGATTGGACCCTCTCAAATGGCTTTGGATACTCACGATGATTTAACGCATTTGCTTTTACAAAATTGCCAACTATCTTTTTTAGTGATAGTTATCATACTTAAATATTGAATTTCTATTTTCTATCATTCGAATATTGTTTGGAGAATAATTATGTTATTTCAAATTCTATTTATTACTTCTATTTAGTTTCTGTTCCAATCTTGAAGTGTAAATTTCATCCATATTCTTTTTAGTAACTAACTTGCTCCCATTGTTTATTATGTCCTTATTCAAATGAATAAATGATGTCTCATCCTCTGGTATGCATTCTGTTAGATTAGATAAGATATCATAAAATGATTTTTTAAAATTAAGATCGCCATTCCTTACACTTTAGAATTTAGGAGTCCAACTATTTAATTACTTTAAATTTTCTGATACTTAGCCAGGTGCATTATCACTAATATTGCTCATCTAATCATCATCAAAGGAACTATTTTCATCACTCAAATTGAGTTTCTCAACTGCTTCTATTGGAGGAGAAACATTCGGAATCGAATCAGAGTCCTCATGAAAATAATCTTCCTAGTAGATGAGCTAATTTCTAATTTAAATCAATTATTATTTCTTTAATATTTTATACAAGAAAACGTTATTGATTTTGGGCAAGAAACAAAGCATCAACGTTTGATAAGTAATGGGAACAAGTTGAAAGTCAATTAAAAACTATTGAATCATCAAGCTTTTGTTTATAATCGATTTGTCCAATAAGGATAACTTTGTATGAGGATTAATGCTGCAAAAATTAAACAAGTTTTGATCACTCAATTATCTCTTCTAAGCTGTGTTCCACTCACTGCAGAATTGCAATGTAATCAAGTTGTTTTTTTCAATCAGAACCTCCAAACAAGTTTATCCTTTTAAATTATAGTGATTAACATCAAATGGCTATTGCAATATAACTTAATAAAACTATTTTACTCTTTTGTGATCACTAAAGGAACTGACGATATGCAATGGAGTATCCTTAAAAATATCATATTAAGCAGGGTTCGCTCCTAAATCTATTAAATCCTAGAGCAATCCCACTTGACATTGTTAGGCTACAATGTGCAAATTCGAGGATTGCAATCCGCCTCCCAAATTCACATTTATCTTGAATTTCAGTATCAGAGAAACCAAACGATAATACTTTTTTTCGATTGCCAAACTTAATGGAGTGTGTCCTTTAAGATCGATTTAATTAGCCAAGTCCAAGTGATGGTTTAAGAGATAATCTAAAATCCCAATTTCGTCATAGACGACTGCTAAATGCATGAGATTCTAAATGTAATTGTCCATAAAGATACTTATTTGTAATCATTCATGTAATTCAATGAAGTCTCAATCTCAAGTGAATGGTAATTCAGCTACTCCTTGATTTGGGTGAGGAGTTGCTCGTTTTGAGAATCTATTGAGAGGTAAGGTTTTTTGTACTTATGCTATCATTTAGGATGTCCCCTTAACTAACAATAACTGCATTGCTGATTGATTTATAGTTCATTATGTATAATTCAAATGTTAATTCATCAGACATTGCTTCCATCAACGTAAAAAACACCTTCAACTTCTAATTCTCTAAGAGGAAATCAAACTAAGTTTGACAAAATATACCCCATCCCAGACCCAGCACTTCCAAAGTGTCGCTTAAATCCAGAATTTCCTTAGTTAGGTTAGTAAAGTAATTTTATTAAATATACAGTTTCTTTAGACGCAATCTGCATATTGAGGGATCAATTGACTTCAATAGGTTCTTAGCAATATTAAGGATTGTGAGTTTAGGCACATCATTATATGAGACAGGTCCGAATTGCTGCAGTTAATTATCCTCCAAGGATAAATTCTATAATAATGGAGTCTTTTTAAAAATATTTGTATCAAATTCCTTGAGTTTGTTTTCGTTCAACATCAGATACAATAGACCGTTCCATATCATCCCGTCCTTTTATGATGAACCACAACTTACATTTAAAATTGTTAATCCTTATCTTGAATAGTCCAATAGTAATCGTTACTATTCATATTCTGAGTGGGATTATTTGTTTGCCTAGAAACTACGTTAAGTAACAAATTTGACTTGCAGGGGACTTCGTTAACGCTTGTTTCCACCTGATTGCATGGACAGGCATTATTCAAAAGTTTCATTCATTTTATATATTATAATGTAATAAATCACTTTTTCAATAAGCATTTTAGTGTTAATTTACTTAAGGGCATGTGCTAGAATTATTTTTTAATATTGGTCTCAGTGTAACACCTCTGACTCATTTATTTTTAATCTTTTTCATCCGATTATTCATGTATAGTAATTAATTGTGTATTATTATTGTTAGTGACTCCTAAAGAAGAGTATTTTAGATCAGTAACTTAGGTTTTAAAATCCGAATAAATCTCGTCTATAACTACACTAGTAATGACTTTCAGATTTTATTTGAGTATATTTAAATTAAGTACATAAGAATCAACTATTTTGTCCTTTTGCTATTTGCTTAGTACAGTCATAATATGCGATCGCTCAGTTTAAAAGATTGATTCAAAGAGAGACTTTATTTAGATCATGAATTTAGACTAAACCAACCTCATTAGAACAGATTAGATGTCATTAAATTTAATGATTTCTCTCTCTATTCGTTAAATAAAATCATTCATTTTAATTAAATATATCATCCTATAATCGAATGCTCATTGTTTAAATACTATTGAGGGTTAAAAGTGACTTCTTGATGAATTAAGATTTTTTCATCAAAGTTCATTTCAGGTTCACAAGGGTCTGTGTATAGAATTTCCTCAATAAAATGACACTCATCTTCATTTAAGCACATTTTCTTCTAAAGTTGGGTACCTAGGTCAGTCATATCCTCCTCTTAGGAAACAGTTCTGGTGACAATTTCATGGTTGCCTTCCTATTGTGCTTTTCTGCCTCCAACTTTGAAGTATTTTCTATTTTAATTGACTTCCATAGTTGTACTCTGTTAAATTAATTTATTATATAAAATTTATCATTCTTTAGCTATTTATGAAATGGGCTGTTTATTTTAACTCTTCGTTTCAATTTCAACCATTAAAATATCTCCTATCTTAAAACCATGATCTTTTAGATCTGAATCATCTTCCTTTCCAGACTTCACAGAATGGACTTATCCCAAATCCTTTTTCTTTTGAACTCCATGTTAATCCAGATAGACATTGCTCACTCTAAACATAATATCTCTTCGGTAAACTCCGTCCAATTGATATTTTAATTGATCCACAATGTCTCTCAATTTAGAACTCAAGCTAACAATTTCTATGTGGATAATTATTACAATAGATAAAGTAGTATTTCTTAAGTTTAATTTTTGTTGAAGTCTTCTAAAGTAATTTATCCATATTTCCAATGTGTTCTAACTAAGAAGGGTACTTAATGCTAAAATAACAATTAAACATACCTTGTCCTTATCATTCTGATTTCTATTATCTCTAAATCTCCCATATCTACCATGTATACCTTCTACTTTTATCTGATCTTTTTTATTCGATGCCATTAATAATTATTGTAATTAAATAAATTTATAAATTTATTCCCTTGAAATTAAACACCCCTATTTATTCCTCCTTAATAATCAAGTGTTTTTGTTAATGATAAGTAAATCTGTATAAATTTGCGATTGGTTGTTAATAAATAAAGATGATATGCCATATTAATTTGCATTATTAAGTTTGATAGATAAAATAAATTCTTATGACATAGATCCTTTAAAATAATAGTATTTGTTTTATGATTGCTTGTAAAAGGAAGGAATTAGAATTAATTAGGAACAAAATTGATTTAAAACATCTGAGAATTTATTATTATAGAAATTTTAATATAATTTATATGCCCCCGAAAAGTAGAAGGTCAGAGCTAAATCCAAATCTACTCAAGGTAAAAGTGATAATCTAATAGCCAAGGAAGAAGGGAATACTGCTTTCCTCAACAGGTAATACCCTAAAGCAATTAGTCTATATTCTAAAGCTTTATGTATACAGATTATATAAATAATTATTAGAGTTGGAAGAGAACCCTATTTCCTACAACAATCGTTCCCAAGCTTACTTATATACCGGCGAACTAGAATTGGCTTTGTAGGATTGTAATAAGGCATTGCAAATGAATCCTAACTATGTTAAAGCGACCACTAATAAGGCATAAGTGTTATATGAAATGGGCTATCTTCAAGTATACCTCCAAACTTATTCTTAGTAAGCAATTGAATGCTTGGAAAGTATAAATAATCACACTCCAGAAAGTGAATTATTACTCAACTAATATTATTAACAATCCCACAAAGTAAAACTGATATCACATCAAGACTTTATTAGATTAAGCAGAATAAGATCGTTAGAAGAGACTGTTAGAATGGTTGAAAATAGGAAAAGCCATATTCCCAAAAATCAAAATTGAATGTTACTCAGAGGATTATCGCGGTGTTAATGCAAAACAAACAATAAATGCCAAAGAGTTGATTCTTTTCATTCCAAAATCTCATATGATCACTTTGGAAATGGCCAAAGAAACCACTGTAGCTAAAAAAATGATGCAATTCAGACTAGATTTACTCTCACCAAAACATTCGTTTCTTTCCACCTTTTTGTTGCAAGAGAAATTCAGGCCCAATTCTTTCTGGAAGCCATACATAGACATCTTACCATCATCCTACCCCTCCTTTCCCATCTTCTTTAACAATAGTGATTTAGAATGGCTCAAAGGTTCTCCATTTTTAAGTACCTATTTATCCTATATAAACAGAGTAAATCAAAGATAAACTAGCTGATCTTTAAAAAGACTACAATGATATATGCAATGCTGTACCTGAATTCACCTAGTATTAATTCCATGAATTCTGCTGGGCGAGAATGACAGCCAGCAGCAGAATCTTTGGCATAAATATAAATGGAGTTAAAACAGATGCCTTTGTACCATTAGCAGATATGCTCAATCATAAAAGACCAAAATTAACATCCTGGTGTTATTCAGATGAAAAACAAGGGTTTATTATAGAAACTGATGAAAAAATTGAAAGAGGACAAATGATATTTGACAGTTATGGTAGGAAATGCAATTCAAGATTTTTTTTGAATTATGGCTTTGTTGTCGAAGGAAACGATGCAAATGAAGTTAATCTTACTGTTGAGGCAGATTAAAATGATCCACTCTTATAATTAAAGGAGTAAGCTATTAAAGAATCCTTATAATGGCCTAAAAACTTCAAATTGCTAATGGATACTGATGGTAATTTATTTGAAAATACAATATTCTAGAAACTGCAGTTATGGATTTCATGAGTCATATCAGAATTTTAGTGATTCGAGATGAGGCTCAACTTAAATTATTATTAAACTAAAGAAACTCCTAAAATTTCAAATCTACCAAAACACAACCATTAGGAATTTACAATGAATTAGAAATGTGGAAAATGGTTGGACGAATTTGCAAAAAGACTATAAAATAATATCCAACCACATTTGAAGTAAGCTTAATAATATCATGATTTAGCAAGACCAAGAAATCCTATCGATTTGTGAGTTGACTACAAATTAGAGGAACTGCTTGATTCTCAGAATGGGAGAAAAAGAAATATTGAAATTCTATTTTCAGTTCAGTGAAAAAATGAAAGAACTCCTAAGTAATTTTAATTAATAAGTATTCTATTCATCATTACAAAATAGGAAATCAATATTTTCATCTCAAAAGAAGAAAACTCCAAATACTTAAACTACATTAATAAAGTTATAATGCTTTAAAATTAGAATTATTAATGAATTTATTGATGTTAAATAAATTATTGAATATAATCTTAGAAATTCAATTCAAAAGTTAATTTTTTTTTCCAAAATAGATTCTAATCTACTCTTTTGTTATGATATATACACAGTAACATTCTTGATAGTCTCCTCATCTTTTATTAATTAGACATCTTGGTTTAAGGAAGTCAATTATTTTACTAAATTTTGGCAAATTTACCTTGAAATACAATAAATTATTACATATCTCTTTCCCAATTTAGAATTTACAACATCTAACAACTCTTTAATCTGTATTAAACGATATCATTATAATAAGGTAGCAAATCAAGAATCTATTTTTTCTCCAATTCTGCCGTTCTTTAATCATAGATCATAAGTAACTCAGTATATTTTGCTAGACCTTCCCAAATATAGTATTTTTATCCTATTTCTTTAGCCAAATATTCATATAATTTTAAAATCCTTTTTTTATTAATGTTTGACTAAACAAGGGTCTCTTAATTCAATTAATCAGTTTAATAGGCAAATGTTTAAGTAATCTTTTAGATTATTTGTTCGTCAATCAACTCTCTATGATCTAATTATACAAGTTTTTCAATGCAAGAATAAAATCTAACAAACTTTTTGTTCCTTAATGAAACAGCCATTAGATTACTCCATAGTCTCCAATCTGTACTAGCATATTTCACTCCTTATTCTAAAGCAGATTAAGCTTCACTAAACTTTTTCAAGGCCACCAAACAAGATGAAATATTTCCCCAAATTTCTCCATCATTTTCATTTATTCTGACTGCTTCACCTAATGATTTTATTGCATCTTCCAATTTATTTAATCTCATATAAGCACATCCCATTATGTACCATGACTTTTAATGATATGAATTAATCTTAACAGCTTTTCTATAAGATTTGATGGATTTTTCATAATTTTTTTCTCTAAAGAAGTAATATTCTCCTAAAGATCTTTAAGCCCTAGCAAATCGTTTTTTAGAGTCCTTCCATGCTTCTTTTAAAATCTTAGGATCCTATTTAATTTCTCCTGTGATGCATTTCATTTTAACTGTTCCTAAACCTTTTTCTGTGATTTACTCTATTTCTTTAAGTGCTCTTTATGTATCACCAGTGCCTACAATACATTCCACACATTCCTCCCACATTTCCAATCGAGAAAATATCTCATAGCCACTTGACATCATCCCAACTTTCATCCATTATTCAGCCAAAATTCCACTTAAATTATAGTAATCAGGATAGTTTGAGTAAAATAAATTCAATGCTCTTAAATCAGAATCTGGTTATATATCATTGAATTAATCTACAAGGGTCTGCATTTGAATCAAGGCTCTTTCCATTCTCTTTAGATGATTAAATTCATTTAAAGATCTTAACAACAAACCCTGTGAATAGACAATCCAACTATTAGATTTATCAAGCATCAAATTTAAGTAGGCTTAAACTTATTGTTAAAGTATCTCATCATTTGGCAAAGTCTTTTTATAATGATGGATCAATCCCAGTAAAACAATTTGTTCTTCCAACGATAATGAATCCTATTTGATTTCCCCGTCAACAACAGGTTTATCAAATAAAATAGATTCCTCTTCTAAATTTACTTATTATGGAGCATATTATTGAAGAACCTCTTGTACTTTTGGCAATTCCCTAACTATATTAAAATATAAATTTAGAATTACTTTCTTTTTCTACACTTTCCTAATCTATTATTTATGCAACTAATTGAGGGAGTTTCTCCTCTTGAAATTTTGTCTTTTTTCCTAATTTACCAGTTAATTCGAATCTCACTTTTAGTAATTGCTAGAATTTTATTATGTTATTACTTATGCTTTTAGCAAACATACTTCTGCTTCTTAATATCTGTAGTAATAATTATAAATATAAGAGAATTCAGTATATAATTTAGCTTGGTCTTTGTTATCTACAGGATAATTATCAAGGAACTCTTAAAATGAATTTAAAATTTAATCCTTTAATTCTTAAACAGGGTTGTCTAAAAATTAATTATGCATAAAATTAAGTCTAGCCCACCAAAGTTGATAAATTGGATTAGTAGTATGCAGCAATCCAAGAATTTATTTGCAAACTAAAAATACATGTTTAAGCTAGATCACTCTCTTAAATAGTTCACCACAACATTGCAGCTTATTTAGAATATCTATTGTATTATTTGTATATTCATACATTCTTAATTAGCTTACGAATGATAGATTTCATATTCTGAAACTCTACTAATCTAATTAATGAGTGGTAATAATTCGATTAATCCTAGATCTTCCAACTCCTCCTTACTTATTTGGTTGGTTTGACATTTTGGAATGACTTATTTAGTTAGTAGATTTTCGATATGCAACTTTCTATCAGCATTTTAATAGTGATAAGACGGTCCTGTAAAATTCTCCTTAATAAAAAGACCGTAGAGAGTGTAAAATATATCAAAAACAATTTGTTTGTGTTATGTTTAAAGCATATTCATGCAACACTATTTTATGATGTCCAGAGCATGATCATTTATGTTGTCTGCAAAAAATAGTATTACTTTGAGTCCTGTTCCTAAATGTCCTTTGTTGAACAATTACTATAAATTATATTCACACTTAATTTCCATTATAAAATTAATTAATGTCTAATTTTACAAATGCTAAACCACAAAGAAAATATAGAGAAAGATCATAACCTGTATATGCAAATCTTATGAATTAAATAGACAGCTAGATAATTTCTAGGTATTTTAGAAAAGCATGGTGATTATAAAAAGAGAGCTATCAATTATTAAAGAAAGAAAGAATAATTACAAAAATTGCAATTGAAGGCTGCTTTACGAAATAAAGATGAGTTCAATTTTAGAATGCTTAAAAGCAAAGTTAAAGATGGTGTAGTGTATGAAGATTAGAATGAGAGTAGTGGAGACGAATAAGAAATCCTTAAATAAATTAAAACTTAAAATTAAAATTTACTTAAAGCGTCTATTTAACAAAAGGAAAAAGTAAAAGCATTTATCTAGTCAATTAATAGTTAACTGAAAAACTCAAGTAAGACTTAGCAATGGTATAATTTGAGTAACCAACACACAAATTCTTTTTGAAAGAAGCAAGAAAAAAGAGTTTTGATTAAGTTGAAGACAAATTACAAGTGGAAGCATAATAATCTGCTCCAAATTCTGAATTAGCTTAAAAGATTAGTAAGTTAACTGAGACATTATATGAGAAGGAGAGAATGAAACGCTTTTATGTGGCTATTACAAAATCAAAAACTAAAGTAAATACAGCATTCATTGTTTTTAGGATAATGTTACAGCGAAGCCTCATTAAAGAAAAAGAATCAAGAAAGGCAAAGGAAAAGGATTGTTTGAAAGAAGTAGATGATAATTATATGATAATTTTGGTTATAAACTGATCAAATTCTTCTTATGTCAATTACATTTTCATCATATTTTGACCCTTAGAAAACTTCATCTTAAAAGTCTTTGTGAGATTCTTTTATCAAAGGATTGCATTTCATCCAGTTATCTACATCAGCAATTTTCCAAACTTAAGGTACACAATTTCTCATCCATTCCATATATGTTTCTAATTAAAATTTAGAAACCCTTCTATATGAATCCCGTCTTTGCTTCTTTTTTGGAGGCATTTCACATTCTGACTCAAATAAAACAAGATGATTATAAGAATAATTGTCATTTGATTCCAAAAGCTCTTATCCATTTGGCTTGATGAGTTTTAATCTCATTGGAGATTATATTCTTAACAAACATCGAACTAACACTTTTTTATAGTCATCATATAATTTATCTCCTTACTCTTTTGTCTTAAAATTGCTAGGATCTTATAAGCTCAATGGTGTAAATACAACGCAACCTAATTTATCTAAATCATTATAATAATGATATTAAGATTTAGGGAGATTTTCTGATCTGATTGTAGATAAACCTCTGACCATCACTTGATCAACAAAAAACCCTTGATAAGGAAATGGTTGTCCTGATGTCACTGAAAAATCTTCAAAGGCTACAACTCTTTCTCCTCTCATTTTTAATTTTTCCAAAGCTTCTAAGGTCTTTTCAGCAAATCCTTTTTCACAATATTCATTTAAATAAGTTTCATCAGCCACTTCCATTGACATCAAAAATCCTTAATACATCTTAATTAAATGTGTTTGAAGTGTTTTCTCCCTGATTTCATTCTCATTCAGAATTTGTTAAAAAAGAAAAGAATCCTTAGTTTCTGGAATTTGGTCTATCCCCTCAAAATTATAAGGAATATCTGCATCTGGAGAAGGAATAGCTAAAGATTTTTCTTTTGCTTCTTAAAGCATTTTCTAAACTTTTGAACATTATATATACTTCATACAATCCCATAGATATTTACCCAGTCTTTGTTCTGTAAATCTTTGGTGTATTCATAGATTTAGATGAAGCAGCTAATGGATCTTGGATAATCTCTTTCTGCAAGAATGTACGACTAAATCGAGGAATAAGCATCCTCATTGTATGAGGAGAAAATATTTTCATTATTAAATTTATATTCACAAATACTATTTAATCTATTTATAACTATTCATAAATAAAGTACTCTATTTTTGTTATGGTAAAACTTATTTTATTACTATCCTCAACTAAACATGTATTTATAGAATATCTATGTGATATTTTATTAATTTATCAAGTTTCCATATTATGAAATTAGTTTATTAAGGTAAAGTATCATTATTATACACCTATCATCATGTTTATTTGAAAATGAAAATAATTCAATAATTCTTGAATTCCTCAACTAAATAAGTAAAGTTATGCAAGCTTATAAAATAAGATAGCTATATTATTAATTTGCATCAGTAAATAATGAAATAGAAAATTTAGGAATTTCCATTATAAAACTAGATGAAGAGTTATTAGAGTTGATAAATATGATATGAATTAAAGTTGAAAAATTAGATAATATTCTAAGATATATGATTATTAATCAAAATCACCTCATATTTTTTTGTATTACTCAAAGAGTCTTATAATCTAAAATGATAAGTGAAATACATGTTACTTTAGTTTATTTTAAATGCCTGGCCATATCAATGGGAGTAATACTAGATTAATCCATAATATAGGGATCTGCACCATTCTATAGCAACCTAAATTGTCATAGTTATATATTATACCATTCTACAAAGTCCCAATTACCTTTTACAACTGCAACATGTAGGGGAGTGATTCCATCATAGTTTTATGAGTTGACATCATTCGCAGAATAGACAAAATGAGCTTACTTTATCATCATAATTCTATTTTTTCGGACTGCTTCAAATAAAAAATCAACCTTAATCTTATTTGAAGGAGCAGGAATTCTTAAACTTTAAATTCCTTTAGTAGTAGGAGTAGATGCTCCTGTGCTTAAGAGAAAGCTTTTCTTTTCTGTGTTTTTGCGGGTGTTTTCTTCAGTTTTTATACTACTAAAATTGATTTGATCTCTAGCTATTGTTTTACATCTTTCAAGTTATTTGTTTAAATAAAAATAAGAAACCTATTAATCTTATCCTAATTCAATCTAATGAATCATATTTTCACAATTGTCTTTGAATAAATAATAGATTTGTTTTCTTCTTTCCTCCAATTTTTACCTTAGTTTCTTTTCTCTAAATAATGACCTCAGTTTTCTTTAGATCATGATTGCTGCTCTTATTTCTCTTTACGTAGGTTAATAATTAGGACTTTTCCAATGTTCTAACTCAGGTTGATTGGGAGGTCCACCAGAATAAAATTTTAAGAAGTTTTTTCTTTATCTCAAAGCAGGATGACTCTTTAAGCCTAATTTAAATTTCTCTTATTCTGATTTGTTGTATTAAGCATAGATTGGATTGATATAAGCTAATTCATTATCTTCACATTCAAGTTTTTTATCAATTAATAACTTTGTGGAAGGATGGAAAACATGTCTTTTGATATTTTAAGTGAATTATATTCCAATAGTACTTTTAGGTCTAGCCATTTATTTTAAGTATTCCTATCTTTTATTTTTTTCATTTTTCAATCTTGGACTTTAAGGTTGAATTTATTTTGAACTTGCTATTTATTATTTAGATGGATAATTTTAAAATAAATTGTCCTCATCATTCATGTCAATATATTATCTCTTCCTCTCTTTTTCAAAAACATAGTCATACAATTTCGTAATGAATTGTCTCTCAGTAATCCTACCCATTAAATAATCCTTCAATTGAGTAGCTCCTGGAATTTCACTAGGAATCTTTTCTTCAAACTTTCCAGTCCTTTCCATATGCTTAACTACCGTTTTGCATACTTTTATATACTTTCTATTTAACTCCATATTATATTCATCAATAGATTGTTTTTACAATTTTTTCTCTCTTTATGCTAATTTCTATTTCGTTTTTTCTATTTTCATTCTAATGTATTGCAATCTAGCATTAATTGTAGCAGATTTCATTTCTCCATAGTCTTTTAAAATCTATTCAGCCAATGACAATTCCATATTGAATAACAAATCTGGATTTACTTAATTGGCAGCTCTCTAAAAGAAATCTTTATCCAAACAAGCATTGAGCAATTCGCTAGTGTTGGCCAAAAATTGTAACTCTTAGGCTGTCAGAAATTCTCCATCTGTATATTTGTTAAGAATGTGTTCTCTTTACTATTTTTTTTTCTCATTTAATGTCATCTATTGCAGAATAGGCAAGAATCCTAAATCATTCCAATTAGAACATGCTATTTCATTTCTAAAAATATTGAGAACTATAGAAATACGTAAATAATTGTTTAGTTTAACTTCTTTACTTAGTAAACACTTTCTCCTGTTAATTATTCCAAACCACTTGATATTATGATTATTTTTATCCTTCATCATTGAAATTGTCAAATTGCTATGTCATCTGTCTATTCGACCTCTCTTTTATGTGTTTCAATCTATCTTATCCCAACGACTTTAAAAAATGAAATTCATTAGAATGACCATACTTTTCCATATTCTCAAATATATGACGGGTTGTAATCACTTACACATTTTTTAGCATTAAATGCTTATTTTGAGTTTTGGCAGCCAATTGCTGATTCTCATAATCGTTTAATTTGTCTACTACAATTTATCTTAATTTATTTTTTAATTGCTCATATTTAGTTTTCAATTATAACCATTTAAAGTGCTTTTTTGTTTAATTATTTATCTTCTCCTTTTTCATCTATTGGTCAGTCTCTTTATACTTTTGTTCTTTTAGAATAATCTTATCAGACCAGTTTTTTAACAATGTATCAATGGTACTATTCATTTAAAGCTTAATGTATTCACTTGCTTATTAGGTAAAAATTACTGTCTTTCTGAAGATGTCTTTAGCTAATTTAATTGGGTAGGATTGATATCAAACGCCTTCAGGATGCTAATTAAATTATGTGAATGAAAACCTTTGACTCAGCCTGTTTAAGGGTTATCCCTAGCTTTAGAATACATTAGTCATTTGTAATCCTTAGACTGCTGTCTAAATAAGGATTGTTCCAAAGGCTGTAGTTGTATTACTGAATTCTGGATCACCTTGTTACTCTTCAAATTATTTAAACTTCTCATCAATCTCTTTAAAGTTATCATACTCATATTTAGGCACTGGCGCTTTTATTTTGTTTAATCTCTCCCAGGTTTTTATCGATTTATATTTTTGCATAAATCAATTAATAATTAATATTTTTCCATTTTAATATTCAATTCAGATAGCCTTGAATTAATATCTATAAAATTACTGAATATTATCACGCCTCCCACTCTTCTTCCAATTAGAATCTCTTGAATTTTATAAAATCATAATTCAATCCAATTCAAAATGAATTATTAACCCTTAGGATATTTCAATAATACTAACTATATATATGTTATTGCATTATTGTTTTATTTTATATAAGATACTTTCAAAAAAGGAGTAATCCTTTTTAATACTAAAATATTTTTTACTTATTATTCGTTTTTCATTTTAATTCATTTAATTTAAATAATTACTAAAAATACCATTTAATATTATTTATTTTCGAAACCGCTAAAAACACTTTTAAAATTCTTTATGAGTAGTACAATTCAATAATTAATAATTAACTATTTGATTTTTTACTTTTATTTATATTGGAAATAAATAAGACATAATATTCTTGATAAAAGATTTAAAATGAATGAAAAAAGAAAATATCATGAATAACAGAGGAGATTTAGAAACGTAAGAGCATCCATAGATTGGGGTTGTGAAAAAATTTTATATTATACTTATTAAATCTACTTCTCATTCTTAGATAGATTACATTGTTTTTTCTTAGCAGTTTTTAGAATCATCTGTTCTCAATTGATAGCATAACACATAAGCTGATTTTGAAACAATAGATGACTCAGGTATTTCGCCAACCATTGAATCATCAAAATTGTACCATTTATTGGTGAACTAATATATTTGATATTAATTTTACTTTGTTCTTTGCCAATGCAGTGTAATGGCCACCTCCTAATCCTCCAAAATGATTAGACACAGCATATAAATCATAAATAACTTTTTGCTTATTATTTTCTCCATTATTGGTTTCATTTTCATTTTCATAATCACAAGGAGTTTTTGAGTTAATAATAAAATCTGTCATATCAAGATTGTTGATGGGAAAATCAACTAAGGTTTCTAGTTTTTGTTTAAATAATCTATTTGAAGCTTTAAACCTCTTCAATGTGAAGATTAATATTTGAGGAGCCTAAAACATTTACAAAACATTATACTTTATATATTTGCATGCTTTTATATGCTTAAACATGTTCTTTGCACACTTTACAATACCATGTGTTCTCTGCATTAAGTTATTCAGGCATCTGTGAGTATTATAAGCAATCTTAAAGAGTAACACTGCCTTATGAAGTATTGGAGTTTATTGTAGATGACATTGAGCTTTTTTAGTTTATGTCTTATACTTAAAGGATATAATCTAATAAATACTTTCGATTTTATTTGTTTTGAAAAAATGATCAAAAATATCTGGTAATTTAGCTGATTTAAATGGACTTTATTTCCAAATGATGACAATTTCAAAATTACATTGTTAATCTACTTTTAAGGCTCTATTTTTGACTTCTTCAACTGTTTCATCATCATATTTGACTTCACAATCATTGCAATTCTTTGAATTACAAAAGGCACATGGATTCCAATAGTTTTAATTAGTTTTGTAAACTAAAGAATAATACTAATAGATATAATCGAATAAATACTGAATTCAAGACTTATTTCTCATAATCTACTTTTTCATGTTCTGAAAAAAATTATTTGAAATGAGTAAAGATTTATTGATGCACCTATTTCAATGTCATTAATCCATCAACTATAATTGCACCAGACTAAAAATAGGACTTTTTATATTATTGCTCAAAGTATTTGTTAGAGAATTAAATAGGGAATTTTTTATTCATTTTAAGTTCTAGATCAGTAATTTATCTAAAACAAAGCTATGACCTTTTTGCACTCTTTCTAATCTCAACAATGCTTTTATTTTCATCCAAAAATTCAAAGGAGGTGTACATGTTTGCGATGTAACCAAACAATTATTAATGATCGACTTTAAGTTCTTCACCCAGAATTTTCAAATAATCTTTTAAAGCAATGCTTTTGGTTTTATCAAATGGGATTGAGATATACTAATATTAAAATAAGTCCTTGTAAAATTTGAATTGAATAGATCTTTTCTTCTAACTTGGAATACCCAATTAAACCATTAAGTAGGGATCAAATGTAATTGAAAATTGTTGACAAGTTGGACACTTCAAAGTTGATTTGTATTGACCATGCATGAGATCGACAATTATGGATTGGTTTCTAGCAAGATGATTTAACCAACTCTCCTTAGCAACAACAAAATCAGATCGACCATCATAATCCTTAGTTTCAACGTATGGCTTCTTTTTGACTCTATTCAAATCCTCATGAATTCCATCCAAAACAAATGTTATTAACTCAGATGAATCATGTTGATGGAAGCCCTTAAACATTGGTTAAAATTGACCAACAGCCTTTTTGTAATTGGTGGGAGTTATGGTTTGTCTATCTCCGCACCACATTTTTTTAATGAGGGATCCAACCTTCTTCACCAATTGTCCTTGTGTGCCTAAAGGATTTTCCATATTGATCTCATCAAAATATAAATTCTTCAAGAAATATTCCACCAAAGGATAAGAATTGGAAATACATTGGGTTCCACTATTCATAAAGCATGTGTTTCCTAAATTGCTTAAACCCACGATGCCCTTAACTGATGTTTATGTAAGAGTAAGCGATTTAACTGATTCATCGTCTGAACCATGCTTTTCACATCTAGCACTATGATAATTATAATCTTTCTATCTACATTCCTCCTTGCAATAAGAGACCTTTCTGCAAATGCATGGGAAGGATAGAACTTTGAAGACATGACAATTTTCACATTTTCCTTCTATCTAGACTGCTTAATTTCTAATGCACCATGGTTTATAATCATCTTTGAACTAAATGTGTAAATCGCATAATTACTTCGAATACAATGACATTTGTGTCAATAATACCGACGTCTTCAATAGAATCATACTATTGATGTGTAAGTAACTCTCCATTGAAATCAAAGCACATATCATCTTGACTTTCTAATTAGCTTACTTATTTGTTAATTTCATTAAACAAAGCTTTATATTGATCTTTCTAGTCTGTGACGTATCTCCAAATTCTGACATTGTTATCTTTAGCGAAATTCCCTGAGAAAGTATGCACCGTTCTTTATATCAAATTTTAATAATCTTTGAATTTCATATTTCTATCAACTTGCAATACCTCACTCTCAAATGTTTGTCTCTGCATACTGTCATAAGATATTTATTTGATTATTGAGGGATAAAGCAAGACGCATTTAAACTAAAGATTAATACATTATAAATACTCTTAACAAATTTACAGCCACCTATTTATCCTTTCCACTACCATTTGAATTTCTGATTATTGCAGTGCCTGAATAATATGATATAAAAAATTCCCAAATTTCTTTATCAATAACTACATAGTCCACATTTTCTTATAAATCTTGTTTCATGTATGTATTCCATGGGTGATTGCTGATTGGGTAGTACTTAAAACATTTCTACACAATATCCTCCAAATCATCGTTAATTCTTTCGAGTGTGATTCTTCCAAAGTATTTACAGGGTGCTTTGTTAGCCACGATCTCATCATACGAAACGTGTTGCTTCCATTGATTAAGCCATCTTATATTTTCCATTTAAAATACTTTGTGCTTAAAACATAAAATTAAGTGTTGGCGTCCGATGCAAATCTCTTAGAAAAAGTATCTTGAAGCCTCTTGTACTCTAGCGCTTGCTTTTTCAACTTATCAGCTGTATATTGGGACACCTGAATGTCATTGAATTTGTCCTCTTGCATAAATTTTTTAATAAAATTAGAATTTAATATAGTTGATATTTAAACAATTATAAATCAAGGTTTTCTTACTCTTTCTATAAGATTTTAATTATTCAATTGATCAACCCCAATATAAAAATGTTATATCAAATAAATTAAAATTTATGTGATAATAAATTTAATATGAATTATAATTATTATCGAACTCAACACGATAATTTAAGAGTGATACATTAGAATTCACTATCTGTTGGGAAATTGAAAAAGGGAATAGTATTTCAGAATTATCCTTTCAATCCAGTTTAAGGTTATAACTCCACATTTTAAGTACGTCCACAAACATCTTAAACCTAACCTGTCAAGAAACCCTCCACTGCTTAAGTGATAATAAATAAATAACCAAATAGTCGATTCGCCATGTTCCGAGAGCCGCAACATCTCAGAGTCAGCGGTAACCTAATATGCTCTTTTCAGAGTAACCTAATAATATGGAGATGGAGACAAAGCCAAGTAAGAGATTTATGAAGATATACTTTATGAAAAGTAATCTCGCCTGCCTAATTTAGCCAACTATCGAACAATTCTACACAATAACATGAATAATAAAGTTAAGGCACTCCCCCCTGGAGACAGGAGGAGACTATCCGTACTTAACATAGTGTAAGACAAGTTTAAAGAACTTACTATCTAAGAGGTTAATCTGTTGATCTGTCAACACGAACTCTCCGAAAAGTTCTACATCTATTTTTCAGGTACAACTCACAATGTAACTTTAGATTCTGAATGGATTCCATGCAGCAAATGTTGTCAATCCCCAATATTCTTGGTTTTAAGTCCGCAAGCACAAAAAACAGACATATTTTGTTGTCAATGTTCTCGAAATCTATAAAATCCCCCTTAATCAGCCTTTCAGAGCACTACTCTTATTCCTAAACAATCATTTTCACAATATGGACATTCATTGTAGGAGCAGAGGGAAAGACAAAAGGTGAGCAGGATGATAATATCAGGAAAATATCGAAAGGTTAACTTGAAGGAAATATATAACGAAGTCTAAGAACCTTAGTAGAAGGAGGAATCTTTCAATATTGAATTCCCTGTCAAAGAGAAACAATAAGAGAGCACTATTTTAGAGTTGAAAGACTTAATTAATGAATTATTCTGATTTAATTATACAAGCATCATTGCAATCTATATATTGTACCATTTACCAGGTCATCGAAATTATAATTTTCATCCTCATTTTATTTTGCCTCCTTCTAAAGGAATCTATATTTAATTTCATCCAGTGCACCAAAGAATTTTGCTTATAATCTAATTTAGTTAGTTTTAATACTTATTTTATTTAATATAAATCTTTGAGGCATTCTGAGATTGAAATATTCTCTCCAATAAGTAAACAATCTAAAATTACATTAATTTAAGTACTCTTTAAATATAGTTTGGGATGGTTTAATAGATGATTATGGCTATGATGCTTATCGTTTCCACAAACTAAGACTTGTCAAGGTATACTAAATCAGAATACTCTTGTCCTTCTTAATTAAGTGAGGCAACTGAATAAAATACCTAAGTTAGTTGAGTTTGTGAAATTAAAATATTTGAGAGTTCAAAATCTTAACAAAATTTTAAAAATTCTGGGAGACTTAAGATTTAATTTTATTATTATTTAGAATATTCTTGAAAATACCAATTAAAAACAGGTTAGATTATTTCATATAATTATATCTAATTTAATAGTTTAATAATAATACAATCTGTTCATCTTATAGGAGTTCAACCAAAATTTATAATATTTATTCTTTATTGTCATCAGAGATCTATTTCTCTAGTGGTAATAAATGCTATTAAATGAGATCACTCACTTCCATGCCGCACTTATCCGCTATCAACCCTATGCTTTATTAAAACTAAGAAAAAGTCATCTTCCCATTCGTTAATTAATTGTTTTTTTACGATGCTTTTATAGATTGAGCCCCACAGAGCTTTGAATAAATCATATCAGCTTCAGTTTATGGTATAATATTATTCATTATCCCGGTTTGCAATAACAATTTGTTAAATTTACTTTTTTGTAGGGATTATATATTAGTTGGTTCTCCACTCTAAGCATAAAATTCAAACAGTCTTTTTAGAGATGCAAGTGTTTATTAATCAATTTCCAACATAACCTTAGATTACTTCATTAATGATATATTTGCTCTGCTTTCATTAGACTTCGAATTAGTGCTTCCAATATAGGTATTTTAATTGTTTGCATGAGTTATATAATTATTTTAACTACTGTTCATGATTTAACTTTATTAATTATAATTATCCCATTTACATAATCTACTTTTCTCAATATTGTGAAACAATCTTACTTTATCACTTTGAGTTCTATTCAATTTTAGCAGATACTAACTAAAGGCCTATGAATTTTCAATCTTATCTAAGAGTAATCTAAATTAAGTGAACTCGTCTAGATTTGGTATGGCTCTAGAGATAATTATTAAACTTTCAACAAAGTTATTCAGAGTGAATATGTAGTTTCCAGTTTCCTATAAGTTGAATAGAGGTTACCGAATCTAAATATTATCAAATATCATCTAAGCTTAAGATTAATTTATGTAATTTGGCAATAATTCACATAAGGTCAAGAACTGCATGAACTACCATTATACTTTACTTAAATTCGAACTTTGATCCTCAAAGATAAATTTATGAAGATTTGTTAATTGCTATAATATTGGCATTACAAATTCCTTCACTTCATGATTGATGGGTTACAATACAAATTGTATCTGTTGTCCGAATTCAGTAAAATTCAATATTTTTTGTGACAGGATAGACAAATACTCTTTGTACAAATTTAAAAAAGCTTAACGTACATTCTGTTATGGATATATCATCATAGCCAACTTAGGAATTAGATTTTAAAACTATTCGAGTGTGAGACTTTCATTATTCTTTGTGTGAGAGGCATACAAGATCTCACAATCCCTATTGGATAACAATTGAGGTGATATCTGAGCATCAGAGAGCATTTTAATAAATTTATTAGACTTAAGAAATCGAGTGTTGTTGCGATTACCAAAACTAGTGTAAAATTTGAATACTATTCGAATATTCAGTTTTATATCTTCTATTACAATGGCTTTTTTATCAGGCGACTGAGTTTTACTTTAAGATATGATCGATTAACGTGTGTTGGCTTGTGTTTCATTTAATTATTCTGCAATCACAGGCATTCCGAGATTCATTTTAATTTTGGAACATTATATCATCTGTTGATTGTCCCTTTGTAAATATTGATTGAAAGAATCCAATTCATTTTCATCTATGTTTTACGTTTTCCTTTGTCTATCCTGTATCATTTTGGTTATCATAATCGTTAATAAAAATAAATAATTAGTATTTGTCATATGGAATCCTATTATTTGCTTCTATCATCTTTCCTATTTTTGTACATCTTTCCAAATTGAATTATTTCATTTTCGAACGAGTCCACTTAATTATCCTCTTACGGCCCCAATTAAGGTGTTTCGTAATAATCAACTATTTACTACCCATCAGTCAACCTATTCAAAACATGTCGAAAAGGCTTTATGTATGCTTTATCCTATTTGTTTATCTTGTACACTTACAGCAATAGTGATGTTGATTAATTATAGGTTCTTTAATTGACTGTGCTTTTCTTCAATAAATTATTTAATAGTCAAAAGCATAACAAGAGCAGTGTAACATTTTGAATTTATTTAAGCTTCAGATGATATCACCGGGAAGCTTACAGAACTTAATCCCAAATCATTACACTACATAGATAAAGCTAAATACTAAAAGAAGGGTTTTCTTTATGGAATGCTATATATACTATTTTTCGTTCTAGCCTGTATATTCCTAAATGCTGCTCTCTATAGAATCATCTCCATTGTATTAAAATGATCTCATCTATCTTCGTATTTATTGATCATAATCGATTTCATAGAACGGAGGCAAGAGTGCAAAGAAAATAAAATCAAAATCTAATTCTTCTGCATGTGTATATATGACATCTCCAAAATCTATAGTCTATTTCTTCCTCTAACAACTGAGTAGATTTTCATACATTTGTTTCCCACCCATTTTAAGGATTTGCCGTGAGAGATGGCTGGTGACATTAAATTGAGGATCAGCCATAGCTACAACAGCATCTACATTTTCATCAATCAATTTCCCTTAGGTTAACTTGATTGTGATATTATGGATGATTTTCTCCATAATCAATTGAGTAGAATGATTTTCTTATTGTACTTAAGTATTTTATTCATAAACACAGCAATACTATCCCATAAATTAAATATTAATGTATGATTAAATCACTTTTTGATTTGTTTCACTATTTTCACTTCTTCTACCAAGAAGGCTCTGATGATGCGATTTTTTAAGGCTCCAGCACTCAATACTCCTCCATATGGTCTTGATACTGTTCTTTGTCTTCTGGCAAGTTACTTAAGTTTTGTGGGTCTAATGCGTTTGAGTCCATTTAAGACAACATTCAAATTAGAATCTGCACAAGTTGAAGCACTAGTCTTTTTATTTGGGTATTAAACAACAACATTGCCACCTAACATGGAGTATTTTAATACCTGGTGTCTTGACCTTTCTAATCTTATTAGATCTTGTATTATAGCTGGTTCTTCTGCGATATGTAATTCTTACGCCCATTTCTTAAAATCTTAATTAAAAATTTTTTTAATATTTTTATCAAAACAAAATATAGAAGAGCAAGAACTCTAAAACACTATTAAATTTTCAAAAGACTTAAATACCATAACCCACTTAAATAAATGTAAAATTATTTATTTTCCATAAATTCTTGATAGTAAATTGTACAATCTCAGTGTGTTTTGCAAAAAGAGTAGGATTAAAGATTAGTTATAATTTATATTTCATTTTTAAATGAGCCTTTATTGCTTAATTTGAATAATATTTTATTTAATTATTAACTATTAAGTAAAGTAAGATTATCCAATAAAATGGTTTAATAGTTCCAAATTAAATATTCTAATATAAGTAGATTCGATCATGCAAAAATGAAGAATTACATTTGTATGAAATTAGATACAAATCATCAGAAGATATTTAATCATGAAAGTATAACTGTTTTTTTAAAAGAAATTATAAGAATTATAAGTTGAATTGAAGATATTTGGCTTGTATAAAAATATTTTTAACTACAAAAAGTGATTAAATATTCTAATTTAATTGATTTTATAATTAAATAATTAGAAAAATGCAATTTAGCTTCGATATTGACATTTAGGGATATAAGAATTAAATAAATCTAAAGTAATTAGACTAATTAAAAAAATAAAGCATTATAAAAAATAGTAAACAATCATTCTACAAAAGTGATTAAAAAACAATAACCAAATTTCACCTAATAGATATGATATATTCTTATTATTAAATTAGATATAATAGAATTGTAATTATCACAAATTTCATCAAATTTTATCTAGAATATTTTTTTAACTTGAATTCAATATGGCTTTCAATAAATTTCCAACATTTTGATACCTCTTTTTGCACAATTCTAATCTCTTTCCTAAGTCATTATATGCTTTATCATCTAATCCATTAAATATTATAGTGCCATTTGGATGAGCCTAACTAAATGAGATCCATTAAATCAAAGTTTTTAGTTGCTTGTCTCCTCCATAAATACCACAACCCCATTTACCAGTCGAAATAATCTACTATTAACTACCTTGGAATCCACTGAAAGATTTATTCAGCTCTCTAAATATAGCCTCCTAAGTGAATTAATAACCTTAAGGTTTGGTAGCGAAATATATTGCATCAATTGCAATTAAAGTTTGCCCTTTGTTTTGATATTTTGTAGGGATGCAAGCAAAACTATCTTCATAGCCTCTATATTCATTAAACTGAAGTATTCCTGAAATGATCAAACTTTCTTTATCTCCTAATTATGAAGTGAATAATGAGGCAATTATGGCTTCCGGATTTATCAACAATAAAACCTCTTCTTAAGCACATCCTCTTCCAGCTGCCACCTTACCTCCAAAATAACGATCGCTAAAGTCAACGATTCCACAATTCAAATGATCTTCATTCTTTTTTTTTTCAAATTTGAAATCTGAAAGTGGGAGTTGACTATTTATCCAATTTGGAACATCGACCAATGAACTTCTTTGGTAAATTATGTCTGGTAAGTTGAAATACTCTGGGAAGTCAACACATTAATTAAAGTAATTTATGAGACATTTCAGCTTTTCTAATTGACTTCCTTATAAATAATAGGTAGAAAAACTGAAATACTAAGGAAATTTGAAGTTCTACACAGATTGTTGTATGGTTAATTCAAAATACATAAGACATAGGAGTGAAAATACAGTTTTTCTGGGTAAGGCAAGTGATTGATTTTGCAATAACAGTTGTATTTATGGTTTTTATTGAAGTAATTATTGAACTGATTCTATCATAAAGGGTAATGTTTTGTTTTTGAATTTTTCATTGCATTTCATTATTTCTATGCATTTTTCAACCTAGGGATTGACCTTGTTTGATATGTTTATTTTCTCCTATAATTTAAACTGCTTATATTAATAATAATAATTTTAGTTTTGATTTGTGAATTGTTGCATTTATTTTTGTTTATTTTAATATTAATTTAAATCTAAAATGATAAGGTTGAGGAATATTATTGGATCTGCTCTTCATATTCAGACATCCTTATTTAGGTTTTCAACCCAAGCTCCCCAACCGCCTAATGATTAATCCAATAAAAAGGTGTTATTCTCTGGCAAGAGTGCTGATAAACCAAAAAAATAACATTAAAAATCAGAATAGAGACACTAATAATAACAAAAAAAGGAGGGAAATGAAAATTAGTAGCATGAATAGAGTTCTCCACAGAAGAAATAGGAAAGACATTTCGATAGATAATAATTCCATAAATAAAAAGTTGATGAGCCTCGATCTTTTAGAGGGGATAGAGATCGCAGATCACCAGATCAATAATAATAATAAGAAACTCCTAAAAAAACAGGAATATTATTTGGGAATAAAAGCAAAGATATAAAATAAATAGGAGCTAAATTTTTAACCAAAAGAGTTTTCAATTAAATTCTGAAGAAAAAGCAAGAGACAGAAAAACAGAGTGAAAAAATATTTATAGATAAACTGAATGAAGCATAAAATATACAAAACATTCATGAAAGAAATTCAAAATTAATTGATCTTTATGCAAGTCAAAGTAAATGGGATAAAGTTAAGGATATATTTAAATCAGAAAAGTAATTTAATTCTGGTGTCTATTCTGCTTACATAAATTAGGCAGCTTCTCAATTTGTTGACCTTGCAGACTACGAAGAACTCAAAGCACTTATAGACAAAGTTGGCGATAGAGTTCACACTCTCCAACCAGAAGCATTTCAATCTCTTTACTATATGATTTTCAACCTTGATTTATTTCCAAATGAAAAAGTATACAATCTTAATAATACTCACTTTAGGCTATCGAATTGGAGCATCTTATCAATTTAGTGACAACTCATCACTTAACTCCCTAATTTGATTTAACATACTTCTAAACTCTTTTTGAAGAACAGTCAATAGAGAATGAAAAAACAAGCCATCTGAAGGTCATTAAAGTTTTCAATCAATATTTTGAAAGACATGTTTAATAGAACAAAGGTAAATCAACAGTGGATTTACCAAATCTTAACACTGCATTTGCAGTGGCAGTCAGATCAACAATACTTTACAATACAAGTGATGCTTAGAATTTCCTCAACAACCTAAAAGCTTCTCAATAACTGGCTGAAAATAATGTCAAGTTAGATGATTTAGTTAGATATGCACAATAGTAAGTTATATTTTAATGTTAGTATTTCCTTAAAAGAGAATTCCTTCACCTAATTATTGGAGTTATTCAAAGGAATCAGAAATTCTAATTTTATATTCTTATTTGAAGAAGCATTAAAGAAATTAGACACAAATGGTAAGGAAGTCCTGGCCATTAGTAAGGAATAATTGGAAAAGCTCTATTTTGAAAAAGCAGAGAACTTACCTGTTAGACAAGCTGAACTTTTTGGTTTATTTGCAGATCGATTCCAATATCCTGAATTGGCAGTTGAGATCTTTTAGAACCATAAATAAAATAAGTAAAACGAATATTCAAGTTTCTTATATCAAAAAGCTATTGGAGTTTTAATAGATTAATCAGGAGCAAAACATATAAGCAATGCAGTGGTAAAATATTGATTAAAAAACTTAAGATGACACTCATGCAAGAGGCCAATAGTTTCAAGGTTCCTTTATCCAAAGTTAATTATTAAATCAATCAGTGCAAAGCTCATATTAAGGAAGGGCAATACTAGTTGGCATACAATCTCTTTACATAAAATGTCATAGATGATATAATTTTGGCATTTTAAAAGTATTTATATATTATAAACAATTTTAGAGAGAGAATCAGAAGATTTTTGTATAAATATGTTCAAAAAATTCACATTGGTACAAAATTCAGATTAAAGTCTAATATGAAAACATATTTCAAGAAAATTAAGCATGTGGATGACTTTGTTCAAAGTCTATCAGATAAATAATTGTTTGATTTATATAAGGAGGAGAGATCAGATAATTTCTTATTGGAATGTTTAATTCAGTAAGAGGATGTGTTCGAATTTAATAAGTCGATTGCATATAGAGAGGCATTTAATTAGATTAAGACAGAGGTAGCACATGGCTTATTTGACTCTTAAAAATTGTAATTCCTATTCGTAAGTTGATTAGATTGAAACCAGTCACAGAGAGTGAACAAATTCTGAGAGAAGTGTTTGACAATTATGAATATTATGTTAAACTAGAAAAGAAATTGTTGTTTGATGAGAGAAAGAAGAAGAGAGTTTAGCAAGTGATGGATTAACTCAGATAAAGACCTGGTTAGAGAAGAACATATGAGTAGACCCTTGCTGAAATGGAGGGACTTTTTAAGAAAAGTACTATTGAATATGGTCTGATGAGAAATGATTTGATTGAATTTCCAGAAGTAGAATAGATCTAGTAAATGTAAATAAGTAAGAATTCTAATTGATTTATGTAGAAATGAAGAAACAATTAACATAATTAGGTTTGCCTATTGAAAAATACAAGGCAAACATAGTAACATTCTAACCTTTGTAAGTTAATTCATAGAAAGAATAAGAAGTTATTGAATAAATTCCAAATGAAGTTCTCAAGAACGATGGCGAAAATACAAAGTAAAGAGGAAAATCCTAAAAAAATGCTACATTCAAAAATGTTGACAAAATAATTGATGATCATTTGGCCAAAGCCAGAGATGATTAAAAGAATTTAAGAAATATTGATAAATGGAGAAGATATCTTAAAACTATGTAAAAAGGTGCATAATTTAAACACAAAATGCAAACTGATAAGAATTTCTTAAAAAAAATGATTCGTTCAACATATTAACACGGGATTACAGAATATTCTATGAGAGAGTTGGTAAACCTTAAATTAAAAAAAAAAATGCTGAGGCCTAGAAGAAGATAATAGATTAGAAATAGATTAAGAGAGAAACCCGCTAAATTATCAGTATTTATCAATGGAAGGGTTTCATAAAGTGACTTCTAATTTATGAAGTACATTTATTACAATGTTTATACCTAATATGATGAATACATCAATGTGCCTCCGAGCAATTATCAAAATGAGATTTGGGATTTACTGGCCTGGGGTGTATAACACTAAGAACCGATGGGTATTGAATTAAATTAACCACTTTAGCTGTGAAATTAGGAGAATTGTATAGTAATACTTGTGGTGCTAAAATGCCTGAATATCTAGCAAAGTTGGTGGCCAACTTTTATAAATGTGAAGTTGCAGAAACTAGTAATCAATACGTTTACAGTATATCTAGATTCCGAAATTCGATAGAGGTGGATTTAGTCATTGGAAATCGTTAATGACATTAGTACTCATAAAGTGTATTCACATACAAATGATCAAGCATTTGTGTCACTCTCAGATATCGAGTTCTTACATGCATTTGAATGCAAATAGGAATACAAGGGAATATGTAGAGCATTATTAAGTACAACTCATTCCTATCGTAAACATGTGAGATATGGTGTATCATAAAAAGAATTGTTAGTGTGATTTAATAGGAGATATATTAATAACAACAAAATTTGATAAAAACAAAAGAAGTTATTCAATAATAATTATGTTCTTTTTGTCATTTATTATTAAAAAAATCATTCTCCATCTTCTCCATTTCAACAGCCTATTGTAAAATGTGAATATCTTTATGGCCTTAATCCGCTTCTTATTAAACTATCTCTTCATGATCAGGCATAATCGGAGGAATCATCCTGTCAATAATTGAAATGGCATATTTCACAAAGAATATTTGTAATCCAATAGTAAATACAATGATTGAAGAGATTCCCCATCCAACATCAATTTTCTATTGCTTACTACTTGAATCGTCGTTGAATGCCAAGATAACCAAAGTAATCAGAGTCATGCTTACATCATAGGCAACCTCCCTAATGAACAATTCTATATAGTAGATAGGAATAACATTAGCAGAGAGCGAATAAAATCCAAGTCTCACTAATACTAAAATACCAATTTGTGGGTAAACAGTCAAAGCTACTAAGGAGATGGCAATCACAATCTTTTGCAAGTAAGGCACAAGTGCGAAGAATTTAGTGTAAGGTGTAGTAAAGAGTAATCCATCAAAAAATTCTCCAAAATAATCATAAACCTATTTCACTCTTATTATATGTGGATTTCGTATCAATTTCAAAATAATTAATACAATGGCTACTAAAATTAGGATTGCAAATAAAATTGACATCAAAAAATTAATAATCCCATAACCATTAGAAAAGTCAGGATAGAATAAATTTAAGATAATACTCAATACAAGATCCATAAAAAATATTTCCACAAATATAGTCAACCCTTAACATCTGAAATATTTATGGACTTGTTCAGCATAATATTCAATATCTGGATCTGGTACAAACCTATAAAAGAGTTCATTAATTCCAAGCAATAAAAGCAAGCCTGCAAAAACAGTCAAAAATCGACCTCCTCCTTCAGAAAGCATTTAAGTATTGTATTCATAATATTGAAACTTAGGAGGAGCATCAAATTGATTGCAGTCATTTTAAATTAGATCAAAAAAGTTAGGCATGAAAGTCAGATTGAAGTAATCCAATACTGTGAATATCTATTCTGTGTTGTATCCCATTCTGATATTGATATATCTCAACATACTGATCACTTAAACAAACTCAATAGTTTTTCTAATTCTGCCTTCTCCTATCCTATAGTAATAGTAAAATCCTGAAAGTAAACCAAATATACAAACAACAAATAAAATATATGCAACGGCAACGGAAATTTCCTTTTCTCCATCAGTATAATAGATATAATATGGTAAGGAAGTTGAGAGTAGATAGGATTCACTCGAATTCTTTTCTTGTAATAGTCGTCTATCCTGAGTAGTTTAATTGACTAAAGACCAATCAAAGATATCCTGTATCAATGAAGCATTGTTGAAGGTAATATTGGCCATAAGATCTTGTATAGTTAATTAATAATAGAAAGTAATTTGGATGGTTTAATTCCTGAATGAAGTTACAGAATACTCAAAAGGAATGAATGCATTACTTTTGTCATGCTGAATTATAATACCTTCATCGTTAACTTCTTCAAATTCCTTAAACTTTAGAGATTCTAATTCAGGAATTATGATACTGGTGAGAGCACCATAATCAATTCCTTCTTTCATAGGTCTTGAAAAGTGAATATAGATAATATTGGTGTACACTTTACTCCATTCAACGGTGAGTTGAGGAGGTGCTTTTAAAAAGCAAACATCAGGACCTTAAGGATCATAAAGAATACAGTCCCAATTCAATTCAATCTTGCAAACTTCATCGCATCCATCCAAAGGTTTGATGTCTCCATCGTCACATCTTTCTTATGGGTGATGCAAGCCATCTCCGCATAATAATGGTATTAGTTGACAAGAGTTACCATCTCTATAGTAGCCATCAGAACATAAGAGGCAATCTCCATCTTAATTTTCACATTTCAGACATTGATCTCCCATATTACAAGGTAAACAAGTGGAAGTCTCTTCATCCAAATAATACTTATCAATGCAAGCATAACATGTCTTTGTATCACAATCAGCACATGGAGATTTACAAGGAATGCATTGATTACCCAACATGGCATTAGGTTGATCATAGAATCCGATTGGACAATGAGAATAACACTTTCCATTAGATAAGTAATGATCATAATTGCATCTTACACAAGTCTGTTAATTTAGACATTATGAACAATTGGATGCACATTCTGAACACAAATTGTTATTGGGATAGTATCCAGATGGACAGCCTGGATAACACTAAGTACCTAGTTGATAAAACATCGTTAAACAAGTGTCACAGGTATTAGGTGATGTACAAACTGCACAATTGCTAAGACATTTGAAACATAAATCATGAGACTATGTTTGCTTAATACATCCATAACCAGATTCAATCTTACAATATTGTGAACACCCATCCCCATCATCAACATTATTATCATCACACTGTTCAGTCTCATCTCTGATGCCATCACCACAATTAAGAATACATGTATCTTTCCCTGCTTATGATCCACCTGAACATTAATATAAATTCTCTATGACGCACATTTCATTGCATCCATCTCCACCCAGCACATTCCCATCATCACACTTCTCATTTGAAATCTTGATTCCATCACCGCATATGGATGTGCAAATGTTACCAACACAACTATATCCGATCTCTATTTTGCATTACTTCGAACACCCATCTCCATTTAAAGTATTACCATCATCACATTCCTCAGTTGACTTCTATATTCCATCCCCACAAATATCAGGAATTGCCTTACATTTATCTGCTGTCGAATCACTACCACCTGTACACACATAATCTGTATCTATTTTACAATTACTGCACCCATCATTGTTCACTGCATTTCCATCATCACATTCTTCTCCTTGATTTCTGACTCCATTTCCACATTTTTTGCTACACACACTAGGTGTTCCTGAGCAAACCCAACCAACATCAGTAACACAATCAGAACATCCATCTGATGATGTATTATTTGAATCATCACAATCTTCTCCTGCATTAATAATTCCATTTCCACATAATTTTGTGCAAACACTAACAGGATTTGCAGGTGTTGGCGTTGGAGGAGGATTTGAATTATCACAATCATAACCAATATCTACCTTGCAATTTGTGCAACCTGTTGTTCCACTCCCAATATCACATTATTCTAGATCAGGAGCACTGGATTCTAATTTACCATTTCCACAATTCTTAAAACAATTTATAGGACCTGCTATTGGTGTACAATAATATAAATCTTCGATAGTACCACAATCAGCTGAACATCCATCTCCATCAACATTATTACCATCATCACATATTTCTCCTGTATCCCATATATGATCACCACAAGCTAAATAGCAAGTGTCTTTTGTGGTTGCAGTTCCTCCTGAGCACTTGTATGTTGGCGAGTTGACAGCACAATTAATGCATCCTGGCCCTTAAGCTGCAATTGGAGTTGCAACCAGATTGCCTTCATCGCAAGTCTCTCCTGCATCTCTCTTACCATTGCCACATCGTGTACATACAGAGGTTGCAGGATCACCAACATAATTACCTCCACAACTAGCACTAACCACACATGAGTTAGCAGCAGGCATGATTAAGAAATACCCAGTGTTGCAGGCATTGCAATTACCATTAGCAATACAAGAACTGCATTTAAAATCGCAACTTCTACAAAGATCTACAGTTCCTGCAGTATTTGATAATGCATTAGCACCAGCTGTACAAGATGCTGCACAATTACCTTCATTCATCAATAAAGGAGATTTGCATATCAAACAAATTTAACTACTGAAACTATTCAAAGAAACCTAACAATCTCCATTACAATTTAAATAGTTTGTGTCAGTTCCATCCTCGTCTACATAAACAGTATATTTATTAAAAATATTGATATTTGATAACTACAAATTTCCACTAGAGAAAGAATTCAACGAACTTCCTAGAATAATAGTATCAGTTGCACTTTCTTAATAAGAATTACTTAAACTAGTAGTTTAATGTGCCTAATAAACACCTTTTTCTAAAGTTATATCATAAATGATTTGAGATTATTCTGTCAATGATCCTGGATACAAAATAGTGCAAGTAATATGATGCCAAACATTAGTATTGTGTAGAATGAGAGCTGGTTGAAATATTGTAGTTCCAATCTTCAATTTAGTACCAAGTTGAGCTGCATTTGCTTAATAAAATAGTAGTGTAAGCACTTCTGTTGTTCCTTGGTAATTCCTTTTAAAAACTTGCATATCTTTAGTTAAATCTACATTGTCTGCATCTCCTGATAAAACAGCTGTTGCTTTAAACCAAAGAGCTATTCCAAAAATAGTGTTCGTACTCCCAAATACTACTGCTGGCAATTTTACTGTTTATGTTGATGCAAACTATAAAAAACCAATGGTTGTTCCCCAAGTTGGATCACTGGTTTAAACTGTATTATCTGTTCCTAAAAACCCTTACTTTGTCATATCAATTTTATTATACACCACTTAACCTGTCATCTCCTCTAATCTAAATCTAGCAAATAAAGAAACCGAATAGCTTGGATCCAAGAACATCAAGCTGAACCAATTATGCTTATAATCTAGTTCAATGTAGTCCTTCAAAATTGAAATAGATCGAACTTAACCATAATGATATTGATAGGCTGATCCCCAATACAGGAGCTGCATCACTGCCAACGATGTCAATGAAGAGTGAAACCCAGCTGCCTCAGTGATGGGCAAAGGATTCACAATTACATTAGGAGATGCAGGTTAAAAAGCATAATAAACAACTTTCCCTTTAGAGTATGACAGTCCAACAGATCCGAAGCACCATTTCTACTCTAAATATGGAAAGGGGGAATTCACCATAACACTCGGAGTTGAAGCCTTTGCATATCTGATTTAAAATTATGTTGTTTATGTGTAATCTGCTGTATAATACATACCTACTCGAACTCCTTAATTAGTAATCAGACTTTCATCAGATGTATCCATTGAAATTCTG